ATAGTAATGCAATGACGTTATAAACAGATTTATCTGTTTATACTTCTATATTTATCTACTCTAACACAATATTATACATGTACTTTACCAAAACGTATTTTATAATAAAACCTTATGAAAAAGCCAAAACTTTTGTTTTTCCAACGGAAATGAATATTAATTTCAGTTTTTCGAACAAACTTTTATAAATTTTTGAATCATAGATCAGTAGCAAACCAATTACGTAGAAAATATTATTGTTGACGACTTTAAGATAGTAAAATATGATACAAAATTTAAATATTTTGTTAAACAGTAAATGATGATTTGATCTAAAAACAGAAATTTCAAAATTTTTAAACAAAACATGCATCCGCCCCCGCTTTTTTTAGCTCTACACAGCCTGAGCCCCTACCCTACCCGACCCTCCCCTACCCTCCCCTACCCTACCCTACCCTACCTTACCCTACCCTACCTTTGGCATTACTATACTCTGATATATCATGCCCTGCCTTATCATACTCTGTCTTACCATATTCTGCCATACCATATCCTATCCTATCCTGCCTTACCATACTCTGTCATACTATGGTGTGCTTTAATATTCTATGCCTTATCATGTCCTACAGTAACAAAAATCTAAAAAATGCCATATTATAAAATTACAATACTATGATCAATAAAATTGTTGCTTAAACCTTTGCTTTGAAACTATAACAGCTAAAACTTATGTAAATTTTGCTATTGTTTTTAAAATTTGTATCCTTTTGTAACTGTCAATATTATTATTTGATCAAATGATCATAGCATAAATTCGATCAACGATCAAGATACTGCTGATCATGTTTTGTTCGATGAGCTTTTGAATATTTTTCATCTTTAGACGTTTCTTCTTTTTACATTATCTATTGCTTTCTAACAATGCTTAGCTTAATAGCCTTAGGCTTAAAAGACTTAGAAACGTTAGGCTTAACGAACTAGGCTTAGTAAGTTTGGGCTTGGTAGACTTAGGTGTTGTAGATTCAAGCCTATTAGGCTTAATCCTACAGCAGGTTTAGTATTTTTAAAATATACAGAATGCGCCAAAAGTTCTATTACAAAACTGTACATTTTTTAAAAAACATCTGTTAATAAACGTAAAGATTACTCTATTGTGACCTAATATTGTGATACATCTACATAGCCTTAGAGAAATTGTAAGAAGTCGTGTTACGCAACGTTTTCTTATGTAATATTATTTACTTCTGTAATACTTGCCTCGATGTAAAACGACCCAACAAATGACTGCGAGTGCTGGGATTTTACTTCAATTTTCTTCGAGGTACCGATTTTTATGTGGCGACATAACTCAAGAATAATATTAACTTTACAGCTCATTCGACTAACTTTACGCCTACTAATCTTACAACTATTAGTCTTACCAAACCTAAAACAACAAGTCTCAACATAACATAGCAAGCATAAAACTACTTAAGTGAAGCCTGTTGCTTGATCCTACTAAGACAACTAAACATAAGTCTACTAAGCCTAAATTTAGTAATTCTAAGCCTACTAAGCCTAAGCATACTAAGCCTAAGCCTACTAAGCATAAGCCTAAGCTTAGTAAACCTAAGACTATACTTACCAAATTTAAACCTGACAAGCTTAATGTAAAGTTATACGATGAAAAGTGTCCCACTACTTTTGGGCCAACCTAATAAAATGCGCCTTATTCTGTGAAACCTAAGCCTACCAAGCCCAAACCCGGAAAGCCTGATTTGGATTTTTACTAAAATTTTTTATTTGTTTGTTTTTTAATTTTTTAAAAATTTTTAAATTTATTTTTAACTTTTAAAATTTTAAATTTATCACAAAATCTAATGTTTTTTCAAAAAAAATTATTTTTTCAAACCCTAGATGAGAACGAACAGACATAGCGGCGAACTTTAATGTCTGTTCATCAACAAACTGTTTTATGTTAATCCTTGTTTACCACGATGGTGGGTTTGCACGAAATTCGTCGACAAAATTTTAATCCGATTTGTTAATTCCGAATCCAGATTTGGTATCTAAGGCGTGGCGTTTCAGCCAGCCGGCTATAAAACCGTGCTGGCTGGCTGGTGTTTTTTCAGAAGCTACTCTGTTTACATAAAGTAAATGTAGGTATATTTTATCACTGTAGTGGAATTAGTTGTGTTTTTAGTATTACTAGGCTTAGGCTTAGTAAGCTTAGGCTTAGTGGGTTTGGATTAGTAGGCTTAGACTTAGTAGGCTTAGGCTTAGGCTTAGTAGGCTTAGGCTTAGTAGGCTTAGGCTTAGTAGGCTTAGGCTTAGTAGGCTTAGGCTTAGTAGGCTTAGGCTTAGTAGGCTTAGGCTTAGTAGACTTACGCTTAGTAGGCTTACGCTTAGTAGGCTTAGACTTAGTAGGCTTAGGCTTAGTAGGCTTCGTAGGCCTAGTAAGCTGAAGCACAGTAGACTTAACTTAGAAAAGTATACCTACTAGTACACCCATGGCCTAATACTGTATAGTAAACAGCACATACTTACATATAGTAAATGTAAGTATCCAAGAGCTTCTCAGATCTTCACTAACTCTTTGTTTTGTCGTCTTTCCTTTTGTTAATATATTGTAATGAAAATTTTCTTAATTTTTCTGTAAAATGACGTTTTTTGTATAGAAACTTGTGGTAAACATTTGTCATTTTATACTTTTTGTAACATTGTCATAAGTCTTTGAACATTTTTTGTGGTTTCACACTTTGTTTTAACTATGTATTTTAATTACAAAAGCTATTTGAAAGCTTTTCGTTTTCTAAAGGTAGTTGAGAAAGCGCGGAGACTGTAATGTTTTTGCGTTTTTTCAAAAGCTAGTCGATGAAAATGAAAATGCTTTTACGCAGTACTGTAACATTTTCTTGTGTATCATTCTGTTAAACTTCATATTTTTACGCAGTACCCTTAAAACGTTATGGCAATTTTTACTGAATTTGTAAATTTTTATTAGTTTTTGAGTAATTCTGTAAATTTTGCAATTTTTTCAAAAACTAGTTTACAAACATAAAAATTGCTTTTAACTAGTACTGTACTATAGTATTGTGTACCAGCTTGCAAAATTTCGTATTCTTTTGCAGTACCGTCTAAAAGTTATTGCAGTTTTTATCAGGTTGATTAATTTTTTGTTTCTTATATAATATTGTAAAATCTGCCATTTTTTTCAAAAACTGACAACTCAAAATGAAAATGCTTTTAAGTCGTATTGTATAATCTTATTGTGTACCATTGTGCCAAATTTCATTCATTTTTACAGTACCATTAAAAAATTATGGCACGTCAAAGACACCCTTCCATCACATATTGAAGTCAAAAATGTTATCTTTTTGTTGTTCAAACCGTTTCAATCTCTGTCAAAACAATTTTGATGCAAAAAACAGTTTAAAAGTTGTTTTTTATGAGATTAAAACAGTCTATTTTTGATTTTCAACTTGCGTCATCATGATTTGTCCGTCAACTTCTAAGATTGGATTGGAAAGAGATGGACCTTGTGTATCTTGTTCATGCGCCATTTTTGCGTCGGCAGGTAAGAAATAGGGGTTTTTTTGGACGGGGTGGGGTTTTTTCAGGTTTTTTGTGTAGTACTGGGTTATTTTGGCAATTTTTCAAAATTTTTAAATTTTTTAAAATTTTTTTTAATTTATCGAAATTTTTTGAAATTTTTTGTAATTTTTTAAATTTTTTAAAATTTTTTGTAATTTTAAACCTTTTTTGAACTATTTTTTGAATTTTTTTTAAATTGATGAAAATTGTAAAAAATTTTGAAATTTTTTGAAATTCGAGCCCATCCTTTACAGATCAGCCCACACAAGCGAAAAGCCACTGGTACGTTTGGTATCCGTCATAATATGACACTTTATATAGTGTCTATGACCTGACAATGAAGCCCGGAGAAGACTGAGAAAGTGAATCCGAGCACCCTCCCTCGCCATAAGAGGGAGCTAGCTTGGACGGTTGCCTTTGTGATTGTCATGAGTGATACCTGACTTCTTCTTGATGCACAGCATGATTTACGATGATATACACTATTATGCACATTATGGTGAAGGATATGATATACAGTATGATTTACAGTGCAATATACAATATGATGTACAGTATGATGCACAGTACAATGTAAATTATGAAATACAGTATGATGTACAGTACACTTTACAGTATGATTTACAGTATAATGCACAGTACGATGCACAGTATGATGTACAGTACGACATACAGTATGATGATAAAGGTACCACAGTAAAAGTAATAGCAACTTATTAATGATGCTACAGTACTACACTACCATGAAGCCTTGAAAGCTGGTACTGATGGTACTACCGTTGGTACACATAGTACCGTACTACCAACTTTAAACGATGCTACAGTACTGCAGCACCATGAAACTATAAAAGATAGTACTGACAGTACCGTGCAGACCCAACATTCAATAATGTTACAGTACTACAGTATCAGTTACTACAAGCCTACCACTTTGTTACAAGAAGAAAACACCTCCGCCCCCGCTCTTCCCTAGAGAAGAAGAAAACATGTACAATATACAAGCCAAAGGACGTCAAACACCAACGAACATTTATTGTATATACTAGTTTTTATTACTTGCATTTTTTGTATTGTACACACAATGGGAAATAAAGCAGAAGAAAGCAATTTAAAGGGCATTTTTATTAGTTTTATTAACTTTTCATCGTATAACATGTCTCCTGCAGCCTGCAGAATACAAAAAGTCATTAATTATAGGTTTTTAAAGCTTTTTAGGTAACAGATATGTTTAATGAAACTTTAAAAACATAAATTTTTGCTTTAAAATAATTTTTTTTACAAAAAATTAAAATTTTAAAAAAATTTTAAAATTTTGAAATTTTAAAAATTTTTCGGATTTTCTTTCAAATTTCAAAAAAAATTAAAAATTACTTACTTTTTTACATTTCCAACCGGTCGGTGGACCAACTTGTCTCGTATCCACCAAAAACCTTCAAAATCGATCAAAAATGGGGAACCGACATCCGAAGTCGTCACGATCGGATGAGGACAAGAAGCCTCAGGTCAGTGTCGAAGAACACGTGAATTTGGAGACGGCTGACGAAGAGATACGACGTTTGGTCAAAATGCGCTTCCAGAAACAGGATTGGGCCATGGGCCGGGGTGTGGTCGAGGAGGAGATGCTGGTCACGGCTTTTGAGCTGGTAGGTCGGGGTTAGTTTAATATAATTGGTGTGTATATGTGGATATAGGAGTAGATTCATTAAGGAAACGGTATAAAAATCCACAGACTTCTAATCGTTTGAAATTTTAAAATTTTTGGATGTTTTCAAGTTGCGAAGTGTCAAAAAATCGTCGGGAAAATATACTTTTTCGTGCTTTTTTGACTGTAAAGCAATATTGCCATCTTCTTTGATGAGAGTTACGACTTATTACGTCTCTAACACAAATCAAGTTGACATAACTGTTATATTCTTTTTGATTTTCACTTATTTTTTATTTTTTTTTATAAAAATCTGACAAAAAAGTCGTTTTTTGTGAATATACCTACTTTAAACACAAATTCTTAATGGATATACCCAATGGCAATGTTTGAAAACTTGATTTAAAAGTTAGAGGACATTCTACTTTTATTTTTACATCTAGCTATTATAGCTATTTCAAAGTTTTTTCAGACTTTTTGGCTCTATATTGTTTTAGATTCATGTGAAAAAGTTGGTGGATATTTTTTTGATAATTAGGGATGATATAACTGTAAAAATGGATTTTTATGTTAGAAGATGACTTATTTTTTTATTCAGTTTGAACATTGTGGTAATATTGAGTTTTGTTTAGACTTTTGGCTGATATTGTTTTAGGTACCTCTGAAGGTGTAAGTTGGGGATTTTTTAATTTTTGGCTTGGTCAAGAATTTAAATTGTTGGGAAATGAATTTAAAAGCAAGTTGAAAGCCTATTCTAACTTGTTATACTATTTTTCATTAGTTTTCGTTCAAAATTTAGCTTAAAATTGAAAATCCCTAAGCCGCTTCTTCTGATGTACCTAAAACAATATCGGACGAAATGGCAAAATAACTGAAGACATAATTATAATAAATAGACTTGTTAGTAAGAGTAGGTTATGTTACATTAATAAAAGTTTAACATTTTGCATTTGAACCTATTTACTACGCATACTTACCTCAAAAGCCATATTCATATTATGTATAATCATTATAACAAAAGTAATTTCAGAAAACCCTAAAATCCAGTCATGTGATTCACGATTTTGACCGGGCTGTGGTCATCAAGTCCGTCCCAACCAAAGAATCTTTACATCACAGTCGAAGCGTCAGCAATATTATGTTATGTATAACATACGGTTTATCTTCACATAATCTGTTGGATTTTCCGTATTTTTGCTACAAACATGGTGGAAGTAAGTTTTTTTGTTATTTTAGTTTTGTCTTTAGGTATAAAGACAGAGAAGGCTAAAATTTTGGGTTTGGAGACATGTTATACGACCAAACATATCCACTATATACGTCTTTAGTCGTATAACTTGTCTCTATTACTTCTTATTCATATTTTCAGTCACCTTCTTTATCCCTTACATAATTGTGTTGATTTTCTTTGCTATCCCAATGTTGTTCATCGAGATTGGACTAGGTCAGTTCTATCAAAAACCTGCGACACACATCTTTGCGGCAATGAACTTCAGCTACACTGGTAAGTCATGGCATTTTATGTTTACAACCATAAAAATTGTCAATTTACAGGCGTTGGACTAGCCATTGTGCTTGTCAGTTTTCTGAAATTGTTTTGGAATCTGAAGGTAGTGTCAATATCAATGTTTATGGCAATGCGTGGGATTGAGAGCTGGTTTCAGGAGAAAAATGTGTGGAATGAATGTATCCAGGTGTCTACCTCGAATTGTTATGACTTTTTGTAAGTTATTAATGGCATTTTAAAGTATTTTAAACAGTTTTTATTAATTAGGTTTGGGAGAATATATCTAAAAAATATGTTTCATCATATAACATGGTTTGTGCAGACTGCAGGATTTAAAAAATTGCTTTTAATGACTAAAAATGTTATACTAAGGTTTATCATAGTAAAAATTAGGTTAGTACGCATTTCGTAACTTGTTTTATATGGTAAAATACGTAAAATTTACCGATTTTGTAGTAGGTGACGATTACCGTTGTATTTAGGCTCCAAGAACGCTGCTACGCCTTAAAATACAATGAATTCGATGAACAACAGCTAGATCCAGCAACAGAAGAAAAGTGCAAGTATTTCTACAAGTACGTGACTAGAGCCAACTTCTCTGGAGCACATGGTATGAGCCCTATCATCATGAACTACCTCAATACCTACGCCTGGGCCGTACCACCCAAGATTGACGACTTGGTGGTGGAATATGGCGAGCCTCTGTACATTATGTCAGCAGCATTTGCAGTCAGTGTCATTTTCATGGTGGTGGGCGTTAGACGGGTGGCGGTTATACCTCTGGGCATGCTTAAAGTGGCATCAATCGCTTCGGTTATATGGATTTATATTTTTTGTAAGTTTTTTTGGATTTTTTTGTTGATTTAGGCTTGAACTAGCTTTTTTAGAATTTAGGAAAAAATTTTTTGTGAAAAGATAACATTATAAAACGTCGAAAAAAGTTTTGTCATTTTTTACTTAAGCTTTGTGTGTTGAAAAACGACAAAACTTTTTTAAAATTTTTTGGTGATTTAGGCTTGGAATAGCTCTAGTTTAGCCTAGAAGAAGACTTTTGGTTTTTAAGTTAGCATTGTAGAGCCTTAAAAAGTATTGTCGTTTTTTATTTAAGCTTTTTGTGTTAAAAAACGACATAACTTTTTTTTGTGGGTTTTAATGGCTATAGTGGAAAGAATGGATTTACAGTTGCAAATTTACAGTTTTAGGGCCGTATTTTGGAGTGGGCGATGTAAAATTATTTTCCATTTCTTGATTTAGCAGGGGGACCAAGTTCAATTTTTTCGAAAAAATTTTTCTTGTGTAAATGACGGGAAATGTTTTTTATTGCCCTACTCTTACTGTATATGTTCAACAGTACTGTACTATACTCAATTTTTTATATTTTTTCGATTTTAGTAGCCAGAGCTCCGTTAACTGAAGCAGGCAAGGAATTGTTCTACACCCTCGCTCCGGTACACTTACTCGACGGTCAAACCTGGGCCGATGCTGTTCAAATGGCTATTGTGACATTGTCGTAAGAAATTGTTGAAATTTTGGTTTGAACCTTGAATAAAAATGGCATTTTTAGGCTGATTTATGGTGAAAAATGATCGTTTTTGGTTGGTTTTGGATGAAGAGTGGCATTTTTGGGTTGATTTTGAATAAAAAATGGCATTTTTGTTTGATCTGTGAAGGAAAAATGACTTTTTTTTGGTCGAAGTTGACAAAAAAATTGAATATTAAGTTAGGTCTACGCATATCTTTATAGAATGTGCGACGGCAGCTTGCATGCAATCGGCCGAATCACCAGTTTCAATCATCGCTACTGGACTAGCGTGGCTGTCTTACTAATTGTTAATGTTGCCTTGGCCTATTTTTGCTCGTTGACTTTGATCTGTGCTGTCTCGATATTGACTGGTATGCTTATAATCTGGTTTTAAAATTTTTTATTTTGTGAAGAAAAAAATTTTTTGAAACATTGATTTTTTTTTGAAATTTTGAACTTTTTTAAACATTTTTTAACTTTTTCAGAACAACTCTTCCACCAAGCCAACGGCGGCAACATTGAAGGCCGAATCCACGAATACATGGTTCACGGCTCCATCGTAACATGGTCAGCGGTACCAGAAGCTATAAACTCGTTCGGACTGTCAGGACCATATCATTTGGTACCAATTTACTACCTCTGTATATGCTTCATGTCATTCCCGGGTTTGGTAAGCGATTTAAAGAGATTTTAAGCCGTTAAGCGACGTCGCCTCATTGGCTCAGGGGCAGAGCGTCTGTCTAGTAAACAGAAGGTCGCTGGTTCGATTCCAGCATGAGGCAGTCGGCTTTTTTGGACTTTTTTGAGAGTGAGGGTGGATGAAAAGATGGTTTTAGGTTTTTGAAATGATAAGGAGATGATAACAGTCTTGAAAAATTTTAGCGTCAGTTATAAAATGGCATTGAAAATTGAGTTTTTGAAGTTTTTGGTTGAAAAAATCCGTTTTTGCTCTGATTTTTGGACTTTTTTGAGGAAAATCGCTGATAAAAAGATGATTATAGGGTTTCAAAATGATTCTAACGTATCTAAAATTAAAAAAATTTTTTTTGGGTTTTTTAAAAATGGCAAACAACCTGATTTTAGGTCATCAACATGGCCAAAATGTACCAAGCTGTGAAAGAAAGTGCCATTTCGGTGTACATCATGGACAATGGTGAATTCATGTTCATTAAAAGACTTGCCCTGCTCTTTATGATGATCATCTTCCTACTGCCGAGCGTATTCCTACTGGCACAGTCGTGGAGTGTGGTATTGGCGCGACTGTTGAGCATCTACTCGATCAATGTCTCATTCATGATTGGCGTGGCAGAACTGGGGATTATAGCTTACTTGTACGATGGAACCAAGTTTTATATGTAAGAATGATATTGATATGGGTATAGGAAGCTAGGTTTTGATTTTTGAAAATTTTTGTTCGGTTACCGTAGGCTTAGGGTAGTAGAAGGTTGTTCAAAAAATGTTGAGATATGTATCTGTGATAACTTGCTTTGAGAGTAGCTCAGAAGTTTTTGAACAACTAAAAATTTTTTTGCTCGGTTAAAGTAGCCATAGCCTTGTAGAAGTTTTTTCAAAAAATTTTGAGCTACGTATCTTTGAAAATTTGCTTTGAGAGTAGCTTTGAACAACCTACAGAATGATCTGAACAACCTAGTAAAACCTAGTAGCTAAGGCTCATGTAAGTACATCATCGATTACAGTGACATCTTCACCATGCACACGAAACTCCCATTCATTACGGCAATCATCTTCCTCATACTGGTCGTAATATCACCATTTGTTGCCTTCTCAGGCCTATGTTATCACATGCTACTAAATCGAGTAATGAGGATTGTGGACTATGTTGTACCAGTGGAGTTGCACCTGACCACATCAACGACAATGGTCATTGCCTTCTTGTAAGTTTAGGGAATTTGGGTTCAGAAGGCTTTGGAGATCGTGTTAAATCAGATCTTTGGACTAATGACATTCTTTTTTAGGATCATGATTGCATTCCCATTCAGAAACATGGTCAATAGCCTGTACCACGGCTACAGTTTGAGGAATATTTGGCAAATTCAAGCGACTTGGGTACCACTACGAAAAGCCGATGGCGAGGTCGCCAGAGGCAATCGATTAGCGTTCAGAAGACAGAACCATTACAGCAAATGTGCTGTGGCCAAGACGGATGTGAGGAACTTGACCAAACAGTAGTTTAAAGATATTTTAAATAAACTTGAATATAAAATTTTAGGGTTTGTCTTACTATAGTTTGATCTAATTTGCCTATCTTACTGTTTTCTGTTATTAATGACTCTTACAAGGAAAGTACCGGACCTGCCCCGCTCTGACTGATTTCTTACTTTTTATATAGAACGGTCATGTAAATGTAAGATCTTCCAAAAAGTACTAAATCGCGCTTTCCAGAAAATCTTGAGAAAATCAAGATCAAAAAATTCCGTTTTGAATTTCCCGCCAAATTGGCATTGTGTTTCAAGCTTATAATTTGGCCATTTTTTGACTTTTAAACATTTTTCTTTGATATAATAGTAGAAAACTTTTAAATAAATTTAAATTTGTAAGCGTAGCTTGTCCGGAAAGGCGAAAAAGTGCTTGCAACACAATGCCAAATTGGCGGGAAATCAAAATAATCCAAATTTTAAACTTAAAAGCGCGAGCTAAAATTTTTTTTTGTGTACTATTGGCGGTACAAGGAATTCATATAAAAATTTTGATCTTGAGCGGGGCAGGTTGGGTATTTTCCTTGTTAGCTATTTTTCCGTTTGCTGTTATCTTACATAATGTATCCATCCGTTCTGGAATCTTCCGCGGGACCTAACCCAAGTCGAAGGACCAGCCGAAAGAATGCATAGTATCGGGCCACTTAAAATTTCCTAAATATCTCACGTGTGGAGGTGTCCGATTCCAAATCGGAACGACTATAGTGAATTCTATGTTACAGTCTATCTATAATGTTATTTATTTTTAATAAACTATATTCTACTAATTTTACATGTTATTTGGCCTGAACGGAGGAGCTTCCTAGTAGTAGCCGACAAAACTAGAAGTTGACCATTAGACTACTAGATCATCATATTATGTTCCTGCAAAAGTTTAAAGCCAAATTTTGTTTTTACGAAATTTTAATATTAAAAAAAACAACAACATCTAATTAACAAATATATTTATCATTATTACCAACGACTTCTTCCCATCTCTTCGGCAGCATTTGGACTCCTATTCTGTAGAAACCTGGAGAACTAGGAGATTCACCTTGATCAAGTGGATCAGAACATTAGGTTTTTATCATGGGAGTAGAGAATAAGGTAATTCAGTCTTCTTACTGTTATAACTCTTTGGGCTTCATCGGTTTTGTCGTAAACAACTAGTTTTTTTTCTACGGTATAAGTGATGCCGTTTAACCTATAAGTAACTTGTCGTTTAACCCTTTTTAGTACTTTTTATAACTCTCCAAATATACAAGCATATGTTTATTTGTCTTATATTGTTTGTAACGTTAATGCAGGAATGGAATTAACGACTATTATGACGTACAATTAGATGTATAGACATAAATTAACTATAAAGTGTGTATGTAAGATTTGTATAAAAATTACAATAGCTGTTATGTTATAATTACTTTAAGTAAGCGTAGTACAATTTTTGTTTTTGGAGAAATTGATTTTTATAAAGTAAAAGGAAAAGTAAGTAAAACTGTCTATAATCGTAGTTTAGTATAGCTGTATGTTGTAACCGTGCGTGGTTACGACGACTCATGGCTTGAGGGGTTCCAATATTAAAGCTGTACGACGTAGAGTCGAACCAAGTGTAGCGATTTATTTAACTAAGTAAATATTATATATAGCGAATAAAGTAGTGAAGAGAATAGTGCTGGTACCATGAACAGCTGATCGTATGTACACCCCTATATGACTATATAGGTGTACAATATATAGTCATATACTTTATAGTACTAGAAAGTAGGCGTGGTTTGCACGACTATATCGAAACGTATTTCGAAATAGTGTATGTGGAATACGCTTATTGGTTACTTTACGATTCTTCATGATGACTCACATGTATTTCGAAATCTTACAATTTCGTAACATATAATAGTACCGTATTATATGTGTTCTTTCGTCGTTTTTTTCACGGATATTACAGGTTTTTATCATGGCAGTAGTATCTGGTCTTCTTACTGTTATTACTCTAGTTGGGATTCACCGGTATTGCCGTAGACGATTAATTTTTTCTATTTTATTAAGAGTCATACGTTGTTTAACTTTTTTGTATTTAAAACTTGTTGATTTTTACCGGAACTCGTCGAGGCTGTCCAATAGCATCTTGTGGACGCAGGCATCTACGTCCACTCTAATTAATCCGCGATTTATGGCTTTGATGATGAGTCGGTTTATGGCTTCGATCAGCATGTAGATGTCACAAAGTTGGTTAAAATTTTTTTACGTTTTGGAAGTGGAAGGCGCCGTGTATAAAATCACGGTACACTACTGTAGTAGCTTACGATGTTAAACGGTTCTTTGTTGATGACGCTTGAGTGTAGTTGGCAGTTGATGTCTACTTTTACGGCAGTCCGGACGTCAGAGTGAAGATGGCTGTTGAGTCCTTAACTCTTACGGCGGATCTGAATTCTTGTAGTAACTTCTGGATGCTACCACCGTATGGTGATAGCATAATCCACGGTGCACGGTGTCTTATAGGGGCTGTAGGAGTGGCTTTTATTGATAATTTTGTTACGGCGACTTCCTTAGTGAGTCCATATAGTGGTAGGTATAGTAAATTGTGATGACGAAAGTCATCTTTTACGTTTAATAACACTACGTCGCTAAATCTTAGGGCTGGTACTGTCCGGGATGGGGTAAGGGTGTGGTAGTTTTCTACAGTTTTCGGTTCGGCTGTGGAGCTGTCGAAGATCACCTTCAAGAAGTCGATTGTTGTTACGGTAAAGGGACAGGTAAAGAAGGAATTTAAAAAATGTTGCCTTATATAGAGGCTTTTCTTCTTGTAAATTATTTTTAGGACTATATTTTTTCTTTAAAAAGTAATTATTAAACTGATCCAGCTGTTGTATATTATTGTTGCCTGCTAATGTATTTTTCTATGAGGCGCAGTCTTACGTCTTATAATTGTAATGGCTGTAAGCGATAAGTATATAAGAGAAAATATATCTGAATTGTGTTGAAGTTCATTTGAAGTCGTCCAAACTGTCTAGTTGCATTTTGTGTACGAAGTCATCCACTCTAATCTGGCCGCAATTGATAGCTTCTAAGATCATGTGTCTGTCGCACAATTGTTGAAAGTTGGTCGCATGTGTAGCGGAAAGCGCTACGTATGAAATCACGGTACACCTCGCTATAGTATGTTATAATCGCAATTTTATACGGTTCTTTGTTGATGACGGTTGAATGTAGTTGGCAGTTGATTTCCGTTACTCTTACGGCGGATCTGAATTCTTGTAGTAACTTCTCGATGCTAACACCGTGGAGTGATGTACACTTCGCGGGTGGACACTTCGCGGGGGCACCCGCGAGTTGGGATGTCCCACTTCGCGGGAACCAACGAAGTGTCCATAAAGTTACTGTGGTATCTTTTGACTTGACATCCAGTAACTTTGTTATTAGGTGATAAAAATTCACCAAACTTTGTATGTATACTACTGATACACTGGAAAAACAGTAGTGACTACATTTTGGTTAAACTTTAACAAAAATTTGAATTCCCGCCAAATTGGCAAACCTTGGCATTGTGTTTTTCGGCTATTTACAACAAAGCTAAAACAAAATCAAGTATAAATTTAGCTTTTTTAGATCAAACTGCATATTATAGCATTTTAAAATTTTTAAATTGGTCAACTTTTACCAAAATTACTATTTTTACAAGCCCAAATCACTTTCCTATAGAATTTTACTTCATTTTTTGAACTTAAAACTTGTAACTTTAAAACGACTTATCCAAATTACTTCAAACTTTGCAGAATTGTAAAACGTGACACATAAACATAGCTAAACACAATGTTTTAATTTTTACTTTAGTTATCATCCGTATATACTCAGTTACTGTGGTATCTTTTGACTTTACATGCAGTAACTTTGTTATCGGTTGGTAAAAGTTTTCTAAAATTTGAAGTGAAAGTACTTATACAACACAAAAACCAACACAATTAACACTTAAACAAAATTTTGTCAAAAATTTAAATTCCCGCCAAATTGGCAAATCTTGACATTGCGTTTTTCTACCATTTAAGGTGATGATAGAACAAAACGGTTTTCAGATTTGGAGTTTTCAGGTTGAAATGCATATAAAATCATTTTAAAATTTTAAAATTAGTTAATTTTTGTCAAAATTATAATTTTTATAAGTCCATGTCAGTTTCCTATAGTAGTTGACACGGTTTTCGAAAAATACACTCTTTTTTTAACCATAAAAATGTAAAAATTAAAAAAAAACCAAATTTAACAAAAAAAAATTTTTTTCTATTACTTTGATGTTACTTTAGGCTTAAATAGACCCTAGTAATATTGACAGTTTACAAAAATATTGCCAAATCCATAGTAGTTACTATATATCTCCACCCGCGAAGTGTCCATACTTTATGGACACTTCGTTGGTTCCCGCGAAGTGGGACATTCCAACTCGCGGGTGCCCCGCGAAGTGTCCACATGTCCGTTCCCCAACACCGTGGGGTGATAGCATAATCCACGGTGCACGGTGCCTTATAGGGGCTGTAGGAGTGGCTTTGATGGATAGTTTTATTACGGCGACTTCCTTTGTGAGTCCGTATAGTGGTAAGTAAAGTACATTGTGATGATGAAAGTCATCTTTTACGTTTAGTAACACTAAGTCAGTGAAGCGTGGAACTGGTAGAGACTTGGGTGGCGTTCTGGTGTGGTAGATCCTCATGGCTCTTGGTTCGGCTACGATGATTGCTGGCGGTTGAGTTGAAGCTATTGTGAGGAACTATTCCTCACTGGGTAAGTCGATTATCTGTTTGTTCAGCTACGATAATAAGTGGGCGGTTAATGGCTTCAAGCAGCATGTGTATATCACAAAGTTGGTTGAAATTGTTTACGTTCTGCTTGGGCGTCGGTAATAAAAGGCAGACATCGTGAAAATCCTCGTTTGTGACTACGAGGATATGGTCTGTGGATTTGTTGCAGATCACCTTCAAGAAGTCCATTGTTGTTGCGATAAAGAAACGGGTAGAGAGGGTATTTGAAAATGTTGCTTTATGTAGAGTCTGTGCATGTTGGGCTTAACGTATGGGTGAGCTTTTATGACTAATTGTGATACTTCTATAACTCTGTAAGAGCCTAGTCAAGTGGGCAGAAATTTAGATGTCTGCGTACACAGGGGGGACCACGTTCAACTTCTTTCGAAAATTTCCCCCCCCCCCCCCCCCTCTTCCCCAAGTTTTGACTAATTTGATCATGCTCTACAACTTGTCCCCAGTTTTTCACCAGTCCAATGCGCGGTGGGGACCGTTCCTTGTCAGTGTGATCTTTAAACAAAATTAAATTTGTAGGAGAGATTACTTTTTGTGGGGGAGGGGGGGGGGAGGCAGCAATAGTGCGTCTAACGCGGGTGGGGAATTAAGTTCATTTAAAGTTTCTGCGAGATCATAAGCTCTTTTTTGTGCATAGCCAAAATGTGCGATGCTGCAATGTTCGTGTCGGCGTACGATGTCTGGCGCTGAGCAAACGTTTTTAACAGTATATCGCTGGGCAAAAGTGGGTCGTAGCCAATGCCGAGCGGTTACTTTTGGTCCGGGAGCGGGGGTCGAAAAAACCGGCACGTAGCAGCTACCTGTCGTAGCCGTGAACTAGAAAGAAAGGGGTTTCTTTGAAGTAAAATATCTTGGTTCCTTGTTAAGTGAACGAGGAATACGACCCGACCCGAAGAACGTCGAAATCGTTGAAAAATTTCAAAAACCAAAAACTTTGACAGAGCTGAGAAGTTTCATAAGAGCCGTTAGCTATTAGACATGAGAAACGGGCCGCAAAATTTTGATCGGGCCGAGCCTAAAATGGTCCGTTTCTCATGTTTATTAGCTACTGCAAGCGTTTTATAGAGGGTTTTGCCTCTATTAGGGTGAACTAAAAAGAACCGGCCAGTCTACATCATATAACTTATGATATAATGACCCCACCAGGGCCTGGCGCGAGGGGGGGGAGGGACTCTCACCCCTCCTCAAAAAAATTTTGAAAAATGTTGAACGTGGTCACCCCTCCCTGTAGAATTTCGGAAAAAAAATTCACAAAAAACTGTATCGATATTTTCGACCGACGCCCCCCCCCCTCCCCCCCAGATTAAAAATGCACGCCCGGCTCTGTTGACCCCGCTACGTGAATTAACTAATGACCCTCCGTATACAAGCTAACTAAAGATGACCACAGCCCTGCCAAACCTTCGTCCGCACTGCATGATAAAACTTTTAAAACAGAAATAGAAACTTAAAAAACGGCTGGCACCACCTCGACAAGACTGGCCATCATCAAAGAAACTGACACTTTTCAAAAATGAAAGCTAAATTTAGCCTGCGGTCTCGTCGGCACTCTTCTCCAAAAAACTGACCTTGTTTCAGTGCTTTTTCAAACCGGAACCTTAATACATGCGAAGCGAAATGCCCTGCGGTTGAAACAGCAAAAAAAGAGAATTACTTGAATATATGTTCCCAGTGAGTTAAAATAAAGAAAGTTTTGGCCATTTTTTGTTTTGTAAAGAAAGTTTTTGCCATTTTTGATTTTTAAAGAAAGTTCTTGCTATTTTTTGTTTTGTAAAGAAAGTTCTCGCTATTTTACGTTTTGTAAAGAAAGTTCTTGCCATTTTTTATTTTGGAAAGAAAGTTCTTGCCATTTTAAAGCAAATAAAACGTTTTATTCAAAGAAAGGTATGATCATACACATGTATATTAATGTAAAATTAACAATAATCCAAGTAGCCGCAGCAGTCTTCAGGGTCAATTTCTTTCTCTTTCTCGACAATGAAATGATAAAGTCCATCAAATTGTCCGTCAATAGTATCGACAAGCCCGGCACAGTCTGGTAAGCCAGACATGCTGCAGCCGGCCTAAAACAATTTTACAATTACAAAATTTAAAAAATACTGATAGATAACTCAATTTTTACCCTACTCTACCTTACCCTACCCTATCCTACCTTACCCTACCCTACCCTACCCTACCCTACCCTACCCTACCCTACCCTACCCTACCCTACCCTACCCTACCCTACCCTATCCTACCCTACCCTACCCTATCCTACCCTACCCTACCCTACCCTATCCTACCCTACCCTATTTTAACCTACCCTACCTTACTCTACTCTACCCTACTCCCTCCCCCCCCCCTACCCTACCGTACCCTACCATACCCTACTCTACCCTACCTCACTGTAAATTATCCTAACCTATACTATACCCTACTCTATGGTGCCATACTTTACCCTATTGTACTGTACCCTACCTTACTCTACTGTAACTTGAAAAAAACCTACAGTAGCAGCTGATTTCAGACCGTCTCTGGTAAGACCGTCGATACTGTCTAGGTTATCATGTATGTATTGAAACACTGGTTTACAAATTGGACATGTTCCAGTCTTTAACATGTCATCAATCCAACTGGCTTCAGATGCCAATACGATACAAGAAATGGCGAGGATTGACTTGAACAAGTTAACTTTACAGAGTAGTAAAATTTGTATTTGTGATGTTACTGTGATAAGAAATTTTGTATTTATACTGTAGATTTTAATTAAAATTTAATTTATTTTAAATGAAAACAATTATACTATTCTTATGATATATATATTTATTATCCACATGATATAATATAGGGATACGTAAGGTATATATTGTTCTATTGAAAAATGAAAATGTTATCTACTGTAGTAATATATATTGTAATTTATTACTCATACATATATTGACGCTTTAAATGTCACATTTGTCACATACTGTTGCTTTACATGTCATATATAGGTAGTTTTTCGTAGTGATGTCAATATCAAAGCTTTCTGTCATTGTCAATTTATCGTTTATTGAAAGTACAAGTTAAAAGTATATGTATACAGTAGAAGCTCTGTATAAAAAATTGCTCAAAGATTTTTAATTTGTTCGTTATGAAGATTTTACGTTATACCGAAGTTCGTTATACTGGAGTGTCACTGTAATTGAATCAACAGTACTCCAAGTAACGGCAACATCTTCTCGGATGAATCTGCTTCTTCTCTTCGTTAACAATAAAGTTATAAAGACCGTCGGCGTAACTGTCAACGGAATCAACAAGAGTTCCACAACCCGGAAGTCCAAAGGTGATTGCATTGCAGCCAGCCTAAATTAGTTTAAGATACAGTTAAATAGCCCTAGCCCAAAGCCCAAGCCCAAGCCCAAGCCCAAGCCCAAGCCCAAGCCCAAGCTTAAGCCCAAGCCCAAGCCCAAGCCCAACCCCAACCCCAACCCCAACCCCAACCCCAAAGCCCAAGCCCAAACCCAAGCCCAAGCCCAACCCAAGCCCAAGCCCAAGCCCAAGCCCAAGCCCAAAGCCCAAGCCCAAGCCCAGAACCCAAGCCCTGAGCCCTAGCCCAGAGCCCTAGCCCAGAGCCCAAGCCCTGAGCCCTAGCCCAGAGCCCAAGCCCAGAGCCCAAGCCCAGAGCCCAAGCCCAGAGCCCAAGCCCAGAGCCCAAGCCCAGAGCCCAAGTCCAGAGCCCAAGCCCAGAGCCCAAGCCCAGAGCCCTAGCCATAATTGTTGGCCTTCCATTGTTTTGCTTTGTCTTGCTCTAGCTAGCTCCAACCCTACCTCTAATACTTAAGCCAAAGCAAATAGCCTTACCTATACCTTTATTCCAAACGGTACCCCAAAGAATAAGTTTGACATGGGGAACGGACCGACCTTGAGCTAGATTTAGATCGGGCCTGAGTGTTAGGCCCGGCTCGTTTCTCATGTCTCGTCCTAGCCTCAGCCCAGAGCTTAGCTCCAGGGCTTTTAAAACCCTACTCATCACCGCCACCCTCCTCTACCCCTCCCCCTCTCCGCCTTTGCCTTTCGCTCCCCACCCGTTTACTCACCGTAACCACTCTTCTCAAACCGTCTCGAGTCAAATCATCAACGTTTTCGACGTTATCATGTACGTACTGAAAGACTGGTAGGCAAACATCACACCATGTTGGCAGCGAGAAATCCCACCATGCATTTGTAGCCACAATAAGACAACAAAGTAGAATGACTCGTTTATACATTACAGCTTGATACAATAAGGGCACGGTACTCTAAAGCACTCAAAGTTACCGTAGTGTACAGTAGGGATGGTTACTAGAGAAAACAAAAGGTTACGGTAGGGTACATTAGAAATGGTTAGTAGAGAGTTGGCTGGAGTTGAAAGCCAAATAATTTACGACCGGTAGAGATGTAGAGGCTTCATTTTTCTATTTATACTGCCAAACTTGATCTCAAAATTCTTGAAATTCAAAACAAATGTTCGTATGATATTGGCATTATTAATGTAAAGTGATGCTATTGAACAATTAAAGTTATGTGAACCATGATGTGGACAATGATGTAGTTAGATACATCATTTTTAAAATGTTTAGTTATGTTTTTTATTAGCTTTCACATCATTTTTAAACGTTTTGGTTTGATCGAAGACAACAATATGACTAAACATAAACATAGTTCAGTAGCCATTTGAACAGAAATTAAAATGAAATGATAGTGTCAGCTTGTTTGTACCTAAAACTCACTTTAAGGTTATATGACAATAGATTATCTACTCTACACCATTCTACAAAAACTGAAAAATAGCAAGAACTTTGTTTACAAAACAAAAAGCAGCAAGAACTTTGTTTACAAACCAAAAAATAGCAAGAACTTTGTTTACAAAACATAAAATAGCAGGAACTTTCTTTACAAACAAAAAAATTGCAAGAACTTTGTTTACAAAACAAAAAATGGCAAGAACTTTCTTTACAACCTACAAAATGACAAAAACTTTCTTTACAAAACAAAAAATAGCAAGAACTTTCTTTACAACCTACAAAATGACAAAAACTTTCTTTACAAAATAAAAAATGGCAAGAACTTTCTTTACAACCTACAAAATGAAAAGAAATTTCTTTACAAACCAAAAAATTGCGAGAACTTTCTTTACAAATCAAAATGGCAGGAAGTAACCAAAAAAATTAAAAACTTGTCTTGGACAGGTCCGATTCAAATTATCGTAACATAAAAATCTACTAAATGTCAATTTTTTTCAAACTTTATGAATATACCATTATATTCGGTTGCTTTATTGTTGATTCAAAGGTCAAAATTTATTGAAATCAATAGTGACATTTCGTTCTTTTTATAAGATTGGTGCTTATAAATCAAAAGGTTGAGATCAATGTCTTAATGCCAATAATATTGATATATAAACCATGGTTTTCTTATTGGTTTTGGCAGTTTTGTATTTTATTGGGCTGTAGGCTACAATAATATACTGTAAGTTTAAAAATTTTACTTTTGTTTTGCCTCGTTTTGCTCCGTTTTTCTACCCTACCCTATCATGCACCGCACTGCTTATCATAATCTTATCAGTTTAAGACAAGATGAACAAGATCATTTTGGCTATGTTGATGCTAACTCTGGTAATGGCTAGTACAACAAGTCGAAGAAGCTTGTGCTCAACTTGTGAGTACGTATTTGGTTACATCAGGGATCACTGTGTTGACATTGCCAATATTACCGAGAAGATTTTGGAAGAGAAGATTGAGGTAGGTGACTACCGTAGGTCCCTATACTTACACATACAAGGCTAGACAAGCTTTTTTAATGTAAAAACTGGGCATGCCTTTTCAAGTTTAAAAAATTTACATGCCTCAGAAAAAATTTTTTACCACCCCATAAAAAATTTTACCCTTTCCTACTTAAAAAAGCTTTTTACCACACTCTAAAAAAATTACTCCCCCTCCCTCGTCTCAAAAATTTTTCAACACTTTTTCAAAAATTTTAGACTCTTTCCTTCCTCCTCTTTAACAAAAATTGTTTTACCACCACCAAAAAAAATTTTACCCCTCCCTCTTCAAAAAAATTTTTAATTATTGCCTAAAAAATGTTTTAACATACCCGTGCTGAAAATTTTTATCCCCCCCCCCTCTCTTTCACAAAAATTTAAACTTTTTCTTCTCTTCAAAAACATTTTGTACCACTCCCTATAAAATTTTAGCCCCCCCCCTTTTTTTTTAAATTTTTTTACCCTGCCCTCAATTTTTTTTGCTTTTCCTCCCTTCGCACCCCTTCTCATACAAAAATTTCTTCTACCACCCACCCCTCTAAAAAAATCCCCCCCCTCCTTTCTGCCATTGTCACCCCTTTCTAACCTAAAATTGGCCAAGTCGGATCTGCTTATAATTATACCTAAACCAATGCCTTATACTCTATTTCAGGCCGCTTGTGAACAAGTTGTAGACAAATCCATTTGCCAGTATGTGGAACAGATAGCCAAAAAGGAAATTGAACATCTCTTTGACATTATCGTGAACCAAGAGAAAGCCATCGTTCCGGAAACCTTGTGCAAACATCTACGCTTGTGTCAGTGAGATTGACTTATGTTAACAATAAATGAATTTTTAAATTTAGTTTTTAATTAGCCAGAAGTTGTCCAGCCCTGGCCCTTGCCCTAGCCCAGAGCCCTAGCCCAGAGCCCTAGCCCAGAGCCCTAGCCCAGAGCCCTAGCCCAGAGCCCTAGCCCAGAGTCCTAGCCCAGAGCCCTAGCCCAGAGCCCTAGCCCAGAGCCCTAGCCCAGAGCCCTAGCCCAGAGCCCTAGCCCAGAGCCCTAGCCCAGAGCCCTAGCCCAGAGCCCTAGCCCAGAGCCCTAGCCCAGAGCCCTAGCCCAGAGCCCTAGCCCAGAGCCCTAGCCCAGAGCCCTAGCCCAGAGCCCTAGCCCAGAGCCCTAGCCCAGAGCCCTAGCCCAGAGCCCTAGCCCAGAGCCCTAACTTAGAGCCTTAGCCCGGAGCCTTAGCCCACAGCTCTTGCCCTTGCCCTTGCCTTGGCCTTGGCCTTGCCCTGGCCTTGCCCTGGCCTTGCCCTGGCCTTGCCCTGGCCTTGCCCTGGCCTTGCCCTGGCCTTGCCCTGGCCTTGCCCTGGCCTTGCCCTGGCCTTGCCCTGGCCTTGCCCTGGCCTTGCCCTAGCCTTGCCCTGGCCTTGCCCTAGCTTTGCCTTGGCTATGTCAAAACAAAAGTTGTAAACAATATATCATTTTTACAAAAAAAATTTTTTAATTTAACAAATATGAATAGTGTGACAAAACTCTTTCGGGCCAACACCGCTTTCTTTTTTAATAACATAGTCTATTAAAACGTGAATTTCTCCTTCGAGAAAATCAGAACAATAGGCATCAAAACGTTCTCCAAATTCAGCGTTACATGCTTTCTGAAAATGCCATTTTTATAAAACGAACCCTACCCTACCCTACCCTACCCTACCCTACTCTACCCTATTCTACCGTATCCTATCCTACCCCATTGTGCGTTAAACCACCCTGCTTTGCTTTACCGTGTCCCGTTATTCCCTGCCCTGTCTTGCTTTATCCTACCATACCTTACAATCCCCGTCCTGCCCTGCCGTACCCTACTGTATCTTAAAATACCCTGACATGCCGTTTCTGTCCATACCTTACTCTAAACTACTTTATTGTACTCTACTATACTCTATTTTACCTTAACCTACCCCACTTTGCCTTTCCGTATCTTACCCTACTTTACCCTTTCCTATCTTAACTTAAATTAACCTATCGTACTCAACTTTATTCTATTCTACTGTACCCTACCTTACCCTACCTTTCTTTACCTTACCATACGCTAACTTAACTTACTCTACTCTACCCTACTTTCTGTGATCTTTATTGTCAATCACAATGCTTACCACCACAATTTCCATCATCTTCTCTTCTGTCAGATAGACGAAATGACTAGCTTCATTTCGAATAATGGCAATGATTTCTTGACAAAGCACACAAATATTGACATTCGGTTCATTTTTAGGATACAAAGTGGAATTCCCATCAACTGCATGAGCTATTACTAACAATAAAGTGAAAATACCATAGTGAGAAGCCAGCGTTTTGTTTTATTTTTTGGTTGTAGTTAAAGCTATGGTAAAAATTAAAGTTAGTATTAGTGCCGACATAAACAACCCGCCATTTTTTTACAGTAAATTACAGAAAAAGTATGGCGGATTCTTTATGTCGGCATTTTATAAGTCCAAAACTAACAAAGAAAGTGTCCGACCTGTCCCGCTCTGAGTGACTTCAAACTTTTTACATAGTAAAATCATGTAAATATAAGGTCTTCCGCAAAGTACTAACACCAGGCTTGGACACAGGGCAGGGCATTGGCAAATTTCCATGCCATGCCCTGTGCCCTGCAATGCCCTGCCTGTATAGGGCATTTGACTTTCATGCCCTTGCCCTGCAGGGCATCAGGGCATTTACAGGGTATTTACAGGGCATTTGGGTATATTTAGGCGGACGCCTCCGCCGAGTAGTCGATAATCGGCGGACGCCATAACTTGGTTAGTTTAGCAGCTAGAAACATGTAGTTAAGTGCAAAAGTTGTTATCTGTTATAATCTACACGTTAAGGCAGTAATTTATGTTTTTGAAAGCAATATTTTTATCGACCGGTCGATAATTAACAAATATTTAATTTGTACAAAAAACAACGTTTTTTACTAAGAATTGTGCCTAACGTAATTTCTGTCCCACTTAGAACAAAAGAGCGATAAGAATATATATAAAATTTGCAATTAAAATATACTAAAAATTATCAACCGGTCGATAACAATACTACTTTTAAAATCTTAAAACTATGCTCTTATCTGTAGCCTATGACATATAATAACCTCTGAATTTAACTACATATTTATAGCTACTAAACTAAATAAGTTATGGCGTCCGCTGATTATCGACCGCTCGGCGGAGGCGTCCGTTAAAACTTACCAGGGCACAAACAGGGCATTTGCAGGGTAATGCAGGGCATATGCTATGCCCTTCCTTGTTCCAAGCTATACCATGCCCTACCATGCCCTGTAAAAAATTTTTAAAACATGCCCTATACCATGCCCTACCATGCCCTGTTACAGGGCATGGTACAGGGCACTCTGCCCTGCGTCCAAGCCTGACTAACACGCACTTTCCAGGAAATCTCAAGAAAATCAAGATCAAAAAACTATGTTTTGAATTTCCCGCCAAATTGGCATTGTGTTTCAAGCTTATAACTTTCTCATTTATTGATTTTTAAACATTTTTGTTTAATATACTAGTAGAATACCTTTAAATAGAGCTACATTATTAAATTTGTAAGCATAGCTTGTCTCGAAAGTTGAAAAAAGTGCTTGAAACACAATGCCAAGTTTGCCACATTGGCGGAAAACCCAAATAATTTAAATTTAAAACTCAAAAGGACAAGCTAAAATTTTTTATGGGTACTATTGGTGATACGAGGAATTCATATAAAACGTTTCAGCCGATTCTGAGCGGGGCAGGTCGTTTACGTTTCCGTTATACAGTTAGACTACGGTTAGGCTAGTAATGTAAAATGTAAAAATGTGAAAAAATTTATTTTTTAAACAAAAATTTTTAAAAAATGATTAAAATGTTGTTAAAAATGTAATTCAACACATTCTAATTAGGTGACAAATGGCTTTGGGAACGATTTTCTTCTCTTGTTTAACGATAAAATCCTATATCTTGTTGATGATTGCCTTTGAGTGTTTGTCAGTAAAGTTGCAAATGAATTGAAGCTTCTTCGGAGTTGTTTTTAAGCAGATTTTCTGAAAATTCATAATTTAAAAAATTTAAAAATAAAACTTTTTGGAACATAGTGCAAGGTAAAGTAAAGCAAGGTATTGTAAGACAAAGTAATGCAAAGCAAGGTAATGTAGGAAAAGATAATGTAGAATAAGATAACATAAAGCAGATGTCGGGCGGGTAACGTAAATCAATGTAAACGAAGGTAGGGTAGGCAAGTTTAAAGTATAGCTAGTACTGGGGCTAGGACTTTGGGCTAGGGCTCTGGGCTAGGGCTAGGGCTAGGGCTAGGGCTAGGGCTAGGGCTAGGGCTAGGGCTAGGGCTAGGGCTAGGGCTCTGGGCTAGGGCTCTGGGCTAGGGCTCTGGGCTAGGGCTCTGGGCTAGGGCTCTGGGCTAGGGCTCTGGGCTAGGGCTCTGGGCTAGGGCTCTGGGCTAGGGCTCTGGGCTAGGGCTCTGGGCTAGGGCTCTGGGCTAGGGCTCTGGGCTAGGGCTCTGGGCTAGGGCTCTGGGCTAGGGCTCTGGGCTAGGGCTCTGGGCTAGGGCTCTGGGCTAGGGCTCTGGGCTAGGGCTCTGGGCTAGGGCTCTGGGCTAGGGCTCTGGGCTAGGGCTCTGGGCTAGGGCTCTGGGCTAGGGCTCTGGGCTAGGGCTCTGGGCTAGGGCTCTGGGCTAGGGCTCTGGGCTAGGGCTCTGGGCTAGGGCTCTGGGCTAGGGCTCTGGGCTAGGGCTCTGGGCTAGGGCTCTGGGCTAGGGCTCTGGGCTAGGGCTCTGGGCTAGGGCTCTGGGCTAGGGCTCTTGACTAAGGCTCTGGGCAGGGCATGGCAATATAGTGCTACAGTAGGGCTTTAAAGTTAAAAAATTAATACTAATTTTACATACGTTCAAGATGCTTTCAATTTCCTCTACAGTAACTTTGTTTACATCATTACCGTACTTGACCAGATCTTCAAAAAGTAATTTACACCAGTCACACAAGCTAGAATTCAAGAAAAATTTATTCTCTTCTTCAACTAGTTCCAGGTAATGAACATCAGTCGTAGGTACAGTGGAGGCTGATACTACAGTAGCCAGTAGGATGATTACTGTAGCTTTAATCATGGTAAATCAACTTATCAAAACTATCAAAATTTTTTAAGAAATCAAAAATTGACAAAAATTCTAAGCTTTTCTAGCCCGTTTTATACTGCATTTATAGCCGGAAGGTATGTTGTAGTCTAGCTGAAATGGCCTCAAGAACAATAGGCTACTATAATATGTTGTTAATGTCAAGTATTTTCGACCGGATAACATGTGATAGATGACTTCAGAAGAATTTGCTGTTTAGTGTTTAGAAGAGGCTTAGCATTGTTTTAAAATGGCAGTTAACGTATCAAATGATGTACTTTTAAAAAGCTTTAAAATCATGTGGTTACTGTAGACAAAGGCTTGAAATATCATTACAGTACTATATAAACAGGCTGTTTAGAACAGATTTAACATTAGTTTAAGTTAAAGTTATACTTTAGGCAAGTAAAAGCTTATTTTGAATCGTTATACTACAGTAAACTTCAATTTGTCATTCTACAGTACACTCCATTTGTCATACTACAGTAAGCTTCTATTTGTCAGACTACAGTACACTCCATTTTGTCATATTACAATATGACAAAGCTTACTGTAGCTTTCTTGTTTATCATAGTAACTACTGTGGTAGCTCCACCACCCCCAGAAGAACTACTACTGAAACGAAAGCATCTGATATGTAACTCTTGCAAAGCCGTTTTCAATGAATACAAGAACTACATTGAGAAAATTGGTGACGTTACTGAAGATGACATTATAGAGGATCTTGATGTAAGATATTAAGTTTTTTTTTTTGGTTTTTCAAGCAAAGCAAGGATAGTACGTGCTTAAAGAGTTGGCCAATGCACAGTTTGACTAAGCAAGAAAGAAATAGAGATAGAGCCTGAGCCAGGGCCTAAGCCCGAGCCTGAGCCTGAGCCTGAAACTAAGCCTAAATCAAAGCTTGAGCCTGAGGTTGAGCCTGAGCTTGAGCCTGAGCCTGAGCTTGAGTCTGAGACTGAGCCTAAGCCAGAGCCAAAGACAGAACCAGAACCAGAGCCAAGGCCAAAGACAAAACCAGAACTAGAACTAGAGCCTATGCCTAAGCTTAGAGCCTAGAGCCTAGAGCCTAAAACCTAAGCCTAAGCCTAAGCTTAAACCTAACCCTAAGCCTAAGCCTAAGCCTAAGCCTAAGCCTAAGCCTAAGCCTAAGCCTAAGCCTAAGCCTATGCTTAACAAGGAAAGGTCCCCATCTTGGACTGGTGAAAAACTGGTACATACAAATTGTAGAGCATGGTCAAATTAGTCAAAAACCGAAAAAAAATTTACCCCTCGTGGGGGTTTTTTAAAAAATTTTATTACGTCGAAGTTTAAAAACCTTTAATTGCGCTCGCGCTAGACTTGGAAAAGAAGAGGAGAGAGTTCCGTGATGCAATAGCGCAGAGGTTGCGCTCTCGACTAACGCTCAAAGCCTGTTGGTTCGGGCCGCGTCGGGGGCACACTCTTTTGTGCTTAAATTAAAATTTTTAAAATAAAAAAATTATTTTTTATACTAATTTTGTTGTTTTTACAATTTGTTCGTTCTATTATTCTTTAAATAGTAATTTTATTTTATTTTTGTTTGTAATAATAGAGAAGTTTTGTCCTGAGGTGATCTCAACGTGCCTTACGAGCTGGTGGATAAGTATGTGGTTTTAGGAATCGAATAATGGCCGGAAGAAAACGTATAAACAGATGGAAACGAAATTCGAACGACGAATCGATTGGTAAAAAAACATCCGGTCGATTGTATCGTTATGTTGAGCTGCGAAATCAAGAGAATCTGGAGACTTATAAGAGTTTACTTGCTGATAAAATGATTTTTGAGAAGTTCAGAGCTATTTGATTGTGCTTTTAGGTAATTATGCTAAATAAATAGAATTGTAAGTATAATAATACCATTTAAATTATATTAAAAACAGGCTTAATAAATAGAGAAATCGATTTTTTAATGTAAACAAAACAAAAGTTGACCAAAAAAAAAAACAATTTTTTATTTTTAAAAATTTTAATTCAGGGACAAAAGGGTGTGCTCCCGGCACGACTCGAACCGACGTGCTTCGAGCGTTAGCCGAGAGCGCAACCACTGCGCCATTGCAGCACGGCACTCCCCTCTTCTTTTCTGAGTCTAGCGCGAGCGCAATTAACATTTTAAACTTCGACGTAATAAAATTTTTTAAAAAACCCCCACGAGGGGTAAATTTTTTTTCGGTTTTTGACTAATTTGACCATGCTCTACAACTTGTATGTACCAGTTTTTCACCAGTCCAATGCGCGGTGGGGACCTTTCCTTGTAAGCCTAAACCTAAGCTACGGCTAAGGCTGAAGTGGCAATATAAAGTAACAAATATATGTTTAAGGAGTGTGCAAAAAAGCGATTGCTGGTTGGATCTGTGACTACGCTATTGATCCAATCATTAAAACTAGTGTAACAACCTTGGTCGACTTTATTAGAGATCAACAAGAAATCAATCCGGAGAAAGTTTGTCATTTCCTTAAACTGTGCAAAGCTAAATCGATTTTGTAATTTAAAAAATTTTAATTTGATAAATAAACTTTTTGTAAAGAAAGTCCTTACAATGTTTTGTTTTGTAAAGAAAGTTTTTGCCTTTTTTGTTTTGTAAACAAAGTTCTTGATATTTGATGTTTCATAAAGAAAGTCCTTGTCATTTTATAGTTTGTAAAGAAAGTTTTTCCTATTTTTTGTTTTGTAAAGGAAGTTCTTGCCATTTCTTGTTTTGTAAAGAAAGTTCTTGCCAATTCGTTTGAAAATCCATTAAAAACATGGCTGCGCAGACTGTGGGTGACAAGTTATACGATGAATATGATTTTCTTGCTTTCAAATTGAAAAAAAATCTTTTTATTGCAGTAAACTCATCAACATACCATTTGTTTTAATTTAGGTAATACAAGAATTCAAAACTATACATTACGAATGTGCACTAGAATTAAAGTGTCGTCGACCAGTCAAATAAGTCATGCCGTCAGCATAACTCTCCGGCATAACCAATGGCACCGGCTTATCAGCCCTGAAGGTAAATTGGAAAGTGTTGGTCGTTTCCGACTCTCCAGACTCAACATCAACCACCTGAGCATTCACTGCCATCTGCATGAACGAGTCGGTCGAGTAACTGACTTGAGAGTTGAGTAGGAGTAGCGATCCGATCTCAACTCCCTTTTTGAAGACAATCGAATCGACTGCCATCACTTCTGGTCGACATTTTCTGAAAATGACAAAATTTTAGTAAAATCTAGGCCTGACTTTTAGGATGGGGTAGATTTTTAGAGTAAGGCAAGGGCAGATATTTTAAGTTAGGGTAGAAACAAGTTTTTAGGGTGCAGTAGGAGTAGATTTTGTAAAATAGGGTAGGGTTAGATTTTCTAGGGCGGAGTAGATTTTTACGGCGGGGTAGATTTTTTAGGGCAAGGTAGATTTTTTAAGACGAGCCAAATTTTTTAAGGCGGGGCAAACTTTTTTAGGGAAATGTAGATTTTTTAAGGCAAGGTAGATTTTTTAAAATAGGGTAGATTTTTAGGGTAGAGTACGTTTGTGAGAAACAGAGGGTAGATTTGTGGGCTTTTCAAGGCGGGGTAGATTTTTTAAAACGGCAAGGGCAAGGGCAAGGGCAAGGGCAAGTGCAAGGGCAAGGGCAAGGGCAAGGACAAGGGCTCTGGGCTAGGGCTCTGGGCTAGGGCTCTGGGCTAGGGCTCTGGGCTAGGGCTCTGGGCTAGGGCTCTGGGCTAGGGCTCTGGGCTAGGGCTCTGGGCTAGGGCTCTGGGCTAGGGCTCTGGGCTAGGGCTCTGGGCTAGGGCTCTGGGCTAGGGCTCTAGGCTAAGGCTCTGGGCTAAGGCTCTGGGCTAAGGCTCTGGGCTAGGGCACTGAGCAAGGGCTATGGGCTAGGGCTCTGGGCTTGGGCTAGGGCTAGGGCTAGGGCTCTGGGCTAGGGCTCTGGGCTAGGGCTCTGGGCTAGGGCTCTGGGCTAGGGCTCTGGGCTAGGGCTCTGGGCTAGGGCTCTGGGCTAGGGCTCTGGGCTAGGGCTCTGGGCTAGGGCTCTGGGCTAGGGCTCTGGGCTAGGGCTCTGGGCTAGGGCTCTGGGCTAGGGCTCTGGGCTAGGGCTCTGGGCTAGGGCTCTGGGCTAGGGCTCTGGACTAGGGCTCTAGGCTAAGGCTCTGGGCTAAGGCTCTGGGCTAGGGCACTGAGCAAGGGCTATGGGCTAGGGCTCTGGGCTAGGGCTCTGGGCTAGGGCTCTGGGCTTGAAGTAGCAATTAATTTTTTAAAAACTCACGAAAAGATGGCAGCATTAGCGAAAGCCGTTTCGAAGGCCGTTCTCATCAGATATCCACCAAAGATTTTGCCATACATATTCCTTTTGACCGGGAAACAAACAACCAAGTTTTCCAGTTTCGACTCGTTCATCCATTTGTAGTTACTCGGTAATCGTCTTGTCATGTTCTTGTTGTCCATGGATTGCAGGAAAAGGTCGTGCAGCATAGCACGTTCGATTTCTGTTGGAGGATTCTTGAGCAGAGAGTTTTCTTCTCGATGCATTCGAACTTGACGGGCGTCTAAAACAATTTTTTTGTATTTTAGTTATAAAAAGTACTTAAAAATTCAAAAAAAGGGCATATAAGATCAAAAACTCAAAAACATGTTTCATCGTATAACATGTCACCCGCAGCCTGCAATTTCATTTTTTCGCTTTTAAAGCCAGGTATAATGCTTTTATAGTAAGAAATACAAACTCACGTTCAGCTTTTTCAAACCATCGCTTATCATCCTCCGTTTCAATAGCTAATGGTACATTTGGTACCGCTTTTCGACCATTCGGCTCTAATGTCACCATTACAAATCTGGCTGTTAGGACGTCCCTAAAAAGTGAATTTTTGAGGTTTTTTAAAATTATTTTTTGATTTTACTGTAGTTTTTAAAAAGATTTAAGAGTTGGGTTTTGTAAAATACGACTAAACGTATTGTAGATGCCAATGTTACAGTAAGAATATTAATTGGAAAAGATGACAATTTAGTGATGAGATGACATTTTTTACAACATGGGCGTTAAGATATTGTAGATTAAGCCTAAAAGACTTACCTATAATCATCTTCCGAGTATTTTTGACTCAAATGCATAGTAATTTCCATTGATGATCGGCCGACCCAAGTTACCATGCCAGTCATGATAATGTCCAAGTCGGATCTGATTCGCTTTTCTTGGAGGTCTTAAAGCAATAACTATGTGAGATAAGGTAACAACAATATGTGATAAACTATTAAAGATCTGTTTAGAGTTTCTCTTGTAGATCTTACAGTAACAACTATATCCAATACAGTATACCTCTTGAATACACAGTAAATAAAACTTACTAATTTTGTCAACACAAGCAGTAACAGCGTGGAAAGGAGGATGATTTGGAATACCCATGCCAACATCTGGGCCTTGGTTGTGCTTGTACGCTAGCCAGACTAAAATTATTTGCCTTAAGTCTTGTACGTCTAGATACTACAAGGTCTACGCTATTTACATTCTAAAATTTGCTTTGATGCTATTGAAACTGTGAGTGCTACAACGCAAAAATGCTGACAAAACCATATGTAAAAGCACAAAAAAACAAAGACTGCCATTCCTCATATTACCCACCAGCAAAAGTATCCAGATCCTCCAAGATCTTCCCAAACCTAATCAACTTGTTCTTCCCATGATAATTGATCCTCAAGTTCGGATCTTGTTTAAGAGGGATGATACAAGCCGTAGCTGAAGCACTCGGCGGGTGTGAGATCTGAACATCTCGTGGTACAACTTTGGTTGAGTCTTGTGCTGCTACATGACTAAAGATGATGTCGTTGATTTGGCGGATATTCATCAAAGGAGCGCTGTTCAATGGGTCGTGGATTTGCTTTGCCATAGCGTGAGCAAAACGCAAAGAGCTCTTGGCTAGATGCTTGATCGTCATGGTTGGGACGGTTGTGGGTTCTTGTAGAGGGGTTTGTGGGCAAAACTCAGCTCAGTAGTTGATAACACTGAGTGTAATAGTAGATACTCGTAGATTAGCTTGTGAGCAACACTCAACGTAGTAGGTAGATAATGGTATATTGGTTCGTTAACGAAACTCAGCGTAGTAACGGAGAACAAAGTAGTAGCACACAGCAGGTCGGTAGCTGAAAGCTGTCGTTGTTTTATATGTTATGGGTAGTAACCTTCTGGGGCAGTCCTGTTTCTAACAGTAAGCTTAACGTCGTTTCTCCAAAGTTAACCAACGTTGCCTCAAAGAATGATTTATTAAGTTAGCACGATATATTGTCCGACGTTGCTTCAAAGTAAATGATTCAGTATAACGTTGCCTCAAAGTATGATTTAGCACAATATCCTTAGACTTTTTAGGTATTCAGTTTGAGTAGGAAAAGCCTTCTACCGCCGTTGCAACAATCAAATTATCCTTCTGAATGGCAGTGAATCCAAATTTACCTTCCACAAGTCACTATGGTAAAAATCTTCTTCCACTGCCAAGTTACGTAGCCTTCTGAAAGAAATCACGCTATTATGTATTACTATCAAAAACACGTAGGCTACTTTATATACCATCAAAAACGTGTAGGCTACTTTACACGCTTCTTTGAGACATTCTTTGAACAGTTTCGACATTGATCTCCGAGTTTTCACGTAGCAAAAAAAACGAAAAAGAAATATGTTTATAGAGTTAAAACAACGTTCTTTGAGTCTATGCTTTGGAGAGTAAGATCAGCTGGGTCGGAGTTCTTTGTGCATTAAAATAATAGTGATAAATAGAGCAAAAAATTTTTAATTTTGGGGGAGGTTTTACAAACTGCAAAGTACTTATAAATGAGGTTATAAAATGAAAGTTGCTTTAACAATCGCGCTTGAGAGTGACCGTCAATTTTAAGCTAAAATTTAAAAATTGTAAAGGTGCAAACATTGAAAACTACCTTTCTTACAGACAGCACTAACTTTTACTTCATCACTATTATTAACATAACTAAAGGTAAATGCTACACAAAGGCAGATTTAGTAAAAAAAAGTCATCACCACTATGGGCGGGCGGGGACTTTTGGTCTGAGGGTGGGGGGTCAAAAAAATTTTTTCAAAAAAATCTACGGGGGACCACGTTCAACTTTTTTCGCAAATTTTTTTCAGGGGGGGGAGGCAGGTTAAATATTTTTCTTGTGAATACACAAGATAATACTCTTCTTTTAAATTCTTTTTCTTTTAAACCTATAAAGAGGCTGGGGTGGCCTTGGCTTGGGCTCTAAGCTTTCGGCCCCGGCCTTTAAGCCTCAACCATTGGGCCGCGGCCTTTGGGCCCGAGCCTTTGGGCCCACTTCTGCCTGTCTAGCCTCCCATTTCTGCCATTCTAGTCTTTTTCGAACTTGCTTTGGCACGGCCGGGCCTAGTGGGTCTCTTTTCAAGTCTACTCTTGTCACTACTAGTAATGTAACTGAAACTAAGTGCTACACTAAGGGCGAACAGTAACAGGATTTTTACACTACTAAACCAAAGTCATTACACTACTGAAACAAAGGCATTACACTACTATAAAACATATAAGTAACAACCAAAACGCTACAACAATCTAATCAAAACCGAAATTTTGGTTTTATTAAACTTCTTTTTGTTGTTTTATACTCTTTTTTCTGATGTAGGTGGGACCACATCGAACAGACTACGTCGCTGACTTTTAACTTTTGCACAAAAAAAGAAACAAGAATGTTAGACCAACGGTCATTCCTTTTTAAACTACCGTATGTGCCGTTCGTTTTCATGTGAACGTTCTCATGCGTTCTATAACAACTGGCATCGGGTTGTTTTGAAATTTGTGAAGTTCACGTGAAAAGGAAGCGGTAGGCAAGTGATATGAAAGTTACTTTAAGACGATTTATGAGAGGTTTTGAAGGGAGGTAAGAAAACAATGATAATGTATACTGTTAGAGGATTGTTTTGAAAAAGATACTGTAAAAAATTGTGAAGGTTATGATGACATGAAGAGCTCAATAATGTTAATTTAAAATGACAGAAACAACAATGAGCAGTGTAGGCCGGCCTTGAACTAACTATGAAACGGGGCTTGAAAAGTAGGCCCGGGCCAAAAAAAATATTAATTTTGTAAAACTTGCCGGGCCAAGCCCCACCTAGAATTTTTTCGACCATACCGGGCTGCCCTGAAGTAACAATGAAAACAAGCCGTGTCTAACCTAAACGTTGGGCTCGGTCACCTCGTCCTGGGGAGAACGAATGGATAGAGAGGAATCAACCCAATGTGGCCGAGAAGCTAATAGGTTAGTCGGGAGTACAAAAGGCGATAAGTTCGAGTTCCGCTGGTTTCGGTTTGGCGGTTCGCCATTATGACAAGGAGTTTTGGCTAGCCAAACAATATTTTAATTAAAAAATACTTTTTTAGTCATAATTTATGTTTTTAGTTACTTTTAGAAAAAAATATTTATCAAAAAATATCATTTTTTGAATTTCAAAGCTATACCTTTCAGCCAGATAAGAATATTGATCTTACTGTAACTCGCTAGCCAACGTCATTTAGCAGTTTTTGAAAATAGTTATCTTGGTAACTTTTTATGCTCTTTCATCCTATATAGGCCTTGTTTTAAATACAAAATTTTTTAAAATTTGTGAAACGGTCCGTTTTGTGATAAAAACAAAAATTAAAAAAAAAACGGTCTGAAATCAGATAAAACAATAAAAACTAAATACGATAGTAACAAAACACGTCACTTTAAAATAAATTTAAAATTTTTTGAAAATTTTGTGAAACAGTCCGTTCTACGAAAAACGCAAATTTTTTAAAAAAATTTAGCTAAACTCCGATAAAACGATTAAAAACTAAATACGATAGTAACAAAACACATCACTTTTACAACTGATCTCTGTCTGACCAACCCCCAATCAGACGTTGCATCAGCTCGAATTTTCGAAATTTCTCGGAAAATTCGCACTTCGAACTTTGTCCCCGTCACAAGTTTAATTCAAACCGCTTCGAAAAACTCCAGTAAACTATTTAAAACTTATCGTAAGCTGATGATAATTGAAACTTATCGCCTTTTGTTTGTTGATGAGGCACATGAAAAGCAGTTGATATATTGTGGTAGGTATTTTAGGAACAAGCCTGTTCACAAAAAGAGGTCAGAAGTTTAATGTCTTGAATGTTGAGGGATAAAAATAACAAATGGACACTACTTTTGGTGCATGGCCTGGATTTGCAAAAAATTTAGTTCCTATATTGAAAAATGGCAAGAACTTTTTTTACAAAATAAAAATTGGCAAGAACTTTCTTTACAAAACAAAAAATGGCAAGAACTTTCTTTACAAAATAAAAAATGACAAGAACTTTCTTTACAAAACAAAAATTGGCAAGAACTTTCTTTACAAAACATAATGGCAAGAATTTTCTTTACTAACCTTTTTTAATAAAACTTTATACATCGTATAACTTGTGCAACCGCAGTCTGCAGATCTAGTTGAGGTTTTAAAACGAAAATTATAACTTTGTAAACAAAGTTCTTGCCATTTTAGTCATTTTTTGTTTTGTAAACTAGGCTCTTGCTATTTACCAAAGCTATCGTATAACATGTCCCCCGCAGCCTGCAGACCGTTTTTAGATTTTAAAACGGAAATTTTAGAGTTTGTAAATAAAGTTCTTGCCATTTTTTGCTTTGTAAAGAAAGTTCTTGCATTTTTCTTCAGTGTAAACAAACTTTTTGTATTTTTCGAAATTCAACGAGTAATTGGTTGTTAATTGCGTTTTTATTTACTTTTACAACTTTTTTCGCCGATAAAACGTTTCTCGCCATATAATTCTTGCAGCCGACTGTCAGCTGACCATGGGGTTACAATTTACACTTTTTTAGGTAATAACTGTTCGAAAAATGCACTTTCAAGATTTTTTTGGGTTTTAGATAATAAAATTGTACTAAAATAACATTTCTATGGCTTTGGTACTATATAGTACTAGTGGTGCTGATGGTACTATTTAGTACCAAAAAAAATCAAATTTGGGTATTTTTAATTTTTTGTAGTATTAATAAGCTTATACTTTGAACATTTCTTCTTAAAATTTTCTTGGTACTATATAGTATGAGGAGTACTGAATAGTACTAACAAGTTTTAATATTGGTTATTATAATATTGTATAGTACTAAAACATTATTTTTTTACAAATTGATTTTTTTTGTTTTGATGCTATATAGTACTATCAGTACGTACTAAATTACACTTTTAGTAAACTTTTCCAAAATTATTACTTTTATTATTAAAATCATATTGTTAGTACTATTGATACCGATCAGTACAATACAATTTCAAAGTATCATGTTTTGTCACGACTTAGTACTACTAGTACTACTAACGCCAAGTTGCAATGCTACCAGTACCACTAACGCCGAGTATAGCCAGGGCCAGTACGAGGTGGTGGACAATGGTCGCAGCTTCCTGGGTTGCCAGGTGGTCCCTTTGGTCCAGGTGGTCCATGTGGTCCAGGCAGACCGTCCGCTCCCTTCTCTCCAGCATCTCCAGGCGGTCCTGGTGGACCCGGTTTGCCTGGTTCTCCGTCGCGACCAGATGGTCCTGGTGGACCTTGTGGTCCTGGCGGGCCGGGTGGTCCAGGTGGACCTGGTGGTGCACCGTTGATGACTTTTCCTGGCTCTCCTGGTGGTCCCTTGTCTCCTGGCTGGCCTGGTGGTCCTTGTGGCCCCTGAGGTCCGGGTGGACCGGGCAGACCTGGTGTACCATCACGGCCTGGGGCTCCTGGCTCTCCTGGTGGTCCGGGCAAACCTTTTGGTCCTGGTGGTCCAGGTGGACCGGGTGGGCCGGGTGGACACTTTTGGCATGGTGGTTTAGGGGGTGGGCCAGGCAATAGTACACCATCACGACCTGGTGGGCCTGGGTTTCCTGGTCTTCCTGGTGCACCTGGACGACCATCACGTCCTGGTGGGCCGGGTGGCCCTGGTGGGCCAACTTGGCATGAACAACACGATCCACCTTGTGGGTTACCGTTGGTTCCTGGGGCTGCGCCTAGACCGGCCAGTTGATGTGCGTCGTAGGTTTGACGTTTGGTACGGTCGGCGGTGGAGATGGTAGGAATACCTGAGGCTGATTGGATTTGTACCATTTCTTTCCACATGTCGCGGGAGCGGGTCTGAAAATTTTAAAAAATTTTTTTAAATTTTAGTTTTAAAAATTTCAAAAAATTCAAATTTCAACCCCCTTACTTTACAAAAGTCGACCTCATTCTGCATGTAAGACTGAACACTCTGCACATGATTGTACACAATTGGCAATGTCACAGCACATGCCAACACACTAATAGTGGCAAAGGCCACAGCGGCGAAAGCCACGTACTTCAGCGACCGCCGAGGCTTGCGCGGCTCATCCGCCGGCAATTCCGTCACCTGCATCCCTATCTGAAGTCGAATAGATGACTTTTCTGGTTTATATACGAAGACTTAATCTCGGTTTGATTAGGTATGGGATGATAAAACGGATCGTGATAAAAAAGGCGGATGAAATCGAAAAAATGAAAATTAGGTCAGGTTTCGGAAATGTTAGATAATGGATAATATAAATGGTTGTAACTTTTTGGATAGCCGACTAAATTTAACATTTTTTGACAAAAATGTTCAATATGATCTTTGCTTGTGTTAGTTAAAAACGAGTTTGTAAAAAATACAATGATTTAAAAGTTCTGAATTAAAATACAAGAGGTACCAATACTAGAGGCCATAGATAATATAAATGGTTGTAACTTTTTGGATAGAAGACTAAATGTAAAATGCTTTGACAAAAGTGTTGAATATTATCTTTATCCTTGGTATGTAAAAACGTTTTTGTAAAAGAAACAACAATATTAGAGTTCTGAGTCAAAAAACTGAGGTAACGCAACTAGCGGCCATGGATAATATAAAAACCCGTAACTTCTTATAAAATGGCTTTAATGTAAAATCCGTTGACAAAAATGTTGAAAATGATCTTTACTTTTGTTATCTATAACCTTTTTTAAAAACGAAATACTAATTTTAGAGTTCTGATTCAAAATCATGAGGTGTAACAATGAGGCAACCATGAATAATATAAAGCACCATAACTTTTTAAAAAATCTCTTAAATCTGAAATCCTTTATCAAAAATGTTGGAAATGATCTTTACTTTCATAATATGAACCGATTTTTGCAAAAAGTTTCAAAATTTTACAATAATCAGCTGAAAAACGACAGATAGCACAAGGAGGTGCCATGGATAATATAAATTAACCCAAAATCAAAATAATTCAGAATTCTCAAACAGAATTAAAGAAAATGCAACAGAAATCCAATATGTTTACAAAAATTTACAAAATGAATGTAGATACGACGATTATGAACCGAAAGATCTTCCGTTATGTTCGTCTCTAATTGACCCAAATCTCGGGAAATCTTAATGAAACGATCGCGAAAACGAATGTTTTAAGGTCAATGAGATTTATAAACTCTTCTGAATGTATACTGGATAAAATGCACGTTCAAAATTGTTAAAATTTACATTTTATTGGGCTTAAAATCGCATTGAAGTTGATAAAGCAAAGTAACAGAGAATTGATGAAAAACAAAAACTTTTAACAATTAATTTTTATAATTAAATACCTTTGTTTTTAATCAAATATTGTAAATGATATTTATATAGCCTTATGAACGTACAATATTTAAATTACAGCTACTTGCTCAATTTACTATTATGTATGATAAGTCCCGACACGATTTATTTGGCTGCTAAAATTGTGTGGCGTTCCGCTGCAAGAATTAATCCTCTAAAAAAATTTAACATTATTATTGTTTTTACAGCCATTCTATTAGTTTACCGTGAAAATAAGGTTTATTACGATACGTTATAGTAATAGATACATTTTGTCATTTAAACTTTGTCATATTTTAATGATAGAATGTTCAGATCGCTTCAAAGAATGGCAGCAGTTGCAGCGGAAGGTCCGATGGCCAAACATATCCGTGAAAAATTGAGTGCCAACTTTAATGTAAGTACTTTGAATTCTTGTTTTTGTTATTTTAGGTAACAGAAAAAGGTTTTCTTTGATTTTTGAAACGTTTTTTGTAATTCTTATCGAATGAGTTAAAATATGAGCTTTGATAGCTTTAGCTACCTATTACAATATAAAACGTGTCTTTTAATGAATCTATTCTTTTAGCCAGCTCATCTAGAAGTAGAATGTGAAAGTCAGTTGCATAATGTACCGAAAGGCGTGGAGATCCACTTCCGAGTTCAAATAGTATCGGATAAATTCGAAGGGCTATCAAAAATTCAGGTATGTTAATGTAGTTTTTGTTGTTTCTCTAAATTTAGGCCACTGATTGATTTCAAATTTTGTAAAAGCTTGAGAAGACATTGAAGAAGCTTATGAGTACAAGAATTTATAACACTGAATATTATTTCAGCGCCATCGACTGGTAAACAAGTGTTTAGCGGAGGAACTCGAATCAGACATCCACGCGTTACGAATCCAAGCCCTGGAGCCAAAAGAATACGACGGAAATAAGCAAGATGCTGCTCCAAAGTGCGGTGGTGGTCACGGATTGTAAATATAAACTATTAGCATTTAAAATTCCATTTTTTATGCAAAACCAGCTGTTCTAGGTAATCTTTGGGCAGTGTAATATCCGACTTTTGTTGCCGTTGGGGTATTTTTTATTTTGGGATATTATGGTTTTAATAGGTGATATGTAGAGATATCATTTGATGTATTGAGGGTATTTTTGGTTGTTTTTGTCCGATATTACACTAGTTTCAATTTTACATGTTATTTGTTATGTAAGTTGATTTTTGGCCATTAAACTTGTAAAAACTTGTGTTTTAATTAGTAGTTTGTGTCGTAAAAGGTGTAGCATGTAGTGTAGTACAATTTTAGATTGAAAAACTTTCAAAAATATTATCAACCAGTCGAAAAATTCAATTTTTTCGCTGAAAAATGGGAAAATTTTAGAAAATCTTGATAAAATTAGCTATAAAAGATTTATTTTGATATTTTAATCACGTATAATTGTTACTTTAAGATTGAAAACGGATTAAAAGTTACGAAAAGTCAGAATGTAACATTTTACCGTGGTAAAGCTTCGTAAGTCACGCAAATTTCTCATAAAAAACGGTCTTAATTAACTTGTTTCTCAAGGTTTTTTCGATTATTTTGTTTGGCCATTACATCTTGGCCATATTTACAAATGTTTCATTGCTTTATTACAGTAGAAGAGGCTTTTTTACTGTAAATGCAGGTATTTTAATTTAGTTTTTGTTAAAATGACAATAGAGACAAGTTCAATTTATACTGGGATTAGGTAGCGATTTTGGTAAAAGTTTAATTTTTTGAGTGTTTTGGGAGAGGATATGGCAATAACTTTGTTTACAGAGCAAAAAATAGCGAGAACTTTCTTTACAACACAAAAAATGGCAAGAACTTTCCTTCCAAACGAAAAAATTGCCTTTTTACAAGCCAGAAGCGGTCTGCAGGCTGCGGGTGACAAGTTATACGATGAAGCAGACTACTGTAGGGTAAAAAAGTATTTAAAAGGCAAAAACTTTGTTTCCAAAGGCTAAAAGGGGTTTTTATGTTTTAACGCAATAACTTTCTTTACAAAACGTATGTTTGCAAGAACTTTCTTTACAACTCAAAAAATGGCAAAAACTTTCTTCACAAGACAAAAAATTTAAATATTTTTTCTTATTGTTACCTAAAATGTTATTTTTAACTGCATGTAAATATTCGATTACCTCACGGATTTCACTGAATCTGAAGGATTACTTTTGGAAGATTTGCTTACGCACTTAATCACAGATTACATTGTGAGGGTGTAGCGGTCTACTCAGCTCTGTTACGTTGCCAGAAGGGGGTGGGATACGGTAAGGGGTGGGGGATTTGAAGATGTTTCGGCATTTAATATTAAAAATTAAGTTTGTAAAGAAAGTTCTTGCTATTTTTTCTTTTGTAAAGAAAGTTTTTGCATTGAAACTAGAAATGACCTTTTAGCCTTTGGAAACAAAGTTTTTGCCTTTCATAAACTTATTTTGCTCTATGATGGTTTCATCGTATAACTTGTCACCCGCAGCCTGCAGAGCGCTTCTAGCTTTTAAAAAGGCAATTTTTTCGTTTGTAAAGAAAGTTCTTGCCATTTTTGTTTTGTAAAGAAGTTCTTGCCATTTTTTGTTTGGTAAAGAAAGTTCCTGCTATTTTTTTTTGTAAAGAAAGTTCTTGCCATTTTTTGTTTTGTAAAGAAAGTTTTTGCTATTCTGTGTTTTGTAAAGAAAGTTCATGCCATTTTATGATTATTTCATAACATATTGTCTTTGTTATCATTCATATGTCAAACATCTTGTCTATATGTTAATATATTTACGTCCACAATGACTTACCAAGGTGTATTATAGTATACAAGTGGCTTAAGACGACATTTAAGGAAGAAACAAGACTGCTTACGACACACGATTATATACCTGCATATATTAACAGGGTTTTACCCAACAAATCTGATTAGTCGTGGACAATTATTCTTGAGTTTGTGACCGACCGGTTTGGAAGGAGGGGGGGGGGGGTAGGTTTGCTTAAAACTGAGGGTAGAGTGATGGAGGCTATGTGATAGTTACTTTCCCGAGTTGTGTTAGGAACGGCTGGAGGTAGGGGGAGGGGCTGAGATAAAAAAATAGTTTTAGGTGAGAGGGGGGGGTTAATTAAGAATAGTAATTTGATAGGTATACGGTATCTTATAGGATCGGGCAAGGTAGACTAGAAGAAGGTACCGTATGGTAGAGTAGGGATGATAGGTAGAGTAGAACTAAATACGGTAGGGCACGACAGAGGAAGGCAAAGACATAGCATGGTTGGGAAAGGTAGGGTAGGGTACGACAGGCTAACAGCGTAAGGAAAGGCTGTGGATGGCAGGGTAGAGTAGGGTAGGGTAGAACTAGATAAACAAGGGCACGACAGTTGAAAGGCGAGGGCACGGTAGGGAAGTGTATAATGGGGGCGGGCTTGGGCAGGTTAGGAGTAGGGGTAGGGTCGAGTAGAGTAGAAAAGGCAAGGGTAGGGAAGGGCAGGCCAAAGCAGCTCAGGGTAGGATAAGGTAGAGTAGGGCAGGGTAGCGTAAAGTAGGGTAGGGTACAAGGTTGTGTAAGGCAAGTTCATGAGTATGAGAAAAGGTCTGTAAATACAATTATATACTCAATAACATGTACTTTACGTTGCTGTAAGCAGTAAAAATGGCTGATTGTGTACTTTAATTTACAGAATTGTATACTGTTTTTCAGATTCCAAAAATGCCAATTAAGAATGTGGCAATAGACAAGACAGACGAGCTTTTGTTCAACATCTTACTACTATTGGAAGTGGTTGGCTATGTCATTCACTTTATTTTGGGCTGTTACTTTGTGTGGAGGATCAAAAACATTACACTGATTCATGCCAACCTGAGAATTGTCCTTGTGAGTTAAAAAATATTTATAAAAATTTAAATTTTTTGCACGGTGCAAGCTATTTTGGGTTGCACAGTGCAAAAATATTTGGGTTGTACAGTACATTAAATTTTAATTTTTTTTTTTCAATTTTAGGGCAGTTAGATTAAAATACGTTTTAATAGCTTTATATTAACATAAGCTACAAAATAAAACAACATTTACTTTGTAAAATACGCTACAAATTTTACACTTCATTTTATAAAATTTGTTGCACAGTGCAAAATATAATTCATTGCACGGTGCGGTGAAAATAAGGTTTTTAATGTGAACTTTGAAAAAAAATGGCAAGAACTTTCTTTACAAAACAAAAAATAGCAAAAACTTTCTTTACAAAACTAAAAATGGCAAAAACTTTCTTTACAAAACGTGAAATAGCAAGAACTTTCTTTACAAAACATAAAATGGCAAGAACTTTCTTTCCACTATATTAACCATGTTATCTTTAGTGTGTAAAGGTGACTCAATACTTCTTCATGGCGTTCGGCCGAATCGGTGATCTTCTGAATGCAGCTTCAACTACAGAATCCTTGGTTCTGAAGAATTCGCTTTGTTTGGTATTCAAATTTAATCACGATGCCGGGCTGTTTATCACTGCCTTTTGTCCATTATGGGTGGCGGCCGAACGGATTTGTGCCACTTTAATGATAAAAACATATGCTGATAGGACGGCCAATGTTGGGATTTGGCTGGCTGGTAGTACGGTAGGTTACTGTAATTTAGAATGATTTTTTTTGGTTTTCAGGTTGAAATGGCAAGAACTTTCTTTACAAAACTTAAAATAGCAAGAACTTACTGTACAAAACATGAAATTGCAAGACTTTCTTTACAAAACTTAAAACGGCAAGAACTTTCTTTACAAACTCTATTTTTCAGCATTTTTGTGGATTTACCGTTGCAGCATTAGGAATTTACTATGATCTTCATTTTGAAATTTTTGATGTTTATGAATCAAGAGAATCATGCCAATTAACCCATCTACATCCTACTTTGGTACCAGTTGTTTGGTGCTTAATAGGCTTGATTTTTGTCGTTTCTGCTATTGTAAGTACAGTATCCTACCGTACTTTACTTTATTCGACCCTTCCGTACCCTACCCTACCCTACCCTATCCTACCCTACCCCACCCTAACCTACTCTACCCTACCCTACCCTACCCTACCCTACCCTACCCTACCCTACCCTACCCTACCCTACCTTACCCTACCCTGCCCTGCCCCGCCCTGCCTTGCCTTGTCCTGTCCTACCCTACCCTACCTCACCCTACCCTACCTTACCGTACTCTGCCCTATTCAACAATGCTTTGCTTTGAACTGCCCTGTCATTGCCTTCCCCCTGTCGTGCTCTGCCATGCCTTGCTTTGCCCTTGACTCGCCTTATTTTGCTTTGCCTTGCCCTAACTTACCCCTTATCCAACCCTGCCTTTCTTCTGTCTAGCCCTGCCCATGTTTTACATACCGTGCATTCCTACTGTACTTTCGTTTTTTAGATTCTAATCTACCTATACCAACATAATATAAAAATGAAAGCTATAAAATTATCGACCAATTTAACAGCACGTTATCAATACTCAGAAAACGTCCGAACCCTACGCTTTTTAGTCCCAGCATTCGTTGGTCTAGGATCTTTGAACCTAATGGCCGCTTTGGCCGTTCCTTATATTTACTTGAAGTTTGCTCAAGGACAAGATGTTCAGCTCATGTATCAGGTATGGCATTTAGAACAAGGATAGCAAAATAGGGACTGAAAATCCAAAAAAAACAATTTTTCAATAGGTACATTTAAAAATGGCAAGAACTTTCTTTACAAAATAAAAAATAGCAAGAACTTTCTTTACGAAACACAAAATGACAAACTTTATATTAAGTTTGTTCTAACTAGTCAAAAACTTTGTTTCAACCTACTGTTCCTTGCAATTTTTATAATCAAGCGCACCGTTGCTTAAGTTGCCAGATCGGACGGGACCGCGCTTTTGCACTGTGCAAAATAAGCAAATAGCGCTGCACGGTGCAGGAATTAATTTTTTGGCAATAACTTTGTTTACAATGATAGGAAATGTCATTTTTGATAAGTTTTTTGATTTTTAAAAAACTTTCTTTACAAAACTTTAAATTGCAAGAACTTTCTTTACAAAAAAGGAAAATTGCAAGAACTTTGTTTACAAAACATAAAATGGTAAGAACTTTCTTTACAAAACAAAAAATGGCAATAACTTTCTTTACAAACAATTTAAATTCCATATCAATTAAAAAATGGCATTTTCCCCATTTCAGGCGCTTTACCTAATCCCAGTTGGGTATGGCATCTACTTTATCACTTATGTCTTCCTAAAATACGAACAATTGCGAAAAGCCATGAAAAACGACTTCTCGGTGATATGCCCTTGTTGTTGTCCAAAAGTGAACAAAATCAGGCCAAAACTGATCGTACAACACGATGTTCAAGGCACAACTGATATCTACTGGAAACAGTTTGATAACGCTTGGGCCAATGGACCATTGGCGAAGTCGCCGGCTGAGAAAAAGAAGTTGGATCACAGTAATTCAAAGCTTAAAATTAATATTAATAACAACAAAGTCATGAAAAAATAAATATTGTGGAGATTATTAGAGAGATGGCTAATTTTGTACAGTGAGGATTGGCAAGGATGGGCAGGATTGGCAGGGTTGACAGGGTTAGTAAGATATGATACATTTCAATGAACCAATATGACTATTTGAATATGCTACACCCAAAGCTACTAATCTTATGCCTACCAACCCTAAGCCTACTAAGCTTATGTTTACTAAATCTATCTAAGCCTGTGCCTAGTATGTCTCTGTCTACTAAGCCTAAGTCTGCAAAGATAAGCCTAAAACTTAAAGTAAAACAACATTTATAGCTTAAGCCTACTATAATTAAACCTTATTATGGCCAAGCCTAATTAGCCAAAATCTAAAACGCTAAAACCTAAGCCTACTAAGCCTAAGTCTACTAAGCCTAAGCCTACTAAGCCTGATCTTACTAAGCTTAAACCTAAGCCTGCTAAACCTAAGCCTAAGTCTACTGAGCTTAAGCTTACTAAGCGTAAACCTACTAAGCCAAAGCCTACTAAGCCGAAGCCTACTAAGCCTACACCTACTAAGCTTAAACCTACTAAGGTTAAGCCTACTAAGCCTAAGCCTACTGAGCCTAAGCCTACTAAGCCTAAGCTTACTAAGCTTTACCTTACTAAGCCTAAGTCTACTAAGCCTAAGACTAAGCCTATTAAAATTAAGCTTACTAAGCCTTACCTTACTAAGCCTACTAAGCCTAAGCCTACTAAGCCTAAGCTTACTAAGCCTAAGCCTACTAAGCCTAAACCTACTAAGCTTGAACCTACTAAGGTTAAGCCTACTAAGCCTAAGCTTACTAAGCCTACTAAGCCTAAGCCTACTAAGTCTAAGCCTGCTAAGCCAAAGCTTACTAAGCATATGTTTACTAATACTGAGCTAGGCTTACTAATTCAAAAGCCTAAGCCTAGTAATTTAAGCTCACTAAGCCTAAGCTTTTCAGACTTTTACTTTCTCCTTTACATTGTCTTTGTTTTCATTTTCTATGATATGTTTTTGTTTTATATTAACATCAAAAATTATGCATTCGCGGAACGAAACGAAACGACCCGGACCAAGAAGTAGAAAGCCATTGATAAAAGATAAGAGTCATTAAGGCGTTTGGAATGAACGATTGTTAGACATTCCGAGTAAAAGTTTATTAAGATTCGACTAAAAATAGCTAAACTACTCGAATATTGTGTTATATGACGAGTTTCAAAGGCTTCTGAACTTGATAGTACTAAAAATTCAGTAGGACGTACTAAATAGTATCAAAGTAATTGGTAAAACTTGGGTATTATGGATCATACCGGTCGAAAAGTCGAGTGCAAACCCGTTGTCACTGATGAGAAAAGAAGCCCGGTAAGTCTTCCTACCCTATCTTATCCTACCCTACCCTACCCTACCCTACCCTACCCTACCCTACCCTACCCTACCCTACCCTACCTTACCCTACCCTACCCTACCATGCCATACTATACTCTGCCTTAAATGAAGCGTTAGCCCTAGCCTTGCGATGCTCTCCCTGCCCTAGCTTACCCTAGCTTTAACCATAGTCTTAACCCAGGCATTATCTGTTACTGTAGCAGTAGCTGTAGCCTTGGCGCTGACCTTAACTCCGGCTTTGCCCCTGGCCTTAACCCTGAAACTAGTCTTACCCTGCCATGACCTATCCCTAAGTTTTATAATTCTAGCCCTACCCTGCCATGCCCTAGCTTGCCTTTCCTCTGTTATGCCCTGCCCTACCTTATTATACTTTACCATGCCCTGCCCTATCTTATTATACTTTACCATGCCTTGCCATACCTTATTATACTTTACCATGCCCTGCCCTACCTTTTTATACTTTACCATGCCCTGCCCTACCTTATTATACTTTACCATGCCCTACTCTGCTCTGTCCTAACAAAATCTTCACCTTCAGATCTACTTCCAACTAAAAAATGAGTACGGTACGACAATGCAGCGTACGATAACCGAGTACGAGATACTCTATGACAAGTTGAAGACCGTGTTACCATCAGATTTTGAAAAACCGCCAAAGAAAAAGACTTTCTTTCCATCGACCAAGCGACTGGCAGAGGATCGACGGGTTTGGATTCAGAAATTAGTCAATTACTGTGTTAAGAACTTGAAAGCAAGAAAAGAGGTACAAGACTTTTTGGATCCATTGGGAGTGGCTGAAGACGAAGATAATGTTAACCTTGGTCCTTCTGAACGCAAAACGTAAGAATAATATGGAAATTTGTCATTTTATGCATTGTAAAGAAAGTTCTTGTCATTTTTTGTTTTGTAAAGAAAGTTCTTGCAATTTTACGTGTTGTAAACAAAGTTTCTGCCATCCTTTGTTTTGTAAACAAAATTCTTGCCATTTTCTGTTTTGTAAAGAAAGTTTTTTCAAAATCCCAAAAATTAACATAAATGCCATTTTCTATCATTGTAAACAAAGTTATTGCCAAACCTTTAAATTCTGCACCGTGCAGAGCCATTTGTCTTCTTCGCACAGTGCGAAAGCGCGATCTCGTCCGATCTGGCAAGTTAAGCAACGGTGCGTTTGATTATAAAAAGTTCGAGAAACAGTAGGTGGAAACACAGTTTTTGACAATTTTTGACATACCTAATATAAAGTTTGTCATTTTTTGATTTGTAAGAAAAGTTTTTGGCATTTTATGTTTTGTAAAAAAAGTTCTTGCCATTTTTTGTTTTGTAAAAAAAGTTTTTGCGTTTTCAACCTATATTTCTTCTAGAATCGCACCCAACCACTTTGAGTACCTAAAGACGATTGGCAAAGGCAGTTTCGGCCGCGTGTTCATGGTACGCTACCGAATGGACGGCCAAATCTACGCGATGAAAGTATTGGGGAAACAGCGGATTCTGAAACGGAACGAGGCCAAGCACGTTATGGCTGAGAGGAATGTGCTCAAGTCCAACATTAACCATCCTTTCCTGGTCTACCTTCACTACAGTTTCCAGACCAAAGACAAGCTCTACTTCGTGCTGGACTTTCTGAATGGCGGTGAATTGTTCTTTCATCTCCAGAAGGATCGGCATTTCAGTGAGAATCGAGCACGGTTCTACGCCGCCGAAATTGCTAGTGCTATTGGGTATCTGCACTCGAGGAACATCATTTACCGGTCGGTTTTTGGGATTTTTTTTTAGTTTTTGGGCTTTGTAAAGAAAATTTTAGCCAATATTTTTAGTGTAAAGAAAGTTCTTGCCATTTTTTGTTTTGTAAAGAAAGTTCTTGCCATTTTTTGTTTTGTAAAGTAAGTTCTTGCTATTTCTTGCTTTGTAAAGAAAGTGTTTGTCATTTTCTATTTTGTAGAGAAAATTCTTGCCTATTTATGTTTTGTAAAAAAAGTTTTTGCCATTTTTCTTTTGTAAAAAAAGTTCTTGCCATTTTCATGTTTTGTAAAGAAAGTTATCGCAATTTTAAAATTTTTTAAAGAAAGTTGTTGCGTTACATCAAAAATAAACTTTTTAGTCTTTGGAAACAAAGTTTTTGCTATAAATTCAAGTATTTCGTATAATAAGCACCATTCTTCGTATAACTTGTCATCCGCAGCCTGCACGCCTTTCATAGCTTGTAAAAGTGCATTTTTTGGGTTTGTAAAGAAAGTCCTTGCCATTTTTTGTTTTGTAAAGAAAGTTTTTTCTGAATTTTCCTGTTTCAGGGACCTAAAGCCAGAAAACTTGATTCTGGACAGATTTGGTCATGTTGTTATCACTGATTTTGGACTTTGTAAAGAAGGAATTAAAGCTACAGATCTAACACAAACCTTCTGTGGCACTCCAGAATACTTGGCACCAGAAATCATTCAGAAGAAACCCTATGGATTATCAGTGGATTGGTGGTGTCTGGGGGCAGTTCTGTATGAATTCATGTTCTCTTTGGTGAGTTTGGTACAGTAGCCAACCGTATTCTACTCTACCGTACCCTACCTTACTCTACCCTACCTTAACCTACCCTACCTTACCCTATAATATATAATTCACCCTCATAAAACCTCATTTTCAGCCCCCATTCTACTCGAAAGATCACCGTGAGATGTACGAGAAGATCCTGTACAAACCCCTCTCTATACCAGCCACCGCCTCCTCTACCACAAAACAAGTCTTGCAAGACTTTTTGACCAAAGACCGGACCCAACGTCTTGGAGCCAAAAACGACTTGGAGGAAATCAAACAACACCCCTTCTTTGCCACTATTGATTGGGACAAGTTGCTGAAAAGAGAAGTCAAACCACCATTTGTACCTAAAGTTAAGAACGAAACTGACACGAACTATATTGCACAAGAGTTCACTGAAATCCAACCCAATGCTGGTAGGGTGTTTTTAGGATTATACGATAAAGAATGGCACATAGTCTTTTGATTTTATGCTTAATTTAAGTTTTTTAGTACTAAAATTCAATTTTTTTAAATTTCAAAAAATTTAAATTTTAAAATAAAAAAATATCATAAAAATACAAATTTCAGCATCTCTGGCCCCAAACACAATGATAAAAGGCCAGGATACAGAGTTCTTTGACTTTACTTATCAACCAAACAAGTTCGTCATGGATCGAAATGACTGATCAATATTGTCTAAGATAAATTATAATTACATTTTATAAAATTAAACACAGCCAAACCCTTTGTCTCGTATTTTACTGTAAAAGCAAAATGAAAGCACAAAAAGCGAAGGTTAATTCACTAAATTCAAGTAAAATCGCAAAATCACAAGAATTTCCAGACATCATGGATAATATAATCATTTTCATAATGAAAAAAGCTATATTAATGTAAACGTCTGCCTGTATTACAACCAAAAAATAGTTCTTTAACTAATCGATCGCAAAATTTATTCATCTATATCCAGATAATACTTAAAATCGACCATTAATCGACTAGAACATTTTATATATCAAGTACAACATCAATAAGGTGGCAAAATCAATTTTTAAGTTAAATAACTGTACAAGCGTTATAAATTACATTCTTAATACAATATACTACCCATAAATAACTATTACGATTCACTAGTACCTTCCGTCTCTTTAGGTTCAGCTTCTGTAGCCACCACAGCATCGTCAGTCTTGGGATGTTTCTGTTTAAATGTCTCTTTGGCGATTTGACGTTGTAGCTGTGTCATCTTATCGTGCATTGCCTGAATTCGTGTTTGAACATTGCTTATACGTTTGGTACTGTCATCTAGACGTCGTACGTAATCGCCTAGATCGAATGGCATCTGTTTTTCGTCCAGAATTTCTTTGAGGTCTGGAAGTGAGAATCATTTGGAATTTAATGCAAAGTAATTTTATATATAATTATATTATTTAGCAAAGTCTTCTAAAGCCTAATAAAATAGTTTGAAGTTATAAACAATCCTTTCTCTTCCTTTTCGTTCAATCGCCTAAAGACATGAGTAAGATAACTAAACTGAAGTCAAGCCACAAATGATCTGCCAAAAACTAATAGAAACTCATCTCAAAAAATGCTCAAAGATATTCTAAAGCCAAAAACAGCCAATTCAAACCTAATTTATACCTATTTATCAAACTTGACTTCAATTTTCGCCAATACAGATAGATAAGATAACTATCCTAATCCTCAAAGCCGTTTCTCTTCAAAACCTAAAGTCAAAAGCAATATCATAGTAAAAGACTTACATTCCGATAACTTCTGGACATTTTCAGCTAATGACACTTGACTTTTTCTCGTGTTTTTGACCTGGGAATCTAGTTCTTGTAAAGCTGGTCGGACGATCTCCATAATGCCTGAAAAACAAAGAAAATTATATCTTTAACAAACTTTTTTATAAGTAAAACAACAAAGCACATTACAAAACAATAAAGGCTTTATCCAAAGAGGATAACTAAAGATTTTAGTCCAATGACCAAGTCAAAGACATCAAAGCCATGCTTAATATCAAAAAACATAAAATTATACCTCTTACCTTCGCTGATGTCGTTTCCGCCACCAATAGCTGGTTCTGTCGCTGGTTTAGCCATCCTTGAGCTATGTTTGAAAAAATTCTGTCCGAAATCCGAAAAATTAATATTATTTTCCAAAAATCAATAGGAATGTTGCGGAATGTCACAAATGATTGAATAGTTATTTGAATCAAAGAAAATGAAAGTAAAATACATTAAAATGGGAATAAATTAATTAATAAATAATATAAACGATGGTTTAGAACATCAATCGATACCTAAAAACCCACTTTGCTTTCGTAATATTTATCAAACACGAACAAGTCAGATTAACATAAAAACCTCAAGTTTTCGGAAAACAATGAAATAATCGAATCATAAGGCTTTAAATTGTTATTTCTGTCTGTTATGTTATTGTTATAACTCTGGAAATGGAGCTACACGTTTTGTCTTTTATTCTTCTATCAATTGGGGCCATTTTTCTTCAAAGTGGAGCTGTTTCAGTCGATTTATCGACCGTTTCAAGCCTAAAGCACGACGAAAATGGTGTTATTAGAAGCGTTGAAGTCTCTAGTACAAGTGGCAAACAACCGAGTTTGAGTATAGGTGCTGATAGTACCATTGGTACTACTTTAAAACCCACTACTACAACCAAAATGTCGTTGGAAAGTTTGCTCAAATCTCACAATAGTAAGTTGTTCTTGCCATTTTTAATTGATATTGAAGCCAGTATGAGTTGATTTAAATATCAAATTGTAGCCCAAACACTAGGTTTTTATATTATATAAAAATTTGTGTCAAAAAGTTTTGTCATCACTCCAAAATTTTGAAAAAACTAAAGTTAAAAGCTGTTTTTAAAACATTTTTCAATGTTTAATCGCTTTAAAATAAGTTTTGTTATCTAAAAAATTAATTTTAACATCTTTTTTAAAATTCAACTTCATTTGAGTTCAAAAAAAGTTTTTTTTTCTTTAAAAAAGTCTTATTATAGTCGACCCAATAAGTCAAGCCCACTTGATCAAAGTGGACAATCCAGAAGACGCGGCATTGTTGGCATTTGCCATGGAACAGCATTCGAAAAACTTTTAAAAATGGTCTCGAATACGAACAGAAATGACAATAAATGGCATGTTACACATATCTATGCTTTGGTATTTAAAAATGCAAAAGCTATGACAAAAAACACTTTCCACAGTGAAAAAATAGTAACTACAATATAACTACCGGTAAAAATATAAAATCAAAAATCTGTTGTAAGCTCCACTTTGCTACTGCCCTTTTACGTCTGTAATAGAAGACATGGGCCGATTTGGTCAAGAATTGGCCGAGATATTGTTATTTTTCTTTCCATCCCCAACAAATCTTGAACAATGTCATCGCTCCCAAAACAAAATCGAACTTTGTCTTGATTTGAAGTCTAAAAATTACAATTTTAGAACTAGACCTGTAAAGGGGTCAAGACAGCATTGATTTGGGCATCAGTCCCTTTCAAATTTGCCTCGACCTTTCAGTCGAGTCTAATGCACCGTATTTCGGCCTAAAATCCAAAATTCCTATTTATTTCATTTTTCGACATTTATTTTAGCCAAACAAAGGTAAATTTAAAAAATGATAATAATATTGAGCAAACGTATACTAAAAAAACAATTAAACAAGCCACAATTTTAACGAGCTTTATCAAATTTAAGCTTAAAAACAAGGCAGATCAAGAAGCTATGGCTAGTGTTTAGACCAAGCTGTAGCTAACGTTCAGAACACGCTATGGCTAGTTTTTTATCATACATTATCAACAATCGTCATAATGTGACAAAAAATTAAAGAATTTAAAATTCTTGACAATAGACAATGTAATCGCTTATAAGTCCCCTATATGACAAAAATTTGTGAAACAATGTCATCACAATATGACAAACATACATTACCAACAGTTATGACAACAATATTTAATCAAAACTTGTAACAATATAAAAATAATATATGACAAAGCCTTACAATCATATGACAATAATATTTAACCACGATTCAAAACAATATGACAAAATAGTATACCCAACAATATCTATAGTACAATATCTAAAAATTTGATAAAAAATTGTGAAAATTGTAAAAATCTACTCCATGGCAACTACTATGACAACATCGTCAACCTTTGCCAATTGAAAAAAACTATGATCTTATCATAGACACTTTTGAAAACTTATGACAATAACAAAAAGACCCTTTCAAAAACCTATGAAAATATCACACACGACCCCTTTAAACCCTCGAAATCAACCAAACGGCCTTTCAAACCATTGAAAACCTAAAACAATATCAAAACCACCCATTTGAACCCTCAAAATCCAAAAAATCACTCCATTAAACCCCTCAAACCCTTAAAATTCTCCCTGAATCTACTCCTTCTTCGGTTTCTCTTCATCTGAATCCGATTCCCTGATATCATTCAGATCTTCTCCTTCTTGTAACGACTTGTAGGCCACCTTGAACAACAAGAACGTCCAGAAACAGTGTAAAGCCAGCAACGTGATCAATAAGCAAGTGAAGAAGCGTGGTACAATTGGTCGTTGAGTGATGTTCAGCCACTCGTAGTCGGCTTGGATTGTCTTTGGAGCTGCGAAAATAATCGATCTGATGATGATTAATGGGAAGAGGAGTATCCTGGTTACAACCCATACAACGATCAAAATGAGGAACGTCACGGTGAGGGCACGGCCCCATTTGGCGTAGCGGAACAGTTTGCCAAGGTCACTGAAAATTTAAAAAAATTAAAAAACGACTAGGGACAAGGTATGGTATAGCAGGAAAAAGATAAGTACGGTATGATGGAGGTACTGTAAGATAAAGTAGATTTTCATGTTTTTAAAGAAATTTCTTGCCATTTTCTGTTTTGTAAAAAAAATTCTAGCCATTTTTTGTCTTGTAAAGAAAGTTCTTGCCCTTTTTATTTTTTTGTAAAGAAAGCTTTTTTTTTAAACCGAAAATTGATCAAAAGTGACATTTTCTATCATTGTAAACAAAATTATTGCGAAAAAACTAAATTCTGCACCGTGCAGCGTTATTTGTCTGTTTTGCACAGTGCGAAAGCGCGATCCAGTCCGATCTGGCAAGTTAAGCAACGGTGCGCTTGATTATAAAAAGTTCGAGGAACATTGACGAAAACAAAGTTTTTGACAGTCTCTAACATACCTAATATAAATTTTGTCATTTTTTAATTTGTAAAAAAAGTTTTCGCTATTTATTTTGCGGTAAGTTAAGAATATGGATAAGAGTAGTAATAGGGGTATGGGTAGGCCCAAAAATAAAGGTCAAAATTCAAAAAACCTACAGGAATATATCAGCAGTGTCATGACAGATTAGTACCAACGTTCCGACACGTACAAAATTCGTAGTCCAACTCAGTGAAAGCAGGAGTAACGTTGCCACGTGATGAATGACCATCTCCCAGAAGTCGGATCTCTTCACGTCAATAGTGAATGCTCTGAAATCATCAAAAATTAGTTTATTTCGTTAATATGGCAAGAACTTTCTTTAAAAAGTAAAAAATGACAAGAACTTTCTTTACAAAGTGAAAAATGTCCATAACTTTCTTTACAAAACAAAAAACGGCAAGAACTTTCTTTACAAAACTTAAAAAAACACAAAATTTCCTTCCAACCCCCTGAAAGCCGCTGGAACAAAGTCTCAACCCATATTCTCCTTACCCGATAAGCAGCGACCAGTAAAATCCGGATTGTACCATGTAGTACCACCAAACTTTGTTCTCGACCGGATGGAATGGGTAGTTGCGCCAACCGTCATCGATATTATTCCACTGTGGCTGATCGTGAAGAACATAGAGGCCGATGAACCAGATTCCAGTGTAATATACCAATCGCCACACGGTTTCGGCTACTCGCTTGAATCGGGATTGGACTAAAAGCAGTGGATCGTTAACAAAGGTAAGAATAGATAGGTACTAAACTTCTAACGTGCTCCCATCGTTGTGTAAAACCATTTTTCGGCCGTGTTTTTACCTAAAAACAAAGCAAAAAATCAAAAATCTTACCAAAACAACCTCCAAAAAAGTGTCTGAAGCCAGCGTCAATCACTGACTGTCCTTTTGACAAGTTGATATAGCCCAAAAAGTAGCCGGCTGGCAGTTGGATGAAACTTTCCACGAAAACCCTTAAAAACAGAAGTAAAAATCCAAAAAGTAGACCATAACTAAGTTCATGAAATTGAGGAAAGTAAATCAGTTTTCCATCGACCATTCGTGGCGCAAAATCCGACCATTCCACCCGCTCTGGCAGCCAGAAGTGCTCGCTCCACAGCCAGTTCGACACACCCATACCCAATCTAAAACAATATAATATTGTAGTAAAACTGATGAATTTGGGTACGAACACGGTCAAAAAGTGTCATAAAACACGGTAATGAATGCAGAAATTGTCATTAAAAGTCATTGTTAAAAGGTAATAAAAATCATCGTATAAGATGTCACCCGCAGCCTGCAGGCAACTTTTAGCTGAAAATATGACAAATTACGAACATTCAAAAGCAGGTATTTAAATTTTAGGCTATGTACAAAAAAATCGTCAAAATTACTTTTTTTGTAAACAAAGTTATTGCAATTTTAAAGTTTCAAAAAAATATTTTAGCCGTTCTTTGTTAAAAATACATAAATGACAGTAAATTTTAAAAACCCAAAAATACAACAAAAGACACATAAATTCACGTTAACTTCCCTACAAAAACACACATAAATCATATACAACATAATGTACATAAAAACTAACAACGTTCCGATTAAGTCGCCCCTTTCTTTTAAAGGCCAGCCAAAGAAAATAGGCCATTACAATACAAAAACAATCAGATTATACCTTCCCGGTTTTCAAGTCGAATTGTTATACCAGTGTTGATTTTTCTCATTATTTTTTAATAATTTTAAAATTTGAGAATTTTAATGGATTTTGGTGGTATTGGCTAATGTTAATCACCGTATTTTATCATATAAAAATAATATAAACTCCAAATTTTGCCAAAATACGTCCCAGAAAGCCTACTTCAAGTATACAACTTTCAGTCTGCATACATTTATCTAAAACATCACGAAATTTAAATATCGTCTAGTTGGGTATAATCAAGTGTAATATGGTTCTAACTCAACAACTAACAACCAGAACTCATTGAAATTTTGTAAACGTAGTAGCATTTAACCCCTTATTTAGTTTTTAAGATAAATTTTTTTAAGAGCTTTTAAAACCCAAGAGAATTGGATATTATAGTAGACGAAACGACAAAAGACAAATATTTTATTATAACTCAAAAAGTAATTGCCCAAATCAACTGCAACTTTGCAAAAAACCATAATTTTCAGTGCTTCTAAATTTGAAATAACAATTTTTAAGCCTTACGACGGAATGGCGCTAAAACTGAATATTGAAGTAGGTATACATGAGAACATTAATTTTTTTGTAAAATTAAAACTAATAGTCTCAATGTCTCTTCGCACAAACACGCCTATTTAAACTATGGTTCAAATAACATAAACAATTTTTAAGTGCTCTATTAAATACCGTTACAACGCGACATTATATTGTGTGACCAACACAAAGAAAATTTCAAAGAGCTATAGTTCAGTCAAAATTTCGTCTTAAAAGCTAATTCCTTTTGTATTAGCTTCACTAATCAATCTAGTAACACACCCTAAAATCTCAAAAGGATTCACGTTCATTAACTTCGTCAAAACCCATTTTTAGTCCGCCAAACCAGCCCTTCTCCTCATTTCGATCCGAAAACTTGCAACAAAATGAATCAAAAAATATGCCCTATACTTTCACTTCGGCGGGAAATGTTCCTAAACCAATAAAAACGCAAAAAAAAACGATATGCTACCTGAGTGGGGCGACCTGAAGAGGAGCGCATCAACGCCCGGGAACACTTCTTATCAGATTGGGCTGGAAATAAGTGCAAACGAAACGAATTCTTAAACAAAACACGTAAGTTGTGATAGATGAATCACTTGGAATTGGTCGGGGATGGCGAGGAGACTAAGCCGATGAAGTGCTTCAACTGGTTGAGCGACAAATTGAGAAGAAACAGCGACGGATTCGGCGAAAAAATGTCAAAATTCACTGAGGAGGGAGAGTTGACGCGGATTAGAGAATTGAGTCAAGTGTTATTTTTCTTATAAGAATCTGAATTTTTGGGGGTTTTTTGAAGTTTTTCGGCTTTAAAAGTGTACAAGCCATTAAGAAACTGGAAGTAAATCGTTCCCTAAACTACTGAAAACTTGCAAGTATTCATTTATCGATCAAACAAATCGAAACAATAAGCTTTTTCATTGATAAAGATGGATAATATCATAAGTATTACTTTAAACCACAGTATCTTGACTTATAATGATCGGATTGGGCTGAAATGTTGCGCATACATCGGCTATGCCATATATAATGAGTATTTAAAATTTCAGATTCCGACTTTCACTTTAAAAATTCAAATTTGAATTTGGCGCCAACTTTGGCGTAGTGTTGTAAATGCTCAGTAACTGCCAGACTTTATATTGCTGGCTATTCTGTCTCTAAAAAATATGAATTTATTCAACAAATAACAATGTTAACATTCCTACGCCTTGGTATATTCCCTTCCCCATGGTATCCTCAGGTCATCGGCGTCTTCGATACCATCTGCTATGGCTAAACGTCGCTCCTTGTTCAGAGAGTCAAAGTTTTGGGTATAGTCGTTGAGAAGTGCTGTGGTTTGTTCCGAACTTATCATTTTTACCTGAAAAGTCATACGAGGTAAAGTAGGGCAAGGTAGAGTAAGGTAGGGTAAAGTACGATAAGGCAGGGTAAGAAGAAAGGGTAGCTTTGATACAGTAATTATTTTACCGTACTTGTTGTTACATTCTCCTTCAACGAGTACTGAATACTACACTACCTCCCATACTATACTCAGTAGTACAATACTCCTCATCCTATACGCAATACTACAGTACCTCTCCACCTCATACTATCCTCGACACTCCACTACCCTCTATTATGCCCAATACTACAGTATGCTTCACTACAGTACTCACACATACTGTATTTTTTGTAATTTTTGTAAAAATTAAAAGCCAAAAACTTACAGTAGGCTCAGCCCTAACTCTCTTCTCCATTTCAATGATCCTGGTTGTCATTTTGAGGTTCTTCAATATATTGGCCAGTTGAAAATGGCAATCTAATAAGGCATGGGACCTCAGCAATGGTCCTACTCGAACTCTGTGAATCTTGGTTGGCCTAGCTAGTGATCCCATGCTACAGCCAATTTCGTGAACGAACTCTCTGAAAAAAGGTTTTTTAAAGTTAAGATTAGGGTAGGGTAGGCATGAGAGACAATGGAGCACAGTGAATTAAGGGTTGGTATAGGTGTGAGAAGGAAAGAGTACGGCAGGGTTGGATAGGGTAAGGTAACTCTATATAATAGTAAGGGGGTAGAATAGAATGAGTTAGAATGGTAGGGGGTAGAATGTTAGGGAGCAAAAGCGTAGGGGGTAAAAGGGTAGAGGTAGTGAGCAAGGTTTAATTCAATACCCACCTTAAAAACACGTCATTTTCACAAACCACATTCATTTGAAGTTCAAAGTTTGGAAAATCAAACTTCAAAAGCCTGAGGCCATAAATGACCGGTGATCCGATGATTCTTGGCCTAGCTGCTCCCTGCCTCGCCAATTCGAATGCTTCTTCCGATTGCATATCAACATTGGCCAACTCGTATGACAATCGTTTATAGTGGAAACATAGTCTGGTTAGTAGCTTTTTGAACATTACTGGGGTTATGTGGTCTAAAATGACATTTTACAAGTTATTTTAAAAAGATTTTTGATTTGAAACAAACATAATGGCAAGAACTTTCTTTACAATTAATAATAACGTACCGGCAGTAGCTTTAGCAGCTATTTTTCCAAAAAGTTCATTTTTGTGAGTAGCCTCGCCCAACTTTCCACACAAATGATACTCATTAACCCATGTCAAGTCTCGCACTTCCTCTAGTTCATCCACTCCATCGTTTAGAGCAAATACTGTAATTTAAGACTATGATTAGGTATAAAACATAACGACAGAAAAGTAGGAAATGTGCCACAAATGACCTAGATAACTTACCACAGACTCCAGAAGTCGTAGCTTCCATTGGCTCAAGTTCTTCTAACAAAATGTCCATTGGATTAAAGGTTCCGCCATTTACAAGTGGATGAAAACTAAAATAAGTCATTTTCGGTATCAATACTCACAAAAGCCCATTTTAACCTTTTCCATGAACTTTTTGACCAAAAAAAGACTAAAAATGTAGATAAACCAAAGCATTCCCTCATTCCAACGCCAAACAACCTTACGCATAATCAATCTGATCCCTTAATCCAACAACAACTGGTGCACCAGATACTGGATGCGATTCAACGATTGGCTTCTGAATGATCGGTGGCTTCTCAGGTATTAAAAAATTACCATGAGCACATATCCTCCTTTGAAGTAAGGCCTTCAAAGCTGTTAACGACACGTTTCTAGGCTTATAAACACACAAAAACCCGTTCAGATTCCGTATCACATCTCGAGCCGTAAATTTGTGTATCATTCTACAAAATTCGGCTTAAAATAGGGCTAACAAATTAATTTCTCACAAAATTAAAGTAGTTAATATCCTTCAAAAACAATAAACTCAAGAAATACCAATTCTGTAAGAACTACATAGCCGAAACTGTTATCAACGACGACAATCTCAAAAACAAGTCAAATTTGTACGACAGCATAAAAAAATTTAAACCTATCAATCAATGTAACCTTCGAATCACAACTTCGATATCAAAATACCAACAAATTAATAACAAAGTTTATAAACGAAATTAACAAAAAACAGCTCAAAACAAATTGTTTAGTGGCTTGCACGGGCGTGAGCGATTTGGCGTTCACGGTGTTCTTGACGGTCTGGGCGGACACCCTTCTCCTTGGGCAAGGAGATCAGAGCTTGCTCACCCTTTCCAATGATGAACACGTTTTGGAGGCTAAAAGTAAACATTACGTACAAAGTTAAAAAAGCGGACAGCAAAACGTCTCTCTCGTCTTTAAATAACACTATTTACTGTAAATATGTAAATACTTGTATCTGAATATTTGATTAATTCAATGCTACGTTTTAATGTAAATAGAAAATTTTTCGAAAAAAGCCGTATGAAGTTAAAAGTCAAATTTTACATTAATATCGGAAGCAATTACTCAAATATACTTCAAAGTTCTACAGTAAACAAGTCATATTGACACAACAATCGTTATTGTCTAAAACAATATTATGATTGGTTCTAAGACCCTTTGCTGTCCAAAAACAGTTTCACAAAACGTAAACCAACCTCGACCGGAAAGTTATGCTACCCAGCAGCACCGGCCCTCTATGACGATCCTATTCACCAATATAAACTTACCGAGTGGTGAATGCGTTGCCAGCCGAGTCCTTGACGTGGACAATATCGAAAGATCCTGGGTGGCGTTCACGGTGACCAAGGATACCAACACGACCAATGTTACGACCTGAGGTGACCATGACGAGGTTTCCAGCATCGAACTTGACCCAGTCGGTGATCTTTCCGGTCTTGATGTCGAGGACGATGGTGTCGTGGACCTGAAACGATATAAATTAGTCAAAAATAAGTTCACCGAGTTTTAAAACATCTAACTCAAAGCGACAAATTTTTTTAAGTATAAAGTTATCAAAAAACCGCTTTTAACACAAGACCCTTCGTTTTTTAAACAAAAAGAATCAAACCAACCTTTCACGTATCTAAACCTAGAAATTAAAAACAAAAATCAAAAGATTACCTTGATGTTGGGGTCTGGGTAACGGATGGTGCGGCCATCGTGGGTGGTGATCACTGGGACGGCGTTCTTGCTCAAGAAGGACTTGGTGACCTTGCACAGCTTGAATTGGCCTTCAGATTTGTGGATGCGGTGCACGGTAAAACGGCCCAAAGTGTCGTACAACATGCGGAACACCTCGTTGGTCTTCTCGATCTCAACAACGTCCATCAATCCGGTTGGGAAGCGCATTTCAGTGCGAACTTTACCGTCAATCTTGATCAGACGTTGCTTGCAGATAGCACGAGCTTCATTGTAAGACAAAGCGTAACGAAGACGGTTACGCAAGAACAGGATCAATGGCAACGACTCGCGGAGCTTGTGTGGTCCAGAGGTTGGACGAGGAGCGAAGGTACCGCCCAACTTAGCCAACATCCAGTGGCTTGGCGCGGCCAAGCGCTTCAAGTGACGACGTTGTCCTCTGTAGCCCATGATTTGCTAGTTTCCCACTAAAAAGAAGAACAATGAATATTTCTGACATCATGAGCAATATTAATGTAACTACTTACGAATAAAATCGCAAAAACGCGTTAAAAAAGTAAAATTCGTATGGCAAAAAAAGTAACAGTTAACTTCAGTAAAATAGAATACTAAAACTACTTTAAAATAACATTTACTCTGTAAATTACAGAAATATTACCAAAGACCCAACAGAAAACCGAGAAAAGTCCCAATTCGACAAAATAAAATTCGCAAAACGAGAAAATATCGTATACTTTTCTCGCTGCGGGACTCAGCTTGATCGGCCGATTGCAATGCTAACTTTGTTTGGCATAACGTTTTAACAAAGAAATATTGTTTTTCACTATATTTTCGCCACTTTAGATAACTTTATCTATATTTTTAAGCCTAAAATTAGTTTGTAAAAATTAAAATTAGTTTATTTTCAAATATTTTACATATTTTCGTTAGTTATTTGATTTTGTGTTTATTTCGCTACATTTTTAAGGATATAAACATAAACATAGCTTTTTGTAGGTAAATGGCTACTAAAGTCAATGAATTCCGATATATCACTGGCCAAGAAACAACGTCAACTGAAGTTCCACTAAAAGATGCGTTGATAGTTAAGCTTTCTAATAGAAAATTAACATCAAAAGTGTTGGCGGCACTTCCCGCTATGGAACCTGATGTACTACATTTAAAACGAGTAAAAGGCGATACGATATTGGTTGGATTGGCTCAAGATGGATTAGAAGAGGATGTAAGGTATCTTTTTATTCTTTTGTGTTGTTTTTTAGGAGGATATTCTATGGAAGTGACGGGATTTGGTCAATTTTGTTGAGGAACATGTCTGATTTTGACTTTTTGTAGCTTCAAAGGATTTTACGTCTAAAGGTCTCAAAATACACTGTTTTAGGACGCGTTTAAAAGCTCTCGATCCGGACGATGAACTAGTTTATCAAACTCACCAAATACCAACAAAATCTCCTGTAACAAGAGCTCAATTTGAAGAGTATAAGGTTTATTGGCCTGTTCATTATAGAGAAGATCCTGAATTAGAAAAGAAGGTAATTGATGAATATTTTAAGAGTACGAGGAGGGATAAGCTGTTAAAAGAATTGGAAAACACACAGATAGCAGATGGCTGTGTCATAGTGGACGCCGAATGTTCAACTACATTGAGCAAGGCCTCTGAAGCCCGACCTAAAGGGCTGAATCCTCTTAGACACCCTTTTATGAGGGCTTTGGAGTTGTTCTGCGAGCGTCAGAAAGCCAGAAGGAAACGATCTTTGAGTGGAGATCAGTATCTATGCAATAGTGAGTTTTTATCATGGATTCTGTAAAGTTTAACATCTAGTGTAATTGAATTTTTAATTTGATCTCATTGTAGATTGCATTGTTCTTCTGGAAAACGAACCCTGCGCAATGTGTGCTATGGCATTAGTTCACAGCCGTACAATGACAGTAATATTCAAGAATCCGTCATCTAATGGGGCGTTCGTAACAAATTGTCAGTTACACCTGAATAAAAAGCTGAACCATCATTATGATGTATTTCACTTAAAATAATATTATTGTTATATTTTAATAAACTTGTTGTTATGTTTGAAATCTTTTTGAATATTATATGTAATTGCGCCGGAAGAACAACTTTATTCAGAACGTTGACGTTTGAGTTGGGTCCTGGCACGAAAGATTGATTTTCGTAGCGAAAATAAATTAAAGTTTTTTGGGTGGCAAATTTTGATTGAACTGTTGAAAATGCAGCTTTTAGAGGTTTTTTTCATCTATTTTCATATTCTTTATGTGTAATTTCCTTCACAAAACGATTTTTGACTTTATTTTTATTAATTTTATATTGTTTTAGGTTTAAGAATGTCCGTTGAAGCTCTGCGCGCTGAGTTCCGTGCTAACCTGCCGGTCGCCATGACCATCAAAGCAGCCGATAGCTTGTTGTACAAGTCTAACAGGACCTACACTCAAATCCCACTCGATGCTGCTCACAAGGGAGGACACCACAACAAGCGAGGTGGAAACCGTCGCAACTCGCACAACCCCATCCGTGAAGCCATCGATGAGGCCAAGAGAACTCTGGATGATGTGAGAGGTGGAAAGGGTGGACGCAGAAAGAGAAACTCTCACAGCCGCAACCGTAAGTTGTTTTACTTTTTGTTTTCTTGGTTTTAGGTATCAGATTGGATGAATGTTACTGTTTTTGGTAAGTTTTTTGGGGGACTTCTGCTTTTTAAAAGGGATTGATGAATATTATAATCTTTTGGTTTTTTAGGTCGTAGCACATGTGGCGACAACGAGCTTGACCAACTCCGCACTGAAGTGGCTGATCTGAAGACGGAGAATGCTGATATCAAGAAGGAGCTGGCCGAAATCAAGGAATTGGTCAAAAAGGTATGTTCTTTTATGTCTGGTTTTGAATTTTTTTAGGTTGTTTTTAACGTTTAAAGGTTAAATTATGTTGTTTTTGGCTTTAATTGCTGTTAAACTTTATTATTTATCTTATCATAGGCAATGAAGGGGAATAACTGCTTTTTGTTGTCACTTTTTTGTAAAAATAGCAAAAGAGTTGGAAGTTTAGGATAACATAGGTTACATTATTGTTCAGCTAAGCTAATGAAAGTTGATCTATGTTATTTCGTATCTCTAACCTTATTTTTGTTTTTCTGCATTTGTTATCACTTTTTGGGTATTATTTTTTTGAAGCTTTGAAGTTAGTTTTTCAAATAGTTAATTAGGGTCTTCTAGGAGCTAGTCCAGTCCGTTTTGGTCATTGGAGATGGAAATCTGACTTTTTCTGCAGCTTTATCTCAACTTTTGCCTAATATTCGGCTAGTTGGTTCTGTACTCGAAGCTTCAGAAGAACAATTCATTCAGCGTTATCCTCGTGGAATCAGATCGTTAGAAGTATTGAGAAGTTCTCCTCGTTGTGAAGTAAAGTTTGGTCTTGATGCGACCAACTGTCCCGACTTTATCGACCAATTTGACTTCATAATTTGGAATTTTCCGCATTTTGGAGGCAAAACTAACATAAGAAGGTCGAAAATGTTGTTAGGACAATGTTTTCAAAGTTTGGCGATGAAGATGAAGGATTCAGCGAGGTTTCAGCTATCTTTGACTTGTCTACAGGCTGGATTTGATGTTCCGATGGATGGGTTATATCAAAGAGAAGTTGTTGAACATAGAAAAGATTCTTGGAATCCAATTGATGTGGCTGCTGAGTTTGGATTCTATCTTCAGAGGGCGTTTGAGTTCTTTCCGATTGATGGTTATTTTTCATCAGGATATTTGAATAGAGATCAGTTCTTTCACAATCATACAGCTATTACTTTGGAGTTTGTCAAGAGGAAGATACCTCTGATCCTTCAAGACGCTGTAGACATGGAAGAAGGTGTTCAAATGATCAATACAACAGAATTAACTGATAAAGAAGAAGAATTGGGTGTCGTTGACGAAATCGAAGGCAAACGTTCTGCTTTTAAGACGATGTTCAACAAGATTTATCCATCATACAGATATGATATCTCTATATTGTATTCTGTAGACGTAGGATTGGAGCACTATGAAGGTGAAATACTACGATTTTTGAGGTCAAAGTATGGTGTAATTGTTAAAGATGTTAAGGAGAAAAAAGAGTTGAGATCTATGCACAATGGGCGTATTAATAGAATTTATACTTTGATCTGGCAATCGTCGTCTTTTCCGATGAATAAGAAGATTTGCAATTTACTGCAAGATCAATTGAGACAAGAGATTAAGGATTTTCTTCCAAACGGACTGGATTTGAGTTAAAATGTAATTTTATTGTTTTGAAATTTTTTAACCTTAGAAATTGTTATAGAGCTGTGTTTTTGAGATTTAAGGATTCATCATGTTAAAGTCAAAGTTTAGACACATTTTTAGGTAATAAAAAACTGAAACATTACAAAAAATAACCTAAAAATCGATGTTAATGCGAATTATTTTAGTTCTGTGGTGTTCAAGTCAGCTGCTCCGCTAAGGAAGCCGCTCCAGCCAAAGAAGCCGCTCCAGCTAAGGAAGAGAAGAAGGATGAAGACTTCGACCTGTTCGGCTCTGATGAAGAAGAAGATGCCGAAGCTGCCAGAATCCGCGAAGAACGTCTGAAGGCCTACGCTGCTAAGAAGGCGGCGAAACCAGGCCCAATTGCCAAGTCTTCAGTCATCTTGGACGTCAAACCATGGGACGACGAGACCGACCTTAACGAGATGGAGCGTCTTGTAAAGAGCATCGAGCAAGACGGTCTGGTTTGGGGAGCTTGTAAGTTTTTATTTCTGGTATCAATTTAATGTTTTTTTTAAGTTTTTGGATATTTAAAGGAGATTCAAGTCAATCTTGTGGTTTATGTTAACCATGTAATTTTATGATACTAATTATGTTATTTCAGCTAAACTTATCCCAGTCGGCTATGGCATCAAGAAACTTCAAGTTGTGTCGACCATTGAGGACTTGAAAGTCTCAGTCGATGATTTGATCGAGAAGATTCAGGACGACTTTACCGATCATGTCCAATCTGTCGACGTCGTCGCTTTCAACAAAATTTAAGCCTATTCAGTTTCAAACTTGTTGAACTCTAATAAACGCTCTATGTTGTAATTTTTATTGGATTTTTATATTATCGATTAGTACTATTCAATTTTGAGTTTTAACTAACCTTCGTTCTCTAATTTTTTAGTTATAGAAAAGTTTAACTGTAGATTGTTTACCACGGCGATCCCAAAGCTAGAAATAAATGGATCCTGCGTATTTTGCGCAGGCTGCAGAAAAGGGGTCAGGTGTTCTTATTTGCGCCAAGTTTTATTCTTATTTTTTATTTTTTTCTTCGGGTATTTTATGTTTCTTGGTAAATAAGCTAACAAAAATCACTTTTTATTCGGAATAAATTTATGAAAATCATAATTTTTACTTACTATGATCTAAACTTTTATTATTCGTACGAGTAAATAGCCTGGAGCTAATATCAGATGTGGAGAAACTACTATCCGGCATTCAAGATGCTGTACGGAACACAACCACTGCCGGTTTCGTCGTTCGGTCACTACACAGATCAAAACTGTTTGGCTTTACACGATGTGCTTTGGGATAGTGGCAAGGGAGCAGCCAAGGACAGAGCGTAACCACCATGTAAATGACATATTTTAGATTTTAAACAGGTAAGGCATCTTAATTATTAATGGAAGTTAAGGTAAAATTATAAACCAATCCTTTATTAACATAAACAATTCTTTATTAACATAATTAATCTTTTATTAACTATTAATTAATATCATTAATGTCTTCTTCATTATCATCATCAAACTTCAGTCCAGTCTTGTCATTGATAAGCGTCTTTCTGGCCGATTCTTTCAACATCCATTCTAGTCTTTTCAACGGGTCTCTTGTAAAGATCCTTTGCGACAATTTGTTGAATTCTTTGTGACTTGATTCAATACCTTGTTCACACAGCAATCCAAGGTCTTTTTTTTTTCTAATCTGTTGAATACCATGCACTAACATCATATGTAATTTCTGGCCTGTATTTTCTAGAGGCATGACAGTCTTTATTTTCTCGGCAAACTCATAAATCAGCGAAACTACTTCTTCACATTCACTGTCAGTTAACTTTCTAGAACATGTGAATGATTGTATCTTGCCAAACGAAGATAGAAGGTCGATAATGTTAGGGATGCCTGTAATATTGAAAATGTTGTTTTGCTTTAGCATCTCGATTAGCTTTGGGATTTGAGTAACTATTTTGCGGGCATGGATACCCGTCAAATTTTCGTACCACGCTTTTCGTGAAGCTCCGAGCTTTTCTAAACAGCTGTAGAATGTTGCACTTAGCTCTTTAGGTCGATATTTTTCTTCTAATTTGGCTCTCTTCTCTTTTAACTTTTGAAGTCGTTCTATGCAAGCATAATACTCTCTTTTTACATTCTCAATCTGTCTACTGTAGGTGACTGTAGGAGTCTTCGAATTGGGGTCTTTTAATGCTTTTTCAAATTGGTATAGGCTCAGACCCATGCAAGTAGTGTGGTACCAACATGGGCTATCATCAAACTGTATATGTGCTGGCATTATCGTTGGTTCTGGTAATGGAATACCAAATGTTTTGACGATACACAAGTCTGATTGACAATATTCAAGCTCGTTTTGCGGTGGTACTTCTGTAGGCCTTCTTTTAACTTCTGAATTTAAGTATAGCTCTAAGGCTGACAGTATGTACTTCCAGCCTTCTGCTTTGTGAAAAAACGTCATTTCTTTATCCCACAGTTTTTTCAGTGTGTCTGCTTGACTTTCAGAAATGTTTTCTTTGAGATTTTTACGTGAATTCTTATTTTGGACAAGTATGGAACTTTCGTAGTCATCAATCGTCGTTACAAGATACTTCAAAATTTTTTCGATTATGCCTGTGGTCAAGTGGAGAACTGGAAGACGAATCTGAGAGCTTGTTGCGTGGATCAGGGGTGCATATTCATGTTGTAGTACTGATGTAGCACCATAATTTCTGTTAGTATGCTTACTTGGGTCAATAGGCATACTGCTGATGCTGGCAGGCTTTTCGGCATCGCATATTACGCAATAATATGTTGGATTTCCAAGCGAAAGCCCCAGGCAAATTCGAAGGTACTTTAGATCCCCTGTGTACGAAGTTTCGAAGATGTAACTGACCCCTTCTATCTCGAGTTCAAGCCCATCTAGAGCGTCATATTCTTCAAACAACTTTCCAAAACATTGACGGATTGCTTCTGGTGTTTCCTTGCTGTCAAATAGAGCTACTGTCAAAATACTAGTAGAAGAGTTTGGATTGGCAGCAGAACTCATAGCTACTGCTAGTTTTGTGGCACAACCTCCGTGGTCTCCCATCATTCATAATTCTACTTCTCTTGACGTTTTTCTCTTTTTCACATGGTCTTTTAGTCTAGATTTGACCAACTGATGCAAATTCGTTACTGTAACAGCATGTACTACATCGTTATTTTGGATAAATGTGTTTGAGCTGGTTTCAATTTGTTTACTCAGCTCATCCCGTTCTTGATTTACCTTTCTTTTGCTTGCCAAAAGGTCTATTGAGCATTGGGACAATATTCTACGAAGTTTGTCGATTTGGCCATATGTTAGTTCACAATGGAGTATAACCACTAACGTTTGTAGTCCGGTCAACTTCTGAGTTTCTTTAGCTATCTCTGGAAACGTATCTTTTAACAACTCTTCCAGGTTTTTTTTGTTATAGCCTAACCGGCTCAGAAGACGTAAAAGTTTGTATTGAGCATCTTTTTTGTTGTTAAGATCTTCATATTGTATTTTAGCTTTGAATTTCTTCGGAGTCTTCAGCCGTTTAACGTTTTTTCTTTTGTTTTTTAGCATTAATTTCAATTTTTTGTTCTCTTCAGTGATTTTGATGATGATTTCATCTTTTCTAACTGATTCTTTGTACACTGCACGATACGCTAGTTTATGTAGGTCTGCAACATCCTTTGTAGGCGGCTTTTGATCTTTTGTATTTTTTATGGGGTCTGAGAAGTATGGGTTTCTTACTAACGGTCGTTTTTTTGGTGTTGTTTGCTGAATGATGGCATCTAACGTCTTCCTGTGTTGCGCTAAAAAAGTGACTTTTTACTCGTTAGTATTTTAATTTATGGAATATTGATTTGATTAAGCCACTATTTTTATTTAAGGAGAACAAAAGTAGCGTAGACGACAGGAAGGAGAAGAGCCTTACAACTCCATGATCACTCAAAAAGCCAAGAACGCGCTGGGCTTACGCTATCATCAAAGCAGGCCCCAATTAAACCGACACCGCCTAAACCCAATGGAATCACGCATTCAAATATGTTTAGCACAACCTTCGTTTTTACTCAGTATATAAAAAGGGGGCGGGGGGCGCGGTATATTAACGAATGGAAGGCTCAACAACGAAAAGCCAGCAGGAATACTCAGATACGGTGATTATTTTGAAGAAGTATTCGAAAGTAGAAAACCTTGTACGAATATAATTTGTTACGAACTGCACTAATCAGACTAATTCATTTCTAGTCCAGACAACGTAATTAATACAAAGCTATCAAGTAAAGACGTCCAAATGATTTTTGTGTAAGGTGCTGTTCTGAGGATCTGCAAAGGTGAAAGATGTTGATGAGAACGAAGTTAATTACGAAGATTGCTTTACCAAAATTAAGCGCATTTACATATTTTCTAATTAAGTACCACTTGAAGTCATAATACGGAAGAACATGTTCGTGCAATCGAGCTCTAACAACGTAAGAACAAGGCCCTTATAGATTCGGAATAATTCTTTAATACTTTAGAATTAAATTATCAACGAACTGTTAATCTTACTATTACGTCAGAGTAGAAAGTATTCCGTTGCTATAATTAAAGAAACCAAACAAATCCATAAATGGTATATTCAACCTACTTGAAAATGATATAATGATAATGCATAAAGCGTCTTGTCTAATTATATTAAATTTTGATTGTAACGTTAATCTTACCTGATCGGCGATCTTCGAACAAACGTCTTCCTACCACTTTTGGAGTCCTTTTAGCTATCCGACCATCGCCCTTCCGGCGTGTCAATGCCATGAGTAGCACTTTTGTCGCAGTTACTGAAGCCTAAAACATAATATTTTGCAAATATATCTAAACATACCTGAGTGTTAGATATATAGACACTTCACTGTATTATTTTGAAAAGGATGTAGTATACCTGTAAAGACGATTTTAAAATGGTACCATAACGTAATAACACGCGCAAACAAAAAACAAAAAAAAATTTTAAATCGTACTATTATAGAACACTTTAGTATAATACTTAATATTCTTGATCATCACAGCTCTCTCGCCACCTTTTTAAATAAAACTTTTATCAAGAAGTACGTGAATAGTATAACGAAATTGAAAAAACAATTTTTCGCTAGTTTATGAAGATCTCGAAGAAAGGTTTACAGTGAGCAGTGGACTGGTAAAGAACATAATTTGACTGACATAACATAAACATGTCCGAAAAGTTGCACTAGTAGTTTGTTTAACTGCTCAATAGGTTTATCCTGCAAGTCCATCGGTTTTTCAAAATGATTTACAATTTAAAAAAATTGCATAAAAACATCTAATATTAAATATGCTATACGTTTTTTAATAATTTTTACATTATTTTTTCTTATTTTTCATAATTAGTCAAGTTATGCCGAAAAGTAAACATTATTCCCTGATGTGTAAGACAAGGTTTTTAGCGTTTTCCTCAAAAAGTAGGATTTTCTTAAACCTGAAGTTCCTTTCAAATTCCGGGGTTCTTGTCTGTATCGTGTATAGAATACTTCATTTTACATTAATTTACAAGTTAATTATATTATTACATTAAATCTTACTGTAATGCATACATATAAAAATGCTATTAAAGCATAACATGAAAAGTTTAAGTCCTCTAAAGCTGAAACTTTTCAAAACCATTTATTTTATGATGTATTTGTGTTATATATTAGTATATGAACATATCTTTCACAAATTAAAAAGTTTTCTTTGAAACTTCTACGTTGGTGATCATGGATAATATAAGGTTTTCAGTGTTTTTCTCAAAAACTACAAAGTCGATTTGGATGAAACTTTTTATGTTTATAGATACATTAGCTACACGAAGTATAACATCTTTATTTTTTTTAGATTCGGCCCACATGTAAAGTTATACCCCGAAATAACATAATTTTAGTGCTAATTTGGCTTGCTAAAGTTTTCAGGGTTTTTCTCAAACACTACTTCATACTTCCGTCTGAAAGTTTACAAGATGATAGAATGTTTTTTTGTGTAAGGTATAACATCTTTCGATTTTCCATTATAGACCGTTCTTTCAAGTAGTATAACTTTAAGTAAATCTGGTTACTTTAACCACATTTTAGTGCACAGCAGATAACATCTGAACGAGAATAACTATCGAAACTATGTTTCCTAGGAATGAAAAAGGAATACCTCTTTATGATTTAAGTGTTTTTTCAGCTCAATAACTTTAACCGTTTAGTAGATATAATGCCATAAGCCTAAGACGCGCCGGAAATCGCTGTTTCCTTCCCGACCTGCGCCCGCGGTTCCACTTTTATCTAGAAAATATATAAAAGTGGGATCGCCGTGTTACGCACTTCGTATAAAAAGTGTTTCACGACCTGCAAAAACAGGGCGCACGCTGCGGATAGAAAGCGGGAAACCTTTTTCCGTTTTGAAAATATTTTTTACCAAAAAGTATAAAATTCGAACAAAATGAAGTTAACAGACGGTGATCGAGACAAAATTTTGAAGAATATTGCTGAATATTACTACGATAGTGCTAACATTGAAGCGTATGTTTATTTACATTTTTTCTTTGAAGTTTAGGTTAGTTTTATGGATGAACATTTTTCTGATCATAACTTTCTTCAGATCATAGATGGAGGTCTGGAATTTTGTGTGATTTTAGATTATTTATTTAGGCAACTAATGAAATAAAATTTTTGTATTAGCGAGTTAATTAAAACGCTAAAAATGCGCTTTTTCTTTCATGTTTGCGAGTTTTTAAGACTTTTGTAGGTTTTGGTTGAAGGTCTGTAAATACAAAAAAGCATTGAGTTTAAAAACGCATTTGGTCTTGTCAATTGTGTATTAAAATAAGTTACAATCACATAAATTTTCGGGCTTCTGTTTACGTATTGAACAACGTTATGATCAAAAATATCTTAGGTATTCTTCATTTTTTGTCGAATTTTGAGTGTTTTGTTGAAAAATGAGTACAAATGCCATTTTTCTGCCGATGTTCTGCTGAAAATGGTATTGAATAGTTATAGTAGGATATTAAGCTTTATTTTATGTTCATTTTATACCTAATTTCAGATTTTTACTGCGCATTTTTGAGCCGATAATAGAGCAACGAACAGGAGCATCCGTGACACTCCTCGGCCCTCCTGGATGTGGAAAACGAACGGTGATCCGACAATTTGTGGCTTCAAAATCTACAAGCAAAAAGAAGGTGCATCTGATCGAACACAATGCCAGTTTGGACGATTTGATTTCGACTAAAGAACGATTGAGACAGCTGGACGAAATTCTGGATGGAGATAAGTCGGCGACTGTTTGTTATGTTATCTACAATTTCGAGCATTTTAAAGGAACTTTTGGTAACAATGTTTTGTATACGTTGGCCCAGAAGGTGCGATGTTCACCTTTGTTGTTGATATTGGTTGGGGAGAGTCAGGTAGGTATAATAGTTTGGTTTGATTTTTTGGTTTTTAGGTAACAATTTCAAGTTTTTTCAGTTTTGTACGTTTCTAAGTCCATAACGTGATAAAATTAGATTTAAAAATAAATTTTTGACGTTTTCAGAAAGGTTTGACGATATTCGAGAAACGTATTGCATCCAGGTTGTCAGGTAACACACTGAGGATTATTCCAGACAAAGCGCCGGAAAAATGCTGGGAATTTTTGCAAAATGTGATGGAAACTGCTACTAAAGGGGCTCCTAAAACTGTCCAGAATGCTTTGAAGGTTAGTGTTTATCTTTTTTGTTGTGTTTTTCGGTATAATATGAAGTATTGCACAGGCTTATAAGGCTTAAGGTGATTAGACTTAGGCTTAGTAAACCTAGGCTTAATAGGCTTAAATTTGAAAATTTTAGATAAATTTCGAAATGCCAGTGAACTTTTATCAAATTTGTCGAGGAAACCCGGTCTACGGTAACCTGAAGTTGATAGCAAAGGAGCTGGTCGATATCTTCTTTGATGAGAAGGGAGAGTTGTCTGTTGAGGAGATACTAACACAAGTAATCAAAGAACGAGTTGGTACTGACATTTACGATGAACTTTTGGACAGTAAGTTGGCATTTTGGTGCTTGTAAAGAAAGTTTTTGCTGTGTTTTGTTTTGTAAAGAAACTTCTTGCCACTTGTTTTGTAAAGAAACTTCTTGCCATTTTCAGTGATAACCGACCGCCAGTTCGGCCTTTTGATGTGTGCGGCCATCAAAACAGAACGAGTTCACCTCTTCTTCCCCTGCCGATACCTATATAGCGAATACAAACGCTTCATCAACCTGACTGGCATTCCGCACCGAAGCAACTTGTACATGGACGAACATAGCTTCGAAGCCGACGTTCGCGACTTGGTCTACAAGAAATTCTTTGGAGCCAAGTATCAGGGCTCCAGGATAATGTGTGTTTTTGAAAATATGATTTTTTTTTTAATTTGAAAAAAATTAAAGTCGTATTTTGCTGTGATGCTTGTGTTCATAATGTTAAGCACTTTGTTTTTTATTGTGTATTTTACCTTTCTTTATTACCTAAATTTCAGAATGTTATGCTGGAACCTGAACCCCCTACAACTGATTGAACCGGCTGTCCGAGAGAAATTCGTCTCCAAAATCAGTCATTTTGTGGACGAAAGAGGCCAAAACAACTTTATGAATCTGCGAGTTTGAAGCATTTTTTACAATTTCAACTTTTTCATCTTACACTTATGGGTAATATCTGACTGTATGTATTATATGTATAGGTTTGGACATGAATTTGGCTTGTTAAAAGGAGTTGAATTTAAAAATTGGTCGATTTTATAAAGTTGGAGATGACGTTAGAGTAGAGTGAGTTTGGTAGGTTTGGATGGGGCTATGCCTAGAGTCGGGGTTGGGCTAGTAAGGGGATAGGCTGAGTACGGTAAAGAAAGCTAGCGTAAAGTAGAGTACGTTGAGGTAGGGTAGGGTAAAGTGCTGTAGAGCAGGACAGAGTAGAGTAGAGAAAGGTAACGTATAGTAGGGCAGGGGAAGGCGAAATACAGTAGAGTATGTAAGGGTAGGGCAAGGTCGGTTAAGCTAAAATTGTAGAGTAAGGCAATTTACCGTAAGATAAGGTAATGTAAAGTATGATAGGACAGGGTAAATTCTGCAGATTAGGATAGGGTAGAGTATGGTAAGGTAGAGCAAAGCAGGGTAGGGTAAAATACTGTAGAGTAAGGTAGGGTAGAGCAAGCTAGGGTAGACTAGAAAAAGGTATGGTAATGTGGGGTAAAGCAGTGTAAAGCAGGGTAGAGTATAATAAGGTAAGGTAATGTAAAGTATGGTAGGCTAGAATAAAATATAGTAGAGTAGAGTAGAGTAAGCTAGGGTTGCATGGGATTAGGTAGGGCAGGTTAGGAATAAAAAAATCAAAAGTTGAATTGTGAAAGTAACTTCCACGTCACGTGACATGGAATGTAAAACCTGATTTTCACGAAAAACGTTGACATTTCATTGTTATCTTTACTGCGTATCTTGAACAAATTTACTTTTTGGGAAAAATCCCATTGTTCAAGATAACCTGAAATACGGATCCGTTAATTCTTTCGCAATTTTAAAATTTTTTAAATGCGAAAGAATTAATGGATTTTCTAAAGTATGGCCTTGGGGTGGGGGAGGAGTTAAAATGAGACTTTTTTGTACTACTTAGTACTAATACTAAAAAAATTTCAAGGTAGTACTGTATAGTACTAATATCGATAAAGTTAAAAAACTAGTACTACTTAGCATCTAAGACACTAAACAATACGTTTTTCGGTATTGAGTTTTTAAAATTGAAACTTTTAGTACGATATAGTATCATAAACTTAGTAATATATAGTATTAGTACTATATAGTACCAAAAAATATTAAAATGAGTTTTTTGGTACTACTAGCACCAAGTTAACTTAAAATAAAACACCAAAATAATACGGTAACAAACATTTATTAGTAATCATTTTTCCAAATTGAAAAAAGTACAGTAAGAAGGGCAAATTCGAATCCACAAGAACTTTGTTTACAAAGGTTGAATCCGCAAAAACTTTGTTTACAGAATCCAAACCTCGAAACTCGGCCCAAAAATCCATATTTGCAATTCGATAAACGTTGATTACCAGTTGCCTTAGCTGCGGACTTATTGTCTGTAGTTGCCGTTGTTGCCGGCTCCGTTGCTGCCAGCGCCTGGGCCGAAGCCACCTTCGCCGGAGCGGGTTGGGCATGGACAGTATTCGGCGTCCTTGCCTGGACGGCCGGATGGTCCCTCCTCTCCCTCGGAACCGAGTGGTCCTGGGGCTCCTTGTGGTCCTGGTGGGCCGGGTGGTCCTTGTGGTCCAGCTGGGCCTGGTCCGGCAGTCTTTCCTTCGTCTCCTTCTGGTCCTTGTGGTCCGGCTGGTCCACGAGCACCGCGTGGTCCGGGACGACCGATTGGGTGTTCGGCGTCGCGGCCCTTGTCTCCGGGCAAACCGGCTGGTCCAACTTGTCCGGCTGGTCCTGGTGGTCCTTGTTCTCCTGGAGTTCCTGGGTTTCCGTCGCGGCCTGGAAGACCGGCTTGTCCCTTGGCTCCGTTGTGTCCGCGTGGTCCGGGGCGGCCGATGGCACCGGGTGGGCCTTGTTGACCGGCTGGGCAGTGGAAGCAGGCGCCGCTGTCTTGGCGTTCGGGGCTGACGTCCTCGGCGTCCTTGCCTGGGATACCGTCCAAACCGGGCTGGCCTGGGATACCAGCCTTACCTGGAAGACCCTTCTGTCCTGGTGGTCCGGCTGGGCACTTGTTGGCTTCGGCAGTCTTGCATTGGCATCCACCTGGACCGCCTGGTCCTCCCTCGGATTGGAGGCCTGGTGGGACGGATGGTGGAGCAGCGCCTCCTGGAGTGCCTGGAGCGGCACCGCCTGGTCCCTTGGGTCCGGCACCAGATGGGCCTGATGGTCCCGAACCGGATGGTCCGGATGGGGTGTCGTAGCCTGAGCCGCTTGGGCCGGATGGTCCCTGTGGTCCGGAGCCGGATGGTCCTGATGGTGAGTCGTAGCCGTTGCCGGATTCTGGGGTGTTGTCGTAGGCGTTACGACGTTGACGGGTCGAGCCCAAGCGCATCATATCTCTCCACATGTCGTCGGTGGCGACACGGAACACGCCCATCTCCTGGTCCAACAGGTCCCATGTCTGCTGGATGTCGGTGTAGATGGTGGCGATGCAGTAGAGCGACACGATCAACGTGATTCCTGAGATGGAAGAGGCCAAGAAGGTGGCCGTTGTGATCTTCATGGTTGATGATCTACAAAGGTTGGACTGAGTTGGCGTGGGGTTTATATAGGCGTGGGGTGGGGGGGGGGTGGGGATAAGGTTAAGGAGGGGTAGACTTAAGGAGAGTGGGGGAAAGGGGTTCTAGGGGAGAGGTAGCGACATTTAGGGTGGGGTATAGAGAAGGGGGAGGGGTAGCAATAAAACAAAAGCTTAAGGAAAGGGAGAGTAAAGAAGAAGAAAAGGCTGGTTTAAAGAGTGTAGACTGGACGGTGGGCGGGGAAGGGATCAGTAGAGAAAAAAGAGGCAAAGGATGGGTGTAGAAAAGCCAAATGAGGGGGGGGGGTGAAAATACAGACAAAATATGACAAATAAATGTAACTAAGCAGTGACAAAGATAAAAGAGCGCACGATAAAGCAGAGAATTAGAGAAAAAAGCCAAAACGTATCAATAGAACGTCGAAAAGGCGGTCCACCGTCGTTGGATCATGTCCGGGTCATCGATGAACGTCGAAGATAAATGTTCTAAAGTCGGGGATTTCCACTACCCGCCTCTTCCGGGGGATTCCACGGCTCTCAACGAGAAAAATGTTTGGATTTCGAAATTTAAAAATTTAATTTTGAAATGAATAATTGAAAATAATAAAATAATAAAAACTAGTCAAACAACTAGACTAGGCCAAAGAAGCGGGCATCCACAATTTTTTTTTCAAAAAAACTTAACATAGCCAGTAGGCTTGTCCTAGCCATTATTTTTTTACCGTTTAACCCTACCTACCGTTTTAATATAGTAAGACATGACCCCTTCCAGCCATACATACCCTGTTCTGCTGTAGTCCTACCTTTTTATAGCCTTAGCTCTAGTGTTGGCCCTGCCTTGCCTCACATTGCCTTGCCCTGCCTTGCCTTGCTTTGCCTCGCCTTGCCTTGCCCTGTCTTGCCCTGTCCTAGCTCTAGCTCTGCCCTGCTGCTCTCTTCTCTACTTCACCTTGCCCTGTCAGCCCTAGTCCTGAATTGCCATGTCCTGTCCTACCTCTAGGCCTGCCCTGCTCTGCATTGTCTTCCCCCGTCCTGTCCTAGCTTTGCCTTTCCTTGCTTTGTCTTGCCCGGCCCTACTCCGCCCTAGTTTTTCCTCTAACAGCTTTACCCTTCCCTAGCTCTACCTTAACTAGTCACACCATAGCATACCCTGCCTTACCCTACATTAACTAAAAATGTTACCAATGCTACCAAGCAAACAAATTTTTAATTTTTTCAAAATTTTAAAAAAATTTTTGTACTTTTCAAATCAATTTTCCCCCCCCCCCCGCTCCTTGAAAAAACTTCCTCATCCATCATAAACTTTCTTTCCACGGCTAATCCAACCTAGGCGAAATCCAGTTTCTAGCTATTTTTGATTTTAAAATTTTTCAAAATCGGGGTGATCAGTCATTGTGAAACGTCTGGAAACGTTTGCGATTTCTCGCAATTTTTTTTCGAAAAAAAACTTTTGACACAAGTAATTCGATCAAATTTGAACCAAAAACCTAGCTTATCACACACAAAGCGGCGATTTGTGATTGACAATTAAAATTGGTGTTGAGAATGTTGTGAATAGTTGATTGAAGTAGCTGGTGAATAATTTAGTCAGCTGATGAGGTTTTTGAATTTTCTTATTAAATTTTTCATTTTTTAAATAAAAATTGATTTTTTCGTTCTACTCTTCAAGGTTTTTTTACCCTAGCCTAAACTTTAGCTTAATCGACCTTGATCTGCCTCAGGTAAAAATATTCTCGAACATACCTCTACCCTATTTTAATTTGCTCTACCCTGCCCTAAGCCCTACCGAGCGTGCCCTAGTCCCTAGCGTGCCCTAGGCCCTACCGTGCCTTAAGCCCTACTATATTCTCAAACTTACAATATCATAGACCCTACTGTACCCTACCCTACCTTATTTTACTCTACCCTACATTTCCGTAATTTACCCTACCCTAACTTATCCTGCCTTTTCTTATCTCTTTCATAAGCCGCCCTAGCCCTACCCAGCGCCCAAACTTCCACCCTACCCTATATTACCTACCCCACTATTCTCTATATTGTCCTTTCCTACCATGCCCTACCCTTTCTTGTCTTGTTGGCCTGTCCTACTAACTTGTCATACATTACCAACTTGATCTGGCCAAAACTTAACCCTAATTAGGTTCGATTTCAATTTAAAAATTCAAATTTTCAAAAAAAATTTTAAAAATTAAAAAATTTTTTAAATTCAAAAAACCATAAAAAATTAAAGATTCCAAAAATTGAGATCAAATTATGAGGTTTTGTAGTGTTGCTCGACCACCGAATGGAATAATCGACCGATGGCGAGGATTAAAAACGACCACAATGGTACCAGTACCAGTAAGATGCTGTTCTCTTTGGTCTTGAGCAGAACGTACAACATGATTTCGAATAGGAGTTTGGCTGTGAAAATGGCTGGAAAAGCTTCTTTAGGTTTTGAAATTTCAACATTTTAATAAAATTTTAAAATTAAAAAAATTAAAATTTCGAAATTTTCGAAAAGATTTTGAAAAATGTCAAAAGTAAACTTGAAAACTCAAAAATTTTAAATTGCCATGAAAAATCAACTAAAATACCCATATCTTTCAGTAATTTCAAAAAAAGTAAAAATTTTTGCCCCGGACACCTTTCAACGTATAACATTGGCCTTACAAGCTGCGGAGCAGTTTTTAGCGAAAAAATAGGTATTGAATAGAAAATAATAGCTATAAAATCGCCATAAATACTCATTTTTGAAAGATTTGAGCCTTTTTACCCTTAAGGACATCTTTCATCGTATAACATTGGCTCCGCAGGCTGCAGTTCCTGTATTCTTTCAAAAGACAGCTTTAAAATTGAAAAAATCAACAAGAAAAGTATAACATATGAACAAGTGTTGATAAAATAACTAATCTCAACCTTTTAGTACAAGTTTGATCACATAAAAAAACAAAGGCAAGCTGCGCCCAAATTTTACTTTCAAAACAGCATAAAATCCCATAAAATAGCCTAAAACCATAAAAATAGGTAAAAAATCAACTTACAACAATTGTAAATGGTAGAAGACAAATTGTTTTCATCCGATTCGTCCTCTTCACTGACACTGTCATGTAGTCCACAAACATTATACTTGCGCATACACTTCATCACCAATGATAAGATAATCAAAGAGTCAAAGGTCCAGAACGCCATGAATACCATCAGTGGCTCGGATTTCATGCCATCGTCCTGAAAAATGTCAAAACCTAAAAAAAAGTAAAAACCTTTAGGTTTTTCAAATAATTCTGAGCCCTCCAGAGTTGTTCAAATAATGCCCTCTAACTCCGAAAATTTGCTTTGAGAAAGGGCTCAGAATTATTTGAACAATCTAATAACATTATTTCTAAAAAATAGTTTTTAAAGCCAGGGCGCAGCTCGCAAAATCAAAAATGATCACTAGAGCTCAAAAAACTGCCATTTCTAATGCAATACCCTCACAAAACTTTAAAAAAAGAAAAAAACCAGCCTTACCAAATAATAAACAAGTAGACTGACTTGAACCAGCAGAAAGATGTAGGTAGTGGCTACGCGTTGAAGAAAGCCCATGATGAATATCTTGTTTTACTTTAATATGTATACTAGCCTCGTATCAGGTTCATGGTACCTAAACTGAAAGAAATGAGTTTAAAATTGGCCAGAATAAACTAGCCTAAGGCTTAGAGTAATTACTAGTATGGTTAAGTGATTTGGTAAGTTTTCGCACCGTGCAGGCTGCGGTAACCAAGTTATACTATAAAACGTGCCCATTTACAAGCAGGTCAGAATAGAGGTAGGGTAAGGCAAGAGTAGATCAAGAGTAAGGCAAACGTAATGGTGGAGACAAAAGCAAGGGTGGGGAAAGGGGGGGGTAAGTGGGATTGGGAGTAAAGTGAGATGGTGGTAAAAACCAATTTTTATTAAATATCAGGTCAAAACCAACTGACTCAACATCAAAAATGCCTCAAAACCATCAAATAGATATGATTTATTTATCACATAATAAAATATAGTGTCATAATTCATATTATATTAAAGCGTCGAAAAAAGTCTTGTCGTTTTTCCCAATACAAAACCTGATGAAAAAGCGACAAGACTTTTTTGAATTACTCTAATATTAAAAATGGAAATAAAATGTACAAAATATGTGTTTATATCGTGGAATGTCGCTCTGAGCAATGGGAAAATGAGTAAGAGAATAAAAAATACAGTATACCATGAGAGGAAAAAATTTTGAGATGTATAATAATATAAAATATTGTCAAAAAAGTGGATTTAGGAGAAGAAGAGAGAGGGGGGGGAGGGTGGAAGAAAGGGGGTGATTAAAAAACCGCGTTAAAAATTTTTTTACCGAGTGATTTAATGAATGTACCGTATGATAGATAGCTAAATCATCAAAATTACTGTAATCTTAAAATTAGTAAAGTTACAGTAGTCCAACACCAAAAAAAATTACTGTAAATCTACGTCATAAAAGATACAGTAACCCAATGCCTAAAAGGTACCATAATCCAAGACCAAAAGAAAACTACAGTAATCCTAGACCAAGAAAAAACCAAGAAGCTACAGTAATTCGTGATCGTGAAAAATGCAGTAATCCAAGAAGCTACAGTAATCCAAGGTCAAAAAGTTACAGTAACCCGGAAACCAAAAAGCTACAGTAAACAAAGATCATGAAAAATACAGTGATCCATTACGAGCAAAATTACATTACATCAAAACCAGAAAGCTACAGTACTAAAAGTACAGTAGCCGAAAACCAGAAAGCTACAGTATTAAAAGTACAGTAGCCGAAAACCAGAAAGCTACAGTACTAAAAGTACAGTAGCCAAAAACCGGAAAGCTACAGTACTAAAAGTACAGTAGCCAAAAACCAGAAAGCTACAGTACTAAAAGTACAGTAGCCAAAACCCAGAAAGCTACAGTAATAAAAGTACAGTAGCCGAAAACCGGAAAGCTACAGTACTAAAAGTACAGTAGCCGAAAACCAGAAAGATACAGTGCTAAAAGTACAGTAACCAAAAATCAGAAAGCTACAGTACTAAAAGTACAGTAGCCAAAAACCAAGCAGCTCCGGTACACTAATCCAGGTCAGACTCTTCAGAAGAGCCAGAATTGGGATGTCGCCGTCTCGAAACCCCCGGCCCATCCAGGTTCTTAATGACCGGCTGCACCTCCACATAGTCGACGTTATTCAAATTGGCGGGTAAAATGAGGGTGGTGCTTTTGGGTTTCTTCTTCCGGTTCCTCAGGTCTTCCCTGGAGGTTTTTCGCTGATTTACGGGTGAGCCGTGGGTCGATGAGTGGCTGATTTTGCGCAGCTGGACTGGCGACGTTTTCAGCTTGCCTTGGCGGTGGGCAAACTCTTCCAGATCGTCACGAGTCGGCTGGTTTGGAGTGATACTCGAGGCTGGGAGGGCGGTTACGTAGTCGTCTTGAACGTTTTTGGATTTCTGAAAATGGTTTTTTTACTTTTTTTAACCTACCCTGCCTTAAAATAATACTTTGATGCACCATACTCTTCCCTAACCTACTTTTGCCCTTTCTCCACACCCATATCAACCTTACTGTAGCCCTGCCTTCCTCAGAAACCCTACTCATATATACACTGTCCCAGCTCTACCCTACCTTACCTACAGTGTTACCCTACCATACAGAACTCATATTATAAAACTACACATGTTCTACCATACCCTAACTACCTTACTCTACCCAACCTTACCCTAATTTATCATAGCCTACCATATCCCTAACCTAACCTTCGCTACCCTACCCTGCTCAACACTACCCTAGGTCCTACAGTATTCTCAACCTTAAGGTACCCTATGCCCTACCCTATCATATGCCATCTTAAATTACCCTACTGTACCATCCTCTAGGCCTTATGTTATTCCCAAATTTACAGTACCATAAGCTCTACCCTACCGTACAATATTCTGCCCTATCTTATACTACCCTACCTTACCCTATTCTACCCTACCCTACCCAAGCCTATCCTACACTACCTTACCCCACCCTATCTCATCATACCCACCCTACTCTACACTGCCATGCCTTATCCTATTCACTACAGTACCCTACCCTATGTGACCTCCTGTCAATTTAAAAATCTACCCCGGCCAAAATAATAAAAAAGTAGCAACCTACCCCAAAATCGAAGCCAACACTATTCTTTCCAAAACTTTGTCGTCTCGTCCCCTGCCCAAACGCCGACTTCCTTAACGGTAGGCCTTGCTTCTCAGCTTGGGCCGCTCGCCGTTCCGCGCCAGTCTTATTCGAACGCACGTTCGCTGCGGCAACACGAGCCACCGACTTTAAGCCGCCCTGATGTGCCGGGTTTTGGCTAGCGGAATTTCGTTGTTTTCGACTGGTCGAGCAAGCGGAACGTTGACTGTGAAGAGATGGGGAGGGTGATTTGCGGCCGGAACGATCGACGTCTGATCGAAGACGATTGCGAGCTTGAGGCGTAGTTCGTGAGGTGGGCGAAGGACCACGGTATGAGTCTCGTGGATCACGGTAGCGATCTGAATCACGCTGATCACGGTGGCGCTCAGAATCTTTTGGCTCACGGTAGCGTTCTGAATCTCGTGGATCACGGAAGCGTTCTGAATCGCTCTGTTGATCACGGTAACGGCCTGAATCTCTTTGATCACGGTAGCGTTCCGGTTGATCATGATATCTTTCAGCGTTCCTTTGAGCATCACGGTGTCGTTCTGAATCTCTTTGTGGTTCACGGTAACGTTCTGAATCTCTTTGTGGTTCACGGTACCGTTCTGGATCCCTAGGAATCTCACGATACCGTTCTGAATCTCTTGGAGTCTCACGGTAACGTTCCGAATCCCTGGAAGGCCCAGGAGCATCTTTAAGTTGGCTTGAACGTGAATCACGGCCTTGAGAATCTTTTAGGTATGAATCTTTGGGGTAGAAATCAGACGAATATGAATCTTTAGGGTATGAATCCCTTGAATAAGAGTCACGCTGTTGTCTACCGCTGTCTCGTGAGCTGGCTGGGTCTCTAACAGAATCCCTGGCTTCACGTTGCCTTTCAGAACCTTGATCACGTTGATTCTCCCTCATCTTAACACCGTGAGTATCCTTCCTCGGCGACAAGTTTTGCTCACCGTACTTGTTGAGACCAGAAGGACCTGGTTGTTGATCATCCCTCAAGAACTTGTTGGTCATCGTGCGACACCGTGGCTTCATTTCGATGCCCGGTTGCTTCGGCACGGACGCCGAGTTCGACTTCTGTTGTCTCATATGAGTTTCGCCTCTGGAGATTTTCAGCCGTTCCGATGAGTCAGTACGTTGAACCCGGCCCTTCAATCGTTCCGATGAGTCAGTACGCTGAACTCTGCCTTTCAAACGTTCCGACGAGTCAGTACGCTGAACTCTGCCTTTCAAACGTTCCGACGAGTCAGTACGTTGAACCTGAGCGAACTTCTGATTCTGCCCCATCTTCTGATTTGTCGTAGCGCGACTTCTTCGCTTCGCTGACATTGTTTCACTAGGCTTAATCTTCATAACCGGCAGAACATAATCGTTGTCGGCGGCGCACGGTGTGACCGGCTGACTGACGGAATGTGGCTGTACTGTAGCGGCCGTGCTCCGGCCTACATTCAGCATCATTTCCATGGCCAGCTCTTGTTGTTTGCGATTATGTTCTTGTTGTTTTCGGTTGTGTTCTTGCTGTTTCCAGTGGTTTTCTTGCTGTTTTCTGGCGTGCTCTTGCTGTTTCCAGCTGTGATCTTGAGGTTTCCATCCATGATCTTGACCTTTCCAACCATGATCTTGAGCCTTCCTATTTCGACTATCCATTTCGCGTTGATTCGCGGCCATAGCCCGGTATTTCTTCGTGATATCAACGTCAAGCGGCAAGCATAACCACATCCTTGAAGGTATAACCAGCTCCGAGTCCGAAGCCGTCCGCTTCAGCTCAATAATCGGCTTCCGACGACGGTAGCTGGTCAGAACACGAATGTCAAAGGATCTTCGTCTCGGCTTCTCTTTGGCCTCCTTCGCTCGTTTATGGTTCTCCTCGAGACTTCGGGAGTAGAGTTCGAGAAAGTTGTCGTGACAATCAAGACCGACCGGTCGGCTACGGATGCGGGCTTGTTCGTCACGTCGTCGCTTGATCTCTCGCATCTCTTTGTGAGCTCGGGTCGCGTCCACGACGGTTTTGCCAAAGGATGAGGTTCGCGAGCGTGATTGTGGACTGTCGTGCTTTAGTGGGCCGCTTAGGACAAAGTCGGACTCATCGGTTTTGTTGACTGATTTGTCACTGCCTAGGGACTTGTGGACTGATCTATCACTGCCCAAAGTCGAACTTTTGCCCATGTCACTGCCAAACGTCGAGCTTCTCGTGTTCTCCCCACCAAACATGGCATTCTTGTTACTATCGCTTCCAAACGTCGAGCTTCTTGGGTTCTCGAAATTGACCGACTTATCACTACCTACAATTGAACTCCGACTAGTCGTGTTCCATCTGGGTCCAGAGAATCGACTGGACGCACTCTCGTTACTACCGACTCGAACTCGCTCCTGAGGTTGTGGTTCGAGGCGCTTCGAGAACAACTTCTTCCATCCCAACAGCTTTCTCGTGCTCTGTGAGCTCTCGTACGAATGGGCACGGTTGCGGAACATGTCCACCAGCTCGGTATGTTTGTCCTTGCGCTCTTCCAGCTCCAACCTTGACAGCTTCTCCTGAGCCTTCTTCACATTTTCATTAATTTTGCCATCTGTGTGGGACTTCTTTCCCAGCTCTACCGTATCCTCGTCCTCTTCCTTAATCGAGCCTACTGTATTCAGTGAGCCACTGCCCGAGTTGTGTTTCTTTTGATGCATCGAGGGCGGGGTAACGGGATTTCGTTGTTTTTTGACCGGTCGAGAGCCGAGCGAGTAAGCACGATCGTTTCGACCGTACCGACGCAGCTCGTCTGCGCTGTGGTCACGGTTGGTTTGAGCTGTTTTCGTACTGGATTGCATGGAATTGGAGAAGGAGGAAGTTTGAGTACGTGGAGAACAACAACTTTCATCCGATAAGCATCGGTTCTCGCCGAAATTGTAGGCATTCACCCCGAGGGCATCTTGTTCATCCTCACGCATCATCATGTAATCAGCATTCGGACTGGAGATTCGGTTTTGGAACATTGAACCAGTGTTACTGGTGGAGCTGACCACCGCTTTGGTTGGACTACTAGAGTTTCGGGCCGCAGCGAACGCCGCCTTCCCACTGGTCGTGTTGATGGGCGGTGCTTTTTTGGGTATGGTGTTCATGGACATGGTGTAGTCCTCTTGTGGCTCATTTTTGTGGTTCTCGTTGGCTTCGCGGATCTTTTTCTCCTGGATTTTACGCGCTTCTTCGGCCGTTCTGCGAACGTTCTGGTTCGATGACGATATGGTTAATGACTTGGGAAGCCGGAAGCTCATCAGCCCGGTAAGACTGGGCTTTTTGGGTGGGGAGGCGGGGGTGGATTCGTCGGAGCGTGGGCTTTCCTTGTCTTTGTCCTTGGTTTCGGACCGTTTTGTGAGTTTGAACAGCTTTCGAAGCACGCTTTTACTGGCTTTTTCCTCTTCCAATCGCTTCCGTTCGGCTTCTTCTTCTTGGCGGAGGATGCTGAAAGTTAAGGGCATGCAAAAATTGTTTTAAATCTTCGTATTTTCCTTTTCTTCTTACAAGTTTTTTTTTGGCTTCAATTAGCCTAAAAAATGAAAAAGACCGAAAAAACCGCAACCCGCAGACCTCTACCAAGTCAAATAGTACTAGGACTGGGTTTTCTAAAGGTTAATAACCAATTTTTTTGCCCCTTTTTGTTGTGTAAAGAAAGTTATGTCCATAAAAATGTCACTTACTCTGGATTCTCGGCTATTAATCGTTCTCTTTCTTCTTTTTTCCTTTCTTCCTCGAGTAATAGTGCTTCTTTCTTCAGGTGCTCCTCTTCTAGTCGAGCGATTTCTGTTTCATGTTCTTCTACTTTGTCACGATGCGATTTGGACTTGATCAAACGGTCGGATATTCCTGGTCTGGAAATGTTTATGTTTAAAATGGCACTATGATCTTTAAAACAGCACCATTAATACTAAAAGTACTACTATTATGTTTATAATTACTACTGGTACTTATAAATATGATACTGGTACTTCTGGTACTGTTGCTGTTTATAAACATGATACTGGTACTAGCGGTACTTATAAACATGATACTGTTACTCCTGGTACTTAGAAAAATGATACTGAAAATGCTTGTACTGTTGGTACATATTAACATGATACTGGGACTCCTAGTATTTATAAACATAATAATGGTATTAGTAGTACTTATGAATTAAAAATAGTGCACCTAGTACTAAAAAACCATGAATAACATAAAAAACCCACAATCCAAGGTGAATACCCTGACTTCGCCTCATTTCCGCTTCTTCCAGATACAGCTCTGACATCCGCGTTCGTATGTTCGATGCCATATACATGGACTCGGTCAATAACCACAAATCACCCGGTCCATACGAAGAACAACGGCCGTTTCGTATTATCACATACTTATCTTGACTACCGTATTTTGATACTGTACTTAACTGTAAATGGGAAGATTTTAATGCATATGATAAGCTTGTGTTACAATACAAAAAAATTGCAGGAACTTTCTTTACAAAATGTAAAATCGCAATAACTTTCATTACGTGCCAAAAAATGGCAAGAACTTTCTTTACAAACTCAAAAATTGCAGTTTTAAAAGCCCTACCGGAAAGTCATGATAATCCTGGACACAAAACGCATTCTCAGCCATCGAAGCATCCGCCAACGGCTCCACATCCAACTTAAACAACGTGATTGAAGCCGACTTGACACATAACCGTCTCCTTCCCAACATGTGTGGACACCGGCTAGCCAAATCATCATGACCAGCCGTATCATTAGCCCTCAGCCGCAGCTTCGGCTTCTGAACTACCTCAACATCCCACGCCGCGCTAAAGTACTCCTCTTCCAGTACTTGTCGGTTCAGACGCTCAGCTCGTGCTTCACGACATCGGTCACGGAACTCGACAAAGAAATTGTCAAAGGAAACAGCGTTCTCATCGATGGAAATGTAAAATGTGTCGGATGGGGTCATCACTGATATGATTTTGGTTTTTAGACCAACTGGGTCGTCCTGGAATAGCATTTTTATATTTTTTTTGCTAAAGGTGATGATAATTGGCTAATACTGAATTTTTAAAAATAAAAATATTTTTTACATTGTTGGTACTATATAGTATGATACTGTATCGTTAAACGTGAAAATCATCATTATACTCAATTAGTACTACATATAGTAGTATATTCTAGTGTAAATTATGATAATTTGTACTGTATATTATACTACGAAAGCATGACGCTTGAGAACCTAATGTTTGAATTTTTGGTGCTATATAGTACGATACTAAATTGCTTAACATAAAAAGCGTTACGATACTCTATTTCTACTATATATAGTATCATATTCTAGTCTAAAATATAAAAAACACGTTTTTATATTTTTCGTACTAAATAGTACCATACTATGGTATAATGCACAAAATTAAAATTTTTGTGATTCTCTGAACTGTATATTACCCTACAAAAACGCAGTGCTTAGAAATCAAAATTTTTAAGTCTTGGTGCTATATAGTACAATACTGTATCGCAAATTTTTTATGCTGTACCCCAAAGTTTTTTAAGACTTACGACTTTACAAACATTGAAAACCGTCCTCAAATCAATGATATGTCGACCGGCTTCTCCTTTATCGAATTCGCGAGAATTTTTGTATATCTCACACATGAACGATCGTAGCGCTATGTAGCATTTCCGTATCTTGTTGCGGCGCTAAAAATTATTTTTTATTTCGCATTGTGTATATTTTCTATATATTATTGTATATTTCAATATAATCTACATAATTTTTCATGGTCATATCGTCACTTATTGCCTTATTTTGGAGTATTTCTATAAACTTCTTGACCTGTAGAGGCAAAAATTAATATCTCTGAACATTTTGATCGTTCCTTATTTTTATAAGTTACTCTACCATTTTATTTATTTCTACGAACTTTCTGACCTGATATCACACTTACATCCTTAATAGGGTAGAGTCGATAGCGTCCCGCACTACATATCACATTTTCGACATGACCGGTCTGTTTGAAGAACATATGTGGCATGCCATTCGTTTGGAACGGGCTGCCCAAATTGGGTACGGGCCCAGAAAGGGCCATTACACTGGGTGGTACACTGTATTACACCTCGTATCTAGAACAACATAAGATTTGGTGATGACAGGGTTTTCTCACTATCATTAATGGTCATAACTCAATCAATAAGCATGATATCGACACGAAATTGTTAGTATATATTCAAATTCCTAATCTCTGTATAAAGGTTTATACTTGACCTTAACTCTCCCCAGTTTCAGACTTCAATGACAAAAGATTTACCTTGATATACCACATCATTTGTCACAAAATATTAATCTTTACATGGTAGTAACCAAATAGAGTTCCAATAAAAATTCGCGCCTACAAAAACCCCCACAAACAGTTGTATTTCCAAGTTGTAGGCCAAGTTTTAGAATAACAAAACTAAATTGAGTGCCGTTTAAGAGAATAAACTACAATTTGATGAACACGCAAAACAACAAGTCTGCAAAAACTTTGTTTCCAGAATAACAAAAACAAGGAAAAATAGGGAGAAAACAACAACAAATTTCGAAGAAAGAGTGCTATATAGTGCGATACTGTATCGCTAAACTTAAAAATCATCATTATACTCGTTTGGTACTACATATAGTACCATGTTCTAATCTAAGTAACGAAAATATCTTTTTTAGGTCCACACTACCAAGGCCGGGCGCGAGGGGGGGGGGTACAGGTACCCCCCGGGGAAAAAAAATTTTTGAAAAAAGTTGAAAGTGGTCCCCCCTGTGGATTTTCGGAAAAAAAAATTTCGCAAAAAATCGGCACAGGTAGCCCCGGCCAAAGCCAGTTCTTGAACTCAGGCCAAAAGCCATAAATGTGCCAAAAACCGCAACAACTTTGTTTAAACTGAAAAATTTGAGAAATATAATTCCATCCCTGCCAACAACATCAAAAACCGGAGAAACTTTGTTTACAACCGCTTTCTAATCCAGAATTTCAAAAAACCAATACGAAATTCCGTATTACGTACGTCTGCATGTCAATAAAGCATAGTAATAAAGCCAAAACACCTCTAATATAAATATGTAACGATAAAAGAAAGATAGATGTAATCCAGTAGCTGTTTTCCCCTCAGGGCCTATTCGCTAATCTGGCCTTAAAAGAGCCAAAATGGATACAAAAGTAATCGAAATGAGAGAGCAGGCGAAAACGAGAGAGCGACTAGAAGAGATGATGTTAATTTACATTATTTGAGATTAAAACTGCGTAAATGTAAATGAACGTAGTGTAGATGACATTGAAATGTGTAGTATGTGTTACATTGCTTGTGTTGCGAAAGTCTTGACGTACCGTAGTGTAGAGTATGGTGTTTGTGATTTGAAAAAAAGCGTGAATTCTCGATTTTAAAGTGCTTTAAATTTGACGCCCTCTTAGCATTGTAATTCAATGGTAGATCGTACCGGCCGGCCTCTGGACCAAAGTTTGAAGAGCTGATCATCATTTTTCATCAAACAACAACATGTTTGAAGAAAAATATTCATAACTCCCCAGAATCCATGAAATGAAGCTTCTAAACCTAGCGAAAACAAAGAAAAACTTCTTACTTTCTATTTGATTCAAATATGACTGACTGGACAACTAAAGCATAATTTTGGTTCATCATTGGCATCTACAACAACATGGTTAACATAGCAGATCCATAATACTGCAAAGAACTCTAGATGTCACTCCTAAATCAATGAAAAACAAATAAAAACAACTTACCTTACATTTGAGTTGTATTACTCGACTCCAGCATCTATAACAAAAACTTGATCCATCATTGATATCTAAAACAATATATTTGAACTCAATAATTGAGGTTATTGGAGCAAATGAAAGAGCAAAAAAATTGGAAAATACCGTATTTTACTTTTTAGACCTCCAGAACTTCATAACTATAAATTTCAAAACAATTTTTGAAATTTAAAACTTGTTGACATCGAAAATAAGTTAAAGAAACTTGATGTGAAAGGTTCTGAGCTTAAATATAAGACAAAAACAAAGATAATATAGCCAATATTGGCTTGAAAAATAACAACAAATACCTGTAAAAGACTTTTATGGACTTTATGTTAAAAATCTCATCTTAAAAAATGCCAATATTATCGATGAAAACAAAAAAAACTTAATAAAAAAGTTAATTTTGATGTCTAAAACATCTTTTTCAGCCCAGACAGCTAAATTATTGTTAGTTTTACGTCTAAAATAATATTATAAAAGTCAAAACACTTTGTTTTCCACCCAAAAAACATCATTTCAATCCGAGAAATTGGCATTTTATCTAAAATAATAACGAAAAACAAGCCAACACCTGCACTTTGGGCCCAATTTTCATTTCAAAAATCGCAAAACAAAAACCCCTCGAGGCTGGAATGTATTTTAGAGCACGAATTTAATTAAACTTTCCACAAAAACGTCATGAAAATAACACAAACAAGTCCATAAACCCTCACATGTTTACAACATGGAATATGTTTTCGGGGTGGAAAGAATAACGTTTATATTATACATGGCATCGAATTAAGACTTGTTTACATTACTTTCCACCATCCCCACGGCGGCTTTTTACACCTCTAAAACATCAAACGAACAAAATTAATTTCCATTCCATTTCTTGACGTTTTTTGTTTTCGAGCGTCGCAAAATTAGGAAAAACAAGTTTTGAAGATTTTATGGGTCCCGCAACGAAAGGCAGGGTTGAATTGGCATTGTGTTTTAAATTTAAAAAATATTTTTTAATTGAAATGCGTTTTACTATAGTAATTACAACATAATAGAGTAAAATTAAATTAGTTTTAAGAATTAGTACTACTGGTACTGCTTTTTTGAGTCCTACCACGAAAACCTGTCTATTGCAAAAAGATGAATTTTCCTTAACAAATGACTGTTTTATAACTTAAAAATTGTTTTGAAAGTCTTGTAAAGTAAGCCAAATTAAACATTTTTATTATTGGTACATTTGGTACCACATTGTAGGTCCTGTCACGAAAACCTAACTTGTGGAATAAACAAATTTTTTACTTTAAATTGAAGTAGTTATAGCTTGAAAACAGTTCTATAAATCTCGTAACCTTACAAAAATTGTAATTTTCGTAACTTGTACCCTTGGTACCATTATTTCGGTCCCACCACGAAAACCTGTAAAGTCATCCAAAAGCGCTGCTTCAAATGACCGAAAACCTTTACAATAGTGAAATATCACCTTTTACAGTGTAATTTTAGTAAAAAAACATAATTTATGCTCCGTATTCGTGGTATACGAAGGTAAGAACACCATATTACCGTAATTACAACCTTTATTACGTAAAAAGTTAATAAATAGTTATTTATAAAACCAGAATAACGTAGTAATTTTGTGTTATCTTGGCGATAACAGGGAAAATTATAGTCAAAAGATTAAAAAACTACCGTAGTATGTCATTACTGTGGGTTGGAAGCCTACCATTACCGTAGTCTACAATAAACTTCCAAAAACTACCATAACACACGATTACTGTAACATACAAAAAAACTACCGTAACAGAAGATTACTGTAAGACACGTTTACAAAAAATGGACCGATATATATTGTGGGTTACTGTAGGTACTATCAAGTGTACTGTAGTAAATACCGTAACTCTTTTAAGAGAAAACGATACATACTAGAGCAACGAGCACACGTTACAGTAACATATTTGTTTTTTAGTATTGTCAGACGATTAACATACAATGTCAGGGTGACAACATACGATGTTGACCCTAGGTAACATTGACCTTAAAAATAAATAATTTAGGTATTAAAGACACACTTTTAGGTAATTTCGAGTTATAAATTAGTTAAATAAGGCATCTTTTACTGGTTATCACTATGAATTTTAAAAAATTGAATTTGCAGCCTGCGCCCTGTATAGCGCAGACTGCAGTTTTTCAATTTTACTCAAAACATGTCTATTACACATTAGTTGACGGGAAAGCTACTAAAAAAATATTTTATAGATAGTATAACACCTATAAAGTACGAAACGAAGACATGATATTACCATAAAACTACTATAATATCAAAAAACATCTAAAACAAATATTGCCAAAAAAGCTACTTTAAAATAACAAAATTAGTAAAATAAGATACGTTACTACTATAAAAAGATGATATATTACTATGAAAAACTAAAACAACAAAAACTATTACAATAACCTAATACAACATAAAATTTAATATAAAAACATCAAAAAACCTTTACAACTAACACAGACCAAGTTTAAAAGCATTCTTCAGCATTTGACAGTCGAATAATTCTTTTTCCAACCATACCACAGCATATAACGCCTTAAATTGGCAGTTCGAGCTTCCTATTCTCCCTGACAACACGTGTGACATAAAGATAGAAGAAGTCGGCATACAAAACAGTCTGTACGATTCCTGATACCACAACAATTGGGTCGAAGAATCCGTCCGTAAAGTATCTGTAGAGCCAGTTTAGAATGTACAATCCACGATAACTGCCCAAGGCGAAGAGGTAATGAGCTGTGATGGTTTCGGCTTCGCCACGACGTTGAAGCATGAACAACTGTGGCAGAATGGCGACGGCTTCCAGATAGATGGAGAAGGTCCACAGCACCTCGAGCACCGTGAACTCGGCGTTGATGAACAGGGCTAGAACGGCGCATGGAACGATGAGAAGTTCGACGCGGAACACGTCTTCTTCCTTGTTCAATGTGCCGCGGAACTTGTTGTACATCATGTAGACCGTGGCGTAGAGTGAGGCGATGAATAGGATCTGAAATAAAGTTTAAAAATATCGTTGTTATAAAAAATGTACAAATAAATACTGTCAGTGCACTAGTTTAGTCAAAAACACACAAAAACTTTGAAAGAACACCTAATGATTGGCATGTTACACTAAATTTTGATACATCTTGAAAACTAATAAACCTAAACCTATAAAAATTGGTCAAAAGTAAGATATTTTAACGCTTTTAACTATGTAGGATTCAATTTTAGCATATGTTATCACAAAATTCAGATATCACTAAAACACCTATATTACTATAGGTCAATGAACTAAAATCTTTCATAACGTTTATAATAACAAGCAAACTGTCTCCGTATTACATCCACATCATCTATTGGTCTTCCCTAAACACAAAAAACAAAAAAATAAGTCACATACCTTCATGATCGAGTTGTAGACCGAAACGAAGGTGGTGAACAAGTCCAGATATCGGCAAGTGAACACCAACGCGAACAAGATCTGGGATTTACCGGAGATACCGGCACACGAACGAGTCTTCCAGATCTTCCATAACAAGATCAGAATGGCAAACAAGTGGCTGAGATCCGCCACCAAACGGAAGATATTCATGGTGAATATAACCTAAAACAATATTTTTAGCTGTGAAAAGCGGAATTGATAAGAAAACGCGTGATTTAGATACGTTATGTAAAAGACATTGAAAAATAATAATATAACAATTTTAGATCTAAATATCGACTTAAAATTCTTATTTCCAACAGAAAAACCAAGTTTTTATTGTTTTATGTATACCTACTTGGCTAAGCATGGCTATATTTGTTAAACTGAAACATAAGTTTTTACAAAATATACGTAAAAAACATCAGAGAATCATAATACAACATTTTTGAATTGAAATATTGACTAAAAGCCCTTGTTTCCAATGCAAAACCAAACCTCTTCACTGTTATAGCTATACCTGTTTCCAGATGCCCAAAAGAGATCAAATGTGATCAACTAAAACCTAAATTACAACCAAACAGATCAAAAACATGTCGTCAAATCCAAAAATGATCTCAAAAACATCAAATAATAGCTAAAACTACAAGTTTTGCCGCAAAAACCTTCGTTCGTCCATCAAAATCCCCGAAAATCTTATATTTCCCCCGTTCAAAAGCTATAAAACCTTAAATTAAACCTCAAAACTTCAATATAAACTCAGTAAAAATGTTGATAATATCAACGTGGTTATGTAGGATAATTAAAACGTGAAAAGACATTGAAAGCACGCCATAATGGCTACAAAAATACAAAGGAAAGTCGGTTGCCACGTTTCAAAAATGGACGAAAAGCGCGTTTTTTTTATTTTTCGCAAAAAAGCGACGAAAATAGATTTTTGTAGAGGAAAAGATGGGGAAATGGACATAAATAGACCTCAACTTGAAGGTTTGGTGAGAAAAATATTAATAATATTATTCATGAATATATTCATGTTTATGATAAGTCAGATTGACATCTAGCAAAATATTACTAAAAAGAGTATCTAGGCTTATATAATTAGACTTTTATTTTGAAAAATATAATTTTAAACCAAATTGGATTAGGCTTAAAAACGTGCTTAAAAAGCTTATTTTTAGGCTTAGCAGGCTTAATCTTAGTGGCTTTAAGATTGTTAGGTTTATGTTTTTTAGGCTTAAATTTCATAAGCTTAGGGTTATAGGCTTAAGTTTAGAAGTAGTAGGATTAGGCTTAGTAGGCTTAGGCTTAGTAGGCTTAGGCTTAGTAGGCTTAGGCTTAGTAGGCTTAGGCTTAGTAGGCTTAGGCTTAGTAGGCTTAGGCTTAGTAGGCTTAGGCTTAGTAGGCTTAGGCTTAGTAGGCTTAAAATTAGTAGGCTTAAGGTTAGTGGGCTTAGGCTTAGTATGCTAAGGCTTAGTAGGCTTAGGCTTAGTAGGCTTAGGCTTAGTAGGCTTAGGCTTAGTAGGCTTAGGCTTAGTAGGCTTAGGCTTAATAGGCTTAGGCTTAGTAGGCTTAAAATTAGTAGGCTTAGACTTAGTATGCTAAGGCTTAGTAGACTTAGGAGGCTTAGGCTTAGTAGGCTTAGGCTTAGTAGGCTTAGGCTTAGTAGGCTTAAGATTAGTAGGCTTCGGCTTAGTAGGCTTAGGCTTAGTAGGCTTAGGCTTAGTAGGCTTAGGCTTAGTAGGCTTAGGCTTAGTAGGCTTAAGATTAGTAGGCTTAGACTTAGTAGGCTTAGGCTTAGTAGGCTTAGGCTTAGTAGGCCTAGGCTTAGTAGGCTTAGGCTTAGTAGGCCTAGGCTTAGTAGGCTTAGGCTTAGTAGGCTTAGGCTTAGTAGGCTTAGGCTTAGTAGGCTTAAGTTTAGTAGGCTTAGACCTAGTAGGCTTAGTCTTAGTAGGCTTAGAAAACTAATTGAAAAATCCGGCTGTACTCATATGTAAGTTAGGCTTGATATAAGTTTACCGTGCTTATCTTAGGACCTTTAAGCCTAAAAAATATTTAAAATTTTAAAATTTGAAGAAATCCTTCAAAAAAATGAAGGGCTTGTTCTAAAGTGATACAATTTTTTACGATAATAAACATGTAAAAACGAGAAGCAACACCAATTTCTAGATCGATGTTCGTCTTCCACATCAGCACGAATAAATAAACCAGAGTCCCCCCCCCCCTCTTTTTTTAAAAATCGTTCGAATCCTATTCGCTTCGAAACGAAAAAATCGTTTGGAAAAGAAAAGGCCAGATGGACATGTGTTCCAAACTTTATATTACACTCAAAGGTCAATACATTAATATTTGGGTAATGATTTGGAGCTTTTAGTGAAACAAAATGATGCTTAGGCTTGAGTTATTACTGCGACAAAGGTTTAGGATCAGAGACAGGCTTGAACTTAGTATTAGGCATAGCCTGAGGCTTGAGATTTAAATTGGGCATGGAGCTAGGATTAACTTTAGACATATGCATATCTTTAGGCTTAGTCTTGGGACTAGGCGTGGGCACAAATTTAGGTTTAGGCTTAGCTTTTAGTTTAGTAAGCGCAGGCTGAGTTTTAGGTTTAGTTTAAGTTCAGGTTCAGCTTCATGTTCAACTTCAAGTTTAGTTTAAGTTTAGGTTTAACTTTAGGTTTAGGTTAAGGTTTAGGCTTAGGCTTAGGCTTAGACTTAGGCTTAGGCTTAAACTTAGGCTTAGGCTTAGGCTTAGGCTTAGGCTTAGGCTTAGGCTTAGGCTCAGGCTTAGGCCTAGGCTTAGCCTTAGGCTCTGAATTAGGCTTAGGCTTGGGCTTAGGCTTTTGCTTACGCTTGGGCTTAGGCTTAGATTTAAGCTTAGGATTAGGCTTAGAGTTAGGCTTTAGCTCAGGCCCAATCTTAGGCTTAATCTTTTGTTTAGGATTAAGGTTATAGTAATGCTTAGGCTTATACTTCTGAACAAATTTAACCACAGGTTTGAGCTTTAACTTAGAAATATCCTTAGGCTTCAGTTTAGGCTTATGCATAAATTTAGAGTTGTTGCTGTTAGCTTTAGACATATGCTTACAATTAGATTGATGTATAGGTTTAAGTTTAGGTTTAGGCTCAGCTTTAGGCGTTGGTTTTCGCTAAAAAAAAGTTTATATTTAACTGTGTATGAAAAAAGAATGGCATGCCATGGCACAAGAAACAAAAAATTGAAGAAAAGGTGGAAAAAAGGCTAAAAATGACAAATGAAAATGAAAATTTGCATATATTGAAAATGAAAAATTAAAAAATTCATTTTTTCACAAAACAGGTGAAAACCCGGTTGGACATTGACGGTTCTGATCTTGATTTGTCACTAAAATTCAAGGTTTTGGCTGGATTCTGGAGCTTTGTTGTAGGCTTCTACATTCATTCTGACAGTGCGATTCTGACGCAGGGATTCTGGTTTTGAACTGAGCGATTCGTTGTAGGTAAGGGCTAGTTTTTTAGGCTTACTAAAAAAATTTTAAAGCATTAAATTGTATTAGGTGCCGACATAAAGAACCCGCCATGTTTTACAGGAAGTTACGGAAAAAGTATGGCGGGTTCTTTATGTCGGCGCCTAATATTAGGTTGTTCACTTAGTTCTGCGCCTTTTCACACAGCAAATTGGTAGGGTACGGGGCACAGAATTATGTAGACGACCTAATAGTTTAATTTTTTAAAAATTTTTTTTCATTTTCAGTACCATCAGTACCAGAATGGCCTCGAAGAAGGACTTGAAGAAACTTTCTTTCCGCGAGAAGGCTGACATTTTGGATCCGCCGACGAAAGATGTCTCTAGTAGTTCAGATGGCAAGGAGACCAAAGACCCGCCCAAAGTGTCAACGGATAAAACCCAGAAGGAGGACAATGGGGTGGAGCCGAGTGCTGTAGGTATTGGCTGGGTCTTTGGGCTAGGGCTGTGAACTAGCTTATTGTTGAAGCTAGAGCTAGGGCTCTAGGCTATGGCTAGGGCTAGGGCTCTGGGCTAGGGCTCTGGGCTAGGGCTCTGGGCTAGGGCTCTGGGCTAGGGCTCTGGGCTAGGGCTTTGGGCTAGGGCTAGGTCTATGACTAGCTAGAACAATATTTTAGCCTAATATCCTCATAAGTTTCAGGCCAACACTCGCCTGTCGAAGATGTTCAGTGGGGTCAAAGCGGAGAAGCCTTTGAATCTGAAGAACCTGATCAAAGACCATCTGATGGCGGGTGCCAAGCGAATGGACTACGAACCAACGATTATTTATCAGCTTCTGGAGCTAGCCAAAGACTCGTTTCAGAAGCAGGAACCGCTGATTGAGCTGAATGCACCGGTCAATATCTGTGGCGACATTCACGGACAGTACAGTGATCTGTTGCGCATCTTCAACGTGAGTTTTGGGGTTTAGTTTTTGATGCAAAAAGAATGGCGTGTTCAAAATTTGAATCATTTTTTGATGCAAAAAGAATGGCGTGTTCAAAATTTGAATCATTTTTTGATGCAAAAAGAATGGCGTGTTCAAAATTTGAATCATTTTTTGATGCAGAAAAAATGGCGTATTCAAAATTTAAATCATTTTTTGATGCAAAAAGAGTGGCGTATTTAAAATTTAAATCATTTGTTGATGTGAAAAGAATGGCGTGTTTAAAATTTAAATTATTTTTTGATGCAAAAAGAATGGCGCCGATAGTTTTTTTTCATTTTTTTGATGCAAAAAGAATGGCGTGTTCAAAATTTGAATCATTTTTTGATGCAAAAAGAATGGCGTGTTCAAAATTTGAATCATTTTTTGATGCAGAAAAAATGGCGTACTCAAAATTTAAATCATTTTTTGATGCAAAAAGAATGACGTTTTTCAAAATTTAAATAATTTTTTGATGCAAAAAGAGTGGCGTATTTAAAATTTAAATCATTTGTTGATGCGAAAAGAATGGCGTGTTTAAAATTTAAATTATTTTTTGATGCAAAAAGAATGGCACCGATAGTTTTTTTTCATTTTTTTGATGCAAAAAGAATGGCGTATTCAAAAACCAAAAATTTTAGAGCTGTGGTATGCCATTCAAAGTACGATACCTCTTCCTGGGCGACTACATTGATCGAGGCAAGCATTCGATCGAAGTGATCATGTTGTTGTTGGCATGCAAGGTGAAGTATCCCAAGAACATCTACCTGCTACGAGGGAATCATGAACTCAAGAACATCAACAAGTAGGGTTTAGCTTTGGCCTTGCCCCTTGGCCTTGCCTCTTGGCGTTGCCTTGACTTGCCCTGGGGCTTGTCTTGGGCCATGCCTTTGGCCATGCCCTTGGGCTTTGCCTTGACTTGTCTTGGGCCTTGCCTTGTCTCAATAATGCTTAACCTTAAACTCTTTCCAGAGTCTACGGATTCTTCGAAGCCATCAAGAAGCGCTACAACTCGGACACTCAACTGGTCGACGATCTATACCTATTCTTCAACGAGGTCTTCTCCTTCATGCCATACGCCGCCCTAGTGTCCAGGAAGATCCTATGCATGCATGGTGGTATATCACCTCGATTGAACTCGCTGGACGATATCCGTAAGTTGAAGCGAGGTCGACTGGTCATGGAGAAGAACACTCTGGAGCAGGACCTGCTGTGGTCGGACCCACAGAAGGGTGTCAAGGGCTACGAGCAGAACAAGATTAGGTCAGTGTCAGTATTGTTTGGAGAAGAAGCGGTCAAAGAGACATTGGCAAGGCTGAAGATCGACATGGTGATTAGGGCTCATCAGGTAAGAGAGAGGGTTATTAGAATGTATAATAGTTGAAGGTATGGTAGGGCAAGGTAATGTAAGGCAGTATAAGAGTTGGGTGAGGTAGGGTAGCGAGGTCATTTTAAATTGTGGGAGGGTAGGAGAGGGGCAGGGGCGGATATATATTAGGGTAGGGTTTGGTGAATTTTATAAGATATTTCAGGGCAGGGTAAGGCTTGGGCAAAAGAAGATAATGTAGAATATTCTAAGGTAGTGTAAGGTAGGGTAGTGTAGGGTAGAGTACGGTAGGGCCTTGGGTACGATAGGGCCTAAGGTACGGTAGGGCCTAGGGTACGATAGGGTAGTGTAGGGTAGGGTATATAACTAATTTCATTTTTGTAGGTAGTAGAATTTGGCTACGCCTTCTTTGCTAACCGTTCCGTAATCACAGTGTTCTCGGCGGCACGGTACACCGAAGACTTGTGTAACTACGCAGCGGTGGTCCAGATCAGTTCGAAGCTAGAATGTTCTTTTACCCAGCTCAAACCGATCGAATTCGATGAAAAGAAACGTGAGAAACAGATCGTGAGAACGATGGACTGTGACGACGAAGAATGATGTTGGCACGGTGAATGGAGTGAGGCGAAGAGTGATTGGCAATTCAAGGTTTTTGATTGATTTTAGGCGGAAATAAACTGATCTTGTACATGTTTTGTTGGTTTAGCGATTGATTTTTAGGACATGAGGCAGAGGTGGGGTAGGGACGATGAGGGGCGAGGGAGCAAAAGGGATGATTAGGGGGAGCGGGCATAGGCAACTAGAAGAAGCAATACAAGAATTGGCTACTTTATTCCTACTTTAAGACTCCACTTAGAGGTACAGTAGCATCAGACTGCTGTAGGATAGAGCTACGGAACACATAAGATAGAGTAAGGTTGGGTAGAGTACAATAAGGTGGTCTAGGGATAATAGGGTTGAAAAACAGGTCCGGCTTCATGTTTAGGCCCAACCCCGTTTTCAGCTTTTCTCAGTCCGGCTCGGCTCCTAACCTATGGGCCGGGCCGTCCAAATTCTACACATTAAGCCCGGCCTGTTTCTCAGTTCAGCCCCATTAGCCTTTACCCACCTTATCGTACTCCACCCTACCTTACTCTATCTTGTGTAGGGCTTTGGGCTAGGGCTCTGGAATAGGGCTTTAGACTAGGGCTCTGAGCTAAAGCTCTAGACTAGGGCTCTTGTCTGAGAATTACGTTTAGTTTGGTAAGAAATCACATTATATTAGAGTGTAAAACTAATCGCTCGGGCGCAGCGGCTCAAACCCAGCTTTGATTTTTGTAAGCGCCAAAAAAAGGTAAACGACGCGGTAAAAGCTGTTTACTTTGCTTTTTTCTTATTTTTATCTTGCGCGTTACGGCCATATCTAGTGTTATAGCTTAATATATTTATACATTTGTAACTTCAATAAAATTTAAATTGAAATGAAAATTTTTGTTGATAGTCTATCGCCAGAGGTAAGTCAATAGCAAGACTGCGAGCAATTGGATAAAGGAAAGGGATGGTGAAAAAAATAGGATTTTTTTGAGAGGGTGGGGTAGTAAAATAAAAAGTACTTTTACTTTTTAACTTTTAGTTATGGTCTATTGTCATAGGACATGTCAAATCAATGGAGGATGTTTGTTCGTTGGCTATGGTAAGCAAATACTTTTACAAGCAGGTCGACAAGGATTTTAAACGACTATGTTATAATCATGTTGTGTACCGACTCAAAGGCGAAACATGGGCATACGCTTTCTTGAAGTAAGTCTACGTTGGGTAGGGTAGAGTTGAATAGGATGGGGTAGTATAGAGTAGAGTAAAAGGGCCGAAAAATTAAGCTCTGCCCTTTTACAAGCCATGCCCTACTCTAATTCCCAGGGTTGAAAAAGTCAGTCTATAACAACTTCCAATGACACTTGATACTTTCAGCTTCGGAGCTCGTGCGTACAATTCTGTATGTAATAATAAAAATGTTTACGATGACAACGCCCTTTGTTGTCCGTTTACAGGAAAAATTGCAATATATTTGAGGCGTGGCTACGTTTTGATGACGAATATTGACTTTGGTCTTAACGAATTTACCATTCTCGACTTTACTTCATACACAACCCATATCATGTTCGTAAGCATAGTCAATAAAGGCGAAGAACTTTTGGTTCGTGCTCGATATATTGTAGTAGTATACAATCTGCATGCGAGCAAAGTGACACATGTGTTGACTGGAGAAAGAAGTCTCGAGTTTTATATGCTACAAGCTGGTGGTATTGTCGATTATTACACCAAAAAAGAGTTTCGAATTAACGCGGCGATTTCGTTTTTCGAAATTCACTATATCAACAGGTATGACAAGGTTAAATACATTGTAGTACGTACAACAAACGATCAACTTGTTGTAATTGACAATGTGACAGACGAAAGGCAGGTAATCTGCAGATGGAGAGACAAAATGAATGTTTATGTTATCAACGAAAACGACTCTGTCGTGATCTTGGGCTCCAGGGGTAAGTTGGCTAGATTTATAGTTTACGTGTCCCTTTTAGCTATAGCTCCATACCTAGTTTTAGCTCTAGCCTTAGCCCTCAGCTTAGCCCTATCTCTACCTTTCGCTGTAGTCTTAGCTCAAGCTCTACCATAGCTCTAGCTCTCAACAACTAGTTATATACCCTTACCCAATATCATTCACAATAACGAATATTCAACTTAAGCTCATAATCAAGGATGTCAAGTGTACTGTCTTAGAAGGAGAAGATTTGTGTTTGATCAAGTCAATGATGACCAGTGGTTTCTATTCAATTCCACCACGCTTTTTAAGCCAGCGGATATGACGGTAAGGACATTAAGATTTAATGATTCTACGGTTGTCGTAACAAATTAGGAACACAGAGCGAGGGGAGGGTAGAATCTTATAAAAAAATGTAATACAGCTTGTAACAAGCCTTACAGTATCTTTACATTTTAGTTTTTGGTCTACAACAAACAGATAAGCAATTGGAAAGAAATAAGACCCAACCCAGCCCTTCGACTGGAACGGAGATGTGAATGTTATTTGACTGTAAACTTTGTGCCATTACCTGCTTACCAAATCATGGAATCGTTTCAGGATGATGTCGCTAAGCGTGTTTTTTTGCGGTTTAGACCAGGCAAGTTTAGTAAAGTCTTGAGGACAGGGTATGGCAGGATAAGGTAGAGTAGGGTAAGTAGGGTGGGGTAGAGGGTGGGGTAGGGGAGGGTTGGGTAAGATAGGGTAGGGTAGGGTAAGATAGAATAGGGTAGGGTAGGGTAGGGTAGGGTAGGGTAGGGTAGGGTAGGGTAAGGTAGGGTAGGGTAGGGTAGTGCCCGACTGACAAAAAAACGCATAATGAAAGCGATGATAGTTTATTAATGACTATAAATCCTGTTTTAGATGGAGTCGAAGTAAAAACTTTTAATGCCGAAGTAGAGTTTATACCCGAAAAACATAACAATTACCAATTCATACAGAAAGACAATCACCACATTGCGCAGTTGATAAAACCGCAGTATACAATGAATAAAGAAGAAATGATTAATGTGATAGCTTGGTTCAATCAGCAGTACAATTTAAATCCAAGTGTTCCATTACTAGATGCCGAAACTGGAGCCGTCAAACACCGGTCCGACTTTTTTTCGGAGCAAATAGACTTGTGGGTCGAATATTTTTAATTGTATTGATTTTGTTTTACGAGTAAATATTATTGAAGTTTTGTAACGGCTTACAGACTCTTTTCATTAAATTTTCAACTAAAAAGCGTCCCGCTACTTTTGGTTCGACCTCATAGATAATTTACAAGGAAACTACCCAACCTGCCCGCTCAGAATCAATTCAAATTTTTATATTAATACTTTGTACCACTAGTAGTACCCATAAAAAATTTTAACTCTTATTTTTGATTTTTAAATTTGAAATATTTGGGCTTCCGCCAATGGCAAAACGAGTGGGTTAAGGATCCATCCAACGTGGCCGAGAGGTCAAGAGGTTGGTCTTGGGTGCAGAAGGCCGTAAGTTCGAATCCTGCCGGTTTCATTTTTTAGCATTTTGCCATTATGACAACAAATTTTGGTTAGACAAACAATGTTTTGCTTAAAAATATATTTCTTGTCATAATTTTTGGTTTTAGCCACTTTTGGAAACGAATATTTATCGAAAAATATCATTTTTCAAACTTTAAGCTATACTCTAGTCATATAAGCTCTTTCATCCTATATAGGTCCTATTCTAAAAGCTGAGGGATACTTGGTGCAATTGTCTAGTTCAAATTGTCAAATTCTCACAATCTGGCCATTTAAAAAATTTTTAACCGTATGACATTTTAAAGTTTTTATCGTTTTAAAAGATATTTGCTGAAATTATAGTAAGCCTAAGGTTAACAATAAAGTCTACAGTAAAATCGATTAAAAACCCTTGCTTGAAACAAATAGGTTGCCTGTTTTGGGACAACGGCCGTAGATTAGATTAGTGGACGATTTTTGATGCCGTAGAATGTAACCCGCAACCAAACTTTTTTGAAAACTTACTTTGGTTGCGTAAGGTATGTTTGGATCAGTCGCGTTAAAAAAGGTTTTCCATCTATTTGATTTTTCATTTGTATGTCAGGTATTGTGTGGTTGACTAATCGTTGCTGAGCAATTGCCATTCGAGTTGGGTTTTTTTTATAAATTTTTGATAGTGTATATTCAAGTATTTTTCTGATTTGTAAAAATATCTGCCTGATTTTATGGGTTTAAAAACATTTACAGTAAAGGTGTGTTGTTAGGCTTGTAATAAGACGTACTCACAAGTAAAGTGCCCGAACTGCCCCGCTCTGATTGAATTCAAACATTTTATATAGTAATATTACAAACCAAAGGATAGTTCCGGTGGACGACGAGGAAAACCAGATCAATTCACTTACACGCAGTACCTCAATGCAATCGTCGACATCAGCAACATATGATCTAATACATCTACGTTCCACCGACCATAAATTGATTGACAAACTTCCACGCCTGGCATCTTCAAGCTGAGCTGTTTGAGGATTCTTGTTACTACTTACACCTTATGATCATTTGTGGCCCCTTTGATGACAGATATTGATATTATTACTAAGATAAACTTAAGAACAGTTTATTTCGAAGGATAAAAATTGAAATTTTCTTTTGTTTCTCCGCTTCTGGTGTCAAATAAGGGGACATTTTCGTTGACCGTGTACAATTCAGCAAACCAATGGTAAAAGTCAGTGTTTTCTTTTGATATGGGAAACGGCATTTGTGACAGCTTTTTAATTGGATGATTATCGTTTTCAGCTGCATTTATCAGTCCGAAGGAGGCCGTCCACTTGATTTCGGGATTGAAAGTTTTTACATGGACTTTGTCTAAATTGAAACTAAAGTTATTTACGGCCTTATTTCCTACCCTACTATACCGTAGTTTGGCTTATTATCTGAAAATCTATGTACAGGTTGCGCCAAAAGTTCTGTTACAAAACTTTACCTTTTTTGAATTTCAAAAAAAATTTTTGGGTGATAAAATGTTTCTCAATCGTCTTTTCCATGACAATGAACGTAGGAATTGGCACAAAGCTCGAAAAACAGTCAAAGTTATTTCTTTTGTCCAGGTCAAGCTGTGAACCTGTTTTTACTTCGACCCACTCGTCTATTTGTTTATTGTAGACCAAAAACTGAAAATACATAAAACAAGTTTGAAACATTTACAAGGTAAGTGCTGGACCTGCTCTGATTGACTTGCAAACTTTTAAATTGACTTCAATTAAATACAGGGTGCGTAAAAGTGGTGTTACCAAACTTTACCGGTCGTTTTCTCTTTCTTGCGGTTAAAGTATATAAAAAATTTTTATTTTGTCTTATTCTCGGTTGTTTTTTCATTGTATAATCATTAAAGTTAAGTCTTAATTGTCTAATGTCTGTCTGTATTTAGATGTCAAACATGAGGGCCACCGTCACCAAATTACATAATGAAGAAATACATCTGCTGAATGGCCTCCGTATTCTCCCGATCTCAATCCTATGGATTACAGTATGTGGTCGATATTGGAGGCTAGGGTGTGTTGTAGAAGACACCAAACTTTGGAGTCTTTGAAACAAGCATTGATCGAAGAGTGGGACAAACTGTCACCGGAGGTACTGCGGCCCATCGCTGAAAACTTTTTGAAGCGTTTGCGATTGTGCCAAGCCGCAAAGGGGGGGGGGACACTTCGAAACCGATTGACTATGTTATAACTAGTACTACATGTTACTATTGTTAGCTGTTGTTTTAATTATATTTGTTGTTAGAATAAATATTTGATTAAAAAACCGGGTAACACCACTTTTTACGCACCCTGTATAAAATCTTCAGCAAAGTACTAAATTTCGCTTCTGAAATCTCGTTATAATCGGGATCAACAAAATACGTTTTGAATTTCCCGCTAAATTGGCGAGAAATTTAAATATTCCAAAGTTAAAACTCAAAGGCTATAGCTATAATTCCGTATGGGTACTATTGATGGTACAACGGATTTATAACATTAATATTGAGCAGTAGTGTAGGGTAGGGTTGCACTAATCCTATGAATATAGATTGACATATGGTTCAACCTAATAAAAACTGATTTTTCTTGCAAACCTGGGTACCGTTTGTCCCTTTCCCTCCTTTCTGGCCTCTTAATGTTCTGATTAACTTTTTTGCCTGACATTGAAATCGTAACTATAATAATTAAAAAAAACCTTAAACCTTACCGTTTTGGTCATTCGATGGAAAAGGGTATTTGAAGTGAACAAATACCATAATCTGTCATCTGATCGGTCAAAGACAAACTTTCGTCTGGTGATACTGTATACTAGACATCCAAAATTTTCAGCTAATATTCTGTAGTCTAAAAATCAAAAATATATAACAAACATAACAAAGCCAAGGGTACTGTAAAGGGAGGTGTGGAGTAATATAGGATAGGGCTTCGAGTAGGGTAGGGCCTAGAGTATGTTAGAACCTAAGGTAGTGGAAATGGTAGGGTAGGGTTCGGTAATTTAGGGTAAGGTAGGGTGAGGTAAGGTAAGATATTGTAGCGGAAGGTAAAGTGAGGCGTATATCAAAATACGTACCTATGCCACCCTTAACCACGATAGAGTTGTTCTCACTGATAACATATACATTCATATCTTGTGTCCATTCACAAACCTGCTGCCTTTCACCTGTCTCCTTATTGATTATAACAAGTTTTTTGTCGGTTGTTTGTACTGCAAGATACTTTGGCGTATCGTATCTATTGATGTAGTGAATATTGCCGTTTGGGTGTCTCGCATCAATTTCGAACTCCTTTTCCGTGTAGAGATCCAAAACAGTACCACTTTGGCGTATAATTTGGTACCCATAATTGTACCCTAGCTCATAGTGAGATGTCACTTTCATCGTACGTAGATCGTAGATTAGCACGACGGTGGGAGTATAAACCAAAAGCTGTTGGCCTCGATTGATCATGTTAACCCGGGTGATCGTGTCGGTATACGGTGTAAAGTCGAGCAAAGTAAACTGCTTGAGGCCAAAATCAATATTGGAGAGTACGACATAACCGTTCTCCAGTTTCAGTGCCACTTTACCGGTGAAGGGGCAACATACCGCGTGTTGCCAAAACATGTGCACGTTACTGAACAATGCGATGTAGGCACGACTGCCAAACCTAAAATTATGATAACAGGATCAGCAAGAACATAGCCGAGAGCTCATGAACATTGGGGAGGGCTCACGGATATCGGAGAAAGCTAGAGAACTTTGAGGAAAGCTCACGAACACTGGAGAAGGCTAGAGACTAGAAGTGGAGTAGATCCGAGGCAAGAGAGAGGTGACGGATGGCTTGGGCTAGGGTTAGAAGTAAAAAAAAGCCTTAGTAGGTTTAGTGCAGAGTTAGCCTAAGGCAAGGTAAGACAGGATAAGGTACGGGTAGAGTAAGAATAGGGTAGGGCAAGGAAAACCTAAGGTTAGAGTTAGGCTATTAGTACGGTATGGTAGAGAAGGACACGGTAGGGTAGGATAGGTAAGCTACTATTGTTATTGTAGAGCAGGTTTAAGACAAGGGTAACATATAAGTTAAAATAAAGTACGAACCGGTAAGGCTTTAGTAAGAGTATCATAGAGCAAACGTAGAATACGATAGGACAAGTGTAGGCTAGGGTAAGTTAAGACAGAATAGGGTAGGGAGTGTAGGGTAGGCTAGGGTAAGTTAGGATAAAATAGGATAGGGAGTGTAGGGGTAAAGTACATAGTAAGAGATAATTTAAGGTCATATTGAGTACAGCATATATACCATTACGTGAGGTACGGCCAAGCCGTGGTAACGCTAGGTACGATAACGCTTACAAAGAGTAATCTGAAGCTACAGTAAATCTAAAGCAAGGCTCCGTAAAAGGTATGCTAGAGTAAGATAGGGTAGGGTAGAGTAAACTTGAAAACTTACTGCGACAAAGCGTATGCCCAACATTCATTTTCCAGACGGTATACGATATGGTCGTAACATAGCTGTTTGAAATCCGTGTTAACAATCTTGTAAAAATATTTGTTAACTACAGCCAATGAACACATGTCATCCATTGATGTCATGTGGTATACGACTCTGTCCCACGACTAAAATTTGAATAATTTTGAAAAAATTGGCAAGGAAAGTCAGGGGGGGGAGGGAGTATGCCCCCAGAAAAAATATTTTGAAAAATATTGCACGTGTTCCCCCCGTAGTTTTTTTTTAAATTTAGCATTTGTGCCGATGTTTTCGACCCACGCCTCGAGATCAAAAGTGCCCCCCTCGGCTCTGAAAGTGCATTACCTGCTCCGCTCGGAAACAGCTCAAATTTTTTTACCACAAATAACACCCATAAAAATTTTTAGCTTGCGTTTTTGAGTTTTAAATGTTTAAGCATTTGAATTTCCCACCAATTTAGCAAATTTGGCATTATGTTTCAAGCACTTTTTTTGTATTTTTAGACAAGCTGCGCTTACAAATTTAAAATTTTAGGTTTATTTAAAAGTTTTTTACTAGTATATCAAAGCAAAATCACTAAAAATCAAAAAACGACAAATTTATAAGCTTGAAGCACAATGCCAACTTGGCGGGAAATTCAAAACTTAATTTTTTGATCTCGCTTTTCTTGAGATTTCCTGGAAAGCGCGGTTTAGTACTGAAGATCTTATATTTACATGACTTTTCTATTTAAAAAGGTTGAAGTCAATCAGGGCAGGACAGGTCGAGTACTTTACTTGTGAGTACATCTTATCACAAGCTTAGTAACACTCCTTTACTTGTAAATCTTTTTAAAACCAAATAGTTAGTCAAATATTATAATTTACATTCTTAAAATTTTACAAATGAAAAAAAATATTATATTTTAATCAATATAATCAAAATTTATTAAAACCCTACCTCGGGTGGCAATTGCTCAGCAAAGGTCCACATAGTCAAGTACACAATATCTGACATACAAATGAAATGTCAAATAGATGGAAAAATGTTTTTTTAACGCGACTTGGCATGTAAAGATACCTTACGCAACCAAAATAAACTTTTGAAAAAGTTTGGATACGGGCTGTGTAGTCAGGGGTGGGGGGAGGGGGGGGGGGGTGAGTAAGAAAGGGCAGTGTAGAATGAGAAGGAAAAGATAGGATGGCGGAGGATAGGAAGAGGAGGGTAAAATAACAAAAAATTACAGTAACCCACAAAAATTACCAAGATGTTACAGTATCCCAAAAATGACCAGAAAGTTACAGTAACCCACAAAAATTATCAAAATGTTACAGTATCCCAAAAATGACTAAAAAGTTACAGTAACCCACAAAAATTATCAAAATGTTACAGTAATCCGAAAATGATTAAATCGTTCTCTGAGATGGTAACACCTAAACAAAAAATTTTTTCTGTTATCGATAGACCGATGATTTTCATGCAAATTTTAAAAAAATCAAGAATTTTGCTTTTATTTTACGAGCTACAGAAATTATTCAAAAACGAAGGCTGCCCTTTTAATTGACGGGGTCTATAATCAACAGCCGTTGTCCCAAAATAGTAAACCTATTTGTTTCAAGCATAACTTTTTTTAAAGAGACGCTAGAAACAAAAAATTTTTTGTGATTTTAGATTGGTCTTTTATACAACAAGCGCACCAACAATAATTTTTAAATTTGTTAATTTTGAAAAGCTACAGTAATTCTACCGTACCCCTATTTGTCGACTATGTCTATAATTTTTTTTTCAAAAATCAAAGATATAAGTTTTGTAGAGCATAAAAAGTTGTACATGTTATGTAAGTTTCATTACTTTACCTTATCTAGTCAACGAGCTACGATTTGTTAAAATTTGAAAAAAAGATTGAAAAACAAGAAAAGATCGATTCCGCTTGAAAAATGAGCGTTTTTTGGATTTTAAAAAATTGTTATCCGTTTAGTAAAAGAGATTAAGTAATGACACTTATACAATATGTACAACTTTTTATGCTCTACAAAGCGTATATCTTCGATTTTTGAAAAAAAATTATACACAAAGTTGAAAAATAGGGTGTACGGTAGAATTACTGTAACTTTTCAAAATAAACAAATTTAAAAATTATTGTTGATGCGCTTGTTGTATGAAAAGCCAATCTAAAATTACAAAAAATTTTTTGTTTCTAGCCCATTTTTAAAAAAAGTTATGCTTGAAACAAATAGGTTGCCTGTTTTTTGACATCGGCTGTACATCTCCCGAATTGTAATTGTAGACGCTTGAAGAATGTAAAGAAAATGAAAAAGAAATGAATGTAACAGGTTTTGGTAATATTACTAAGATAAACTTAAGAACAGTTTATTTCGAAAGAAAAAAATTGAAATTTTCTTTTGTTTCTCCGCTTCTGGTATCAATTAATGGGACATTGTCGTTGACCATGTACAATTCAGAAAGCCGATTATAAAAGTCGGTGTTGTCTTTTGGTATGGGAAAAGTCATTTGTGACAACTTTTTAATTTGATGATTACGGTTATCAGCTGCAATATATAACAGGAACAGTTCGTCTAAGGTCGTCCACTTGACTTTGGAGTTGAAAGTTTTTACATGGATTTTACCTAAATTGGAAACAAAGTTATTTACACTATCTGAACTTATTTCCTACCTTAACATACCGTATTTTGGCTTAATTTACTTCTACCCTACCCTACCCTACCCTACCCTACCCTACCCTACCCTACCCTACCCTACCCTACCCTACCCTACCCTACCCTACCCTACCCTACCCTACCCTACCCTACCCTACCCTACCCTACCCTACCCTACCCTACCCTACCCTACCCTACCTTACCCTACCCTACCCTACCCTACCCTACCTTACCCTACCCTACCCTACCCCTACCCCACCCCTACCCTACCCTACCCTACCCTACCCTACCCTACCCTACCCCCACCCTACCCTACCCCTACCCTACCCTACCCTACCCTACCCCTACCCTACCCTACCCCCACCCTACCCTACCCTACCCTACCCTACCCTACCCTACCCCCACCCCTACCCTACCCTACCCTACCCTACCCTACCCTACCCCCACCCTACCCTACCCTACCCTACCCTACCCTACCCTACCCTACCCTACCCCCACCCTACCCTACCCTACCCTACCCTACCCTACCCTACCCTACCCTACCCTACCCTACCCCACCCCTACCCTGCCCTATCCTACCCTACCCTACCCTACCCTACCCTACCCTACCCTACCCTACCCCACCCTACCCTACCCTACCCTACCCTACCCTACCCTACCCTACCCTACCCTACCCTACCCTACCCTACCCTACCCTACCCTGCCCTCTCACTTTATCTACAAATCTAGCTACATGTACTTTACCTTTCTTGAATTTCCAATAAATTCGTCTACATGTAACTGTGGACCTCTATTCACTTCGACCCAGTCATCTGTTTGTTTATTGTAGGCCAAACACTGAAAATACTTGAAAGTTGAAGTAAAGTAAATACAGCCGTTGTTAAAAAAACAGGCAACCTATTTTTTCAAGCATAACATTTTTTAAAAAGGTGTTAGAAACAAAAATTTTTTTGTGGTTTTAGATTGATCTATCATACAATAAGCGCACCAACAATAATTTTTAAAATTGTTAATTTTGAAAAGTTACAGTAATTCTACCGTACCCCCTATTTTTCAACTATGTGTATCATTTTTTTTCAAAAATCGGAGATATACGTTTTGCAAAGCATAAAAAGTTGTACATATTGTATAAGTTTCATTACCTAATCTCTTTTACTAACCGAGTAACGATTTTTTAAATATTCAAAAAACGGCCATTTTTCAAGCGGAATCGAACTTTTCTTGTTTTTCAATCTTTTTTTCAAATTTTAACAAATCGTAGCTCGTTGACTAGATAAGATGAAGTAATGAAACTTACATAACATGTACAACTTTTTATGCTCTACAAAACGTATATCTCCAATTTTTGAAAAAAAAATTTATACACATAGTTGAAAAATAGGGGTACGGTAGAATTACTGTAACTTTTCAAAATTAACGAATTTAACAACTATTGTTAGTGCGCTTTTTGTATAATAGTCCAATCTAAAATCACAAAAAATTTTTTGTTTCTAACACCTTTTTAAAAAAAGTTATGCTTGAAAAAAATAGGTTGCCTGTTTTTTGACAACGGCTGTAAGTAAAAACACCTCTGCGCCCCTCCCTCTTCTGGCTTTTCTTGATCAACGTTTTTGCCTAACACTGAAAGCGCAACTCTTTAACATAAGCTTTCAAACTTACCGTATTTCTCCAAGTATGAAAAAGAGTATTTGAATTGACCAAATACCATGATGGCGTAAAGCATTTTGATTCGTCAAAGACAAACCTTCGCCTGGTGATACTGTAAACTAGCCATCCATAATTTTCCATTAATCGTTCCCAGTCTAAAAATTTATATTTATAAATGTGTCATTTTCAGTGCCGGGCGCGAGAGGGGGGGGGGAGACGGGGGGGGGGTAACTCCCCAGAAAAAAAATTTTTCTTGAACGTGGTCCCCCTCTGTGAATTTTTGGAAAAAAAATTTGCGCAAAAAATCGGCACAGGCACAGCTACCTGTGCCGATTTTTCCGACCCCCGCCCCCAGACCAAAAGTCCCCGCCTGGCCCTGGTCATTTTTAAATTCGCTTGGTCTTACACTGAAAGCAGCAAGTTTTGACCCCCATCTAACTTGGCTAGAGTAAACGGATCGGGATCAAACTTGGTATATGTACTCGTAACGTACTGGAAACCGTTTTGATATAATGAAGTGTCAATTCGTTGGTGGCATTTCGTTTACAAGGAAAGTACCCTACCTGCTTCGCTCAGAATCAGCTCAAAATTTTTATACGAATTCTTTGTACCACCAATAGTACCCATAAAAAATTTTAGTTCGCGCTTTTAAGTTTTAAATTCAAATTATTTAAGTTTCCCGCCAATTTGGCATTGTGTTTCAAGCACTTTTTTCGGCTTTCCAGACAAGATACGCTTACAAATTTAAAAATGTAGGTTCATTTAAAGGTTTTCTACTAGTATATTAAAGAAAAACTATTAAAAGTCAAAAAATGACAAGGTTACAAGCTTGAAACACAATGCCAAGTTGGCGGGAAATTCAAAATATCAATTTTTATTCTCGATTTTCTCGAGATTTCCCGGAAAGCGCGATTTAGTACTTTGCTGAAGATCTTATATTTACATGATCTTTCGATATAAAAAGTTTGACATCAATCAGAGCGGGGTAGGTCGGGCACTTTCCTTGTTAATTTAAAAAAATTTTTTTGCGGTGAAAAAGTGGGAATTACGTTTTGACTTCCTCGTGATATAGCACGAGGCTGCTGTGATTTTTTCAAATATTTAAATAAGTTTGTGTTGTTACTAGGTTGTGAATAAACTATATACCAAGCTTGGTGTCGGTAGGGTAGCATAGGGTAGGAAAAGGTAGGGTAGGGTATGTTAGGGTAGAGTAGGATACAGTACTGTACGATACATTATGGTAAAGTAAGGTAGGTTTATATCAAAACACTTACCAAAGCCGCCCTTAATGACGAGAGAGTTGTTCTCACTGATAACATACACATACATATTTTGTGTCCATTCACAAACCTGCTGCCTTTCACCTGTCTCCTTATTGATTATGACAAGTTTGTTGTCGATTGTGTGTACCGCAAGATACTTTGGCGTATCGTACATGTTGATGTAATGAATTTCGGCTTTTGGGTGTTTCGCATCAATTTCGAACTCCTTTTCCGTGTAGAGATCCAAAACAGTACCACTTTGGAGTATAATTTAGTACATATGATCGTCTTTTTGCTTATATTAAGATGTCACTTTCATCGTATGTAGATCGTAAATCAGCACGACTGTGGGAGTACGAACCAGAAGTTGTTGGCCTCGATTGATCATGTTAACCCGGGTGATCGTGTCGGTATACGGTGTAAAATCGAGCAAAGTAAACTGCTTGAGGCCAAAATAAATATTGGAGAGTACGACATAACCGTTCTCCAGTTTCAGTGCCATTTTACCGGTGAAGGGGCAACATACCGCGTTTTGGCGATACATTTCAAAGTCGTCGGGCATGACGTTGTAGGCACGGCTTTCGAACCTAAATGATTATAATATTATAGAATCAACAGAAACATTGGCAAGAGCTTATGAACATAGAGAGAGCTTAGGAACATTGGGGAAGACTCACGAACATCGGGTAGGACTCTTAAACATGGCGGGAGGAGTAGGCTCACTTAATTAGGAAAACCTCACGAACATCGAAGAAAGCTCATGAACATCAGAAAGAACTCACGCCCATAAAAATGGACAGTAGGATAAAACAAGATAGGAGAAGACATTGCAAGGCAAGGCATGGTGGAATATAATAGCAGAGGGCAGGATAAGGCAGGGTCGGATAAGATAGAGTAGGGTAGACTAGACTTTAAAACTTACTGCGACAAAGCGTATGCCCAACATTCATTTTCCAGACGGTATATGATATGGTCGTAACATAGCTGTTTGAAATCCGTGTTAACCATCTTGTAGAAATATTTGTTAACTACAGCCAATGAACACATGTCATTCATTGATGTCATGTGGTTTACAACTTTGTGCCATGACTAAAATTTGAATAATTTTGAAAAAATTGGCAAACAAAGTATCTATTGTGTACAAAGTTATTACAAGAAAATTGCAGGACCTGCCCCGCTCAGAATCAGCTCAAAATTCTTTTATTTTGTATCACCAATACAATTTGCGCTTATGCCAAGCCTCAAAGGGGGGACACTTCGAAACCGGTTGACTATGTTATAACTAGTACTATATGTTACTATTTTTAGTTGTTGTTTTAGCTATATTTGTTGTTAAAATAAATATTTGATTAAAAAGCCGTGTAACAGAACTTTTTGCGCACCCTGTACTACTCATAACTAAACCCGAAAAAATAGTAAAATATTTTTAAAAATCAATAAAATAATATTTTAATGAACTTAATGAAAATTTATAAAAAAACCCCACCTCGGGTGGCAATTGCCCAGCAAAGGTCCTCATAGTCAAGCACACAACGTCTGGCATACAAATGATATGTCAAATAGATGGAAAAACCTTTTTTAACGCGACTTGGCATCCAAACATACCTTACGCAACCAAGATAAACTTTTGAAAAAGTTTGGTCGCGGTCAGTGTAGTAAGGGGGAGAAAGAATAAAGTAGGGTAAGAGATTGTAGTGTAGGGTAGAACGGGGAGAACAAGGTAGGGTGGAGGAGGATAGGTTTGGGAAAGTAAGATATGATGGGGAAGGTAGGGCAAGGTAGGGCGGGTAGGATAGGGTAGAGCGAGATCAAACAGAGTAGGGCGGGGTAGGATTTCCAACTCTTCTACCCACTTTTTGACCGACATCCTTTATTTCAAACAAAAAAAGAAATAAGATGAGACACATATTACCCATACAAAATGGTTATTCACCGTATTTACATTCACCTAACAGAGGGCCGTACTCAAAAATTATAGTGTTACAATAGTACAGTATTGTAACACTATAAATCAGTACTAACGGTACTATAAAAAAACAGTACTAACGGTACCTTTACTACTACCAACATCATACAAAACAGTACTAAAAGTACCAGTAATACTTAAAAAATTAAAAAACTTGCAGAATTAGAAATGAGATTACTAACGACAATGTGGCACATAAATAAAATGACACAAGTTTAAAAATGTCACAAAGTTAAGATTTAAAAAAAATAGTCAGACCGTGAGAATATGACAATATTTTACTCGTTAGTGATAAAAATACAAAGAAAAGACAACATATTCACAATAATATTCGTTTACATCCACCTCTTACTGCCTAAAAAATACCACAGTAATACATCAACAAGATCATATCTTCGATTATAGCCTAGAATAAAATGGCGGTAATGCTGGTCCAGCCAAACACAATCAGTGGGCTGATCCAGACATGCCAATGCACGTAGAAGGTGCACATCCAAAAGGCCTGGGTTTGAAGTGAGCGTGAGATCGGGAAACGGACTGGACGCGGCCTGCCGCCAAACGAGCCCGTCTTGTAGAACTGTTCCAACAGTCGGTCCTACAATATTCATCATATTCATACTCTCAAAATTGGCCAAAACGTTTCGAATGGCTTACTGTAACAAAAGCTTAAAACTTTTTAAGAAGTTACAACCAAAAAACCCAATATACTCCAAAAAGTTACAGTAACCCAAATAAATTGTAACTCAAAAAATACAAAAAAGGTACAGTAAGCCAGAAAAACTAACAAAAACATTACAGTAACCCAAAAATACCAAAAAAATACAGTAACCCAGAAAAACAAACAAAAAATTACAGTAACCCAAAAAAAGCCCTAAATGTTACAGTAAATCAAAAATGACCAAACTGTTACAGTAACCTAAAAAATAATTTAAAAGTTGCTGTAACCCACGAAAAATTTACACAAAGTTACCGTAACCAACAAAAACAATCAAAATGTTACAGTAAAAAAAATAGCAAAAGTTACAGTAACACAAAAAAAAAACAAATTTTAAAAACTGAAAAAAAACTACAGTAACCAACTAAACCGTCTAAAAAACTACAATAACCCACCTTTTCCTCATACCGTTGATAGAGCCATTCCTTGAGCTTTTCCTCGTCGTTCCACTCTGGCTTGACTTTGTGAATCGAGTAGTGAACTGCCACATGAGTGTCGTTGTTGGGCCATTCATTCAGCATGGCTTTGCCAAGATCGACCACTTCACCTCGAGGATAGCCTAGTGTACAGTCCACTACGTATTCCATCGGTGGTTGGTTGCCGGCGTTTGATTTTGATGAATCTATAACAATATCATCATTAATCACCATATAGAACAGAATAACATGACAGTGAGGTTAGTCCGCCCCCCCCCCCATACCAAAAAATTCATTGACCTACCTTTCAAGCTGGGCCCACAAACAGCCAAAGTGGTATGAGCAGCGCCCGTCCTGGGGTGACTACAGTGTTTGAACGGCTGAATTCCCGCCTTTTTGGCAAAGTTCTTCTCGGCTTCTCGGATCAAATACAGCCTCGAGCCTTCTGGGTACATTACCACGTAACCGTAGTCGTATTCCCAATAGTTTTCGGCCAAATGTTGGTCAAACTCTTCGAGGACCGCGTCTCTTTTGGTTCGGCCGCCGTTGATGAAGAAGTTGCCGTGTGTTGTCCACATCACTCCAAGCGGCGTCCACTTCCATATGTTGAATATCACCCACATGTACTGCAACACAACATTTTTAATCTATTAAAGCCAAAAATATTGTTTTTCATTCCAAACATAACATTAAAAATGGCATTTTTTCAAAAAAAGTCAAAAATTTCCAAAAAGTTTAACAAAAAAATTAACTTTTAAAATTCTAAAATCCAAAAAAAATTAAAATGACAAAAATCTACTGTAACATTTTGTTCTCAGTCTTGTCACACCAAAATGACCCTTTGTTCTTCAATGTCATACCAAGAAAATAGCATTTTTATCAAGTCGGCCAGGAAAAAGTAAGCCAACATTTCGTACTTTTTTCAAAAAAACGTTATTTTCAATCGTTAATCAAGCTAAAAATGGCATTTTTCTCTGTATCACTGCCCCATCCGCTCTAAAACGTCATTTTTCTTAAAAAATATCCAAAAATCATTCAAAATCTCAAAAACCATAAATCCCCCCCCAAAATTTAAAAAATTACCTTTCCAGCCAATCCAGGCTTGTTCCAAAAAAGCCGTCATCAAGCAAAAATGATCGACCAGACCGAGATGATTGCATAGGAATAGTGTTCGACTGTCCGAGATCTTGGTAATGTCATCGCCGTGCTCGGTGATGGTCAGACCCGTATATTGACCCGCTGCCACCCAGTGGTCGTTCACCAGCTGACAAATCCAGTGCTCCACGTCGTTGACAATCTGTTTACTAAAAATTTTGAAAAATTAGTAATTTTGAAAAAAAGAATTGGCCAAACTTAGCAAATTTTGAGTGAAAACACTTACTTTTTAGTGAAAAATCAAGATTTTTTATAAAAAATACTAAAATTTATAAAACTTCGAAACTAAAGAAAATAATTTTTAAATCCTCTAAAGTAACTTTACATTACAAAAACATCAATTGAAGACCCAAAAACAACATTAAAACCTCTTATCTCCAACCGGATTCGAACTCACATGCTTCCGCACGTCAACCCAAACCGCTACCCACTGCGCTATGCAAACACACCTTACAATTTTTTTATTTTTGTATTGCAACCCAATTAAAAATGAAATATTAGTAAAAATTAGAACTTTAAAAGTAAAAATTAATTTTAAAACCCGCTACCATACCTATATCTCCAAAAAAAACTGCTAAAACCTATGAAAAACCTTTCAAAAAACCTTACAAAACCACTTACTTTAACCCAAAAAGCCAGACGATGCCCATAATTGGATAGATAACAACGAATAATGTGCATAAACAAGCCGTCGGTACCACTAACACTGTCATAACGAACCAGTATGCAGCACCCACCATGATCATGATTTTGCGCTGATCCATCGTGAAATTCGAATCTTCCGACGACGATTTATCCAATTTTACACCCATCCGTCTGAAAAGTATCAAAGTAATCAAAATGATAAAATTTCGACAAATTTCAAAAATCGTTTTTTTTTTAAATTTTCAAATAATTTAAAAAAATTTTTTTTGAAATTCAAAATTTAAAATTTCAATTTTTTTCAAAACTTTTTTGAGTTCGTTGATGCAGTAAACTCCTGTATAACGAACTCCTGTTTAACAAAAACTCCGTATAACAATTTTTAACACTTCTTAATGGATTTCAAACCCCTGTATACCAAAAATCCTTTATCACGAATAAATTTACAACTCTCAACCAATGCGTTATACAGGAGTTCAACTGTATAGTAGAACCTCAGTATGACGAATCGCTCGGAGATTTTAAATTTGTTCGTTATAAATGAGTTCTGTTATACAGGAGTTTGAAATGCACTGATGAGTGTTAAAAATTGTTCTTTATACGTGGTTTTCGTTAAACAAAAGTTCGTTATACAGGAGTTTTAAATGCATTGAAAAGCAGGAACGTCGCTACGGATTTTCTCTGGGGGAGGAGGGACGCAAAAAATTTTCCCCCAAACGACGTCCCTGCTGAAGAATGTTAAAAATTGTTCTTTAAACGAGATTTTTGTTTACAGAAGTTTTTTATACATGAGATACACTGTAATTGTACTATATACAGTCAACTCTTGTTATAAGAAACACAAAAAACAAGCCATTTTTCGTGTTTCTTATAACGAGATAAACTGTATATTGCAGTAAAAAGTAATATATTGCAGTAAAAAACGATATATCGCAGTAAGAATTAAGAACACTACATTACAAATGTATATGAACACCAACAAGTTCCAAACATTTATAAAATCCAAAAAATCGCCCATCAAATCCATAAAAATTTAGCCCATTTTCAATCATATTATTGTTGTTTTAATCCCAAAAATGATGGACAAATCCCAACCTCTGTCTTTAAAACTTTTTCGTCGCAAAAAAATCAAAAAGCTGTCATGGCTTTTTACCCAAATTTAAACGGCCCAACGGAAAGCGAACAAATCCTCAATCATTCAAATTTGCGGTGTTTTGAGGTCGTTTCCGCTTTTTTTCGAAATTTATGTTTCACGTTGTTTGTGAGTCAAAATGGCAGTCGGTTTTCACGAGAATTACAGATTTTGGCTAGTGATGTGAAACAAATTTTAAGATTTTTGGAAAACATTAAAACGTTACTCGAATCTATTGAAACTATAAAAAACTCCTTTATAATGAATTTTCTGTACATCGCAACTTTTTTAAATTGTTATCAGGTTGTCAGAGTATGGATGAGCCATTCAAAGCGCGCAACTTTAAATCTTTTGGATCATCCATATTCGGACAACCTGAATTTTGTTTTGAGTTTACAATTGAAATGATAAGGAGTTTGGGTAAATTATGTCATGAATAATATAAATTTGAAGGAAACGAAATGGATTACAAAGTATATGGGTAAAAACAGTATAACAGTATGCATTTTATTAAAAGAGGACTTATAATTCGGGATTTTTGTGATTAGTAATAAAACTTGTGAGTCCCGCCACGAAATCTTGAAAATTACTAAAACCACTGTAAATGCCTGCAAAATAAATTTCTCCTTAAAAATCACAAATCTTAAGCCTATTTTTAATTAAATGCATACTGATATTACCCATATACTTTGTAATCCATTTGATTTCCTTAAAACTTATATTATCCATGACAGAATTTACCCTTATCATTTCGTTCTTTTGAGCTGCTTATTTCGTATCAAATACAAACTCGACTACACTTTGGACGTTTGTTTTTTGCGTATTTCAAGTTCAAATTCTACTTTATTTATTAGTTTCTTATCAGTTTTCGCTTGAAAAACTTCCAAATTTCTCGTTTTTAGGAGTCTTTTTGATTGTTTAGTGAGTAACCTTGTTGGATAGTTATTGTTAATAGTATATTTTGTATTTGTGACGTGTAGACTTTCTTTAAAGTAAAAAAATTTTCAAAGAATCGTTGAAAACAGGTGGAAATCGGCCAAAAAACGGCAAAATTTTAGTTTTTAGAGTTTGTCCTTAAGGTTTGAGTCAATTCTTTTACTATATAGTTACTGCTAAAGCTTTATCTTGATTTTGTAATGTATAAACTTTCTTTACACTACAAGAAAGTTTCAAAAAACCGACCAAAACAAGCCAAATCGACCAAAAACAACGAAAAATCCACCAAAACCAGCAAAAAATCAACCAAAAACCTATTAAAAATTTTTCGAATCCCAACCCTTATAATCAAAAGCACTTACTTTTGAGGCGCATTCTCGGCCAACGTCAGATTCGGATCGAGAATCATGGTTATTACTTCCAAGTTTCACGGTGAAGCCAAGCCGGCTGTCGTTTCCCGTCTGAAATGGCGCGATTAAATGCTTTTTACGAACTGATAACGGTTTCACACTATATTTTATAATACTATGAGTCAGCACGATAATACGAGGTCAATTTGAGAGCTACGAAAATAATAATTTTAAAATTTTGAAAAATTTTACTTCCTTTACTTAACACAATATAATTAGTTGTATTAAAACCAAACCAAGCTAAAAAGGTAAAAATAATGACAAAAACTAAACTGACTATTCCTAAAATACGTTTACAATCAAAAACTTTATACAATTACATGAAAGCCGCGAGTTACGACATCTACTATATTACACTTGACCTAACTCAATATTATTCTTCACAAGCCATAAAATACAAACCATAATCAAACGAAACTTTACATAGTTACTCGACATACTCTTAGAATGTTAAAAATAAAAGACCGTTGACTTTTCGAACCTTTAAAGAATCCGACAGGTCAATAAAGATATTAACCATGACCAAACCCTAACAAAATCGCAAAACGTCGGAACTTCCTTTTTTTGACTGTCAACTAATCGAAATATCAATTTTTATAAACCAACAAACAATTATCTGATTAACTGATACCACATTCTAAACAAATTTCCGGGTCTTCAGCCCAAAACATCAAAATTAGGTAGTGTAAGATAGAGGTCCAGTAACAATATTTGGAAAAACTTTTTGTTTACAATACTACAAATAACTCAAGGTACGTTACATAAGGAGATTGTTAACAACAAGACAGCTTTTTTTTTGTTAAAGTGCAGATTCAAAAGTTTTTCGATATTAACCATGTTGTTATCAAAACATAAAAAAAAAACGTTTGAAAACCAATCCAAACCCTTTATAAAAACAACAAATATTACCTAAAATAACATTTAAAATCTCTTACAAAGCTGAACAACAACAATATAAAAAAAAATACAAAAATTCCCCCAAAATAAAGTCGGAAACTATATAATCCATGGCAAAATTACCTTACCTTGTGAATAACATAATCTAAGGTTCATAAACAAAACATACGTGTGAAAGGTTACAAACACCAGCTATAGTTCCAAAATACAACAATAAGGGTCAAAACATGGTTGAAAACAACAAAAATTTCTCAATTTGGCCATGATCACCAGCGAACGAAAAGCCAAAAAATTTGGCAACCTTCATTTTCGCTGCGGGACCAAATTGTACAATCCATGTTATTAAAAATTTTTGATTTTGGCCAAGACAAAAGTAAAAACTACATATTTCCTATAGTTATTTACTAAGATAACTATTGTTTACCATAACAACACCTCTTCTTGGCCACAAACAGTAAATTATATTACCCATGTTGTGCTAATCAACAAAAATTTTGTAAGTCGTTTTCTCATTGTTTTACGTTTTCAGGTAATAAAAAGAAGATTCAGCATGTTTTTTAGATCCTGGTATTTTATAAAATCACAAAAACGCACCAATATTAACTAAAATTTGGCTTAACAACGAAAAGCAAGGTTTTACCTTGGCCAAGTAAACAGATGAAATAGGTGTGGTAGTCAACATGAATTACCGTGAAAATAATTAAAATAACAAAAAGATTATTCGCTAGTCTCTTATTACTTGTTGACATTTGCAAATTGCGAAAATAAATTGGTAACAGCGAACGTAAAGACGTTGGACATCAGGTCTCAAGGATAATATAAGTAAAATCGTTTTCGTGGACAAGGGTTAAAGTTGTTAAAACTTTGGTTTAAAAGATTTGTAGCTAAAGTATTGAAGAGTATTTACTGTAAAAATTAAGTTGCTAGCCTATCGTTTACTATTTTATTTTTTGAAGAAACTGAGTTAATGCCTAAAATTTGGGTTAAAATCAGGTTGTAGCCGGCCTAAACGCCTAAAAGACGACAGTTTTCACAAGATCTTTTTATGCGTTCCAAAGTCAGTATATTCAAGAGTATTTACAGCAAAAATGAACTTTCTACATTATCGTCTATCGTTTTATTTTTCCAAAAAATTAACACAATATCCGAAATTTCGCCCAAAATCCCTCCAATATGCATCGATAATGACGTTTGTTCCTCAAAGACCCACAAAACAGTAGCTAAAATAGTAATCAAAAGCTTTCAATTAATAAGCGAAAAGTACATCGTCCACTTTTTCAACGTTTCGGCTCCAAACAACTCTATGTTTTATAAGGTTTTTGATCGGAGCGAGTGAAAACGGCGGGGGAAATGAACCCTCTTCTTTGATCAGCCTTTGAGAAATCGTTGGAGATCACTTGAACAAGCGGCTTATGGTTTATTTTCAGTGCATGCGAACTTATATTGTGTAATAGGTGGGGTTTGGCAAAAAAAGAGCTGACTTCGAGGGGAACTCACGTATAAAATGAACATGAAACTACCCAACCGGCAATACTTGAAGAGATTAAGCGTGAAATTGTAAAAAGATTATCCGGGATAAGAATAGACTTTTGGACCTCCCTAAACGAACTTATTACAGGTTTCTGTGACCTCAGACAACTTATAATATCGTTAAAAGAGTATGGCAGGGTGAGCTAGAAATAGGGTGAGCTGATACAACCAAGTTTGTCACCACTTTTTGACCTTACCTGGCCCTGCGGTACTCTAACCTTACATATCCTACCTTACCCTAACTTACCAGATCCGTACTTTACCTCGCCCTACCCCACCTTATCTTACCTTGCTGATTAAAATCCCGTTTCCTACAACTTTATAAATCCACTTATTTTCAAAAACCCTTAAGGCAAACTTTCCAAACAGAAACTTCGGGAGTGCTGGCCGTTTTTAGAAGGAAAAAGCCGAGCGAAACGCGGCCGTTCCGCGCTTTGTCCTTTCTTTCAATGCTAATTTCCCCGGCCAAACGGTGTTCATGGGCCGAGGATTTTGGAAGAAGGTGTGGCCATTTGGATTTTTATATATGTAGTGATTTGTCTCTGTACTGTAACTGTTTTTGACCTTAGGCTTACTAGAAAATTTCAGCAAATATCTTTTAAAACGATAAAAATTTTAAAATGTCACATGGTTAAAATTTTTTTTACATGGCCAGATTGTGAGAATTTGACAATTTGAACTAGACAGTTGCACCAAGTATCCCAGAGCTTTTAGAATAGGACCTATATAGGATGAAAGAGCTTATATGACTAGAGTATAGCTTAAAGTTTGAAAAATGATATTTTTCGATAAATATTCGTTTCCAAAAGTGGCTAAAACCAAAAATTATGACAAGAAATATATTTTTAAGCAAAACATTGTTTGTCTAACCAAAATTTGTTGTCATAATGGCAAAATGCTAAAAAATGAAACCGGCAGGATTCGAACTTACGGCCTTCTGCACCCAAGACCAACCTCTTGACCTCTCGGCCACGTTGGATGGATCCTTAACCCACTCGTTTTGCCATTGGCGGAAGCCCAAATATTTCAAATTTAAAAATCAAAAATAAGAGTTAAAATTTTTTATGGGTACTACTAGTGGTACAAAGTATTAATATAAAAATTTGAATTGATTCTGAGCGGGCAGGTTGGGTAGTTTCCTTGTAAATTATCTATGAGGTCGAACCAAAAGTAGCGGGACGCTTTTTAGTTGAAAATTTAATGAAAAGAGTCTGTAAGCCGTTACAAAACTTCAATAATATTTACTCGTAAAACAAAATCAATACAATTAAAAATATTCGACCCACAAGTCTATTTGCTCCGAAAAAAAGTCGGACCGGTGTTTGACGGCTCCAGTTTCGGCATCTAGTAATGGAACACTTGGATTTAAATTGTACTGCTGATTGAACCAAGCTATCACATTAATCATTTCTTCTTTATTCATTGTATACTGCGGTTTTATCAACTGCGCAATGTGGTGATTGTCTTTCTGTATGAATTGGTAATTGTTATGTTTTTCGGGTATAAACTCTACTTCGGCATTAAAAGTTTTTACTTCGACTCCATCTAAAACAGGATTTATAGTCATTAATAAACTATCATCGCTTTCATTATGCGTTTTTTTTTGTCAGTCGGACACTACCCTACGCTACCCTGTCCTACCCTACCCCACCCTACCCTACCCTACCATACCCTACCCTACCCTACCCTACCCTACCCTACCCTACCCTACCCTACCCTACCCTACCCTACCCTACCCTACCCTACCCTACCCTACCCTACCCTACCCTACCTTACTCTACCCTACCCTATCTTACCCTATCCCACCCTACTCTACCCCACCCTATTCTACCCTACTCTACCTTATCCTGCCATACCCTGTCCTCAAGACTTTACTAAACTTGCCTGGTCTAAACCGCAAAAAAACACGCTTAGCGACATCATCCTGAAACGATTCCATGATTTGGTAAGCAGGTAATGGCACAAAGTTTACAGTCAAATAACATTCACATCTCCGTTCCAGTCGAAGGGCTGGGTTGGGTCTTATTTCTTTCCAATTGCTTATCTGTTTGTTGTAGACCAAAAACTAAAATGTAAAGATACTGTAAGGCTTGTTACAAGCTGTATTACATTTTTTTATAAGATTCTACCCTCCCCTCGCTCTGTGTTCCTAATTTGTTACGACAACCGTAGAATCATTAAATCTTAATGTCCTTACCGTCATATCCGCTGGCTTAAAAAGCGTGGTGGAATTGAATAGAAACCACTGGTCATCATTGACTTGATCAAACACAAATCTTCTCCTTCTAAGACAGTACACTTGACATCCTTGATTATGAGCTTAAGTTGAATATTCGTTATTGTGAATGATATTGGGTAAGGGTATATAACTAGTTGTTGAGAGCTAGAGCTATGGTAGAGCTTGAGCTAAGACTACAGCGAAAGGTAGAGATAGGGCTAAGCTGAGGGCTAAGGCTAGAGCTAAAACTAGGTATGGAGCTATAGCTAAAAGGGACACGTAAACTATAAATCTAGCCAACTTACCCCTGGAGCCCAAGATCACGACAGAGTCGTTTTCGTTGATAACATAAACATTCATTTTGTCTCTCCATCTGCAGATTACCTGCCTTTCGTCTGTCACATTGTCAATTACAACAAGTTGATCGTTTGTTGTACGTACTACAATGTATTTAACCTTGTCATACCTGTTGATATAGTGAATTTCGAAAAACGAAATCGCCGCGTTAATTCGAAACTCTTTTTTGGTGTAATAATCGACAATACCACCAGCTTGTAGCATATAAAACTCGAGACTTCTTTCTCCAGTCAACACATGTGTCACTTTGCTCGCATGCAGATTGTATACTACTACAATATATCGAGCACGAACCAAAAGTTCTTCGCCTTTATTGACTATGCTTACGAACATGATATGGGTTGTGTATGAAGTAAAGTCGAGAATGGTAAATTCGTTAAGACCAAAGTCAATATTCGTCATCAAAACGTAGCCACGCCTCAAATATATTGCAATTTTTCCTGTAAACGGACAACAAAGGGCGTTGTCATCGTAAACATTTTTATTATTACATACAGAATTGTACGCACGAGCTCCGAAGCTGAAAGTATCAAGTGTCATTGGAAGTTGTTATAGACTGACTTTTTCAACCCTGGGAATTAGAGTAGGGCATGGCTTGTAAAAGGGCAGAGCTTAATTTTTCGGCCCTTTTACTCTACTCTATACTACCCCATCCTATTCAACTCTACCCTACCCAACGTAGACTTACTTCAAGAAAGCGTATGCCCATGTTTCGCCTTTGAGTCGGTACACAACATGATTATAACATAGTCGTTTAAAATCCTTGTCGACCTGCTTGTAAAAGTATTTGCTTACCATAGCCAACGAACAAACATCCTCCATTGATTTGACATGTCCTATGACAATAGACCATAACTAAAAGTTAAAAAGTAAAAGTACTTTTTATTTTACCCTACCCCACCCTCTCAAAAATGCTCGCAGTCTTGCTGTTGACTTACCTCTGGCGATAGAGTATCAAAAAAAATTTGCATTTCAATTTAAATTTTATAGAAGTTACAAATGTGTATATATTAAGCAATAACACTAGATATGGCCTTAACGCGCAAGATAAAAATAAGAAAAAAGCAAAGTAAACAGCTTTTACCGCGTTGTTTACCTTTCTTTGACGCTTACAAAAATCAAAGCTGGGTTTGAGCCGCTGCGCCCGAGCGATTGGTTTTACGTAACTTTCTGTCTTATCACAGTAAACGTAAACCTAGGCCAAAGCCCTAGTCCAGAGCTTTAGCCCAAAGCCCAGAATCCTAGCCCAAAGCTCTAGTCCAGAGCTTTAGCCCAAAGCCCTAGCCCAGGGCCCTAGCCCAAAGCGCTAGCCCAGAGTCCTACACAAGATAAAGTAAGGTAGCGTAGAGTACGATAAACTGGGTGAGGGCTAACAGGGCTAAAATGAGAAGCAGGCCGGGCTTAATGTGTGGGATTGGACGGCCCGGTCCGTTTGCATCTTTTCTCAGGCCTAGGGCTCTGGGCTACGGCTTTGCACATACTTAGAAAAAATAAGAGCCGAGCCGGACTGAGAAAAGATAAAAACGGGTTGGGCCGAAACTTGAAGCCGGATTTGTTTTTCAACCCTATTAACCCTAGCCCAAGCGTAAGCAAAAGCCTAAGCTTAAGCCTAAGCCCAAGCCTAAACCTAAGCCTAAGCCTAAGCCTAAGCCTAAGCCTAAGCCTAAGCCTATGCCTATGCCTAAGCCAAAGCCTTAGCCTAAGCCTAAACCTCTGACATCATCCAGAGTTCTCTTGGCCTCATCGGTGGCTTCACGGATGGGGTTGTGCGAGTTGAGACGGTTGCCACAAGTCGAATCATCGAATACCAGCGAGTCGAAAATTAGTTTAATGCAATCGATGTTCACTCCCGTCAGAGGCTGTTGTTCCTCTCCCAATCGAGATCTCCACAAAGACAAGCGGTAATTAAGAGCACGTTTGATGGCCATTGCGTTTTCAGTAGCATCCAGCTTACAATCATTGAATTCTCTAACCGCCTGAAAATTAGTCTAATATTAAACTTATGTATACTAAAGGGGCCTAATAAACTTTACCCTCACTAAAACCAAAATAAAATAAAATTAGAAATATACCATCTCAATCGCATTTGTAGCCATCTTTCCATCGCCCTGCCTATATTCGGCATCGGCGTACGACAATACAGCACCTAATTTGACTTCATCGTTTGCTGGAAAAGGCAGTAACACCCTGTTTGTTTCTAAATACGAATGTTGGGACCTCACAACGAGCGCCAAAACAAGCAAAACATCACACAAAACGTTAGAGCTAAACGTGCTAAACATAACGCAATTCAACTCGACCTTTTACGTTAGCTGCATCATATTAAAAACAAAAGTCTTACTTTTCCTTGCATCTCCGTTGCAGGTGTAGGACAAGTATCGGAAACAATCCGCTTCCAATATTAGGATAATTGCTTTTTGGTTATCGGTCTTGGCCTGACTTAGCAATTGCGTTTGTAGCAAGGTGACAACTTCGTGACAGCCCTCGCAGATTTCCCGTTTGACCTTTTCGCGGTCCTCCCTGTCCAAATGAAGCTTCTTCTCGGATCCTTCGGTCCCATATTCGGTAGTTGAGGCTGCACCAATGCTAAGCCAACGGTTCCAAGTTGCGCTTAGAATCTCAGCGATGTTGGCGATAGCTTGGTAACGTTGCAAATCAGACTGTTCATGTGTCGCGTCCACTATCATCTTGATACTGCCTTTCAGGTCTTCATTCGACAAATTAGATCCAAGCTCCGTGGCCTTCTTCAGTGATTAGGCCATCCCGTCGTAGCGTTTGGCTTGTTCGCCCAACTTGACGCTTCAAGAGCTCGTCCTGTCCGCCAGACATAATGTTCGTTAAATTGATAAATAGAACCTGAAATTGACAAAAAAAAATTTTAGCTTAAAATTTCAATTTTTTGTCAAAAGGAACTTCATAAAAAAATTTTTAACTTCAAAAATGAGCCAAATTTCAAAAATCCAAAAAAATTCCAAACTACAGTAAAAAACGACTAGATTTTGAAACTCAAAAAATTTCAAAAAATTTTTTATATTAAAAAACGAAAAAATCACGAGCAATAATCAAAAAAAAACCAAATATGTAATGCAAAAGCACAACATTTAAACAACGAATATAACCTAAAATAATCAAATCAAAAATTTTTTTCAAAAATACGTTTTCAGCAATACGACAACTTTTACAAAAACTGCGCCCAGTTGGCGTAGTGTCTCAAAAACCGTCACCTTTTTCAAGTCTGACCACAAACCACAACTGCATAAGACCCTACCTTTACATGATCTCAAAACAAATATAAAAATCTGAGCGTTGAAGGTCGGGCCTTTGTTTTCAGCTTATAAATCTTCATTTTGACGTGGCATCAGATCCACACTAGTAACAATACCTTTAAAGCTCGAGTTGATCGTCCTTATCAAATCATCAATCGTAACAAGCTGTAACTCAACGAGGGCAGAAAGTTCGAAGATTACGTTTTGGGCCTCTCGAAAAATTACGCCTGAAAAAAAAGCTTAAAATTAGTTTTTAGAAACAAATGACGTGCGTGAAAGATTACAAATAAATATCAAACACCCTCAAATCTACCCCACCTAAAATAGATAAAGCAATCTTTACTTACCTTTCACCCATGTTACCCCTCTGATACCCTTGTTTAATAAATTCTCAAGCGCCGTGGAAAGGTTTTTTTGTACATCAGCTTGAACAGCAACTTCAAACACTTAGTCCTTCCTGTTCGGGTGAACGTCTTTAACAGGACTTTTCGGGGCCCTTTGACAGCGTTTCATGCTCTAAAATTAAAAAAAAATCTTTAAAAAATGTTTAAAAAATGTAAAAAAAAATAAAAAGCAAAAAAATAAAATAAAAATCGTGTAAATTTTAATCTCAATTAAAAACGTAAATCAGTTAGGGTACAATTTTCAAATGGGATACCGTAATACAATTTCGTTGCAGAACCAACTTGAAACAAGAGTTTCGTTGGCGTTATGTTTTCGCAAAACATTTTTGGTATTTTTATTATTTTAGATCAGTTTACAATCAAAAACTCAAAAACAAAACGTGTGTATAACACCAATCGTTCTTTTGACAACAAGAAATTCCTCAATATCGTGAATAAAATTTGAAAATCAATTTTGATATTTCTTTAAACACCAAAAATTATCATAATAGCAAGAATTTTGTTTTTAGTGTAATGGAGCCTTGGCACATTTGGGTGAGAAGGCCGCCGCCCAAATCAGAAACCAAAAAGTTCCACAAATGTGTTCAAATCAACTTTATTAGTTTTTAAATTTAATAAGAAATGGGTGAGAAGTTTCGAGAGGAATCCTTTCAAAATGACATTTTAAAACGACAAAATAAGAAAATGGGCGAAATTTGGGGACAAACTTAATTATTAGGGTCATAATATCATGATAAATTAGAAAAAGGTCCATAATAACAAAAAGAAATGGCAAAATTTTGAAAATTCAAAAAAATTTAAGTTTCAAAAAATAAGCCAAATTTCTAAAATTTAAAACAAAATGCCAAATTACAGTAAAAAATGACAAATTTTTAAATTCGAAAAATTTCAATAAATTTTTATATCGAAAAACTTGAAATATTAGCAGCTTCGACTTTATCCTTGAGATGAAACATTTAACACAAACAACTTTTAAATCAAAATTTCAAAAAAATTATTAAAATACGACAACAAAGAGTAGAATTTAAATCAAAGATGAGAACAAGGATGGTGAGGTTTGGGTAATAAACTTGTCGAGTTATTCGTCGATTATGTACAATATAGTGCCCTGGTCCATGGTGATTACGGTGGTGATGCTACTGTTGATTGATAAATAGCTTACGGTGGTAATGTTACTGTAACAGTTCACAGACGAGAAAGTTAATGAGTTTACTGTAACTGTTGATAATAGACTACGGTAGCTGTTACTGTACCTTGTCGTAGACGACGTTATCAACAAATCAACGCGTTTTTGTTCTGAAAATGAAACAGATTACAAAAAAAACAGCAAGAACTTTCTTTACAAACCAAAAATGGCGAAAACTTTCTTTACAAAACAAAACATCCAAAACTTTCTTTCCAACATCCAAAAACTTACAATAGTAAACTGAAACTGGTCAAATACACTCGACAACTCTTCGAAAGTATATTGTTGTAGTACAATGTACTCTTTGATGTCTCCTCGTTTGGCGCAGGACACACAGTAGACGCGGAACTTGCTGTTGAATTCTTTCACGAACAAGATATTGAACACTTCGATCTGGAAAATAAAAATTTCACCAAAAAATCTACTATCATATCAAAAACCGAGGATTTTTCGTTGATCTATTTGAAAATTTACTATAATATACAGAAAAACAAGCCCTAAAATATCCAAAACAAAATTGTTTTCCCCAAAAAGATCATTCCCTAGCCTGCTAAAACATCATAAATCATAAAAAGACCATACTTCTACCTAAAAACGTAGCTTCCATACCAATAATCCCCTCCCCAACCTACTACAACATGTCCAGATATACCTACCTCACACAAATTGCAGTAGTGCGCGCCTTCATTCTTAATTCTCAACTGGAATTTGATATTCAAATTCCCAAACTCCTCGGCGAAGTCGGCCACCATTCGTGCGTAGCCCAGCGACCTGATCAGTACGCCCTTGACCAAGTTGAAGAACTTTTGATCGCTGATCCTCAAAGCTCGTGCTAGCTGCCAGCACAAGTGTTGCATGGGTACGAGAGAACGGTAGACGTTGAGGCGGTTCCATTCGTAGGCCCGAATTGCCATTTCCATTTGGGTGGCGGTGCTTGGGCCCACGTTCCAGGCAATGTTGTTGCACCAGCCGGTTGCCTGGACCCAGTGAACGCAGCCGCCGCCCACCCACACCAAATCGCCGGCTTTTTGAGTGAAACGGTAGACTGGGATGCCAGCGGCGATTAGTTCGTCGTAGCTTGGCCACCATGCGCCGCGCAAAAAGTCGAGGTCTCTTCTGAAAATAGGGGTTGTAAGGCCATTTACCTAGTGTAATATAGTAAAACACGTAACATTTAGTATAAGACACGTCATTGTAAACCCAAAATCTGCCATTTAAACCCTAAAAAATATCATTTTAGGCCAAAAACCGCCACTCTACTCACGCCTAAAACCCTTTTAAAATTCGAGTAACTTACTCCCTACACATTTTATCGATCATTGGGTAGTACTCCCAAGCCACTCCAAACCATTCACATTCTCCAGGCCCAATGTTTATATTGACACTGGCAAAAGAATTATTTTCTAGATGACCTGGAGTTCGACAGCCTGGCACCTTCATGTACAGTTGGACAGTATTCATTCCCAGTACTTTAAAGTCGAGGTAGGACAGAAGATTCGAGGCTGAATGGAGTCGGCAGAACGCTGGCATTTTCGACAATTCCTAAAAAAATCGAGTTTAAATCAATTTTTCTGACACTTTAAAATATTAATTTATATAAAACTGACATTTTTACAATCCTCAAGACCTTCTTCAACTATCAAATATTCAAAAAAATCAAAAGTTTCCATAAAACACCCGAAAAAAGCCGTTAACCGCAAGTTCATACCTCCAAAATACAAGAATTTTCAAAAAATTCAATTTTTCTGCCATTTTTAAACAAACCCAAATCAAATTTTAAATATTTTAATATTCTTCAAGGCCTTTTACATCTATTTAAATTGCAAGAACATAATAAATTTGCATAAATGAAACGAAACGATCCTTTAAGCCGAGCCATATACCTCCAAAAACCAAATTTTTGCAAAAAATTCTACTTTTCTGCCATTTCAGAACTACCCTATACAAAATTTTTTATACTTTTATAATCAGCAAGGTCTTTGACATCTATTTGAATCTCAAAATCATCAAAAATGTGGATAAAATGGTAACAAAATAATCCTTCAAGCTAAACATATACCTCCAAAATCCCGAAATTTTTCAAAAAACTCAATTTTCTGCCATTTCAAACCAACCACAAACATAAATTTTAATATTTCTGCAATCCTCAACAACTAGCCTATTCATTAAAAACCTAAAGAATTACCTAAACTTTACTTAAAAATCCCAAAAATTTCTTTAAAACCAGTTCGAACCCCAATTTCCCCCCAAAAACCACTATATTCCCCTACCTTGAGCTGCTTGCTGAACTTAATTTCATCTGAAAGGTCCACATTTGTGCCAAACTTGATCGTCTTTGTTGGAATAGTATTTGTTTGGGCTTCTGCTTCGGCTTGAATCGCTGCGACGGCCGCTTTCCTTCGCTTCGGCGCTGGTTCTCCGTTCATGGCGCGATTGGAAGGTGGAGTCTGCTTGACATTTCTCAACTTTTCCGTTTCTTCTTTCAACGAATGGCGGAATGATTCAGCCTAAAGATAGAGGACATATTAGGCTATGTTTTAACCAAATTTCGTGAAATTTCAAAAACTGTTGATCAAGTTATAACAAAAATAATCCCTCAAATCCTGCAAAAATCAGAAAAATGTCCCAAAAACAAGCTTATCATAGTCAAACCAACTAAAATCTTTACTTACCTGATACTGCCCATATCGCACCACACTTGAATAGCTCTTGGCCGAATAGCAAGACCATGTATGCCTTCCCAGGTTGTCCAGGTTAGCATCACCGGGCATTTTCAGCTGGGTTCTTACTTCAACTTCGTGGTCTCGATCAGTTTGAATCAAAGTTTTGGTCGAAAACTGTGACAAGTCGATCTTCAGTGCTGAGGTTAGGCCTCGAACCAGTGCAATTGTACTTTTATAGCAGAAGTTCTGAAGCTCGATTTTCGTGGCTTCACGATCGTTCTCCACGTAGATTAGTGGTACCTAAAATATAACACAGTATTCTGATACCTTACTAACCTTAATTTATCAAAATTTATATTTTAAAATATTTGCTAAACTGTAATAGTTCTTTTGACAACAAGAATTTCCTCACTATACCCATTTTTCTATTGAAAATAACATTTTCAGCAAAAACAACTATACCTACATCAACATAACTTGATAATCTAACATGTTTTCGACCAAATTTTCCAAAAACTTCTTTCTCAATACCTTAACAAAACTCTAAGCTATCTTTACAAACCAAAAATCGTCTAAATCAACCTCAAAACATCACCTAAATAACCAAAAACAAAGAAAACTACGTACCTGAGGATGCAGATTAACCTTCGCTTCTTTTGGAGGTGATGGTACCTTCGGTGGGCCACATCTTTCATCAAACACCTGCCCATTAAACATTCGGTTCCTTCTTCGGCGACAAACATCCAAAATTTCCCTTGCTGATGTTGTAATGGGCACTTTCAAATCAGCCATCAGATTGAGAGCTGGAGGCAGAGAGTCTTCGGCCGGCTTCATGTTCTCGTCCGCCGGCTCGGTGGCCGTGAACGAGTTCTGATTCGGTGATGTGCCGTTCATAGTCGACGGTACGTCCGCATTCTCGCCAAGCAAATCGTCCACATCGTCCTGAAATTGAAAAATTTATATTATAGTAGGTCAATATTGACAAATTTGGTCATATCATTTTTTAAAATAATTTTGAATGCCTAAAACTTAGCGACAATACACATATCAATATCACAATTGACCCGAAATCAAAAAATATCCCTTTTCAAACAAAATTTTTCAAGACTTCGAAAATGTACATTACACTATAGTGCACTACCTTCTCCTCCTCTCATCTCAAATTCAACAAAATGTAGCTTCAAAACATTGCCAAGGCCTTCACATCCACTCTCAACCTCAAAATGCACTTTACAATCTTCAGTACTACAATTAGGCTTCTGTTCATTAGCCGGCTACATCTCAACCGCAATATTACACTTGGTCACGCTTATAAACTTCAATTTCAACTCGAAAACTGACTAATTGTCACACAAAAAGTAACATTAGGTAAAATACTATGTTTTACTAACTAATTAGGCTTGTTTCTAGCTTATTCTCACACTAAAACATCAACTTTTACAGCTTTATATCAGATTGAACCTAAAATAATGTCTGAAAATTAAAAAATGAAACCTGCCATTGATAAAAAACAGCCTAATATTTTACTGATATATTGCAAATAATGTCACAACTAATTTTTCATGCTTTGTTTCTGTCAAAAAATTATACCTAAATATAAATATTACCTAAATTTGCATAAATTCAGCGAAAATTCCAATTTTTTCCAAAAATCACACAAATATTCAAATTCCTCACTTTTACCGCCAAGTTAACAAACCAAGTTGTACTACTCAACATTCTCTATTGTTTTGCGCATCTTTAGAGCCCGACAACTCCAAGCAATACCTAAAACTCAAAACAAAATCGCCAAAAAAAACCGTCTCAACCCAAAAATATATTATCCATGAGTGCTTTTCCTTCATTTCACCACAAAACCGTTACCATTAGCACTTCTTCTTCAACATTCGGAAAATCAAACCAATTCCGAAGCTCCTGATAGTCTTCTTGTTCAACGTACAGTGTGTTTTCCATCTCATTCTCATAGTACTGTTGAACATAGCCATCCTGATAGTACTCTTCTCCTTGATACTGATAGTACTGCTGCGTATTTTCATACTCGTAATACTGTGGATCATTGTCGTTTTGGTAGTATTGTTGAGCATTTGGGTCCAGGTAGTACTGTTGTGCACCTTCATTTTGATAGTACTGTTGTGTATCTGGATATTCCGCTTGAGTTGAAGGTCCTGGACAGTCGAAGAGTTCGTCGACGTCCATGTTGAGGTAGATATTGTTGCGCTTTTTATTTTTTAAACTTTTTCCGTTTGGCCGAAATTTTGATAAACTTTGGCATTCTATTGCAAGGCGAATTGTTTTCGCGGCGGGACGCATCAATACCTTGGGTGTAACGACAAAAAAGCGAAAATTTGGCAGCTTATCAGGGGTTTCAATACTTTAACATTATCACATTACTTTCACACTCTCGCACAATGTTATTCTATCATCTTACTATGTTTTCAGTCTTATATAATTCGTCATTCACCCCTTTTTCAACTTTAACATCGACCTTTTCTAACTTACGTTTGACAAAACAGGGAAGCCAACTTCCTTCTTCACCTTTTTCGAATCCTCCGACGTGCTACAGTCTTTGGAGTCGCAGAACGATGGTAGACGCTCTTCCAGATGCTTCAGAAGCTCTTTCTCCTTCACCGTCAGGCTGAGTTCGTTGACTTTGAGAATGTCGCGGATCTGACGCAGAGTCGGGTCCAGGTTGAAGCCGTTAAAGGGCTCCATTTGGTACAATTGGGCGGTAACGTCGGTCATTTGCCACAGTAAAGCGCCTTGACTATACTGGTGTTCGAGTTTCTGTAACATAACTTTGATAATATTTCAGGAATCATCTATTTTTGATATTATACTTGATATCAGATGGGTTGTTCGAGGGAAAAACTGGTTTTTAGGTATAAAAAATGGCGTTTTAATAAGCGATTGTTGTAAGTAGTACTACAAGATAAGAATATTCATTTTAAACATTCATTTTCACATCAACTTGGGATATTGCTAGCAAAATCACTAATTTATATTACCCATGACGCCAATCCCACCACGAACCAAAACTGGCCAAATCTCGAGTTCCATCATTTATATACGAATATATTACAACCATAGTGTCACAATAAACATAATTATGTCTGATTAGGCCAGTATTTTCTCAATTTTGCGTCGAAATTGTTATGAAAAGCCTTTAATGTATTATATTATAGTATATCTCTCAACATTTCAAGCTGATTAGTGCGTAAAACCTTACAAAATTTCATTACAACTGAACATTTATTATCCTGCCATGACTTTGACAATAATATTTACACCTTATTACAATGTTTGATGCTACTTATAGGGTTTACAACTGCAAAACAGTTTTAAAATTTCATAATTTATCGTATTTTCAAGGGATTTTCGGGCTTTATGTCAAATTAATTGCAGTATTTCGATAGTGTAGGTTTACCAGACACGAAGAATATAAAAGACGGGTTCAAAAAGCATATTTTGAAATACGAATTTCAAAAAAATTTGGTAATTTTACTAGAAATAAAGGTGGAATACATTAGTATTGTTGTAGAAATGCTATAGATAATATAAATTGAAACAAAGTAAAGTTTCACAATAACATAAAAACATGTTTTACTACATTTTTGATGTATTTAGTTACTACTTCTTCAAGTTTATAGTGTTTTTGTAGTTTATTGTATGAACATTAGCCTACCTAAAGAGTAAATGGTTATACAATAACCTATGTAAATGGTTATACAACAAACTACAAAAACATTGTAATCTTGAAGAAATGGGAACTACATACATCAAAAATGCACTAAAACATGTTTATCTTATTGTGAAACTGACTTTGTTTCAAATTATTTTATTCATGGCATTTTTACGACAATACTAATGTATTCCACCTTCATTTCTATTAAAATTGCCAGATATTCTTGAAATTCGTATTTAAAAATATGCTTTTTGAACTCTTCTATCATATTCTTCGTATCTTATGAACACGTAAACTATCGAAATACCCCCATTAATTTGACTTAAAACCCTCAAATCCCTGGAAAATCCGATAAATTTTGAAATTTTTAAACTGGTTTACAGTCTTAAACCCTATAAGTAGCATCAAACATTGTGATAAGATACAAATATTATTGTCAAAGTCATTACAGGATAATAAATGTTCAGTTGTAAGGTATTACGTACTAATCAGCTTAAAATTTTGGGATATGTACTATAACATGATACATTACCGGGGTTTTCTTGACAATTTCGACGCAAAATTAAGAGAATATCGGTCTAATCCGACATAATTAGGTTTATTATGATACTAGGGGTGTAATATGTTCGTATATAAGGCTTGGGACTGGAGGTTTGACCAGTTTTGGGTCGTGGGGGATTGGTGGCATGGATAATATAAATTTGAAGACTTTGAGTAATAAAACCGGGTTTTTATTCTTAGTACCTATATATCTAGACATAGAGGACTACTTTGTTGTATAATATAATGTAGTTAGAGTACAGTAAGTAATTTTAAATCCAAAAAAAAATTTAAAAACGAAAAAATTAAGAAAACCCCTCAAGACCCCAAAAAACCCCTGTAAATTTTTTTAAATTCCAAAACCCTTAGATAACATTTAAACCTTTCAACCAGACATAAAGGGGTATTAGCCATTGACAGACCTTTTATAAGCCGCAAAGCCAGGAGCTCAAACTCTAATCAGAATAAGACCAAAAACCCTGCGGCGGCTCTCATTTTTTATAAGCCGCAGAGCCCGCCTTCTTCACGTACTCACCTGCACAGACATTATATATTAACAGAAACGCGGATGACGTTCGGCTTACATGGGAATTAAACCCGGCACCTGCCCCATTATTAATCGACACATACTTTTACGCGAATTAGTGGTTGCAAAACATTTTAAAACGTCAAAAACTTGGCTCTAATTCAACACTATGTTGTAATTTGTGCTCTCTAGCAGGGACATTGCTTGGAGGAAGGTTGGCACGTTTTTGAACTAATTGGTTGGATTTTTTAAAAATTTACCTCAAAAATAAATTTAAAAAAATTGAAAAGTGAAAAAATTGCCCTAGGGTAGACGCGTAAAAGGTTAGACCGAGCACAAATTTGTCAACCTCTTTCAAATTTGCTTCGGCCCGGTCCATGCCGGCAAGGCCTAGTACGCCCTCTTTCAGGTCTACCATAGAGGCTTACTGAGTTTGTAAAGAAATTTCTTGCCATTTTATGCTTTGTAAAAAAAGTTCTTGCCATTTTATGCTTTGTAAAGAAAGTTCCTGCCATTTTTTGCTTTTTTAAAAAAACATTGACCAAAAATTAACCTAATCTAGAAAACCGTGACTAAAATATGCCCTGTGCAATTTGCGTAGATTCAATTTTTCCAGCCGAAAAAACCCCACGCAAAACGTGTCTCGCCTTTGGCTACAAACCATAAATTTAGAAAAAAACTGTCGAAACCAAGTGCAAGTTCAAAAAGCGGAGTGCTTTTTTACACTTTCAAAGGACAGGTTTGGTAATTCCTTTGGGGTAGATCCGTAGGGGCTAGGCCGGATCTAATGGAGATTCTTTCAGGGCTTTTTGGGTAGAGTACTGTAAGACAGGGTACGGTTAATGAGACTGGTAGGGAAGTGTATTTACTGTTACAGTTGGGTATGGTACTGTAAGACAGGAGCCAGTACGTCAGCATTTTTGCAGTTGGTTAAACTACTAGGCAGATTAAGGCTACTGGATTGGTGAAGTCTCTAACAAAAAATCGTACCCTGCTCTAAAGTACCCTATCCAGTTGTACCAACGAATACGCTAACTTACCAGTCCTAGTTACCGTACTGTTTCCTTCAGTACCCTACTGTATTAGCAAATACTCTTCCCTGTCGATCCCAGTAATTGTACCATGCTTAACAAGTTTTGGCTTCTACACGTCGCCCCCCCCCGTCCCTCCACACCCCTAGGAAAAACCAGTAGCCACGTTCCTGTGAGAACATTAAGAACATTGAGCTTTTTAATTTCAGAAGGTCGACAACGTGTGCTTTAAAGTACAATGAGCTGTGTTTTTTCTCATGAATGCGTAATGTATGACTACAAGTTCATAAGCACGAAAACCATGTTATCTTATTAACATGGCTTTCGCGTTTATGAACTTGTAGTTCAGATGGAAGCGTGTAATAAAGGGGAAGGTAAACAACAATAACAAGTGGATTGAACAATGGACTAAAAGGTTAACTGTGGGTTTTAGAGAAACGTGAGCTTAAAAATGGCATTATGGCTAAAAAAATTGAATTTAAGCCTAAGAAATCAAATAAAAAGCCTATAATTGTAGTTGAAAACGATGTTTAAGCCTAAAAAATGATGTTTCTGACCCACAAAAATATGATGCATACAATAAAAAGTGAACCATCAGCTCAAAAGATTGTAGAATCTAATGCTCTATATGTCATACCTTAAGCTGCGTATTATCCCAAGAAACCCTACATATTATACTAAATAATACTATATTGTATGGAAAAATACACAATATAAGTGAAAGTGCATGTACTTTTAAAAGCCATAGAGTTCAGTGGCTCAATACTTTTTGAACAACCGATATATGTCATCTTAAGGTAGTGTAACTATAAGAGCATGGTAAAAAGCTTCAGAAAGTTCGGGCCTACCATCGGGCCGAGCCTGACGCAAGTTTATATCGAGCCGGGCCTGAAAAGTTGGCTCGCCCCCTTCCTCGTGTCTACTCCTTTACCCTTACCTTACCTTTCCCTACCATACCCTACTGTACTGTAGTGTACTACAGTACCTTACCCTACTCTATCCTACCCTACATTGTCGCCAAAAACTCTGCCATTCCAAGAACAGTAAAACACCAAAAACCAAACTTTCATCTCCTCACAATCCCTACTGACACTGTGTCAAGAAAAAAAACTACCCTACCCTACATTGAGACATAGCGTATACTGATAACCAACTACAATTTCAATATACTTCTGTCAGTCTTCATTCGAATACTATCACTTCCCCTTACTATATGCCTATTCATACATTGCACATGCAAAATATAATAGTAATAAACCGAATGAGGGATTAATTAGCATCAATTAGACCGGTCGATTAATTTGTAAGCCGATTAGCAAAACTTTTTTCTCTTTCCTCCCACTCGCTTCTCGGTACAACATTATTATTGTTATTTACAATAACAGCATGTTGTAGTAATCACAAGTTGGCAAATAACACTTATACGGTTCGTAGTTTTCGCGGAGAATGCCATTTGACGCTGATATTGTAGTAATTATTTGGGTTTAAGAGTTGGGAGCGTAAAGCAACAATTTGGGAAAGCTTCGGTACAATAATACTTAGAGGAACTTCCGGTTAGGGAGGAAGGTTGGGAAGGGGGGGGGGAGAGGGAAGAGGGAGCTGGAGAGGGGGGAGCGGTTAATGTAAAGGAAGTTAAGCCTATAGTTGAGCTTTTTTCAAAGCATATAAGAGGTCGAGCAGTAAGATAACTAACCCCTAAAATGGCTTACTCTACCCTACTTTATTCTACGTTCCCCTAACCGTACCTGACCTACCATAACTTACGTACCTTAACCTAAATTACTGTTCCTTATCCTGCTCTACCCCAGCCTACTCTATTTAAGACTCCACACCGGATTACTTACACCACCCCTACTGTACGTTACTCATTCCTACAGTACTCTATCGTAATCTATCTTACTTTACCTTTTATAGTCAAGTACATACGTGTGTCGTTCATTATGTTATATCAAGTTTTTTTACGTCCTTTTGTGGCTTCAGCCTACCCTACCCTACCTTACTGTACCCTACCCTATTGTACACTACGCTACTGTACCTTACCTCACTCTGCCGCACTCCACCTCAGCTTATCCTACCTTACTTTGCTAACCTCTACCCAATCCTACTCTAACACACTTCACCTTACCTTCCCTACAATACCCCACCCTACCCCGCCATCAAAAGTGACAATACCCTGCCCTGCCAAACCCAGTAAAAGACCAAGAACCTAATTTCCATCTCCTCACGATCACTACTGACACTTCGTCGAGAAAAGCGAACCCCGAAAAACAGTAAAAAACAGAGAAAGAGAATGAATAATAACAACGTTCCCGCCAAAATGGTCGCCGTTCTTGGCGCTTCCAATCTGATTTGTCTCGATTTTTTGCCGAAAATCACGAAAAATGGCACAAAATTTGTTTGCGCAATTAGGAATGGCAAAATAAGAAAAAAATTTCTTTACACAACAAGATATGGCAAGAATTTTCTTTACAAAACACAAAATGGCAGGAACTTTCTTTACAAAGAAAAAAATGACAAAAACTTTATTTACAAAGCAAAAAATGGCAAAAACTTTCTTTACAAAACAAAAAAATCGCAAAAACTTTCTTTAAAAAACAAAAAATAACAAGAACTTTCTTTACAACCCAAAACAACTGAAAAATTGAAAATTTCAAGAATTCCAAGCTTCAAAATTTCTCATTTTAAAATTTTTCACAATTCTATAGCCCTAAACTACAATTCCGCCTGCCCTATCCTCCCGAGAATCCCTATTTGAAAGCCATATACGCCAACATACATGTCATTGAATCCCTAAAGTCAATCTTGGACGTATGGAATTAAACCCGGTTAATCCTGTGGTTCTTACAATACAATGACTAAACTGACCAATTTTAATCGTTTCGCAAGGCCAAACAATACTGGAATTGGCACGTGGTGGGTATATGCACGTGTATTATGTTATAGTATAGTATTAGGTGCCGACATAAAGACCCCGCCATTTTTTACAGGGAATTACAAGCAGAGTATGGCGGGTTTCTTATGTCAGCATATAATAGGTAGATATATCAGATATACCTTGAGTTATGGTATGATAGATAGATATATACATGCATAACTGAGGTAAGGGTAAAGTCAAGGGTGCAAGTAAGGCAGAGGTAAGAGGAAAGTAGAGTAGGACAAGGTAAGGTAGGGTAGGATAGCGTAAAGTAGGGTAAATTAAGGCAGAGTAGGAGTTAGTAGAGGCAAGAGCAGAAATAAAAGCAGGAATAACTAGGATAGAGCAAAGTAGAGCAGGGTAGACTAATTTTGAGTATAATAGAGTAGGAGGGTAAAAAACAGTATCATACATCTAAGCCCAACAGAATGAAACCAAGTCAATTACTGCAGTAAACGAATTGTTTACTCCGTACCCAGTTATATATATATATATATATTTATGGCCATTGTGCACTATTTACAACATTCGCATGAAAAAAAATTGGAGTAAATAACAACAAGCACCTACTATAATATAACATAATGGCCAAAGTGAAAATCAAAAAAAAGTTTTTTTTTTCTAAAATACGTCAAAAAAAATTTTTTTTTGAATTTCAAAACTGACCTTTAGAGATTGCTCTAGTTGTCCTTTGATTTGTGTCACTAGGGTTAAGGTGTGCCAGTTATCAGGTCCACAAAGTCTGAAATTTACAAAAAATCCAATTTCATAGTATAGAAAGGGCAAGAACTTTCTTTACAAAACTTACAATGACAAGAACTTTCTTTACAAAACAAAAAATGGCAAGAACTTTCTTTACAAAACAAAAATGGCAAGAACTTCCTTTACAAAACTTAAAATGGCAATAACTTTCTTTCCACCTACTCTTGTTGTTGTTGAGCCGGCTGGCTGTTGTCCTTCCTCTTTCCGGCCGCTCCTTGTTGTTGTTGCTCTTTTTGCTCTTTTTTCGCGTTTTCAGTGCTCGCCAATTGTTCGGCGACCAACAGCTCGCGTTCCAGGATGCGAATCCGCTGATTCAGCCACTCCGTTGGGCCTGGAAATTGCAAAAATTGAGAAAAATTGGGGTGATAGGATTTGATATGGTTTTTGTATTTTAACACGATTTTTCGTATTACATATATTAAACAAGGCAAGAACTTTCTTTACAAGGCAAAAAATGGCAGGAACTTTCTTTACAAATCAAAAAATATAAAGAAGTTTCTTTACAAAACAAAAAATTGCAAGAACTTTCATTACAATACAAATAATGGCAAGAACTTTCTTGACAAGCCAAAAATGGCAAGAACTTTCTTTACAAAGCAAAAAAAAACATTCAAAAAAAATTTTTTTTTCATTTATATACTCGAACTTTTAAAACCATCCCACCCTTTTCATTATCAGCCTTTTAACCGTTGATTTCCGGAAGCTTTGTTGACCAAACAAACAAAGGTTTAGAGTATCCACTAATAACATAATAACTTATCACAAGCAGCGTAGACGTTAAACTACATTTTACTTGATTTTTTTTAAAATATTGTCGTTTTTTAGATTATAGTACGTAATTTTATCATTTTCAACAATAAATTTTTAAAAAATTTTAATTTCGACTTTTTCCGTTTCAAAAATTCAAAATTTAAAATTTTTTTTTAATTTTCAAAATTAAAAAATCCATTTTTAAAAAGCCTCAAATTTAGCCGTTGCCCAACACGAGAGTCCTCTTCTTCACTTAAACAAGGTAAAAGCCCATTTTTCCTCCATTTTTTGACCATAAAAACAGCGAATTTTACTCGTTTTATGGGATTTTCGGCCCTTTCTTCATGAGTCAGAAGGTCGAGAAAAACGCGGGTTTTTCGTGCTAAAAATGACCAATACGTGACTTTTAACTGGGCTTCATAACTTTACTGCAGGGACATCGCTAGGGTGGGGTTCGGTAAAAGTTGGGGTTAGGGTAGGGTAGGGTAGAGTAGTTCGGTAAGAGTATGGGTAAGGGTAGGTTAGGACAGAATAGTGTAAAATAGGATAGAGTAGGGGAAAGCAAGACAGTGTAAAGTAGGGTAGGATAGGGTAAGATAGAGTAAAGCAGGGTAGGGCAAAGCAAGATAGTGCAAAGTAGGGTAGGGTAATTCATGATGAGAAAAATTCCACAGATAGGGATGGTACATGTAAGTAGAAGACTCTTTTCCACAATTAGGGAGAATAGGTAAGTAGAAATAAGAAAAAAATTCAAACAGTAGCCACATGTAACAGACCCTTAAACTCTAAAATACTAAAAACAATTTTTTTTTTTGCTTTCCGCTTTCATTTTAAGCCTAAAATTTTTTTTTCAAAACGAAAATCAAAATTTATGCCTAAAGACGATATAACAGCCATTAAGTTAGCGTTTTAGAAGTAAAAGTTGTAGAAAAAACCACAATTTTTGAGTAAAAAACAAATAACACAAATTTGAAACCGAAATTGTAGCAAAATGTAAAAAATATGCCAAGCTAAGCCATAACAAATTGTAAAACACAAAAAAATTTCAAATTGAAAAACAAAAATTTTGTTCAAAATGACAAATTTTAAGGTTTAAAGGCTCATAATGTAGTAGAAAACTAGAAAAACTGCTATTTTTGTCATCAAACTTATAATAAAATCAAAATTTCTAAAAATTCTAGCCCCAAGCCACATAAAACCAAACAATGTCAAATTTAAACTGCCCCAAACTGAAGTAAAGATCATTATCATGCACACGCAAAGCCATGATTCATGGTAAACATTCTGTTTACACGCCGTTTGTACCGGATCATGACGCAAATTGTAAACAACTATTAGCTATTGCTCCGTTTTATCTGGTTTGGACTGCTTTTTATGGGGCTTAAATTAATTTTTTAATTGTTGAGAGAGTGAAAAAAGGCAATAACTTTCCTTACAAAGCAAGAAATGGCAAGAAGTTTGTTTACAATGCAAGAAATGGCAAGAACTTTCTTTACAAAACAAAAAATGGCAATAACTTTCTTTACAAAGCAAACAATTGCAAGAACTTTCTTTACAAAACAAAAAATGGCATGAACTTTCGCTACAAAGCAAAAAATGGCAAGAACTTTCTTTACAAAGTAAAAAAATCAGAGGGATCAAGTTCATTCTTTTAGTTTTTAAAATCAAAAAATTTTCTACCACCCCCCTAAAACATTCTTGACCCTCCCAGCTACAACCACTCTCGCCCTTAATCCTTGGCCTCGCCAAAAATGTCACAAAAAACGTCTTTTTTGCGCCCGAAAATGCGGGTTTGTAGAGCAGAGACGAGAAAAAGAAAGATGGACCCTGAGCCTTTCGCCCCTCGACCTCCACCGACCAGCACCCACACGCTCTTTTTTTCCGATTCTTCCACAACTTCTCCCCCTAACGTTTTTTCGGGGTATTCTCGGTGTTCCGAACGTTTTGCGAACGTTCCGAACATTTTGAGGTCAAGTGTTTTTTGGAAGGTTTACACTTTTTTAAATCATTATGCTTTGAAGAAGTGTACCAGTTCTAGATACAAATTGTTAAGCGCTAGCCGAAGACAACGTAAACGAACGCAATTGAAGTTGAAACGATCCTACTGCAGGCCACGTTACTAGCCTAAATAGCTGGCTGAAATGAACTATCCAGTCAACAACGCAGCTCACAAACATCACGTAACACCCCGATTAACCTAATTTCTAGAGCCGACTCATTTCCCAAAATTAGGAATATAGTTTGCCGGCTTCCCTTATCTACATTATCCATCAACTAGAGGCTCCAACCCTTGGATACCTGCTGAAGATATCAATACGATCATGCTATAAATTCATTAAGCCTCCCTTGCTTTTTCATGAAAGTACAAGAGGAACTGAAGAAAGAAAGCCTAGATTAATATCCAAAAACATAAAGAAAGCAAGAAGAAACAAAACTTAACCAAGAAGAGAGAACGAAATGTTGTTGAAAAGAAGAAACAATAAATAGTGGGAACAAGGAACTATAATATACAATCAAAAAAACTAGCAAACCAAGAAGAAACAAAGGAGATAGCCCTAAATAGCCAAAAAAGGTGAAGACGAACACGAAGGAAAAAAAGAAAAGTAAAGAGAACAAGCCTACTATAACATAAAGTAAGAACACTAACAAAGCCAAGAAACTACAAAGCCAAGAAAACCAGCAAAGATTAAAAAAAAGCCACAAGCAATACCAGAAGAATAAAAAACCAAGATCAATTACAGACTAAAAAATCATTTTCTTTAACGATTTTGGTTTGCAAACCCTTTCCTTAACCAGACTAGGTATTAAGCTTGTTTCAAGGTTCCAAAAAGAAGAAAATCATTTGTCATGTTTGCCCTTTTTTGAAGAGTTTTTATCAATTAAAAGTTTGAAGAAACCGTTTTTTAACGTCAACATTTTTGTACTTTTAATCTTTACGTAGAAAGTTAACGGGTTAGTAGTTTAACCTTTGTTGTAATGAAAGAAAGAAAGTAAGAAGAAAGATTTTTTTTGGAAATGAAACGGGTTTTGGCTATTTTTTTTGGGCCCGGGCCGATGTGAAGAAAACTAGAGAAGAGCCGGGCCAAGACATGTCAATGTCAGCCCGACAGCCAGAGCCCAAAGAAAAACCCGGCTTGTGGGTAAGGTTCAAAAATTAGGTCCGGCCCCTTTACAGGTCTAGCCCACGCCTTCTCTTCCTTATAGACCTATAAGGAGCCGAGCCCAATTTTTTGGCCTTGCCCACCAGCCGTGTCTTGCTTTGGGCTCTGGGGCCTACATATTCTAGCCCGGCTCTTTTCAAAGTTGCTTCGGCACGGATTAGCCCCCCCCCCCCCCTCCCCACTTTCCAGTTACCCTGTATCTTTCCTTTTATAAAATTTTGATTCTCTCCCCCCCCTCTCCTCCTTAAGAAAAGTGCCCAAACAGAGCCAATACTCTACCCAAAAACACTGCCAAATAGACTAAAAAAACTGCCAACCTTCCTCAATATCAGCCCGTCCGCGCCTTAGAAACAAAAATAAACAGAACAACATTAAGCGACAGTTAAAGTGGTCGTCTATTTAAAGAAGCGCCTTCCGGAATAACAAAAACAAATTGTGGCTCGTTTTTGTAGGAACCAAATGACTTGGATTCCTTTCTTTCAATTTTTGTGATAGGAAAAGTCATTTCGGATTCGCAAAACGTGACTTCGTACCGACCTTTTGGCTAACCGGTGGGCAATTTAAAGAGCAGATGTTGCCTTTCTTCGTCAAATCATTGTTATTGTAAAACTTTGAAATTTGAAGTTTTTGAAAGTTTGAGTTGAAATGACGTCTTATAAGGGCATTCTTTTTAAAATCCTAGCTACCTACGTCTTTTTAAGACATATTTCAGTATTTAAAAGGCCTGATTTTTGTAATTTAGGCTTGATTTTTGTAATTTCAGCTCGAATAGCAAACTTTAAAATCATTCCAAAGTTTAAACTTTCATATGATTTTACAGCATGTTCGATTTCTGATCAACTAATAAGAATGGTTAGCGTAAAAAAGTGTTTATAGTGGAAAAAGAGTCCAATAAAGTTCAAATTGTTATCAAAATAAACAGTAAAAAGTAGGTTGTGACGTGTTTTGATGTTTTTTAATAGTAAATAATAAAACCGTGACGTTACTTGATGTTTACTACTATAAAATCGCTAAAATATGCGAGAAAAACAAAGAAAAAAAGCCATCTCTCCAAGCGGAATCGAACTTTTTTTGATTTTCAACATTTTCAAAAGGTCATAACTTTGTGGTAAAACAAGATATCAAGTTGAAAATTAAAAAATAGGTAAATACACACTAATGTTAAGGTTTCGAACCTATTTCTTCAAATTTTCAAAAAAAAATTTTTTTTTAATTTTTTTTCAAGGTAGGATTATGGTAAAAGTACTGTAACTTTAGAGAAAGCGCAAAATTCAAAAATTGTTATTTTTGCCTTAGTTAACAAGATACTGTGTCTACATTCTCACAAATTTTCAGATTTTTAGTTGATCCATGTAAAAAGATATAGCCAAATAAAAAATTTTTGCAAAAAAATTGAGCACCTTTTGAACCCTCTATCAAAAGCATAATTTTAAAAACACCCCCACTTCAATATTCTCATCATTACAGTTAAACTTCCATGACAAAAGTGAAAATTATCAAGAATGCTTGACAATGTAGGAGAGGGAGTTGGATGACGCAGTTGGCTTTAAAAATTGATAGTTTTTGTGCATTTTCGAGTAACCAGACTTGATAAACGTCGCTCTTTTCGTTGTTTGTTCAATATTAAAATTTGAGAGAGGAAAACTCGTGTTTGGCATGGGGTTTGATTCATTATTTATAAAAAAAAGCTTATCAAACTTTGCAAAATTTTATGTTGTCAATCACAATATAATGCCCCATATAACTTTTAGAAACAACTTTAGTTCAAATTTTTATATCAAAATCTATAAAAAATTAAATTTCAGGGCTAACAAACCCCAAAAAACCAAAATTTCATACCTAAAAACCTCAAAAATCCACTATTTTTAACCAAATTTCCCTAAAATTTGGCCAAAATTGAGCTTTTTACAACAATGTTCTGCCTTTCCTTCACAAAAACCCATCTTATATTAACATAACTTGTTGCCAAATGTTGTCTTTATCATCTCGACCATCTTAACCAGTAACCTTAAAATAAAAAGCATTTCCGTATCGATTCTTTATCAAAAAACACATTAACATAAGCGTCTTGGGCTATAAATAGGCCTTTTTGATCTGTTTCTGCATGTTTTAAGAATTTTTAAAAGCATTTTTTAGAATTTTTAAATCAATTTTTTGATTTTAAACTACATAACCATTCTTTTATCTGTATGCCGAGCCTACTTTTGCTACTTAAAAATCTTCAAAACCTTTAAAAAATTGAGAAAAACTTACGATTGGACTGTTTGACAGCTTCTTTATAGCAATCCAAGGCATATTTGAACAATTTATGGTATTCATAAAGCTGCCCCACTGATACCCACGAATTTGTATGTGTTGGGTCTAGAGCTACTGAGCATGCAAAAGCCTAAAATTTAGCAAAAATTGTGCAAACGTCTCAAAAAACCTTCAAAATTCACAAAAAAATAAAATCGTTTAAAATTCGCTTTAAATTAAGAAAAACAAAACAAAAATTACATTTTAAAGATTTTTAAAACTCTTTCCATCCCATAAAAAACCTAGTTTTTCAAAAAGTCAATAAATTAATCAAAAAATCGTGGTGCCCAAGGTGAGGTTCGAACTCATGGCCTTCAGATTATGAGACTGACGCGCTGCCACTGCGCTATCAAAGCGCGGTCGGACAGAACGGTCCAAAATACCAAAGATTTGACATTTCGACCACAGAAATTGCAAAATTTACTGATGAAAATTTTTAAAAACAAAAAAAAGTTTTAAAAATTTTTTTATTTTAATCCTAAAGTAAAAAAACTTCAAAAAATGATGTTTTCTTACCTGCAATGCATCGACCGACTGTCCCTTTTTACTATACAGCTTTCCAATTCCAAACCAAGTGTTCGCATCACCTTCTCCACAATCGATAAAAGCCCTGAGGTTATTGAAAGCCCTCTCTTCCTTCGCCGGTTGATCCGACAATACCCTGCCCAAATAGGATTGTGCTTGTCCTGCCAAATGCCTCAGGCCAGCCGCCTTTGCCACTTCGACCGCATTGGTCAAGAACATCTCAGCCTCATTCACCAGTTTCTCCTTGTCTTCAGTGGCGCATGACAACGATTGGCGGTATGTTACCCAGCCGGACTGACGTAGCAAGGCGGATTGAATGTCGGCGGGCAGGGATTTCTCCTCGTTTTTGCCATACTCATCGAGGATTCGCTTGTATTCTTGTTTGGCACGGACCAATTCACCAAAAAGATCGAAGCAATGGGCGATGTGAAAGCGAAGAACGTATCTTGGGCATAAGGTAACGTCGGTACAGTCGTTGGCTGCTGTGCGGAGATGCTGCAAGAGGGAGGACATAGGTATAAATACAATATATGATTGGAAAAATGTATTTTAGGTAATATTTCTAGAAAAAACGTTGAAATGGTACTTTGAGGGCCATTTTCATACCGAAAAAAGCCGAACTGAAAATTTAGGTAACATTTTTAATCAGAAAAATATAATTCTAGGTAACAACTCACCCTAAAAGCCTGTTGATAATCACCAATGTACTTATTAGCAATTCCCAGCCGAGCATGAACCTCAGAAGACCTCGGACTGAACGGATAACTGTATATCAGCTGGTTGAATAGGTATATCGCTCTAAAATTTTAAAAATTTAAACTGATTTTTTAAGCCTTCATTGTATTTTTAAGCCTAATATTGGGCAAAAAACCAAATTTTAAGTAACAAAACTTAATGTTTTTAAGTTCTTTGACAAAAAAGATGATTTTTAGGCCTTAAATGAATTTTTAAGCCCAATATTAAACAAAAAATTAAATTTTAAATAACAAAATCAAAAAAAATCAAATTTTAAAAGGTTCATGCACTTTTCAGCCTAATAGTAGAAGAAAAATGAAATTTTAGGTAACAAAAATTTATTTTTTTTTCACTTTTAAATTTTTAAAAATTTTATAGCTTTTTTCAATTTTCGACCTAAAACTGGTATTTTATTGTCATTTTCACTTTTGTGCGGTTGGGTCTTGTTTAGCAGAGCAAAAGACTGTTAGCTTCAAAGAAATGTCGTCGTCTCATAAGTAAGTTACAGTAATCTTAGTCGCAAATTGTGGAAAATCATTTTTCATACCCTTTTCCTCAAAGTTTCCTTACTTTTCGGTCAAAAAGTTTATGGAAGTCCTTAAAAATCTTTTGAGCACCCCCTCCACCTCAAAACGGTTAGTAAGCTGAGCCTACTAGGCTCTGTTTTTGACCCCAACTCTTTTCTTACTAAATAGGTCAAAAATTAGATAGAAATATCGAAAGTCCAGTTCTAAATCCGACCAAAATTTGTTTTATTCCCCTCAAAATTCATGTTTTACCTACTACAATATAAACTTTCAGTTCAAAATCGAGTGCAAACCAGGAGAAGAGCGCAATGAAGAAGCCGGGCCAGCTGGAACTGATCGAACCGCCACCGCCAGAAGAAAAACCTGGCAAAAAGATAGCTTTTTTTAAAACCATGTTCACCAAGCTGGGCGTCAGAGGCCCGGAGTCGAAATTTCCCGACAATTTTGTCAAACTGCACCAAGACTGCATGAAATATTACGTAAGTTATTTTATGTTTAAACCTACTAAGCCTAAGCCTAATAAACCTAAGCCTACTACGCCTAACATTTCTCAGCCTAAGCCTCATAAGCCTACGTCTACCAAGCCTAACCTACTAAGCCTAAGCCTACTAAGCCTAATCCTACTAAGCCTAAGCCTACTAAGCCTAAGCCTACTAAGCCTAAGCCTACTAAGCCTAAGCCTACTAAGCCTAAGCCTACTAAGCCTAAGCCTACTAAGCCTAAGCCTAAGCCTACTAAGCCTAAGCCTACTAAGCCTAAGCCTACTAAGCCTAAGCCTACTAAGCCTAAGCCTACTAAGCCTAAGCCTACTAAGCCTAAGCCTACTAAGCCTAAGCCTACTAAGCCTAAGCCTACTAAGCCTAAGCCTACTAAGCCTAAGCCTACTAAGCCTAAGCCTACTAAGCCTAAGCCTACTAAGCCTAAGCCTACTAAGCCTAAGCCTACTAAGCCTAAGCCTACTAAGCCTAAGCCTACTAAGCCTAAGCCTACTAAGCCTAAGCCTACTAAGCCTAAGCCTACTAAGCCTAAGCCTACTAAGCCTAAGAAGTGCAATTCTTCAAAGCTTAAGCCTAATGAAACGATTTTCAGATAAAACTGGAATTTCTTCACAGCATGATCATGCGCACTGGCCAAGAGAACCCGGACTTTATTAATGCTCACGAGACCAGCGTAGTTCAAGCACCGCCGAAAGAGGATCCGTACGAAATTGTGATGAGCGCCATACCCGAGCTAATCAGTTGGAAAGGAGAGGACGAGAAAGGCAAAGAAACCTTCGAACTAGCACATTCTGTGAGTTGACTTAAAATTTATGGTCAGTCTAGTAAGTCTGAGTATGCTAACCCTAAGCCTAGCAAGTTTAAGCCTAAGCCTACTCAGTGTGTGCTAAGGCAAAGCCTAAGTAAGCCTAAACCTAAGTAAGCCTACTAAGCCAGAACCTTTAACTGCGATTTAAAGAAGACTTCCTTTTTCAGATCTACCCCTATATGCAGCAACCGATGCAGAAGATGGCGTATTATCACCGCACAATGCAAGCCAAATTCACCGATGCAACGGCGGACATTCGCAACTACATTTACGAAACCTGGCCCAAGTTTTTGAAAGAGTACGAGCATTTCGAGAAAGAACACAAGAAACTGGATGCGTCGAGAGCTGTCAGAGACCTAAAGCCAAGTGAGAAACACGACAGGGAGTACAGCCTGATGAAGCAAAGCTTCATGGCCAAAATGCAAGAAGTAAGGGAAGAATTGGAACTTGGGGATGGTAGATTGGAGCGTCAAAGCTAGGCCTCCACAGCATTACGTAGTAGAGACCACTGCAGCATTAAGTAGTGGAGACCACTACAGCATTAAGTTGCCAATTTACGATCTACTTTCAGATGATGAACAAAATGGAAGCCCTGAAAATGGAACGAGACAAGCACGCTTCGGAAGTGATGGACCTCCTACGAATCCTTCAAACGTTTCACTGCGCCTGCGAAAAATTCTGCTTTAATTTTGTCTTGGCTCACAAATCAGCGTACGGATACAAGGCCAAAGATGCACAAACAGTGGAGAAGAAGTAAAAGAAGTGATTCCCTACTTGACTAGTGACAGAAATTTTTGAATTTGTTTTTGTGATAAATGATAAGCTTATTGATATGCGGAAATAAATTTTGATTTTCTTTGGTTTTTCTTCGTTATTGATTGAAATCTCCCAAAAAGGAAAAAAACGTAACTTTTTTGGACTTTTCCAACATTTTTTTAAATTTTGAGCCCTTCAGGCAATACTGTAGAAAATTGTGTTAATCATATTAAATCCGAATAGTCCAAAGACACTTATTGAAAATTTTAAATAATTTTCAGTAACTATGTAAAAAGTTATGCCATTTAGAAGTCATTTTGAGAAAAAAACCAAAAAAATTATGACCGTTCAAAATTTTTCAAAATTTAATGCCTTTCGGCAATTTAACAGAAACTATTGTTTTTTTGATTTACAATTGTTTAGAGTTAATTAGTGCCACGTTTTATAATTTTAAAATGACTATTTCAAAAGTTATAAGGTTTCAAAGTCATCTAGTGAAAACGTGTTGAAAATGTGATAAACAAAGTGTTTTAAAAATTTAACGTCCTTAGGCGATGTGATAGAAGCTTTTGTTAAATGTGTTGATTCAGTATAGTAATGTGAATCTTAGGGCCAGTTTTGATAGCTCTACTATACTTGTGTCAAGAGTTATGAGTTGTTAAAGAGAACTGTGTCATAAGAATACCAATACCTTTTGAAAATAAAGATTTTTTTGAAAGTTAGTAAAACATAATGTTCCACTAAACCACTCCTCAAACTATCTATTAAAAACTTACGGTTTGTACAATCGAAAATGAAAGAAAGCCAATCCAAGCCCATACAAACATGATTCGTCTTTAGAGAACTTGTTACCCATCGACTTATAAGCCTTTTGATAAGCCGACAATGCTTTAACCCAATCCAATGCCAATAAATGAACATGGCCTAGATGTGTGTAGATCTTGGCCAATTTTTCTTGATCTTGCTCATAATTATCAGCTTTATCTAACTCTTCTACCAAGCCATCTTCGAAGTGTGACAATGCCTAAAGACATAAAAAATAAAACGCAGTGTAACTTACTTTAAACAAGGCTGCTTTTTCTTTCACATGAGTTTTAGATGAGGCGTGGTAGTCTGTGTAGTTCAAACTGGAATATATGTTTTATTCAGGAAGATACGAGCTTTCTTTTTATAATTTCATATTATACATGAGCTCTTTTTGAAAAACTGCTATAACTCCTAGTATAACAAAAATAAAAAGATCATTCTTTTTTTAAATCAACTGACAGTGACCTTATTTATATATTTTTAGCTTTCAACTCATTTCCCGACCGAAAACCTTTAAAATTCGTTGAAAACACGATACCCATAACCAAGTCCTCATGAACAATATCGCAAAGCGCTAAAAACCAAACAACAAAACAAAATTGACATACCTTGAAAATGAATCAATCTTATTGTCCAGCTCAATCTGTCGCTGTTGAATTTGTTCGGCATCGCCCCCGCTGGCGTCCGACATGCTAATTTGAACAGATTGAGCGCCGGGAGGCAAAATGTTTACAAAATTATTAGAAATTGTTGTTAAAAAATTGGAATGCTATGAAATTCTTGCTAACACAAAGCTGTTAGCAAGTTTGACTAGTTATATTACTAAATAATCCAGTTGAAGGCACGAATTTCGATTTTGTTATCTAAAATATTGAAATTTTTAAGTTTGGCAAGAAGTTATAAAGTAAAACACAAAAAGCTAATAAAAATTTAAAAACAATGTTAAAACGCTTCTGTACAAATCAATACTTTTATATAAAGCTCGAGTTAAGACATATAAAACGCGATATTAACATAGATAACGATTTTTCCATTTTTCTTGAAAAAATTTATTTTAGAAAAAAAATGTTTTTAAAAATTAAAATAAGAATGTTAAAATATTATTAAACATCTAATTTGTCCTTTAGTAAAGCTTTATTACACTCTTTTTTACCAAAAAATAATTTTTGCGAATAAAAGCCGACTGAATTTGAGCGCGAGCTGCCGCCGAAATTATTTATACGCTGAAACGTGCCCATATTTTCCATAAAAACAAAAAATTTTTTATAAAGTTGACTTTCTGTGAACATTTCACTATGGTTTGTCTTTCATTTCATTTTAAAATCAATTTACAATTTTTATCAACCAAAAACTGGTCGATTCCTCCTCTACCCCACAATCACCATGACCAGTGCGGGTGATGCGGGCGCGAGAATTTTGAATGAAATCAAGCACATTTGTGTGAAACCGGAGGCATTGTTGGAAGTGCGAACGGAAGGTTGTGAGACGGTGCATCGATGGACGTTGAATGATGATGTGATTTTGGCTATGCGAATATTTGGCTTGGCAGTTCAAGCTAATGACGAGGAGAAGGTGGAGAAGATTATCTGTGGATTGATCGCTGGGGAGGCGGAGGTGGGTTTTTTTATTTTTATGTTAATTTAAAGGAGGGACAGGGGAATTTTACATATTTTTTTAAAATTTTTTGGGGAAGGGGCGAGCGGGGTAAATTTTTTTTTTCAATTTTTTTGAAATTTTTTTAAAGTTGAAGTTTTAAAATCTCCTCAAAGAATCACTAATTCATTCTCCTTACTTTCAGGATGCCAACGCACCATACTTTCAAGACAGCAAGCCTCGTTTCATGGCCAAGCGGCTCTGCACTGGAGAGGTAGAGAAGTTCAAAGAAGTCCTCTTAATAGCAATATTAAGCGGAAGTCGACCTTTAACCGAGTTTATTCTACAATTATTCATTGAAAACCCAGCGGCAGAATTCACTGGATGCTTGGATTCACCCATCTTCCCACCTCATATGACTCCATTGATGATTGCTTGCTTATCAAACAACTTTGCTCTAGTCGAATGTCTTTTGTTGAGGGGACATACCATCGAAATGCCTCATCGACATGATTGTAAGTCTTTAAATCTTGATGTGTTGGGCTCAAAAATGGGAGTTAAAACTAAATATTAACCTAAAAAGTGGCTAAGCAGTGAAAATTCAGGGCATTTTTGGTTTTTTATGAAGTTTTTATAAATTTAGGTAACAAAAATAAAGATTTGTTGCTAATCTTTATTTAGTAAAGTTTAATGAGCAATTACACAAAATTTTGAACTTTCTCAATCAGCAAGTCACAAGTTATGGCATCTTAAACCAGACGCATTTGAAAGTTTTAAACTTTGAACGGTGTTTGTCTGAACTTTAAAATTTTTGTAGCTTGAGGATATAAAACTTCGAAATTGTTAATGACTTTAGTTTAGCATGGTACAAAGATAGTTTACTGAAAGTTTGACAATTTTTCAATCAATATGTCATAAGTTATGACATTATAAAGTTTGGTTTGGAAGAAATTTTCAAAATTTGATTGGGTGACATTATTTTTAACATTTTAAAGCCTAAGGTAATGAAGACAAAAAATTGTTAGTGAACTTGATTTAGTAAAGTTTAATAAGTAATCACACAAAATTTTGAAGTTTTTCAATCAGTGTGTCATAAGTTATGGCATTATAAAGTTTGGTTTGGAAGCAATTTCAAAATTTGATTATATTTTATTATTTTGTAAAATTTGATAGCCTAAGGCAACATAAACAAAAAGTTGTTGATGACCTTGATTTAGTATAGCTTTAGGATTATAAATATGATTTTTTTATATATTTTTGTTTATTGTGTCATAATTTATGACATTACAATGGTTTGTTTCAAAGAAATTTCCAAAATTTGATTGGATGACACTATTTTTAAAATTTTGATAGCCTGAGGCTACAAAACCAAAAAATAGTTATTGGCCTTGATTTAGTATAGTTTTAGGACTGTAAATATGATTTTTTATATCTTTTTGATTACTGTGTCATAAGTTATGACCAATCAAAGTCGGCCGTCTTGTTCGTTTTTTGAAATTTGATTGATTTTTTTTTTTAAATTGAGTTTTTGCAAAAAAATCAATTTAAAAAATTGAAAAAAAATCACATAATTAATAGCCCACTTCCAGGTGAATGTAAAGAATGCAAGCACCATAACGCAGCTGGTCGAATGGATGTGAAACGACTGGATCAATTTCGAGTCGTATGTTCAGAAGCCTTTCTATGGCTGGCAACGGATGATCCATTGCTTGCTTCAATTCATCTGATCGAAGACCTTCGAATGTCTTTAGGCTTCAATAATGAGCACAAGGAAGTGTACAATGAGCTGTTGAACAAGGTGCTCAATTATACATTGGCAGTAACTCAACATTGTTGGAGTTTCGAGGAAATGGACCTGATTTTGAGTCAGAAGGCGGGGTCGAAGACGATTTATTGCGAGGAAATGTATCCACGAGCGCTATTGGCTATTGAGAATCAAATGAAAATGGTGGGGTTTCTTTTATTTTTTGAAATTTGAAATTTAAAAAAAAATTTTGAAATTTGAAACTTTTTTTTAAATTTGAATTTTCAAAACTTAAAAATATTTAAATTAGAAAAATGTTGGGATAGAAGTTTTAAAGGGTTTTTGAACCATGCACACCCATGTTATACGATAAAATGTGTTCTGACACAGGGAGTGTACGTTAGATTAGGATAAGGTAGGGTAGAGTAAGAGACTAGTGTAGATTATTAGTTCTTATTATAGGGGTACATACTCTAAGGTAGAGTAGGATAAGATAGAATAAGGTAAAGTACCGTAGGGTGTAGACTAGGTTAGGCCGGGTCGGTTGGGGTAGGGTTTGTTACAGTAGGATAAGTTATGGTCAGGGCCGGGCGCGAGGGGGGGGACGGGGGGGGTACCCCCCAGAAAAAAAATTTTCGAAAAAAGTTGAACGTGGTCCCCCCTGTGGATATTTGGAAAAAAATTTTCGCAAAAAAACGGCACAGGTACCTGTGCCGATTTTTTGGACCCCTGCCCCCAGACCAAAAGTCCCCGCCCGGCCCTGGTTATGGTATAATAAAGTAAAGTGGGGTGGAGTAGAGTAAGGTACATTAGGGTAGGGTGAAGTACAGTAGTGTAAATAATAGTAACGTAGAGTAAGGTAGGGTAGGGTAGAGTAGGGTAACATAAGGTAGGGTATGGTAAGGTAGGGTACTATTTAGTACCATTTCTAAATATAGTAGAGCTTTTTCAAATTTTAAAATTAAAAAGAATTTTAGTTTGTAAGCCACATAAACGTACAATCAGTGATGTCACTACAATGGCTAGGCAAATGGACCGACTTTGGCTTCAACAAACGCCGTGATATGCAAAGAATAATCCGTCACGGCGTACTATACCCAATACTAGGACCGATTCACACAGTAGTTGGCCGTTTCTCATCATTCTCAACGCCGGCTGCCAGATTCATTAGCCAGTCGGCTGCCTATGTAATACTACTCTTTTGTATACTGGGTAGTCGATACTTTGCACCGGATTCGAAGAATGACAAAAGATATGCGACTGTTGAGATGGTGTTCTTTGGCTACATTTACTGTTACTTTGGCGGATTTGTGTTTGATCAAATGGCATTCATGTGGATCATGGGCTCCAAGTTCTACTTTGATATGTGGTGGAAGTGGTGGGTTTATTTGAAAATACTGTAACCTATTTCACCCTACTTTAGCATATCCTAGCCTACCCTACACTACCCTACTCTACCTTACCCTACCCTACTTCACCCTACCCTATCCTACTCTACCCTAATTTGTCTTACCCTGCTTTACCCTGCCCTATCTTGCCCTACCTCACCGTACCTTACTATGCTCTCCTCTATCCTTCTTTACGCCACCCTAATCAACCCTACTCTGGGATATAGTAATATAGTTTTACTACATTCTACTTTGCTTTACCGTAACCTCAATTAGACTTTTCAATATTCTTCTTACTGTAGCACTATTATAGTTACAGTAACAAGCTTTGTCAGGCCTTGCTCGATTCTAATGTATCTATAGCTTTGACTTCTACTACTTTACAGTAATCATGCTCAGTAGCCTTACCCTAGCTGTACTGTGCTATACTTTCATCCTACTTGTTACCATGACTTACAGAGGCTTTAAATTTAGAATTTGACCTTTTCTAGCTCTATGATAGCCCTAATCTAACCTCTACCCTACCCTACTGTACCCTACCCTACCCTATCCTACCCTACTGTACCCTACTCTACGCTTCCTTATCTTATATTACCCTAATCTACCATTCTCCATCTTGCCATACTCAAGCTTGCCCTACCCTACTCTACCCTACCTATCCTATATCACTTTCTTTTTCAGGATAGACTTTTGTATCTGCCATCTGACAGCGATTGTGTTCATTCTTCAGATATTGTTGTTTGGAGAAAAAGAAGATTATGATCCGGACTTGTCGATGAGTAACCCTGGTCATATTCAAGTCTGCTATGATATTGCGTTTGCTCTACTGTGCTTGTTGGCCACGGGACGAGGGTTGTACAACTTGCAATTGCTACGGAACTTGGGTTCTACTATTGTAAGTTGGGGTAGGGTAAGGTAGTGTATAGGGAAGGGTAGGTTGGGAAGGGTAGGGTAGGGTGGTGGTAGGGTAGAGTAAGATAAGGTAGGGTAGGACAGGGAAGGTAAGTAAGCTGGTACCTATTGATCTCTTCAATATATTGTTGTTTCAGATATCGACCGGTCGGTGTTTGGGCGAGGTAATCGAATATTTTTTCATTATGGGCTTGGTCATGATCGCCTTTTCGATATCTTTGAATCTGATTGCTCAACCTTATCATGTGGAACGGTTTTCGAGGTAAGATTATGTTATTATAGGTATATATGGCCTACTATGTTAGCTAAGTAGTAAGGTAAAGTACCAAAGTGTACTAGTACTGACACTAGTATAGTACGATAAGGGTTTTTAAGTACCATAAAGTGTTAGTATTCTACTAACTAGTACTAGTAGTATAAAATATAGTACTGGTACTAGTACTGTAAAAATAGTGCTGATACTGATAATATAAAAAATAGTACGAGTACTAATAATATACAAATCAGAACTCATACTGTACCATCTGTACCAATAACACCATTTTAGAATGTTGTTCTCCTTCCGCAACCTGTTCTGGGCCTTTTACGGTTACCTGAGCCCGGATGAGTATATCATGATAAACTACGACTTCTCCCAAGAGTACTACAACAAGTCCATATCACAAATCGGAATGGAATTACTGACCACATTGTACTATATGGTCATGGTAATATCACTACTAAACTTGATGATATCATTGCTGGTGGAGAGGGCTCACAGGATTATGGTGAGTTACAGTAGTTTATGGGGTTGTGGGGGTAGGGTAGGGTTGGGTTAGGGTAGGGTAGGGGAGTGGAAATAAGGGGAGGGTCGAAGAGGGAAAAGGAAGGATTTCTATGGGCAATGAGACTGTAGGGCATGGGTAAATTCAAGGTAAGGTAATCCTATGGTATGGTGAAGCAGAAGGGAGAGCGGGGTTAATTAGAGCAGGGTAGAGTAGGGTCAGGGCAGCGCAGTGTAGATTAGGGTAGGATAAAGCATGTTAGTGTAGGGTTGGGTCAGGGCAAGGCGGGGCAGGGTATATACGGGCAGGATATTGTAGAGTAGGGTATGTTAAAGTAGAGTAGGGTACGGTACGGTAGAGCATCGATAAAATTACGGCATAGCAAGCCTATGGTAAAATCAAGGAGATTAGGGTAGGGTCAGGGAAAAGCACGGAACGGGTAGGGTAAGGTAGGGAAGGGCAAGCTAGGGTAAGGTAGGGAAAGTACAGTAGGCTAGGGTAAGGGAGGGTAGAGTAGGGGTAGGGTATGGCAGGATAAAGGGGTAGGGTGAGGTTTGGTAGGGTAGAGTAGAGTACGGTCGCTTATGGTAGAGTAAGACAGAGTACGGTAGGGTAAAATATATTTTGTTAGGGTAGGATAATTACAGTACATGACATATAATAAAACTTTCCCTTTAGGAAAACGAAGAGCCCGAATGGAAGTACACCCGCTCCTATATCTACAGTGAGTACTGGCATCCACACACCACCCTACCACCCCCATTCAACCTCATTACCTTGCTCAAATTGTTGTTTAAAAAGTTTTTGGTTAAGGTATGGCAATTTAAAAATAATTTTTTAAAATTTTTTAAAATAAAATTTTTGAACCATGGGCGCAGCTCGAAAAAATTTCAAGAATAAAAAATTTTATTTTTAACGAAAAATCCATAAATTTAGTACAAAAATTTTAAAAAATGACATTTTTAGGAGTATGACATCATAAAAGACAAGGAATTCGAGAAGCGAAGCCGTGTCGCCTACCTACGCCTGATGACAGTCATTTTTAGACGTTATGTGGCAGCACAGCGCTTCCACTACACCAACAGCTCTCTCATGGACAAAGCAGTAAGTTCTACGAACTTTTTGACCTTAAAATAAGCTCAGTATGTATTTTCTGACTTGGCTTGGAGTCTGGATAGGGGGTTTTTACCGTTTTTCGCAGAGTGCAGGCTGCGCATGCCATGTTATACGATGAAAAATGTACTGGTGTAGCGACAATAAAGTAAAGGGGTTTGAAAGCTCAATATAGGGTAAAAAGGACGGCTTTCTACGTACTTTTTGACCCTATATTGAGCTCTTGAAGATGTTTTTAGCATAATTCTGCTGGTTCTACATACTTTTTGACCCTTTTTCTAAGCACTATTTGACCAGTTTTTCACTGTTTTCCGGCTAATATGGCTCAATACTGGTCAAAAAGTACTTAGAACTTTCAAAATTTTTTAGTTTTTGGCCTTTTTTTCAATTTCCTATAGACTTTTTGACCAACTCAACCTTATAAAACGACGTTTTACGCTCATAATTAGTTGCTTTTCAGCCCCAAACCCTCACCCCCAACTGCAAGGTCAACTTCCTCAACCGCGTCCACGGCGACCACAACCAAAGCGAACTATAGACCAATTCACGAGTGGTCACGGTACAGATGAAACGAATACCGACGATAATTAAGGTATATATTATTGTAGTTGGCAATAAATAGAGATAGGAAGGTGTGTCTCAGAAGGATAGGGTTGGGGGTAATTGTAAGGATAGGGGTAGGGGTAAAAGTAGGGGTAGGGGCCAAAGGGTAGAGGTAAAAATAGGGGTATGGACCAGAGGGTAAGGTCAAAAGTAGGGGTAGGTATTTTTTTGGAAATTTTTTAAAAATTTTGCTTTTTGCGCGAAAAATTTTAAAAACTCGACTTTTGTTACCTAAAATTTAAAAACGATCCACCAGTACACAATCTAATATAATAAAACATTAACTTTCAACAAAGATGCTAAATATTATACTGCTGGCAATAAGTTTTGGGACACCCTATATCTCAGTTTGTACATGGCAGATCTTCATAAATTTTTACATAGAGATTGTAACAGAGATTTACAATCGATATTAGTAAGAAAATTGTCAAAATCAAAATTGACATTTTGTTACACTTGTAAAAAAATATTTTTGCTATGAAAATCTGGCAAAAGTTTTGGGACACAGTAATTTATGTTGCGATAAGGCCGATATATTAGTGTAAACTACTTTAAATATTTATTACGTTTTGTTAAGAATACAATTTAATGGCCACTTTGATTTTGTTTTGCTCCGTTATAGGATTCTGGGGTTTAACGTCAAGATGGTCATGTACATCAACATCGATATTATAAACTTGGTAATTATTTCTAATTATGAATTAAATTTAATATTTAGCTCATAGTAAGTGCTGTAGAAACTTTTTCAACTTTGTGACATTTTACAGTGACTTCAGAAGTAAGCACGTATATTGTCTTAGGTACCCCCACTGACTTTTAGGTATCAGTAGCTTCTTAGTTTACAAAAAGTAACATAAAAAGCAATGTTTAATACAACACACTACACTATTATCAACGTATAAAACTACGATAAGTGCTTGTACCAACCTTTTCTAGATGGTATTTTAACGATTTTATATCAAAATGCACTGCATCGTACATAGCTCCAAGTACTACAGCATGACCATGGTATGTGTAATTGTTTTTTTTGTCTCAATAATGGAAATACAAGTATAAAATGTTTTTCGAGGTCTGAATTAACTAATATAAGCAACAAACCATCTCAAACCATCTAGAAAAGGATAATACAAATACTTATTGTGGTTTAATATGTTGCTAATAGTGTAGTAGTTGTATAAAACATTGCTTTTTATGTTACTTTTTGTAAACTAAGAAGCTACTGATACCTAAAAGTCAGTGGGGGTACCTAAGACAATATACGTGCTTACTTCTGAAGTCACTGTAAAATGTCACAAAGTTGAAAAAGTTTCTACAGCACTTACTATGAGCTAAATATTAAATTTAATTCATAATTAGAAATAATTACCAAGTTTATAATATCGATGTTGATGTACATGACCATCTTGACGTTAAACCCCAGAATCCTATAACGGAGCAAAACAAAATCAAAGTGGCCATTAAATTGTATTCTTAACAAAACGTAATAAATATTTAAAGTAGTTTACACTAATATATCGACCTTATCGCAACATAAATTACTGTGTCCCAAAACTTTTTGCCAGATTTTCATAGCAAAAATATTTTTTTACAAGTGTAACAAAATGTCAATTTTGATTTTGACAATTTTCTTACTAATATCAATTGTACATCTCTATTACAACCTCTATGTAAAAATTTATGAAAATCTGTCATGTACAAACTGAGATATGGGGTGTCCCAAAACTTATTGCCAGCAGTATATGTTGTCCAATTAATTCTGTGCCCCATAACCCTGAAAATTTGCTTTGAAAACGGACACAGAATTATTTGAACAGAACAACCTAATAATCTAAAATATTGCGATTTCTGCTTTCAACAGTTCGTAAGTCAATAAAGAATTGTCAAACTCAAAGGTTATTTGGTTTATTAGCAAAACGAAACTTAAAATCGATTAGAATTTGAAAAAAGTTTAAATTTGGACAAAATAAGAGAGATTATAGGCCTATAAAGGCTTAAAATGGTTCAATAATAAGGTCATAGAGGCAAAAGAATGACACGATTAAGCTGTAAATCCAAAAAAATAGAAAAAAGTAAATCCAAATTAGGTTATAAAGACTTTAAAATGACAATTTAAATAAAAAATTGAACATAAAAATTCCATCTACTTCTTGACCGGCTTGGCTTTGCATTCTTTGTACTTTCTCGAAGCTTCAAAGGCCAAATCCACCCAGCCAAAGATGAATCTGTCATCTGATACCTCCTTGATGTGTCTGTAAAAGTTCCTCATATGGGCTGGAAGGATGACAAAAGCTTGGTTCGAGGGGAGGAGCACATGAGGAATATCCATCTGAAAAATTAGTTTGAATTTTTAAAAAACTCCAACTAAATTTTTTTTTCGAAATTCAAAAAAAAATTTCAAAATTTTAAAATTTCGTATTTTATGTTGTCGCAATGAACTTAAAATGAAAGAGTGCGCTTATCCGCCCTCGTAGGCCTCTACTCTACCCATAAAAACTCAGTTTTGTCATAAAAATCTCAGAAATGTTACCTAAACTTCAGAAAGTGTTAAAATGTTACCTAAAATTCAAAATTTTCAAATATTACCTAAAATCTCATCCTTCAAAAACAGTATTAACTAAAATCACCCACTTTAAAACCTATATTATCTAAAATCACCCCCTCCCAAACCTAAAAAACTCACATATACCCAGTTCAAGACCACAGGTCGTGCCACCTTTGGTACCTCCTTCAACGAAAACGGCCATCTTTCATGAGGAACGTCGATCTTCTGTTGATATTCTTCATCGCCAACGATGCCATAGAACTCGAGACGGGTGTCTTTTCGAGGAACCAGCTCCGAGTACATTATCACGCCCAGAGAACGGCTGATTTCTGGCTGTTTTACCACCGCCCATTCGATTGCGAATGCTGAGGCTAGTGGAGTGCCTAAAATATGTTATTTTAGGTAGACTGAGCTTCAAAAAATGAAGATTTTAACTAATTTTAGCCAAAAAATGTCATTTTCAGCTAGTTTTTCACATAAAAAAGGCCTTTATCACACAGTTTTCATTAATAAACCCTCTTTTAATATCTACTTTTATCCATAAAACATCATTTAATACCTCGTTTTATCCATAAAGAATCATTTAATTTATATTGCCAAAAACCAATCTTTTTCACCTTCAAACCCAAAAACTTACCATGCATAAAGAAATCCTTGATGATGTACCGCTTCCCTCCCATTTTCAAATCGACCAGATCCGTATGGTTAAACTTCGACACCATAACATACTGCTTCACCCTCACAAGGCATCCCGCATACATTCGATCAGAAAAGCTCGTTGCCCAGTAGCCGCCGAATCGGATGCTCATCGGTACATCTGGATTTTTGGAGTGGTTGTTAGAGTATACGAAGCCAATGGCGCAGTTCGAGTCGCTCCATGCAATTAGGTAATCGACGGGATCTGGCAACTCGATTAGCCGATCATCCGTGACCTGGTATGCGTGAAGAGGACGGAGACGTTCTGAGTCGAAATTGCTCTGAAATTTAAAAAATATGAATGAGACTACCTTTATATAGGCGAATTAGAAATAACTTTTAGATCACTTTAAAGCTCGCTTTCGCTTATTGGCTGTCAGAAATATTGTATTCAAAAACATCGCTCTCTTATTCGCTCCGCGATATTACCCATTCATTAAAAAACCTTCAAGGCCCCCGATCAGATACGTTAAATCACTGTAACTTTCAAATGTTATAAAATTTTAAATTCTTGTTTTATGTACTAGTTAGTGCTGATATTAACCAATATCCACACAAAAGTTCAAATCTTTAGCTATATTTTTGAAAAAGTTATAACAAAAACTAATTTTCATCTAACCTGCGCCCATATAGGTATAGCGAAACTGCTGTAACTCCGAAGATGTTGCGAAAATGTTAAACATGTTTTATTAAAAAGTTAGTGGAGACACTAGTCTACATTCAGACAAAATTCTAGTCCGCTAACTGTCTTTCCAAATAAATTACGATTCAAACCAATTTTCACCAAGATCAACGAAAAATTCTGATATAGGTATCGAAAAAGAGCTTGAACCTTAATTCCTTCAAATTATGAACACTATTTTTAGCTAGTACTAAACGAAAACACTCTAGTTTCCCCTTTCCAATATAAGTTTTGTTGATATTTACCTAAAAACCAACAAAGCAAAGAGAATAACTCACGTCAATCACATAACCCAGCTTCCCTGAAGGAAATTGAGGTGACGGCTCATCCAGAATCCATTCTAAATCTTCATACTCTTCCACAGGATCGATATCGACAACCTCCTGGCCTTTCTCTTCATGACATACTTTGAGGTTTTGTATTTTAGTAACATTGCTCTCATGTTGATCACAAATAAGACTCATCTGAAATATGAAAAAGTTAGACTAAAATAGTATAAAACAAGCAAAATATAGACAATAAAATCTTTTTATCAAGAGGACAATAAAATAAATAACAAGAGCCGTGAAACTTTCGAAGTTTGAACAGATTTCTTGTCTAGAATCTCGAAAAAGCAATTTTTAGTGTGCGACTTGCGACCGAAGTTTTGCAAGCCGCGAGTTGTTTGATTAAAATGTTTTGGGGTTTCTCGATGTAAAAAAACGTATGAGAACTTATAAACAGTAAAACAATAGACTTGTAAAGAATTTTATGAACAATATCCTATTTTTAAAACCCAAATCCAACCAAAACATTGGATTCCTGGACCGAAAAAGTGGTATTGAGGTTTGTAACAACGGAAGTTCTTGATAAATATTTATTTTACATCAACAAACAAATAACATATCTCAACAATAACTTCAAATTGACAAACAAAACACAATATAATCAAGAATTAATCCGATTTTTCCTTGATTCAAACGCAATCCGACGTTCCATGTACTCATAGAAGCTGGGTATGTCATCTCCTTGCAGATACACCGGCTTATTCAATGGCACCGCATATGCGTAACATTGTTCTAACTGAACATAACTTGCCATTATGTCTAACCGTCGCTTTGTTGATTCGAAATACATCGGTGAAATGCTGTCGTAAAGCTTCTTGACGTTGGGATAGTCTGGCATTGATGAAGAACAGAGGGAATTTCCTGAAATGAGCAAAAGTAGGTTTAAAATGACTAAGATGTTTTTGTAAAGTTTGTCATAACATAAAATTAACTTTAATATTAATTCAAAAAGAAAAAGCTTCACTTACTTTTCAGTGCAGTATAGTTAAACTTCAAGCCGAACTGGAGCTTCCTCTTGGCCAAAACTTCTTTGGATTCCCACGGAATCAGGTCGTAGTTGAAGTCGATCCGACGTCGTTTAACATCTTCAAACTCGCCTTCTTTGTCTCTAAATCGATCATTGGAGATAATAGCTCCATTGTAGGTAACGGCCGTGTTCAGAATCACTCGATCATCGTCAACCATGTCAGGTAGAACATGAAGAATCTCCATTAGTTGAAACTGCTGAAAAATGATAAAGTAAATGACAGTTTGATGAATATGCCTATGTTTTCTATAGATATTACAAAGTTTTTTTTAAAAGAACTGTTTAAAATGTCATATAAGAATAATCATACCTCAATGACAAAGTAGTAGTCTGTCACCCGTGCATTCATGTAATAGTCTTTCAATGTGACGAAAACTTCAAACTTTTTGGATATCAAGTCGTTCACCATCAATAACAGTGTCAAAGCATTGGCTTTCTCACTGAAAAACAACATTTACTTCTCCAATCTTATTATACTACTCATTCAACCTTATCATACCATTTTTAAACGAAAAATTACCCAAAAATTCTTGTAAAAGCTTAAAAATATATAAATCCCTATGTTCAAAACAGAAAAAAAACTTACCGAGCACTGTGGATGCTGTAGCATGCCTTGGATGCCTTCGAAATCACATTACATCCGTCGATCACAACCACTCGCCGACAATACTCGACCTTCAGCTCCTTTGGCACAACAACATCTGCCTTCTTCTCTTTCACATCATCTTCCACCTCCTTTCTTTTATTTACTCTAAAAACCGTCGAAGATTGGTTAAATTTGCCAATCATGATCTGAAAAAACAATATTATATCATGTTATTCATCATAAAATACATGGAAATCGTAATAACAAAGAGTTAAAAAGCCCAAAAAACTAAAATATTAACATAATATATTTAGAATTTATGAAAAACAATGTTACAAGTACTTAAACATAACATCTTGTAGCCAATTTTAATTATATTTGGTTAAAAAAGTAAAAACATACCATTATCACTTCGGTTCCACAACGGAAACACTCGCTTGCCAATAAACCTTAGTGCGCAATGCCAACAAGCTGAAAAAAGTACTTTTCGGCCAAAATTTACATTCATACATTGATTTGTTGGATATAAGGAAAATATGGGACGATCACGTTCTCGCGAGCATTATGATAGACGAACTTCACGCTACCGTTCACGTTCCAGATCTCGGAATCGATCACGCGATCGAGATGAACGAAGATATCGGTCGGACAGGCATCGAAAAAGCCACAAAAGACGAAGATAGTAAGTTATTTATGTTTTTTCTTTGATTTTTAGGTTGTATTATTAAAGAGCAGTTAATAATTGAAAGGGGGAAGTGATAATGATAATAAATTAGGCAGAAGAAGCGTTTTTTTTGACAGCACGGACCTTTTTGCCATGGTTAACATGGTTCTTCTCATAAAATCTTTATTTTTCTAGCTCATCGTCCAGAAGTCCTTCAGCACGTCGAACAAGGAGTCCCTCACCTCCAGCACGACCAATCACGCCAGCTGAAGCGTTGGCTGATATAAATGCCGTCCATACAGTGACCGATGATCAGATGCCTGACGACGTGAAAAAAGATCTGTGCCAGCCAGATTGGGCACCGAATAAAATGACTGGAGCTGCATTAAAATGGGTCACAGAGACAGTGAATGAGCAGGCAAGTTTTTTGTTGTTTTAGGTTTAAAAACTTTAAATTGATTATAATGTGTTATATGGTTGTATGTTAAAATTTAAAGTTGTATAACTCATTGAAATGTCAATATTTTTAAAATGTTTTTTTGATTATTAGTAATTTGAAATGTTGTTCTTAGATTATGTAAAGATAAAAGGAATCAAGTTTGCTAGTTTTTTATTAGTAGAGCAAACTATATTATAGTAGACTCAAGGTCTGTTTTTCAGTAAAAGCCATTGTTTATCGTAAACAACGAGCTTGTGTTTGATATATAGAGGATAAAAATGTTGTCTGATGCATATTCTTTGTATACTTTAGAACTTTATCTTCTTTATGATCATTCAATTCGTGTAGCCACGTGTTTCTATAAATTTCAGGTGCAAATTTAGATCCGACCCGAATCATTAGATGTATAGCAACAAATGGAAGCTGTGGTAGAATGTGCGTACCCGCAATTTCCCCATGATACCTATAAATTGTTATAGAATTGAGAGAAAACATTGAAATTAGCTTCTAAACATTGTCTTATCTAAAGTAATATTAATTCTTTTAGATGCGAGCACGAAACGAAGAGATTGACACTATTGTGAGAGACCGGATTCAAAAGTCTAAAGTAGAGCTAGAAGCCAGGTTACGAGCCCAAATTGAGACCGAATGGAAGGACGAAATGGAAGCGGCCAGAAAGAGAGAGGTAGGTTAATATAATTTGAGGTTGTGATCTGTCGAGGTGATTGAAATGAGGAAAGTTTGTTAGAAAAGAGTTACAAGGCTATGAAGAAGGTTTGCCGCTCAATTTATTTTTGAAAAGTTACTATAACATAAGGTTTCAAAGGGTTTTTCTATCATTTTTACTGTTTTTCTTGAATTTTTTGATGAAATTTCGGATATTTGGGATAATATTAAACTATTTCTTTTCAGGCTGAAACGTTGGCTCGACTAAAAGACATGGAGAAGAATCTAGAAGACCGGCGGAAAGAGTTGGACGAGGAGAAGGGCAAAATGGTAGGCTACTATAATATGTACATCAATATTAGTTTGATGGTGAAATATTAATGAAAAACTTGATTTTTTGGTTTTTAAACTTGTTTTATGGAGTGGAAAGTTAACTTTGGCTATTTGTTACTTAATTTTTTAATTTTTTTTTGAAAATTTAGAAAAATTTGCGATTTTATTATCTAAAACAATATGATTTCAGAACGAAGAACGACTTCAAATGCTAGAATCCAAGTCCAAAGCCGAAATGGAGCGAAATCAGCTGCGCGAAGAGTTGGAGAAGCTGAAGAAGTCGGAACAACATTCCATCCTGAACAAGGGCGGTTTCCAACGCGCCCCAATCCGCTTTGGCTTCAAAAGCAACTAACCTAATCTCATGTTTGTCGGGTCTCAGTTTGAAAGAATAATGATTGTTTTTTAAGTTGTAATGTCTATAGTCAGGTAAGTACTTTCACCATCAACTTTTATACATACGCTAATAAATACGTCCGCTGGTGGTGGGAGAGGTATTGATTTTGGATGGGTATGGCTTGGAAATGATTGGAATTAGATTTTATTTGATATACCAAGACTTGGGAGGGGCGCACTAGGTTCTGGCTGGCAAAGGGCTTAAGGACCCAGGCCTAAGCCAAGATCCCAGTGGCCCAGCTTGGGTCCCGCAACGAAAGATTTGACAGAGGCTTAAATTAAAACGCGACTTTCTGTCAGCTTGTAAAGAATAAAGTAGCTTTAACTACAGGCCTGACCATCAAACATCGCCCACCCTCTCTCTTTTTCATGTATAATGTATGCTATGTGGTATGACAAAGAAGAAAACACAAGGTATATCTTATGCAGCTTGCAAACAAAATATGAATCATATGTTATGAGGTTAGTACTGTAGTAGTAATTGGAGTAAATATTATAGTACGAAATGCAGGATAAGGTACGGTAGAGTAAGATGAAGTAGGGAAGGTTAAAGTAGAATGGGGTAGGTTAGGAGAAAGTAGGGTAGGTTAGAGTAGGACGGGGTAGGGTAGGAACTTTTCATTACTTTCTCTTACTGTAGCTTTTAGTTTTCTTTAATTAACTTTATATTGCCTCTGATATACTGTAGCTTTACCCTATCTTACTCTTACTATACCCCACTCTACCTTATTCCACTCGACCCTACCCTATCTCACTCTACGTTACCTTACTTTACCCTGCTTTACCAAATATTATTTCTTCTTCTCCACCACTATACCTTCAGTTACAGTACCCTTCTTACCATACCCAACTTTTTTCAACTTCACGTGAATACATTTCCGAAACTTTAAACGAATACCTGCAACAAGTTTGCGTGCAAAGTACGAGTGTCAAAATGAAACAGGATACGGCAGTTCTGTGCCCTTTTACGCAAATTGTTAACGTTATGTAGGGTGTTTACATAGGATTAACTATTTACAGTATTCGATGAGTGTTCTTTTGAAGAAGTTCTTTAGTTTGGACTAGGGTGTTACCTACTTTTTATGGTAGAGTAGGGTATGATAAAGCAGGATATATTAGTACGGTAGGGCATGGGTAAAAATTAAGGTAATGCAGATGGTAGAGTGAAGGAGGTTACGGTAAGGTCAGGGAAAGGCAGGGTAGATTAGGGCAAGGCAAGGTATTGTAGGGTAGGGGTAAAGTAGAGTAATTTAGGGTAGGGTACGGTAAGGTAAGGTAGGGAAGAGCAGGGTAAGATAGGGTAGGGTAAGATAGGGTAGGGTAAAGCTTTTTTAATGATTTCTCTTTTCCATACAAAATTTTGAAATTTTATTTTTATTTTTACAAGTAAGTATGAACTCCCACTACAAAGTCAAGACCACTTAATGTAAACTCAAATTTTTTCATTGAAGTTGGGCACAAAAGTGCACGTTTTACAACGATAAAACATGTTAAGCTTTACAATTGTAAAATACAAAATGTTTTTTTAATTGCTTTGGAAATTACATTAAAATGACACTTTTGAAATGTAGCTTTACTTTTACCTTTTATAGTCAAGTACATACGTGTGTCGTTCATTATGTTATATCAAGTTGTTTTAGTTCCTTTTGTGGCTTCAGCCTACCCTACCCTACCCTACCCTACCCTACCCTACCCTACCCTACCCTACCCTACCCTACCCTACCCTACCCTACCCTACCCTACCCTACCCTACCCTATCCTACCCTACCCTACCCTACCCTACCATACCCTACCCTACCCTACCCTACCCTACCCTACCCTACCCTACCCTACCCTACCCTATCCTACCCTACCCTACCCTACCCTACTCTACCCTACCCTCGCCTTGCTTTATAGTACTCTGCTCTGCTCTATCGTATCTTGTCTTGCCTTATCGTACCCCGGCCGGCTTGATCCTACCTCGCCTTGCTTTATTGTACCCTGATCGACTTGATCGTATTCTGCCCGGCTCTATCGTATCTTGCCTTATGGTACAGTTCTTTGTTTTTCTCTATATTGCTCTCTTTGTCTTGATATGCTCTATCTTACTCTATCTTGCTCTTATATGCTCTATCGTACCTTGTCCTGCTCAATCGTCCCCTACCTTTACTCTGTTGGGGTACATTTCATAGTATAAAATGGCTTTCGCAGTCCGCAAGAATGCAAAAAATTTTAAAAATATTTTTATTTCAAAATTTTTTCATTTTACTAAGTAAACCATGCCATTTCCAGATGAATCGACTCCTTTTCGACTACAACAACTCCTTTGTAACCAATTACAACTGTAGTTTCTATGATATTGACATCATTCTACCACGCAGTGACAGAGTTAGTGTAGGGCACGGCACGTTACTAATAGTATTGGGCGTGATATTTGAGCTCCTCTACCTACCAGCCTTATACGCCATGACATCCAAAAGGCTTCGGTCGAATCCCTGTTATCGACTCATGTTAACAATGGCAGTATTGGACATGTTAGAGCTGTTATTTACTGCGTTTTACTCCGGTATTGCTTCGTTGATGGGTCTACATTACTGTGATACGACTAGTGATGCTGTTCGGATATTACTGTATTTGCAGGGTTGTGTTGTTTTAGGTAAGTGTATGAAGTCGTCGTTTGAAGCATGAAATTGAGTTTAGGTTTAAGAATTTGAATATAAGCCTAGAGTTAAAGTTTCAAGTGTCTAAACATTTTTTTAATTTTCAGATGGCTTTCAAGTCTAAAAAGCCATTTTTAAGTAAGTCTAAAGGGGCACTTCTAAGCCTAAAAGTTTATTTATAAGCCTAAGGCTCATTTAGGAGCCTAAAAGGTCATTTGAAGTCTTAAACTTCATTTATAAAACTAAAAAGTCATTTTTAAACCTAAAAAGTCATTTTTAAGCCTAAAAAGTCATTTTTAAGCCTAAAAGTTCACTTTCAAACCTTAAACTTCATTTTAAACTTGAGAGTTCATTTAATAAGCCTAAAAGGCATTTAGAAACCTAAAAGGTCATTTGAACTCTTAACCTTTATTTATAAGCCTAAAAGGTCATTTTTAAGCCTAAAAGTTGATTTTTATGCCTAAAAGTTCATTTTTAAGCCTAAAAAGTCATTTTTAAGCCCAAAAGGCCATTTTTAAGTTTAAAAAGTCATTTTTAAGCCTAAAAGGTCATTTTTAAGCCTAAGATTTCATTTTATGTCTGAAAGTTTTATTTTAAGCCTGAAAATTTATTTATAAGAATATAAAATCATTTTTAACTTAAAACTTATTTTTTAAGCGTAAAAACCTAGTGTAATATAGTTTTGAAAAAATATCAAATTTCAAAAACTTTTAGGCTTATGGTTCGCCTACACCTACACAAGCCTAATCTTAGCCCTAAACCGTTGTTTGTCTTTTGGCAGTTATAGTTGTATATTCAACCATCCCATTTGGATATTCGGCACTGTCGTCGTTTTATGTATGACAGTTTGGTTTGTAAATCCACTGTTTTATCACAGTGTCAATGGCGTTTGGCTATTCACCCCACATCCACTTGAACTCAATATTGTTAATCGGGACTCGGTAAGGTTAAAAATGGCAAGAACTTTCTTTACAAAATACAAAATGGCAAGAACTTTCTTTACAAAACATAAAATGGCAAGAACTTTCTTTACAAATCATAAAATGGCAAGAACTTTTTTTACAAAACATAAAATGGCAAGAACTTTCTTTACAAAAACATAAAATGCTAAGAAATTTCTTTACAGAACATAAAATGGCAAGAACTTTATTTACAAAACAAAAAATGGCAAGAACTTTCTTTCCAATTAAAATTATTTCAAAATTATTAAAATTTGCAGTACCACCAAATAGTGCACTCGTTCAATAACTTCACTCTGGCCATATCATTGCCTATTATCTATTTGACCTTCTTCTTGACCAGACCGAAGAAGAACAATCAACGGTTTTCGAATTTTGCCAAAAGGGATATTAGTGTAGGTTTGAAATGACATTTTAGTTATAATTTCTAAACCTTTTAGGCTAAGAAATGACTTTTTAGGCTTAAAAAATGAGCTTTAGACTTAAAAATAACTTTTTAGGCTTAAAAATTAGCTTTAAGCATGAAAATCAATTTTTAGGCTTAAAAATCCCTTTTTAGGATTAAAAAAGGAGCTTTAGGCTTAAAAAAAACTTTTTAGGCTTAAAATGGCTCACAAGGCTTTAGCATGACTTTTTAGGCTTAAAATGTATTTTTAGGCTTAAAACGTGGCTTCTAGATTAAAAAGTGATGTTTCATGAATTTTTAAGTTAAAAAGTGAATCTTTAAGCTAAAATTCACTTTTTAGGCTTAAGACTAAATTTCCCGAAAAAAATATCTTACTTTACCATTTTTAGTTATTCGTCCAATCCATGTTAGTCACCGGCTCCGTAGCTCTATGTGCCGGTTCCTACGCCTTCCTGGAGCTTTTCGACTTGTCGGCCGAACTCACCAAGGCCGCTCATTTCCTTTGGGTTTTAGTTGAAGGAGCACCATCAGTCGTCTATCTTACACTGAATCAAACAATATTACACTTGATATTTGTTAGGGATCAGCACCCATCAACATCGACCGAAGTTCCTAATCACTCGAAAAATGATATTAGACCAGCTGTTAATGTTATTACTGGCTCAATAAATTGAATATTTGTCATTTTTAGGCTTATTTTGATGTTTATAAGCCTAAAGATGCTTTTAAAAATTAAAACGCCAAGAACTTTCTTTCCAAAACAAAAAATGGCAAAAACTTTGTTTACAAAACAAAACATGACAAGAACTTTGTTTCCAAACCAAAAAATGACTAGAGCTTTCTTTAAAAAACACAAAATGGCAAGAACTTTCTTTACAAAACATAAAATTGCAAGAACTTTCTTTAAAAAGCAAAAAATCACAATAACTTTCTTTACAAAACATAAAATGACAAAAACTTTCTTTACAACCCAAGAAATCCAAAAATCTTATCATTTAGCTTTATTCAATCCTACAAAACCTCTAAAAATAAGTATAAAAAGATACAAGATAAAAGACCACATACTATACTAAAAATCACAATCCGACAATAAATATCGACCATAAAATGACTCGTAACTGTGAAAACATGTAAAAACTGATGAGCAAAAGTGATAAGGGTTTTAAAATGTGATTTATAAGCCTAAATTGATAGAAATAAGTTTAAAGAGAGTAATCAAACCAAAAAAAATCGATTTTTAGGCCTGGAAATCACATTTAAAATTTTAAAATTAAAAAAAAAACTAAATTTCAAATTGAAAAAAAAAATTTCAAAATTTAAAAAAAATTCAAATTTTAAAATTTCAAAAAAGATTTCATAATTCAAAAATTTCAAAAAATGAAAAAATCCATAAAAAAGATCCCCCTCACGCCGTTGGCGGCTGACATTCATTACAATCGGCTGATTCTGCTTGAAAATCTTCGATTTGAATGGTCGATTCATGGACGCCAAACTTTTGTTTCAACATTAAACTGGTCGACTTCAATACAACTTGAGCGTCGGTCTCTTGGTCGATTTCCAAATGTACTGATAAGGCAATTTTGTTCATTGTGAGAGCCCAAATCCTTAGGTTGTGGACCTTTTTGACACCGTCGATGCTCTCCAGTGTGTTGAAGACTTCACGGAAATCAATGGAAGATGGTCGTCCTTCTAGCAGTACCACTAGGGCGTCGCGGATAATGTAGAAGGTGGTGGACATGACGATGACGGAGAAGAGGAGAGTGCAGATTGGATCGACTATGCCCCATTCTGGCTGAAAAATAAAAATTAAAAAAAAATTATTTTGAAAATCCAACCCCAAATTTACCGCGCCCAAAAAAACAAACTTCTCTATTCTGGCTCATATTGACTTACCTCAGTTCCCCTAGCCTTCTCATACCCTAAGTTAATCCCCATGCCCAAAAATCTACCCCCAAATTTACCCCCCCCCCTTCAAAAAATCAAATTTCCATACCCTACTTCATATTGACTTATCTTACTTTTACAACCTTTCCTATCCTAAATTAACTCCCACACATCACCCCCTCCCCAAAATCCACCCCCAAATTTACCACGCCCAAAAAATCAAAGTTCCCCATCCACACTCATATTGAATTGCCTTACCCTCCTAACCTTTTCCTAGCCTAAATTAACCCTCACACTTCTACACCCCCTCCCCCGAATTTACCCCGCCCAAAAAACCCAAAACACCAACACCTTACCTTCCACAATATGATCAGTGCCGCCACCAAAACACCGCAACTTTGCAACAAGTCGCCGAGAACGTGAATGAACGCCGCTCTTACATTGATATTCACCTCAGGACCTCTCTTATCATCGTGACTATGGTTGTCTTCCACGTCTTCCTCGATCGGTTGATAGCCATTGCTAGTGCCGGAAGCTGATCGAAGGAGCGCGGTTTGTTCGTGAGGTTCGTCGTGAGAATGGTTATGACTTCCACCACCCAGATGGCTGTGACCATGACCTCCGCAGTACAGTAGGAGGCCCATACTGTAACAAAGTCATATTATACTGAGCATTTTGATAGGAATTTGTGCATTTTTTAAAACTTTTCAAATAATTCTGTGCCACTTAACAATGAAAAATTTGCTTTGAAAGTGGCTCATTATTATTTGAACAAGCTAATAGGCTTATTACAATTTTTTTTGAAAAAAACTGCCATTTTTAAACTTCAAAAGTAATAAAAATAACATTTATAAGTACAGAAAACCCTCAATATCGTATTTTTCTACCCACCCAACATTAAAAATAGCACTTTAAAACCCAAAAAGCCCGGAAAACACCATTTTTAGGCAACAACTTCCATTATTTTAGCCCAAAACAGTCATTTTCAGCCAATCGAAAAATTTTTTCACTTACATAATGTTAACACCGACACCAATGGCAGCTGTGATAGCCATAATTTCACCATCAATCTCGTACTTGGCTGTTATGATACGTTCGACCGCCAGATACACCAAGATTCCTGTCACCACCCAGATCATGAATACCGATACGAAGGCTCCAACAACTTCTGAAATATCACAAAATTATTATAAGTAATTGAAAAATGGCATTTAGTTTATAATTTCTCAGAAAAATTCTTTAAAATGGCCTTCTTCGCTTATACCTACATCAATGACACTTCTAATGTCTATATCAATATAATTCTTGTTTGTATCTCTGGCAAATGCCATTTCTCGTAAACTAAAATCTTTTTTTTTACCATTTAGAATCAACGATTTATCAAGAAACTTATTAGTTTCAAAGATACAGCCATTTTTATATTATACTAGACAGCAAAACATGAATATGACTTTATATCTCTATAACAACATAACTACCGACAGTAGATACCTAAAGCACGTTTTTATAGCTTCACTAGACTATTTCTGACATTCTTCAGCAAAGATTTTTCTAAAAATGTCATAATTTTAAAAAATACAACCATTTTTATATTACCCATGACAGCTGAATCCTAGTTGATGTTCCGACCCCTATATCACTTCTAAATTGCCCAAATTTTAAAATTTAACACTCAAAAAGTATTACCAGCTCTATGCCATCCAAAACTCATCCTTTGTGAAGCCGGACGTGAGGCCAAATACAAGGAAAATAACGATATCAACATACTGGCCAAATCTGTCAGCTAAAACAATATAATTTGATACAATTTGTATGCAAATCCAAACAAAAAATATCGTATTTTACAAAACGCCTATAATAAAACCAAAAACCATACCATAAAGTTAAAAAGACCTACCAAATGAGCAGCATCAGTAATGATGGCCAAACTGGCTGCCCACCAGCCACCAACGATCTCGCAGATCATGAACAACAAACAGACTATGACACTCAACCATAGTACTCGAATAGCACGCTTCTTGTTCTCCACTTGCTCACTTGTCAATTCGTGACAATGAAACCCATCCGAGCCTCGGGCCGAACTGTTTGACACATAATCTATGCTGAAATTCAAAAAATTTCAATTGTAAAGCCAAAAACTAATATAACGAACAATTAAAAAATCAGAAAAGACTTTAAAATTGTACCTCATATTCTTAAAATACATAAAAATCCATTTAAACTAACAAAAAACAAAAACTGCCCGAATAAATTAGTATTTTCGAATAAACAACCATATTATCATAGGACATGATCTGCTGAACTATTACAATAAAATAAACGCAAAAACAAAGTTTTTATTACCTAAACTTAATCGAAAATAAATAAATAAACTCATGCCTAACTTTTCAGTTAAAATCTTTAAAATATTTTATTTTTAGACTATTGAAATCAAACGATTTCGTCAGCAGCAACAGACATCATAGTTAATATAAGAAAAAGAGCCGTTTCAAAGAACTGAATTGACTAATAATAATAATACTTTAGTAAAAGCTAAACAACACTTTAAGCTTTGTATAATTCAAACTTCATCAGTATTTTATATTACATAAAGCTTCTGCAAGAAAACGTAACTTATTATGAGACTTGACCCCATGAGTTAAATTAATATAAAATATAAAGCTTTGAACACAAAAAAACTCATGAGTTGCTGCATATACTCTTCTTTTTAACAACAGAACAAAAAATACTAAAAAACTAATTTAAACTATTAAACAAAACATAAAATTCGTCTACAACAGCAGATGTCATAGATAATATCAGAAAAAACTCCATATCTCAAAGATGAATTTTCTGATCAAAATCAAAATTTAGACAAAGATAATCACAAATTTCCATTATATCTACAAGATTTCATCCACATTTGACATCTTACAACAAAGTTATAACGAAAACCAACTTACGCATCACCAATACCACCAGTCGAGAAAAGTCTCGGCCTTGGCGACCTTCCTGACATTGACATTTTCGTCGGTTATACCCTTGTTTCACCCTGAAATTCGTTAAATTATCAATTTAGCTTCTTTTTCCATACAAACATTCACGAGTTTAAAAGGACGTTCACGTGAAGAAAGGGTAACAAACAAGTCCGAGTGGCTTTAGTTCGCTATAAATCCATGAAAAATGAATAAATAAACATGAAAATAAATAAAGCATATATTATAAACACTAGAGAATATAATGGAGCAATATAAAGGCAGACTACTATTAAGATTATTACTGTTTCGACGTAAACAACTAACTTCTCATAGAAATAACAAAACTGTCTTGATTGGGGAAAGACTTGGCACGATTTTTCGATCAGCGCCAAGTGTTTCTTTTTACCTTGGAATTGGCTTTTTAAGCCGAAATTTGTAAAAAGGTAATGAAAAGGGTAAAATAAAGAAGTTAAAGGTAAGTCGATCATCTTATTGGTTTCTAGATGTACAAAATATTGTTATGTGCAAGAAATTTGGTTCAGAACTCGAGAAATGTGGCTTAGAACGGAACGTGGCTAATATTGAAAGTAACGCATATCAGTAACAATCGTTGAAATTTTATTGGAAATGGAATTTTTATAGGCCATTATAGTAATAATTAGATAGCTTATAATCTTGCGAGTATTTTAATATGAAAAAGAGCTAATTCACTGTCAAGTAAAATTATGTTATGTTAGTTCAAACATATACACCTAAGAAACTGGTGATTTAAACGAAAACCGTGATGTTAAACCTAAAAATCATGGCAAATTAAGCCTAAAACCGAGTTAAAAAGCAAGTCTAGCCTTTCTACTAACGAACTAAAGTTGTTATCGATTGATTTGACAAAATTCAAAGCCGAGAACAATAGAAACCTACTACAATGTTTTTGATAAGTCCACAAAGCTATTTTTGATAAGTTAATGTCTTGGAAAGTAAAAAACTCACACTATTTTGCAATTTCCGATCAGAACTGACTCAAAGCTCGCGTTTTTATCAGTTTTCATGGCGGAATCAACGCTGACCTCGAACGAACATTGTGATAAGGCGTGATGATGAAAGTGAGGTTGATGTCAACATAAAAAGTAAATTTTAACAATTGTAAGTGTAAAATCGTTAGTAACGCATTGAAAGGTTTAATATAAGCCTAAAAATTCATCTGGTAAAATAAAATTTAATTTTTTCATTTTGAATTTTTAAAATTCAAAAAAATTTCAAAGTCAAATTTTCGATTATTTTCGATATTTTACATTGAAACACGGCTGTTATGCTGACAAAGTGATGTTTATGAGGTATTTTGTTGTATTGTTTTTAACTTTCAATGTGGTGCGTGGTGCTATATTGCACGTGGTAACAGTACGGCCCGGAGAGATGTTGCAGTTGGAGTGTCCGTCCAAAGGGAAGGAGGTGGCTTATTGGGGAGCATTTCGTGAAGGGAAACAGATTGATTGTGAGGATGTGATGTGAGCTTTTACATTGTTTTTCTGGCTGTTTGAGATTAGTTTCGTCTACCCCTTACCGGATGAACACCTTTCATCGTATAACATGTCTCACGCAGCCTGCGCGGTGCGAAAAGCCTTTAAACTTCTACCGTGCCTTAAGCTACCTAAAGATATGTGAAGATCAGTGAAGAATTAACGTTTTTGGAGTTTATTTATGCTATTTTCAGGGATGTAGACGCAATAAACATAATAACCTGCCCAAAAGACTCCTCGTTTCAATGTTACCAACAACAAGCTATTATGCTGTTCGCCGGCCAAAAGGACCTTGAGATGATTTGTTACAACAAGGACAATATTGAAGTCATGAAAACTAGCATTAGTAAGGGATTTTAGAAAAAAAATTTTGGGCGGGGTAAATTTTTATCTTTTTTGCGGGGTGGATTTTTTTTGAAATTTTTGAAAAATCACAAAAATTTTGAATTTTTGGGTAAAAATTATTTTTTTAATTTTTAGAAATGTCACTAGCCACGGAATGTCCAATGGTGAACGAATGTGAAAATATCGAGTATCCTTCGCCGTTCTGTCAATGTGATTATATTAAGGACAGTTGTGAAAGAAGTAGGTTTTGTAAAGAATGTTCTTGCTATTTTTTGTTTTGTAAAGAAAGTTTTCGCCATTTTTTACTTTGTAACGAAAGTTCTTGCGATTTCTAGTTTTGTAAACAAAGTTCTTGCCATTTCAAAGCTTTTAAAGAAAGTTTTTGCTATTTTTATCTTATAAACCATGCTTTTAGGTATCAGTTTCAACCACAAGTACACAGCTATTGCCAGTGTCATAGTTGTATTCCAAGCCTTGGTATACTTTGCTTTTTACATACGACGTACCTTTGTCATACCAGGATGGAAAGACACCAAAATGGTCAATAGTTCTCCGGTTTATACTCCAGTCCAGACCGTGAACTATCCTTTTGTTGAGGTTTTGAATACACAGAACATTGAAAGATTGCTCAATCCTCCTATTAACAGTGCCACTTTGGAGATACGAAACGGTCGTAGTAATGTTCTTCAATAAACTTTTATTTTAGTAATGGTGTTTGATTTTGTTACCGTATATAAGCAATAACATGTCATATCCTACCATAACCTATCCTTGGCTATGTCTTAGCTTTAGAAGATATGATTTATTTTGTCTATGCCATGCCTTGTTTAAGCTATGGCCTGCTCAGCTTTGTCTAACTATGGAATGGCACCGAATTCTCTCGGCTTTTAAACGAAACCTAGATAGGATGAAAGAACAGAACATAATAAGTTAATGGAAAAACTGTTTTCAGTAACTGCTAAATGGCCCTGGCTAGCGAGTTACAGTATGCCTTATATCTTTATATGTTTAAAAGGTGTAGCTTTAAAGTTTGAAAAATGACACTTTTTGATAAATATGTTTTATTAAAAAAAAACGAAAAACATAAAATACGACTTAAAAAATATTTTTAAACAAAATATTGTTTGTCTAGTCAAAATTTATTGTCATAATGGCTGGCCGCCAAAATGAAATCCACTCAAAGCTGTTTCGCCGAATCCATAAAGCCTCCGCCGAACCTCTTAAAGTCTCCGCTGAATTATCTAAAGTCTCCGCCGAACTCTCTAAAGTCTCCGCCGAATCCCATAAAGTCTTCGCCAAATCCCATAAAGTCTCCACCGAACCCCTTGAAGACTCCGCCAAATCCCCTAAAGACTCCGCCGACTCTCCGCCAAATCCTCTAACCTCTCCGCCGAATCCCTTGAAGACTCCGCCAAATCCTCTAAAGTCTCCGCTGACTCTCCGCCAAATCCTCTAAACTCTCCACCGAATCCCTTGAAGTGTCCGCCAAATCCTCTAAAGTCTTCGCCGAATCCTATAAAGTCTCCGCCGAATCCCATAAAGTGTCCGCCGAATCCCATGAAGTCTCCGCCGAATCCCTTGAAGTCTCCGCCAAATCCTCTAAACTCTCCGCCAAATCCCCTGAAGAGTCCGCCAAATCCCCTAAAGTCTCCGCTGACTCTTCGCCGAATCCTCTAAACTCTCCGCCGAATCCTCTAAACTCTCCGCCAAAGCCTCTAAACTTTCCGCCGAATCCTCTAAACTTTCCGCCGAATCCCTTAAAGTGTCCGCCAAATCCCCTGAAGTCTCCGCCGAATCCCATAGTCTTCGCCGACTTTTAAGCACATCAAGAAGATCATGAAGAACATCAAAAGATGATAAAGAACATCAAGAAGATGTTGAAGAACAAGAACGATAAAGAACATCATAAAGACAATAAAATAAATAGCCTAGGAAGGAAAAAATGCATTTTTAATGCTCACAAGATTCTAAAAAATAAAAATTTTAAATTTCAAGAATCATTAAACTATGTCTTATTTACTTATATATTTACTTTACATTCTTTATGCGTCTACAATTACAACTGGGGCGATACGTAAAACATTAGATGACTTTGATGGATTAGATTGTAGCTTTTGCGAGAGATGTGACCAATTAGAGCACTCCGCTTCTTCTTCGTCTATAATGTATACATTAGTTAAAGGGTGGTTTCCAATATATGTTAAAGCTTAAAATTGTAAGAACTCTTAGTTAGCCCAGCCTACTAAGTCTAAGTCTAAATGTTTACCAAATCTAGTCTGACTAACCTCAATCTAAAAAACCTAACTTTACTAAGCTAAATCCACGTGTTTGCTAAACATTTAAACCTTACTGTAATTTGGCTTCCTTCTCCAAATAGATTCCAGAGTTCTTTACGTGCTTCTTCTTTGTTTTTGTGCCGACGTTGGTCTTAGATAGGTTCGCTTCGACCACCTAGAAACTAAACAAATTAAAGTAGTAGTCATGATTATAACAACATTGCACTACTCATAAAAATAATATAAAGCTACTAAAAATTTTATAAAAATTACTCAAATGTCAACTTACGTTATTAACAGTCGTTTTTGGGGCGACTGGTGTCTCGGTTGGCTTACGAGTCTTCGTAGACGGTCCAGCTAATTGACCAGACGGGGAGGGTAACGCTTCCTCATCTTCAGTTGTACCCTCATAGGGCAAGCTCTTGACACCATCTAGGGTGTCATCATTCTTCGAATCCTCTAAAATCAGAAAGTAAAAAATAAATAAATAAAAGGAAACAATTATAAAAGCTAAAAAATTACTACAATGCTACAAAAATACACAAACTTACCCTTCTCCACCTTCTTCTTTTTAAACCTCTTCAAAAAATTACGGAACATTTCGTTATCTGAAATCAGAAAGTAAACATTTTAAAATACGAAAATTCACAATTCGAAAGTCCCCGACACAAAATTTCCTTGCCCCAGAAGGTCTCATTCTAAAGTTTCCTGTCCTAAACACCCTGACGCTGCTAGAAACACAATAAAGTTACTAAAATGTTAAAAAACAAGAAAAAAAAACAAGCAAAAAAATTTTTGACAACTGAAAAAATATATTTTTTATATTTTTATTTTAGGCCTCGGATATTCCAGAACATTCCTTGATTGTTCTGGAACTTTCTGTTCTCAAAAAAGAGATTCAATGGAATATCGTATTTTATAATGTTTTTAAGTATATTATTTTATAATTGTAGAGTTTATTTTTACGTTAGAATGCATATACAATTATTAGGAAATATCAATAAAATAAGGTGTTCATGATGACCGATTTTCTGGAAGTTCAAATTTTATTTTTGCGCGAAAAATAGACATGAGAAACGGGCCCTAACATTCAGGCCCGGCCCGTTCCTCATGTTGGTGAAAAATACGTGAGTCTCAATTAGTTTCAGAATTGTTTTCAGTTTGGAGCATATTCATCAACAATGACGTTGTGGTTTTGGATAAAGGTAAGATTTTGACTTGTTTTCTTTTGGTTTTTAGGTCGTTGAATATGATGTTTGGCCAACTTCTGGCCAAAAATATAGGTAAAAAGCGGAAGAATGCAAAAATTACTGTTTTTTTTATGTTTAGGTAATAAAGTTTATGTTAATTTTGCAGTTATAAGATAGAAATTTGTAAAAATTTGAGAATTCTTCGTTTCTAGGTAATAAATTTAGTTTTTGAAGTACACAAAGGCATGGAGAATATATTTTGCTAGGACGAGGAGGAAGAAATTCTGAAAAAACATTAAAAAGATAAAAAAAAGCTATTTTAGGTAACAAACTTTTAAAAAACATGAAATTAGATATTATTGTTTTAAAAGTTATATGTTATTGCAGGTTATGTATGCTATTTTCAGTGATGTAGAGGCAAAAAACATAATAACTTGTCCAAAAGACTCCTCGTTCAAGTGTTATCAACAACAAGCTGTCATGGTGTTTCCCGGCCAAAAAGACCTCGAAATGATATGTTACAACAAGGACAATATTGAAGTCATGAAAACTAGCATTGGTAAGTTAATTTTGAAAAAAAATTTTGGGCGTGGTAAAATTGTTATTTTTGCGGGTGGATTTTTTTTTGCAATTTTTGAAAAATTTTAAAAAATTTCGTTTTTTGGGTTTTAATTTTTTCAATTTTTTAGGAATGTCACTAGCCACGGAATGTCCAATGGTGAACGAATGTGAAAATATCGAGTATCCTTCGCCTTTTGTAAAGAAAGTGCGTGCTATTTTGTGTTTTTGTAAAGAAAGTTCTTGCCATTGGAAAGCCTGTAAAGAAAGTTCTTGTCTTTTTTTGTTTTGTAAACAAAGTTCTTGCCATTTTTTATTTTGTAAAGAAAGTTCTTGCCATTTTTTATCTTATAAATTTTGCTTTTAGGTATCAGTTTCAACCACAAATACACAGCTATTGCCAGTGTCATAGTTGTATTCCAAGCCTTGGTATATTTTGCCTTTTACATACGACGTACATTTTTCATACCAGGATGGAAAGATACCAAAATGGTCAATAGTTCACCGGTTTATACTCCAGTCCAGACCGTGAAATATCCTTTTGTTGAGGTTTTGAATACACAGAACATTGAAAGATTGCTCAATCCTCCTATTAACAGTGCTACTTTGGAGATACGAAATGGTCGGAATAATGTTTAAATGCTGTGTTACCTAATATTATGGATATAAGAAGATGGGTTTAGAGAAATTGCCAGAAATCGTGTTACGCAATCTTTATTATTTAATATTATTCACTTTTGTAATATCTGCCTCGATGTAAAACGACCCAACAAATTACTGTGAGTGCTGGGATTTTACTCCAATTTTGTTCGAGGTATCACTTTCGGTTTGTCATATTTCATGGCAATATGAACGATGATTACTTAGTAAAAACCTTGATTGCATTGTAAAAACCTTGGTTATTTAGTAAGAGCCTTGACTACATAGTACTTGGTCCTTACTTTAGCACTTGTCATAATATAATACTAAATATTAAACTAGCTTATTATATGATAGTCCGATAATTTTTTTGTTTTCTACTCAGTACACGAACGATAAGTACGTCATAACAAGGACAGGAAACGGTAAGACTGTCTTTATACGACTTATGACATAAAGGAAAGTTCGTAATCTTGTGGGTATAAAAGCGAAGATTTTGCTTTACTGATTATTCATTTTTTAAATCAATGGGTTTTAAAAATATTTTTGTAAAATAAAGAAATGTATTGAGATGCCTATAACAATATTGGAAAAGCTAAAGCCAGGGTTTGTAACAAGCGTGTTTACTGTAAAGTAGAGTAGGATATGATAGAGTATAAGGTAGACTGGGATAAAGTTTTATGGGATGGGGTAGAATAGAGTAACAAAGGTACAGTAGTGCAGGGAATAGTAGAATAGGGTAGGGTAGTGTAATGTTTGGTAGGGCAGGTTAGGGTAAAGTAAGTCTAGTTGAATGCTGTGGTGATAAAATTATAGGCAGTTCTAGAGCTAGTGCTTATGCTAGAGCTTAGGCTGGGGATGAGGCTACGGCTATAGCTACCGCTAGGAACAGAACTGGCGTTTGCTGTGGCTGATTTTTGGGTTAGGGCTCTGGGCTAAGGCTCTGTACTAGGGCTCTAGGCTAGGGCTCTGGGCTAGGGCGTTGGTCTAGGGCTCTGGGCTAGGCCAAGGCATAGCAAGGGCATAGTTTTGCCATTTTAAAATACACGTTTTGTACCTTGTCATTTCTTCATAAAATTTATTTTAAATTTTTTAGGTAACAAATTATCTAAAAGTCATTTTTTTCAGAAATGTTTGAAGACATCGTGAATGTGACAGAAGATGACATTGCTTTCATCACTACAGTACGAACTGCTCATTTTTGGTATGAAATAATATTGGCAGTGGTATCTATTGGCTTGAATGGATGGGTAGTTTACCTTGCTTTTACAACCAAGAACTCCACCATGAAAAGTTTTTGTTGGGTTTTGTTGATGAGTGTCTCCGGTGACATTGTTTATGCACTGTTCAATCTGGCTTCTATGGTGGTAAGCGATATCCTGTTTTAAATATATATATCAAAAAAGGGAGCGTATGGTAGGCTAGGGCAGGATGTGGCACAGGGTAGTAAGGACATATAGTATGGTATGAAATATTGTACGAAGTAAGGCATATAGGGTGAGATACGGTACTGTAGAGTGGGAATTGTGTGAAGTAGGGCAAGGGAGATAAGTGTTGAGTATGGTAGCATAGAGAAAGGTAAGGTAGAATACTGGAATGTTAAGTGAGGTGAGACAAAGCAGAATAGGATAGCGTACGGCGTGATATAAGGTAAGGCATAAAGTATGTCATGATATATAGTAAGGAGTAGGGAGGGTACTGTAATGTTGGGTAGGGTAGGGCAGGATAGGGTACGGAACGGTACGGCACGATACGGTACGGTGAGTTACCATAGCTTTCAATTATAAAAATGCTAGTTAAAGCTGTTTGTAAGCCTAATATGTTTAGGTAATAGAAGTAAAACGCGGTAAAATGTTTGTAATGATAAACGGTCCATTTCGGCATTCATTATACCCCATACCACATCTTTTAATGTCGTTATATATGATGGGAATGTTTGCGATTATTATGACAATCATGGTGCAATTCATCTACAGATACTATGCTTTATGTAAGCGCCCGATGACAATGACAGAGTTTGTTGGTTTATATGCTGTGGGTTGGATTTGGGCTTTAATTGAAGGATTTTCTGGATTTGTCATTTTTGATGTTGCTACTGATGAAAATACGGCTATTATTGAAAAGCATCCTTTGTATGCTTATGATACTCCGGTTTATATAACTGGTGACGTTAGTGTAAGTTTTTAAAGGGTATGGGCTTCTGGGCTTATCAGGCTTAATTTAAAGCTTAGGTTTGGGTTTAGGTTTAAGAGGCTTGTTTCTATCTTGGACTTTGGCTTAAACCTAGACTTAATTATAGATCCAAGCTGTTAGGATTGGAACTAGGCTTAGATTACAGCTTATGTTTCTAGGTTTGAGCTTAGACTTTGTATTAGGCTTAAATTTAAGGCTAAACGTTTAAGCCTAACATTTCAAATTTACGATTTTAAGCGTTTTTTTTTAACTTCAAGTTTAATAAAGTTAATATTACGCATTTTAAGGTCAATACCTGCATTCTGATCCAGGCCTTCTTCAGTGAATTGGCAATTGTTTCAATGTATGTGGTTATAATTATCACTGGGCGTCGAATTCATGCCAAATTGAATTCGAACTCTTTGAATATGAGTAAGAGCACGAAGGAGGCACAGAATAAACTGAACAGAGTCATGGCTTTACAGGTACCGTAATTTGAAGTACATTTTTTTTAAATCTGTCATCATGACATATTTTTAAAATTTTTCAAAAGGATAAAAGGCGACATTTTCGGTGTCATCATGACACATTTTTTAAACTTTTTTAAAAATTTAAGAAAAATTTTATCTTTTGGCGTCATCGTGACATATTTTTTTAAATTTTTTGGAAAAATTTAAAGAACGGCGTGTTAAATAGGTGTCATCATGACATATTTTTAAATTTTTTTATTTGCAAAAAATGGCATTTAGGTGTCATTATGACTTATTTTCTAGATTTTTTTTTATTTTTAAGGCTAATCCCAAAACTTTAGGCCATCTACCCCGGAGTAATTATAGGCATACCCATATGTATGGCCTCTGTGGCTGTTCAGTTCAAAATGGACATGCCATGGGCTGGGTATTATATCGTGACATCCATCTCTAGTATGCCTGTCATCAATGCTATTACCGTACTAGTTGGTATACCATCATTCCGGAGGCGAATATTTTTTCATGTTAGGAGACGAGAAGTTACTGTATATAGTAGCTCGGCTAATGTGGTTAGTCATAGTGAAATGACCATTCATTAGAGGACTTAGGTGGCGTATTTATGGCGGTTTTGTACCCTGAGGGCATTTTTTTAAATCGGTGACACATTATATGTTTCTATGACATTTTTCATTTTACTGTTACACCTTTTGACAAACGTTATTTTTTACTATCATAAGATCCTATATAAAGTCAGTAAACAAAGAATAAGCCACCAGTAATTGTACTTTATGACTTACTTTACTTAGTACTTAGTGTCTGACTTTAAACCCTGATGCTTTCCTTTTCTTACCCTACCTTGCTATATACCTTTTAGACAGATTAAAACTCGTACTTTCATAAGAAACCAAATATGAAATAAATACTTGTACTTTGGTCGGGTAACACCCAATAATGTTATCTTATATTGATGTACGTAAAAAGTGGTCTTCAAAACTATAGTAATCAAGAGCTCAAAGCCCTAGCCCAGAACCCTAGCCCAAAGCCCTAGCCCAGAGCCCTAGCCTAGAGTTCTATCCTAGAGCCTTAGCCTAGAGCCCTAGCCCATAGCCCTAGCCCAGAGCTCTTTGCTTAGTCCCAAGTCCTAGCTAGTACCATCACCAGCCCAAAGTTCTATCCTAGAGCCTTAGCCTAAATTCCTAGCCCAGAGTCCTAGCCAAAAGCCCTAGCCCTGAGCTCTGGCCCACATCACCATACCCTTATCATTAATGTAGCTTACACTATTTGTATTTTTGTAGCTGTTGTTTATAGACAATCAACCCGTATTTTACCATGTTATTGTTTTATTATGCCAACATACAACATCTTTTAAAAAAGAACTTAAATTGCCAAAAAAATCACATTAGATGTTCATAATGTGCCTTGTGGGTATCATAATTCTCATTTTCTTCCGTAGCGTACAATTTGGATTGTTCTGTATGATAAGGTACCCAAGTAGTGTCTTTATTGACCTTTAGAGCAGTATACATAATAATTCTACGACGAAACGATGGTATGACAAATAATATTGCCAATGAATTAGCAATAGGAATCAAGGAAAATGATGGTGCTAAGTAGAATCCACACCATACTGTGTCGAATTTCAGTTAACCAAGTATGGTGGCTACTATGATTGGCAGGGCGGCTATTATCGCTGGGTAAAAGGTCTACAATTTTTTTAGTCATTGTTTTATTAAATTTTTCGAATAGAAATGTGCCCCCCTAATCCCAAAGATCTGCTTTGAGAGAGAGCACAGAATTATTTGAACGGCCTAATAACAAAAGAATTCCTTCAAAAAGACATTTTATATTACAGTACCTGTAAGAGTCATCTTTAACAATAATGTCTGTCCTTACACAGCAAAGATGACACAAGAAAATCTAAAGGGTCTTGACTACAAAGTTCTTTAGCACCCTTCATACTCACTTTTACGGCACCGACCAACTACCACGTTTTAAAGTACTTGACTTTGTTTTTGTATAGACAAGAACACTTCCATCAACATGTAAAAGTTTTATTGCGTCAAATTTTCAACCTTTATATAAAATTAAATAAGGTGTTCATAATTAGACTTTTGTGTATTAGACTCTTCATTCTCCTCGTTCGAATAAAATTTAGATTGTGTTGTGGAATATGGCTTCCATGTTACAGTAGTAGCCACCTTATTAATTTTCCAAGCCGCGTAATTAACAATACGGCGTCTAAACGATGGTATGACAAATAAAATGGTCACTGAATTGGCAATAGGAATCAACGATATTGATGGAGCCAAATAGAAGCCACACCATAACGTGTCAAACTTAAATTGTGCTAGAACGGTGGCGACAATAATTGGTAGAGCTGCAATAACGGCGGGGTAAAATGCTTGTAATATCATCACTCTGTTCAGTTGCTTTTGAGCATCTTTGGTCGAAGCACTCATGCTACCGGAAGCTTCATTTAATTTTTGGTTTATTTTACCACCAGTATAGAAGATGACAACATAAGTTGATACTACAATACACTGGCTCATCATTGTATGTAACAAGGCTGGGAGGTTGGCCTAAACAAAAACTAGTATTGTTAAACTTGTTTTTAGTACTAACAACCAATTTTCAAGACCCAAAACCATTATTTCTTACCGGATCAATTACCATGTATCCAGGCGTATCATTTGTATACATAGGGTGTTCTTTTATCAAATTCGTGTAATATTCTGTATTACCGTCGGCGATGAACAACCCCACAAAGCCGTCACAGAAACATACTGATAAACCAATGCAGTAGTAGAATATAAACCAAGCAGGTGTCAAAGCAGTTTTACATAATGCGTAATAACGGTAAATGAACTGCATACCCAATGTTAAGATCGTAACATACATGGCCATTAACCACAAACAACCCATTATCATGTTTAAGGGATAGGGAGAATGTTGGAAGATACCCATGGTCATAAAGTATATAATACCTCCTTTTACTTCGACTACCTGAAATATATAATATGTATCCGTCATCCTTTCAACATATAATCAAGCTGGAAGGAAAAAATCAATAATTGAACAATCGGAACAACCAAGCAGGCATGCAACGACGATGACCAAGAAGAGCATTAAACCCTACTAAATAAACAAATTATCTTCCTTACCATCATAGTAACCAAATTTATGCCAGTATAAATAAAATCTCCGCACATGCTAACGATAACTACCCAACAGTAGCTTCTCATGACACGATTTTTCGTTGTTACCACAAGATAAATTACCCATAAGTTCAAAATCAATGAAACAGTCGCCAACATTATTTCATATACAGAATGAATAGATCTCAATCGACCATACCATTCAACAGTTTCAGCAGAGAACGCTGTACTAGTTACGGAATGCTCAGTTGAGTTCATACTGCACACTGCGTAGGTATTACGGTACACTTAGTTTAGAAACGTGGGCGATAGGTAGCCAAAACTTACTGTCGTTTTCGCAAGTGTGTAATTAGAAGATAACTAATTGCCTTATAACAACACTTATAATACGTGATAGTATTGAATAAGAAGTAATAAAGAAGATTAACATGTTTCTTACGGTTGTTAGGTTATATAAGATCTTAGTAATTAGAAACAAAAAGTAATAAAGTACGTTTTATTTAAGGTAATCTTAATTGTTTTAAGCTAAGAATTAGCACTTCCGTCAGACAAGTACCATATCCCTATAATGCCACCTTTAATATTCTCAAGGCAGTTTATTGAAATAAACAATAAACCAAACGTTAAACTTTATTTATTTGTAGTGGACCTGAAAGACGCCTTCTTAGAAGTCTTTTGTAGTTCTTGTAATTAGATGCAAAGTAAAAAAAGTTGTAATTTTTTAAAAAATTAATTTAGAAAAACATTAATATAAAGTTCTTTAAGCTTATTTCAGATTTTGAGATATTTCAATTGCGCCGCGCTTTAGTCCCGTCGCGAAAACTTAAGTGCCAAAAAAGTGTGGCCTTTTATTTTGCGGCCGAAAATGCCGAAAATTTCTTTCTGACCATTGTGAGAAAAAGTGTTGGAGGTTTTTCTGAAAGTTTATTGTTTAAGTTTATTGACTTTATTGTTATATAAAGTAAAGAAACTATTTTAGGTATTTTGCATCTATTTTCACATTGTTCATCTTTATTCGATTGACTGCTTGGAAGTTTGCTTATACTCTCCTTATTTCCAAAAATGCAGATATGATCTTTCTAAATATACAATGGAAGAAGCTGCCATCATTGTTTAATGAATACTGAAGTGTTATCTTTGTCAATTTAACATAAATTTCATATTGTCTACAACAAATACAAATGCATCGATAGCCAAAAATGCCCTTTCCAACCGAAGTTATTCGACTTTCTTGGAATAATGCTCGACTTGTGGCTCTAATATTGAACTCTATTGTCGGGATTTTAACTTATTTTGAAGATGCAGCTATTTCTGATCCTAATTCTTTGTTTGCGATACGGTTAGCTCATAATACGTTAAACGGGTTGGAACTAAATTTTAAAGAAAATGGTTTACATGTGGAGATTTTTAAAGAAGTCAGAAACTTAAGCGACTGGACGGAAAGGTTAATATTACATGGTCAAAAAAGATTGATGAATCGGGATCCTGATGGGCTTGAGCAGGTAATAACTGGAGGGTTTTCTTGTTATAGTATAGTGCAATAGTAGAGAAAAGGTTGTAAAGACATATAGTTTATTTTTTGTTTAAAATTTAAGACGAAACACAAGAAAATTGATAAGTTAAGTTATGTTATCTTTAGGTAAATTTTTTGATTGAACGTTTTGCCTTTGACTTTCAACCATATCGCAAGTTAGATGAACGATGGAGATGGCATGACAAAGAGCATGTTGAACTTAATGCTGTTAATGGCTGGTTAAATAAGTATGATAAAGTTGGGTAAGCCTAACTTCAGCACTTATGTTTAAAGTTGTAATACCCCATTCAATCGACGTTAACAGCACTTGTACACCTGTTTATGACTTTATTATTCTAACTTTTGCTTAACTTACTACCCTAGGTTAACTGACTGTTTTATAAATTCCAGCTACTACGCCTGCTTCCTTCAACTATCAAACTGTTCTATTAGTGAACAATGCCAAAGCTTACTAACAGAAAAAGGCCGTATTTCCTCGAACGCCGTGAAGCAATTGTTATTGATTGCTGGAGCGAAAGCGAAAAATTGCGACAAAAAGTTGGAAAAAGTTTTAAAATTTGCCCCACCTGGACCTAAAGTAACACCCAGTAATTTAAATGACCTTACTGCGGAGTTATGTACGAATTTGTTTGATGAAACGTCAAGAATTAGGAAGGATAAGAAGAAGTTGGCAAGCTTGGAAATTGGTGCTGTTGAGAGCTTGACTGAGCAGAGTAAGAGTAATATTAAAATTTTAAAAACAGGCTAGGTTAAGCTTACTTTTGTATAGGTTTGATATCTAGGCTAACTTTAAGATGTCTGTGCTTAAAGTCTTAAGGTTTAGCCTACTAGGCCTAACCCTACTAACAAGCCTACCAAGGAAAATCACTTATAGCTTAAGTTCAAAGTTATTAGGTTGTTCAACTAATACTGTACCCCCTCTCTAAACAAATGTTTGGGGTGAGGGGGCACCGAATTACTTGAACAACCTAATAGTTCATGTAGGTACATAGTTTTTGAGAACGAAGCATGTATTTTCTTTTTAATTTCTCTGGACATTCTGTAGTCACCACCAAACATTAAAACCTTGTTTCAGTGTTTGTATGCACAATGTTTGGCTTCGTGGAATTTGTTGATATCAACACAATCGAACTGATATTAGCATGGCAGCATCCAAGAAAAGGTTGTTACACTAGCGCAAAGCCAGACCCAATGCCTAAACACGGGATTATTGAGCCGTTTGATCAGTTTGGTGATGTTTTACACGAAAGCTCAAGGAAGCAAGGTTTGTTTTAAAGGTTTTTTTATTGTGGGCAGGGTAGGCCATATTTATTTAGAGGGTAGGGTTAAAAAAGTTGGCGCAGTTAACAAAAATTTTAAAAAAACTTTTTTTGGGGGGGGGGGTGGGGTATGTTTTAAAATTTTCGAAACAGCTTTTTTCCAAACAAGTACATTTTTAAATTTCAAATTTTAAGACGCCTGTATTGACCATCAAACAGCAGCCGCCGTAAACGCCCTAGCCATGGTCTTAAAAACCTTGTTTGATCCACCCCCATGGCCTGATCAACGTATAAATCTGGATAACATGCTACAACAGCACCTGCATCAAATTCCATCTGAAGACCGATTTCACACTTTCAAATATGTAAATTGGGTCAGAGATGCCAACCTACCGGACCAGTACCGACTGCCTCGACCACCGCCGAATGCCTGGAGTCCTGATTTGATTGCGTTCGTCTGTCTTGGATTTGCATTGCTAGCTATATCAGTTTGTGCTCATCATATATTTAGTGCTAGGAATCATCCGGCTGGAATTGGGCCGCCTCCCAAGAATCTTAAACAGTATTACGCGTATGCTTATAAGAAGTTGTAGCAATATCCTTTAAGCCTAAAACTAGTACGCCTAAGTTTAATATGCTTAGCCCTTCTTTTGGCTAAAGACTAAGTTTAAGACTACTCAGCATAAGCTTACTAAGCCTAAGCCTACTAAGCTTAAGACTACTAAGCCTCAGCCTACTAAGCCTAAGTTTACTAAGCCTAAGCCTACTATGCTTGAGCCTACTAAGCCTAAGCCTGCTAAGCTTGGGCCTACTAAGCCTACGCCTACTATGCCTAAGCCTACTAACTCTAAGCCTACTGAGTCTAAGCCTACATACTAATTCTAAGTCTAATAAGTATAAGCCTTCTAAGCCTAAACTTTCTAAGCTTGAGTCAGTCTTCCAAGCTTAAGCTTGTTAACCTTAAGCCTACTAAACCTAAGCTTATTGTAAGATAATGTAATTTCTTCTTTATTTTATATTGATATGCCATTTTCAAATCCAAATTATCAATGCAATAATTGTATATACTTAATGTGTTATTTTTCCTGTAAATACCATTGATAAACATAATTACTCATTCATTAAAAAGTAAGAAAAACATGTTGTTTTGAATAAATATTAAGATTACTGTTTTGCTGACACACTGTTATTAGTGAATATAAATGAATGTCAGTTGTGTACTATGTAATTAATTATACTATGATAGATCTAATTTATTTTACTAGTTTTACAGGCTTATTCAATATGTTTAGACCTAAACTAGTATCTAAAATTTAAACTATGAGCTAGAGCTAGGACTAGAGATAAGTCTTGGACTAGAACTAAGCCTCGGGCTAGGGCTTTGGACTAGGCTTTGGACTAAAGCTCAGGGTTAGGGCCAGGGCTCTGTGCAGGGCCGGGCGGGGACTTTTGGTCTGGGGGCGGGGGTCCAAAAATCCACAGGGGGACCACGTTCAAATTTTTTTTCAAAAAATTTTTTTTCTTGGGGGTACCCTCTCCGTCCCCCTCCCCTCGCGCCCGGCCCTGGCTCTGTGTTTTATGCTTTCAGCTTAATGTGTATATATGAAAACTAAAAAATATTTTTTTTCTTTGCAAACCCGTCAAGACCAGGTTTTCACTTTATTTTTGACAAATGGTTTGAGTATTTTATAAACGACTTTTTAGTTTTTTTTGGTACGTGAAAAACGTAAAGCTTTCATACTCTTGATCTTATAAACCGTTCTCTTCTTATGAACAGAAGAGAACAGTTTGTTTTAGAAAAATGTTTTTTAAAAAGTCTTAAAATGTTTTTTATTAAATGAACAGCGGTGTTAGGGTGGAATCAAAGTTGAAGTAGAATACAGTCGACGTAGGACTATAGTAAGACTTGTAATATGCTAGGTTAAACTTAAATAAGGTAAAAATGATGGGGGCTGAGGCCAGGGTTGAGGCTAGGGCTGATGCTAGAACTGAGATTAGCGTTGAATTCGGGCTACGGTAACACTATGAAAGTATAGGTAAAGCTAATATAACGAAAAATAACAGTGCTGAGAATGAGGCCAGAGTTTAAGCTAGGGCTAAGGCTAGGGCTGAGTCTAGGGCTGAAGCTAGGATTGAAGTTAGGGCTGAGGCTAGGGCTGAGCTTTGGCTAGAACTATGATGTGAGTAATATAACCAAAAAACAGTTATAAATTGTGTTTATACGAAAAGTGATGTTATCTAGTGGGAGGTGATTTATTTGTTGCTCTTTAACTAATTTCCCAAGGTTTTTGGTCGAAAAACAAAAGCTGCTGCTACAATATATTAAAGTAGGTAGTTTTATATCTAACAACTAAAAATTTTTTAAATTTTAAAATTTTTACAGTTTTTAGTGAAGCTTGGGCTAAGATTCCGAGCTAAGACTCCGAGCTATGGTTCTGGGCTAGGGCTCTGGGCTAGGGCTCTGGGCTAGGGCTCTGGGCTAGGGCACTGGGTTAGGGCTCTGGGCTAGGGTTCTGGGCTAGGGCTCTGGGCTGGGGCTCTGGGCTAGGGCTCTGGGCTAGGGCTTTGGGCTAGGGTTCTGGGCTAGGGTTCTGGGCTAGGGCTCTGGGCTAGGGCTCTGGGCTAGGGCTCTGGGCTTGGGCTTGGGCTAGGGCTCTGGGCTAGGGCTCTGGGCTAGGGCTCTGGGCTAGGGCTCTAGGCTAAGTCTCTGGGCTAGCGACAAAGCTATGGCTAAGAAAACACTGTTTTTAGCATTTTTTTAGGCTTATACGCTATTGGCTTTAAGTATATTTTGTCATATTTTTAATTTTTTTAGGTAATACTTTAAACTTTTAAGTCTATATTACTATTATATATTAACGTTTTTTATGTCAAATCTCTTTTCTTTGATAAAAGTAAAGATGTTGACCATGCTGTCGTCGTTTAACTGTTTTCGAAAACAAATTTAACATTCGCGTCTACTGGGGATTCATAAAAAGTGCTCAAGCACTTTTTGTTATTTTGATGTTTATAGTGTTATCGAGGAACTAACGGCCCGTTTTTGCATTTTTATGAGCCCATTCTAAAAGTGCAGGTTTGTACTGATTGGAAATGGCATTATAATAAGAAAAATATTATTGATGTTTGATGGGTTATACCTATATGGGGTGTTACCTAATATTAATGACGGTGTTACCTAATGTTAGGGATATAAGATAGCCTTAGAGAAATTGCAAAAATTCGTGTTACGCAACTTTTTATTATTTAATATTGTTCACTTTTGTAACATTTGCCTCAATGTAAAACGATCCAACAAATGACTGCGGGTGCTGGGATTTTACTTCAATTTTCTTCGAGGTATTACATTTGGTTTGTCATAGCTTATTTACAAGAGCTCCTTGCTGTTTTAAAACGTATAGAACTAAGGCTAAAACTACAAGGTTTAAGATAAGCAAGCATAAACTAAGGCTAAGGCTAATTCTAAGGCTAAGGCTAAGGCTAAGGCTCAGGCTAAGGCTCAGACTCAGGCTCAGGCTCAGGCTCAGGCTCAGGCTCAGGCTCAGGCTCAGGCTAAGGCTAAGGCTTTAGCTTCAACCTTAGCTTTAATCTAGGTTTATGCCTGAGTTCAAGCGTAAGCTTTATGTTAAGCCTACGCTTGAGCTATCTATTAACATGCTAAATTAAGCTTAACTCTAAGTTTAAGCTCAAAGATAAGCCGAAGCCTAAACTATGTTCAAGCCAAATTATATGTCTCATCTTAAATTAAAGCTAAAGCTTAAACTAAGCCTAAGTTTTAGTGTAAACATAAGCCTAAATTGAAGCCTAAAGTTCTTTAACTTTGTCCAAAATCTATTATTACCACAACTTTGAAAATGCGCTTTAAAACAGTGAAAACTCAAAAAAAAAGCACATTGTCAATTCTAAACTCAAACTCTAACAAGATTGTTTTTGTTTTAACATAATAACAAACCTATTTATTTCCACAACCCCCCTCCTTCTCCTTTACTTAATATATTGTAGTTTCATCGTGGCATAACCCGGAAGTGGAATACGCTTCCATTTCAGTAATTACATGCTTCTTGTGAAATGATGGGATGGTTAAAGAGCGAGGGGGAGGGGAAGGAGAGTAGGTAAGATAATAAGGAGAAGGTGAGTCAAGCAAGGGGGTGGGAGAAGGATGAGGGGGGGGGGTGTAATACGTGAAATGTAGAGTATGAAGGGCAGGGGAAAAGAAGGTAGGTTAAGGTAGAGTGGGGGTAAGGTAAACATTCTTTGGCTTTTTAAAAAAAAGGGGTGATTAAAAAAAAAGCAAGGGTGGGGTGAAAAAAATAAAAAAAACAAGATGAAAGGTTAGGGAAAGGCAAGTTGAGTTATAAGGGGAGGGGTAAATTGTGTAGAGTAGGGCTTTTAGGGTAGGGTAGGGTAAGATAGGGTAGGGTAAGGCAGGGTAGGGTAGGGTAGGGTAGGGTAGGGTAGGGTAGGGTAGGGTAGGGTAGGGTAGGGTGGGGGTAGGGTACGGTGGGATAGGGTAGGGTGGGGTAGGGTAGAAAAGGGTAGAGTAGGGTCTAACCACTCCCTGTCGAATTACTTTTTTCATTTATAATTCTAAGAAGTTGTCTAGGTGGAATGGTTAGCGTTAATTAAGGTTATTCGAATGATTTATCTCTAGTCACGGCTCATTTACCAAAACGGTAATCGGCGAACGTTCCAACCAAAAAATGAATTTAAATTCTTTCAAGGTTTCATATGTTTTACTTTGGAGTTTCGCATGATTTCTTTTACTATGGGGTAGGGTTAGGGCATGGTAAGACGAAGGGAACGGCTAGGGTCGAGGATAGACAAGGGATGGACTAGGGTATGGTAATTTTACGGTAATGGTATGATAAGGGTAGGGCTAGGGTATTAAAGGTATGGCTACGATAAGGTAAGAGCAGGGCTTGGGTATGGTAAGGGTAGGGCTAGGGCATAATGTGGGAAAGGCTAGGGCATGGCTTGAGCAAGGCTAGGACGAGGTTTGAGTAAGGCTAGGGTAGGACTTGAGTAAAGTTAAAGCATAACTTAAGTAAGGCTAGGACACGGCTTGAGTAAGGCTAGGGTAAGGCTTGAGTAAGGCTTAGGCATTGCTTGAGTAAAGCTAGGACAAGCTTTGAGTAAGGCTGGGGCATGTCTTTTGTAACGAGAGGGCATTGAGTAAGGCTAAGGCATGGCTTTAGTAAGGCTAGGGCATAGTTTAAGTAAGACTTAGGCATTGCTTGAGTAAAGCTAGGACAAGCTTTGAGTAAGGCTGGGGCATGTCTTTTGTAACGAGAGGGCATTGAGTAAGGCTAGGGCATGGCTTTAGTAAGGCTAGGGCATAGTTTAAGTAAGACTTAGGCATTGCTTGAGTAAAGCTAGGACAAGCTTTGAGTAAGGCTAGGGCATGGCTTGACTAAGGCTAAAGTACATCAACGTTAAGGAAAAAGTAGGCCAAGGTTAGGACAAAAAACATTAAGCGAGACTAGGACTAGGTAAAGCTAGAATAGGGCAAAGATAGTGCAATGAAAAGCCAGGATAGCTTATGGTAGGGCATGTTAGGAGAGAGAAATGCGGAAGAAAATGAGACCATAACAATTCA